GCAAACCATTCATCACAAGACAAGGTTAGCAGAAAACCTTCTTCATCCTTGCCCGATCTCTGTCTGGTCTTGGCGTACCTTATTCAACTTCAATCTGCATCTCCCGTATACACGCCCATCTCGCTCCCTCACTCTCTGCAGACAACGACACGCACCCCAACTCCGTCTCATTGGCATCAACCCCCCATACATAGCAAGCCGGCTATCCGGGTCCAGCATGTTAAAAGCGACGCCAATCTTCGCTTGAACCTGCCTGTTTTTCTCTACGGTAAGCATGACCGTTCCTCTAGTACCTCTCGTGACCTACTCCGATTCGTTCCAGGCTTCTTTCTGGTGGTTGCTGGTTTATTGCATGCTTTGCTTTGCCTTGCGTTGCCTTGCGCTGCCCTTCTTTCTCCCTCTTGGATCCCGAGCTCGACCTTCTCATGCACAACACCTGTCATTCTCACCAATATCCTTCTCTTGTCTCCTCTCCCGGTCAAGGCAGGAAACAGAACCAACACCCCGGACAATGCCAGGCCAGGTTCCCAACCTTGTATTGTTCTTTAACCTGTCTGAACCCCTGCCTGGCCTAGCCCGTGGCTGGATCTGGTTCGGACCAGATGATGCTCTGCTTTCTCTTCGGAGTCAGTTCCATATACACCAACTGGCCGACGCTACTCAAAACCAACTGGCGCGCTTACATGACATAATGCCATCCACTGCGAGCGAGTATGCGCATCCATTCATCGTTCCCCCTACCCCCGCGTAGCCGCTTCTCTCGATTCCTCTTGACTACGTGCTGCACCCGCTCATGCCCATGCTACGAGAGCAGGATGGGCTCCGACCCCCTCTCCATTACCAGACCCTGGTCGGCACCGAGGCACATCCGGGATAGCTTCAGCCTACCCCCCACCTATAACCCATTCTGCCCGCTGTTCACTGGTCTCTCTATGGATACCGCTCCAGGGGGGTTTATGGTTTGACCATGCCTGTTCCGAGTCCAGAGCCCCAAGTACTTCATGGCTATGCCGGCCCAGCGGCCGGCTTGCTGTAGGGCGGGCATATCCCGTGGCTCGTCCGTATTTCTGTCTCTTCTCGGGACTCCCGTTTCCCGACTCAGTCAACAGCTTCGACCGTTTCCTCGAGTTGGTCCCTGTACTCGCAGTCCACCCTCTCTAATTCTATCTTTACTGCAGGTTTCGTATTTCGGATCATTTCTAAGAAAGGTTCGCCGGACGCCTCGACTCCTCAAGGACTGATCACTGCCTAAGCAGCTCACACAACGCAGCCCCCCACCCAACGTGCGACTCTCTTCATCATTACGCAGTCATCTCGAGGCTTCGTTGCTGCCAGTCCACGTCACTCAGTACATCCTTGTGCGAGTTGCCCACTTTGCTTGCCTGCCGCCGCCGCCGCCGCCGCCGCCGCCGCCGCATACGCATCTCAGCAGACCCTCTGCGCCGTCATTCAGCTCTCACTTCCGTCTGCAGACTCCCTCTCACCTGGACAACTCGCCGGCACCAAAACTCGGATATTGCTGCCTCTAGCAAGTGTTCTGTAACACTTGCACGCCGTGATTCCACGGGCGCCCGCCCACAATGTCAGTCTTCCGGGCCACCACAGTGGCCTCCTATAAGTGCGAACGTGCAAACGTGCGAACGTGCGCTAACGGTTCAACAGGAAGTTCGGCAAGCAGATCCAGAAGCGTCAGCTCGAGGTCCCCGAGTATGCCGCGAGTTTCGTCAACTACAAGGCTCTGAAGAAGGTATGTTGACTGCCCAGTTCGTGCCTCTCGGTCCCATGCCCTCCACCCTTCCCCGTCCTCTCGCTTCTCTTCCGCATTGGGCACAAGCTCGGCTTCGGAAACCACAAAAAGGAAAATGGCTCTCCAAGAGTTTAGCCACCTCAGTACCCGACGCCGTCTCATCAGGGCGCAAGGGGGGTGGAGGAAGCCCCCATGACAGGAACTAAACATAGGCGGCGTTGACCACTGACACCCGCCTGCTAGCTGATCAAGAAACTGTCGGCCACACCCACGCTGAGCCCACAGATTGACCCCCTGCGATCCGCAATATCTATAGATTCCCAGGCTGCTCTCCAGGCCAACAAGGCCACGTTCTTCTTCCAACTTGTAAGCATCCCACCATGGGTCAGGGCGATGAACTTCCCACCATACTTACTGACTCTCGAACAGGAAAGGGAGCTCGAAAAGGTCAACGCCTTTTACCTGCAAAAGGAGGCCGAGGTATGTATTCGTCCGTTGTGGCTAAGCATCGCCTCGCCCCATAACTAAGCATAACCCCCCTCTACAGCTCAAGGTCCGTCTGAAGACTCTTCTTGACAAGAAGAAGGTCCTGCAGTCTCGCAATGGCGTTTCGAGACGGTCAGCCAAGTTCACGACCCTCGAGGAGGGCTTTCAACAGTTCGCGGGCGACCTGAATAAGCTGCAGCAGTTTGTTGAGATCAACGGGACCGCCTTTTCCAAAATCCTCAAAAAGTGGGACAAGACATCAAAGTCGAAAACCAAGGAGCTCTACCTCTCAAGAGCTGTCGAGGTCCAGCCCTTCTTCAATGCCACTGTCATCAGCGAGCTCTCCGACCAGGCGACAACCAGCCTGCAAGAACTAGGGGCCTGGGCCGAGGGAGATAATGTCAGCTTCGAGCCCCGCAGCGACCACATCGTGAGCAGCCAGCATCTGCTCGGGACCGACGAGGGCGATGCCGACACCCTCCTGCTCGACACCGTCATCTCAGGGAACCTCGAGGCACTGAGGGACTTGCTAGTTCGGATGCGGACCGCCGCTAGTTCGTCCTCGAGTTCCGACATTTCGCTGATGGAGAGGATGACCCGAACGTTTCTCGCAGCGATTCACGAAGCGCCCAAGGAGACCTTGCAGGTTCTCCTCGACACCGGGCTCGTGGACATTCAGTCGGAGGACGATATCAACGAGCGGAACTGCCTGCACCAGGCCGCCATCTACGGAAACATGTTCGTGCTCGAGTATGGCCTGGCAAAGGGCGTGGCCGTCGACCGCACCGACGTGTACGGCAGAGTTCCCTTGCATTACGCCAGCATGCATGGACGCCTGGATATGCTCGATGCCCTCACCACCGGTAAGATGGGGATGCCAACCGGATTCTCGGACGTATCTGCTAATCGTGCGGTTAGCAAACCCTCAAACGATAGATATGATCGACCACGACAACTTCACACCATTGGTGCACTCCATCATCCACGGCCATTTGCAGTGTGTCGAGCGTCTGCTGGCCAAGCCCGCTCGCATCGACCCCGTGTCCGATGCGGACCACGTGCCGTTGAATCTTGCCTGCGAGCACGGGTCGCTGGCCATCGTGGAGATGCTACTACAACATGGAGCGCATATCGTTCCCGATGCCGAGGGCCTCTACCCCCAACATCTCGTTGCCCGCTCGGTACATATGCCCGAGCTCCTGCTGTTGCTCAAGAGCTTCGGCGCAGATCTGGATCAGGTCGACAAGCTGTACGGCTGGACGCCTCTGGTCCACGCGGCAAGCGAGGGCAACGTCCCCTGCCTCCAAACCCTGCTGGATGTCGGAGCAGACCCGAATATTGTTGACGAAAAGGACCTCCCAGCAATGTACTACGCGGCGTGGGAAGGTCACCTGCAGTGCATGCAGCTGCTGGCTCCTTTCAACACGCGGACCAGAGCAAGCCCCATGATCATGCAGCCAGGCCTGGGGCCGATGATGGCCAGCGCCGGACCCGACCCGATGGCCCTCGACCCGGACGCCATCCCGGAACTTGAGTTGCCGCCGCCCATAATACCGCTGCGTCGTTATGGGCACAACTTCCTCGACACCAAGACCGTCATCCAGATCAGCTTCGAGGAGGACGGAGACCAGCCCCTGGTGTTCTTCCACGATGGAAAGTACCCGGCCGCCCGTCTCACCATCTCGTCCAAGGTGTCTGATCTCATCCCGAAGAACATCATGTTACCTTTCCAAGAAGACACCCGCATTGTTTCCTTCCAAATCGACAATCTGGAATCTTTCACCCTGGATTTCGATGTCTTCCCGACCTACGGCGCAAAGATCATCGCCAAGACGGTGGCCCTGCCCAACACGTTCAAGGCGCTTCTCAGCAGCTCCGGCAAGTGCTGCCTCCCCCTCTTCGACCCGAGGTTGCGTGCCATCGGCCAGATTAGCTTCCACACCCAGGTCATTAAGCCGTTCAACGGCAAGCCACTCGAGATCACGGACTTTGAGACATATTGGAAGGCCACCAGCCAGTTCGACCGGAGCCCCAGTACGTTTGTGACGGGTTCCAGTCTGTCTGGCGACTTTGTCCGCCTCTTTGTGCAGCACACCAGCGATGGCGTGCCCGTGCTGTGGCCGAGGTGGACGATACCGTGCGGAGGCATCGACCTGCCCATCTCAAGGTTGACAATGGAGCAGTTCAACACCATCACGTCAAAGAGTCCCAGCCGCGCGGAGCTGTCTTCATTACCGTCAAGACCTCTGGACGAAATTGCCGACGTCCATCGGGTCCTGGCCACAGCAGGTATCCCCCTCAACGAGGCGCTGGCCCTACTGCCGCACGGCATGCATGTTAACATCCAGATCCTCTACCCGTCGCTGGAGGAGGAGCGGGCCATCGGTCTCGGCCCGTCGCTGGACCTCAACACCTTTGTCGACTCCCTTCTCACCATCGTGTTCGACCACGCCCGCGCCCAGAGAGCCCAGTCTCTCGAGTCGGTCCGCTCTGTGGTTTTCAGCTCGTACAACCCGAGCATGTGCACGGCGCTCAACTGGAAGCAGCCCAACTTCCCCGTTTTTCTCTGCAACGACCTCGGCCGGGAGGATGTCATGGCGCCGCCGGACGTGATCCAGAGCCACGGTCGCCGGTCTGCTTCGATCAAGGAGGCGGTCAGGATCGCGCAGGGCAACAACTTCATGGGCCTCATCTGCTGCTCGCGTCTGCTCGTAAGTCACCCCCCCCCCCCCCCCCCCCCCCCGCCCAGTGCGCCCATCCGTGCTTACCTATCATGACAGGACATGGTTCCCGCTTTGGTGGACGCGATCAAGTCACACGGCCTCGCGCTCGTCACAGACAAGTCGCTGGAGCCTTCAACGACACATTCTCTGACAGACCCGTTCCCGCGGCTGCCCAAGGGGGTGGACGGCGTCCTCAGAAGCCATGGTGTTTTGCGGTTCAACGAATCTATAGATGTGTAGAGTGATAATTCCATACGGGCAATTGTAGATAAACTTGGGCACTCTCGTGAATCACAAGTCTTGCCCCGAAATACCCAACACACCCAATGTTTACGCAGCATTCAAGTAATAATGTCGTCATTCTGGCATAAAGTCGTAAAAGCAACCCTTTTCCGTCCCCGTGATACACAAAGACCAAAAGAACCGCCTCGGTAAACCTCACGCGCCCTTCAAGTCGTACTTGAGCGCGGCCAACTCCTTCTCCGGATCCACACTGCCCATGACGACCTTGGCGATAAGGGTCACGACGTACACGATGGCCGGCAAGTTTCCCAGACCGACGTGGCCGAGCGCATGTCTCTCGCCTGACCTCGTCACGAAGCCCGTAAGCACGAGCACGGCGCAGAGACCCAGGTTGAGGTAGGGCAGGTACGTCTCCAGTGGTGACTTCTGGTCCTTTACGACTGAGAAGGAGCTTCTCCTGCGCCTCGTCCGGCCCGGGGTCCGAACTGGCTGATATGACGACGACGACGACGACGACGACGACGCCCCCGAGATGGACGAGGTCGAAGAGGCGAGAGAGGAGGAGGGGCTGGCGCGCGGTGTCTTGGGGTGGGACCAGGCGTCGAGGAGGGCGATGCCAGTGACATCCGGGGGCTGTGTGTGCAGAAGGAAGGCAGTCGAGAGGAGAGACGTGATTGACAGCAGGGAAGTCAAAGGCGCGGAAAGGCGGAAGAGCGAGATAAGGTAGGGGATCGTCGTCAGAAGGGGGAGGGCGAGGAGGAAGGTGTTGAACTGAGCGTTCCGGGCGGCGTTTTCGTCTGCGAGGCGCTGGATGATGACTTCTTGTTCTGGCACAGGCGTCAGCAGTTGTGAAGGGACGCGTACACGGCAATAAACGGGTGGTTCTACCTTCTTCGTCCATGACATCGGGCTGGGAGTCTGCGGAGTCGTCGTCCGTGGGATAGTGGAATGTTCGCCGCAGGCGGGCCGCTGCGCCCCTGGGTGCTGCCATCTGGGCGTCGGGGTTCTTGACGTCGGGGTTCTTGACGTAGGGGTTCTTGACGTCGCGGTACGAAATTCAAAACCGCCGGTGTTTGATTAAAGAGATCTGTGTTTGCGAACAGCAGAACCTCTTGGGTCGCAGGTTGAGAGGAGTCAAGCAGGTCACATTTCGCACGTGGTTAGGGTAGGTCAGTAGGTACCTATGTTCGGTGGAAGCTCGAAGAGAGGAGAGCGTGGCAGCTCGCTCAGCCTTATGACGCGGGCGCCAGCTGGCCATGCTGGATCACCAGGCTCAACGATTGGCCAGAAGCTCAGCAGGGACTTTTTACCCCCCTCTTCCCTACGGGGGCTGCCGGCGCTGTATACATAGGTAGTAGGTACGCCGCAAGGGCCCCCGGGTTTTTTTTATGCGAGGAGCTAGGCCCGCCCTCCGAGACCGACCGACGACCGAACTTCATTATCTGATTCGGAGCATCCCGAGAATTTGCTGAGCCATTGACATACCACGACTTACACCGCTGCCACACACACACACGCGCGCGCGTGCACACGACCGAACTCCTTCGACGAGCGTCCGAGACCGACGTCGATATCCCGAGCATGCTTTCAAGAACCATCACAAGGAGACTGACCTCCTCGCTACGGAGCGCTGCCGCACGGCAGACGCAGCAGCAGCAGCAGCAGCTCAGAGCGCAGACGCAGCGGAGATGGGCGACCGCGGCGCCGAAGCCCGGGTCGGGACCGCTGATGGAGCGGCGCGCTGACCGAGAACTCCCAGGTGAGATGCCTTTCGCCTTTCCCCTAATACGTCTCCTGATCCTTTGGCTAACCGCGCTCGCGTTCAGACCTCAACCAAATCACCTTCCGCTGGTCCCGCACGCTCCCGCTCTTCGCCGCCGTCATCGCCGCCTGCAGCGTCGCAATCTTCAACTACCAAAAGTCGTCGTCCCCCGTCATCGCCTCGACGCTGTACGCGCTGCGGACCTCGCCCCGGGCGCGCGAGCTGCTGGGCGACGAGGTTCAGTTCAAGCACCAGATCCCCTGGATCTCGGGCGAGATGAACCAGCTGCACGGGCGCATCAACATCGCCTTCAGCGTCAAGGGCTCGCGCGGCGAGGCGCTGATGCGCTTCGCAAGCTACCGCACCTCGCACAAGGGTCTATTTGAGACGACAGAGTGGAGCCTGGAGACGCCCGACGGGCGCAAGATCGACCTGCTCGACGGCTCGGATCCGTTCAACGGCATCGTGGCGGACGGACTGGATGACGAGGCAGATGAGCCGCCCGCGGCGGCTGCGACGAGGGGGTTCAGACAGGTGAGTCTCAAGTAAGGCGCCTGGCCCTTCCCGTCGGCACGGAGGACATGCATCACTTTGAGGGCGAGGTTCGCTGGACGGGGGGCCTCGAGGCACACAGCATACAAGGCACGCATGGTGGTCATTGGGTTTGTGATTTGGGCGAGATGACAGCCCTTGGCGCTATACGCCTCTCGTACGGGGTGGTGGTGATGGTAAATGTACAACATGTATAGTACACGGACTTTCGTAAACAACGACGGGAGCAACAAAAAAGGGGAGGTGTGCCAGGGCACCATTTATACAAACTCCGCCGTTTCTCTCCTCTGCTTCTTCAGCTCCAAGTGCCTCTCTCTAGCCTCCTGCAGTCTCGCATCGGCGTCCTTGTTGCTCTCCAAGAGCTCCTTCAGCTTCTCCTGCCGGTAAGGCAGCGCCGGGGGCTTGCGCTTCTTGGCGTCCTGCAGCTGCACAATGCAGTTCTTGGGCCCGCCGACGGCGCCCTTGACGAGGACGACGCCCAGCTCGTTGTCCACCTTGAGCACCGTCAGGTTCTGCACTGTGACGCGCTCGTTACCCATGCGCCCGGGCATCTTCTTGCCGGGGAGGACTCTGGATCCGGAACCCTGCGAGGGACCGGTGGTACCGATGGTGCGGTGGTTGAGCGAGTTACCGTGGGACGCCTCCTGACCCGCGAAGCCGTGACGCTTCATACCTCCAGCGAAACCCATGCCGCGGCTGTTGGACCGGACGTCGACGTACTGGCCCGTCTGGAACCAGTCTGGGAACAGCTGGACGCCGACAGGCAGCAGGCCCTCCTCGGATCGAACCTTGAACTCGGCGAGGTGGCGCTTGGGCGCGATGCCCTTGGCCTCGTAGTAACCCAGCAGCGGGCGCTCAACGTTGCGGGGCTCCTTGGATCCCGCACCGATCTGAACGGCCCAGTAGCCGTTCTTCGACCGCGTCTTATTGGCGATGACCTGAACCTGATCGAGCTGGAGGACGGTGCAGGGGACGCGCTTCTTGCCGTAGTAGACGGCCGTCATGCCCTTCTTAATAGCGAGCACGCCGGTCCTCAGGGGCGTCGTATTCTCGCGGCGTGCGAGGGCGGCAGCGGGACCGGTGGTGAGGGCGGGCAGGCCCGCGGTCGTCTGGTTGAAACGGCCGGGCTTGCTGCGCTTGGGGAGCGTGGACCAGCCGTATTTGACGCCGCGCTTCGCGGTGAAAGGGAGGAGGTGGAGGCGGGGACCGGAGAGGACGGAGGCGTTGCTGGCGGCGCAGGCATTGGCTGTCGTCGACGATCGGAGGAGCTGGAGGCAGCTCGGGGGCAGTCGGGGCGCCATGGTGTGAATGACCGGGTTTGGGGCGGCGTGGTGAGGTTGAGGGGACCGGTCGGCGTGCTGGCTGCGTTCGTTCGGGATGGAATTTTTTGGGATGAGGTCGGACGAGCCGTGCCTGGGGTGGAAATCTCTCCGTGGCCCGTGCACCAACCGGGATTGATCTGGTCGCCGAGCTTCTCAGGAGCTCAAACCAGGCTCTTCTCATTTGAGACTGAACCGACTTGCTATCAAGATCTACAATTTTTTTCTCAAATAGGAGTTTCCTTCAACCAAACATAGGATTCAACCGACAAAATGTCGTCTATACACCACGTTGAGAAGATTCATGCATACAGGCACCTATATCGCGAGCTCCTCCGAGCAGTCCAATTCGCATCGCCATACAGGTACATTGTCCGCGACCAGCTGCGGGCGGCGTTCCGGGAAAAGGAGGCTTCCTGGGACAAGGAGGAATACAAGCGGACCATGTGGTTCCTGCAGGCGGCGGCGCGTGAGGCCGGGCTTGAGCACAAGATCCTCAAGAACCTCATCCGCATGGCGCACGAGCGGCAAAAGCTGGCGCCGTGGAAAATTATCTACCGCAAGGCTGAGGAGATGAAGGGCAAGACACTGTGAGCTATCGTTCCGTGCGGGACGTACGATGAAATGCTGACTGTGTTGGTTCCAGCTATGAGGAGGACAAGCAGATCACGTCCACGGCGTTTAATCACTATGACATGACGGTGGCCATGTTGAATAAGACGATGGGCATCCGACTGAGGTGAAGTTGCGGTAAACCCCTGCCTGGTCTGTGTAACCACAAGCTGGACTTGGGATTTCTGCTTCATCTAGGTCTCTGTGCTGAAAGGCTACTAATGCGATGGGCGGGTTGGTAACTTTTTGGTTCTTCGAGGCTACTTCTCCCGAGATCCAGGTATAAAGTTCTCGCATCTGTGCCTGAGCTCGCCGACGTGGCGAAGTCATGCATATTGTTCCCCTTTTGCTCCGGCTCTGGGACCTCGGCATCTCCTTCCGCGCGCCGAGAAGGGGTCGTCGACCCAGATACCACGCATCGAGGCTTGTTGTGGCGCCAGGGGCGGAGAGAGATGACCAGATGGAGCGGAACACAATGGGCCCAGCCGCGACGGCCTAGCAGTGCCCGATTGTCTCTCACATCCGAGGGTAACTCATTGGAGGGAATTGGCTTCTCTGGAGAAGATCGCTATGCTACGGCTAGTAGTTGAGCGATCTGCAGATACGTGGGGTCAGCAAGTGCAAAAACGGCTCACCTTTGGTCAGGTTGGCGGTCTGTGTCTACGAATTGTACGGTAGCAGCCTATCAAGAGCCCGTCGAACGGGTTTCTGAGGAGGGAGCAATGTCTGGCACAACCGGATATGGCTCTTATTAATGGTTGCATGGCCGACGAGTAGCCCGGTGAAGCGCTGCTGGCGCCCGTTTGAACGCCGATTGTTGCTTTTCCTGAGCTTTTGTCTGACTCTTGATGCGGAACGGTCTCTCAAGGCACCCGATGGAAGTTAGACTGTAGCACTCAACAGGGAGTGGTTGGAGAAAACGACGTTGTAGCACATGGTGCAGGAGTCGTGCCCCAAAGGTTGAGAGGGCCAACACATACTAATTACTTGCGCAACCAGAGGTACTCAGGTTAGTCACGTTGGATTCTGTAGAGAGGATTTGGAGAAGACTGAGGGCAGAGGAGAGTTTAGGCGAACCCCCGTGTCCGTGTCGGAGCCAAGGGTCGACCAGCAGAACCACATCGGGCCCCTTGGCCGGTGTGGACAAAAATAGTGGTTCGGAACGGATCTCATCCCTCACATTCCCAAAATATGCATTTCGGAAACAAACCGTGCTTCCACCTCCGTGAAACTGACCCGCCGTTGTCGTAAGGTCATCGGCTGAGACTCCGTTTGATAAGTGCATGATGCATTTAAGCGGGCGAGGGAAAGAGACAGATGTCGAGATGGCGGAAATCCACTTGGGATGCGTCTCTGGCTTGTGACGGTGAATTGCCAGCAGGTGCGACAGCCCAGTGAGGGGTTTCCGGGCGGTTTAGTGTTAGCGGCCGCTACCGCAGGGACGAATGACAGGCGCAGAATCGCTGGAGATCCCAACTGGGCCCCTTCCCGTTTCAATGGACTCTCTGAACTTGCTTTATATTGTACAGATATTTACTCCGTACACACTTAGAGTGTATGGCCGCTGCTAGAGTCGTGCTACTACCTACTGGTCATTGAGTGGGGCATAAGGGGGCCTCCCAGCTGCAGCTTTCCGCACCATTATCGAAAGAGCTGGCCCTGCTGTCTGGACAGACGCTTGGCACAACCCTCAAAGTGCCGGTACATCGTCCGGCAACGAGGGGGGTTAGGCCAAAGACAGGGTGGGATGCTGTAACCGAATCGTAGCTGGCCTGACCTTGAGCCGTTTCTATGATGCGGATGTACCTAATAGGTAAGTAGGTGCCATTCCACAGCTGTAGATACCTACTACCTACCTACCTAGGAGGTAGTGTAATTCCCACTGCCACTACTAACCCCGCAATCCACTCACGGTAGAAGTAGTCCACGCCAACGCCTCCAACAATCCCCATCTTCTTTCCTTCAACTTAACCCGCAAATCTTGATGGTTAGCGGGCACAACAGCGTCAATTCCCCGGGGGTTCAGCTCTCGATTCCCCAGACCACCGTAAAACCGCTCTCTGTGCCTGCAATCTGACCACTCGACTCGTCATCACTATCATCTCCTCGCCCGCCTCTCGAACCTCGCGAACCTCGGACAGCCCGTTTGTCGTCCAAAACAACCGCCACCTGTGGTGGTCTGGATGGACCTTCCCCCCAACTGGCAAAAGGCCGTATCGCGATCGCGCTGAAAGACCTTGATCTCCCTCTTGAGATCACCGTCTGAAGGCGCTGCCACATCGCCATTGCTAGAAGCATGCCAGCGACAGAAGCCGAATATCACCCAAGACACCATGTTCCGGCCCGCCAACCGACTGCGATCATGCCTCGAGCTCAGGGAGAGCGCCCACAGAGGCTGGTCAAGCGGTACCGCACCGAGATCGCCGCAAGCACCTCGAGCATGTTTTCCACCGTCGTCGCCTTCCCCCTCGATAGCGTAAAGACGCGAATGCAGACTTACCGATACGATGGCTTCCTCGACTGCGTGAGGCACACGTACCGCACCGAGAAGCTGAGAGGCTTCTTTCGGGGTAAGGGGCACCTCCCTAGCATCCGCGACCCCTCACCACGCCCAAAGTGTTGACTGCATCGCTAACCTTCTTTTGCCCTTCTGTAGGCGTGCTCGCCCCGATGGCCAGCATCACCCTTGTGCGAACAATGTCCTTTTCGATCTACCAGCGCGCCAAGTACAGCTATTCCGGCTGGATAAAAAACGCCCTGGGCTTCGACGTGCTGCAGCACGTCAACGAGAAGGGCACGTATCCCAACCTTTACTCGATTGCCTGCTTTGGAGCCGCCGGTGCCACGGCCGGCTCGTGCATTACGGTTCTCGCCTGCCCGTTTGAGTTGACAAAGCTCAGCGCGCAAGTGTCTGTACTGCTGTCGGACCAGCAGAAGCTCAAGGAAGCCAACTGCCGCGCCACCAACGGCCACCAAGTCGCCGCCAGCTACCAGAACAAGGGCACTTTCAAAACCATGCGAAACATCATCCGCCACAGGGGTGCTTTGGGGCTCTACACTGGCTTCAACTTGCACTTGTGTAAGTCTGCCCAGGCGTACAACCCCATCAAAGCCCTTAGCTGACCGATTTAGTGCGAGATACGCTGGGCACGGCCATATACTTCATGGTCTACGAGAGCGGGAAGCAGCTCGGGACCACTTTTGGCGGCGATCATCCAACGACGAACAAGCTATCCGTTGTCATCTCTGGGGGTCTTTGCGGGATAGTATCCTGGGCAATGATCTGTAAGAATTCGCATCATACCCCGTCCATGACAAACGCTGACTCTGGCAGACCCCATCGATTCGGCAAAGAGCATTTACCAACGAAACTCTCTCTTGTACTCCAAGGGGCAACAGGTCGAGCCTCCCCCAAAAATTGAATTCTTTAAACGGCACATGTACCGCGGGCTCGGAGTATCCATGGGACGCTCTTGCGCCGTGAACGCCATCTTTTTCTCGGTTTTCGAATTCATGAAGAAGCATGTCAATTCACTGGATGATAACTCAGGAATTGCGTAATTAACGAGATACTTGTCGGTGTGCCTCGTCGGCACCTTCAACGGCCGACCTGAGTTGGACGGCGTTTTTTTTTTTTTTTTACTAGGTGGGGATGGACACCACCAAGCAGTTTAGTGGGAGCACGGAACGAGAACACGTACAGACCTTAGTTGTTTGAGATCGACTACACTCAATCAATCAATCACAATCCGAAAACCGCCAGAATCTAGCTTGCAGGTGACCCCATGCTGTTCCACAGGCCGTGCATGCTGTAGATACCATGACAAGTAAGCCTCTTTGACGTATCGACGGACGGATTGGACGTCTAAGTGAGCACTCACATCTATAAGGTTTGCAATTAAAACAGATCCCGGTCACCCCAGCTCTTCTCGTATCTAAAGCAAAGCTTAGGCTAGCATCTTGCTACACTACCTACATTTGACACGATGTTGCCAAATGCTGGCCCCTGCCAACCTGCGCTTGTCTGCCTGCCAGGTACCTAAGTAGTGTACATAAGCCCCGCCACTATCGTCACGTGGTGATAAACCAACCGAATGCTCTACCTGGGTTGCGACCCGACCTCGTTGGGCGACTTTGCATGTCATTCATTTCCTGCTTCACTCAGTCAGCCCAGCGTCCAGTCGTGACTTGTGACCTTATGCTCTCAAGCATTCTGCATCCGAGCATCGCCCGCGCGCCTTTCCTCCAAGTGCTACAAGCTCTTGCCGCACATGTTTGACGGGTCGCAAGATTCAAGTCTCCTCCGCCCGGGCATTTGAACTTTCTTCCTTGTCTACTACATCCTGCGTGACTACTGCTTTCCTTCCTCCTTGCACGGCAGCAAGTCCCGCGCTTGTTGACGTCAACCCCTTCTCCCAGAAAGGTGCTACTCCCAGAGACGCGCCATATCCGGCCTGACGTACTTGACTTGACCACCATCTTGTGTTGGCTTCAGTGCAAGACATCAATCGTCGTCATTCTCACTAACTGTCGTTTATCGACTTTTTTTTTTGTCCTTCTTTCTTTGTGGTTCTTGCAAAGGAAGACGGGCAGGCCAAAGGATTTCCGGTCTTCAATCACCATGGTAAGCTGATCACAAAGGGAGTCATCAGACATGGGGAAAGAAAAACGGACACAGCCGGGCCCTCGCGGTACGGCCAAGGATCGGCACAAGAAGGCTGGCAAGGTCAGCAAGCCCATCGACCGCAGCGCGCCGCTGCCGCCGGGACTTGTCGCCGCGAAACCGGTCAACGCGATTGTCAGCAACAAACACCAAACGTATTTCGAGTTCATCGAGAACAAGGAGAGGAAGAAGCCGCTGCTTCTCGAGGTACGCCTACAGGGCGGGATTCTGCCGGCGTGTGCCGGTCGTTGGACTAACTAACCATTCGTCAACCAGAACACCACGAACACGGATCCGCCTCCCGGCATGCGGTATATTCCCATCGGGAACCCTGAACTGACCGAGCGATGCCAGGACATCTCGAGAGAGTTGGGCGCGTCGGTATACATTGTGGTAAGGCAGCTCTGCCACTGTGGAGTGGGCGTAGTGGCTCACCAGACCTAAATACAGACAAAAGCCAAGAAGGACGCGTCGGACCTGAGCCTACAAATCCACCGAGTCGGCTACCACATTCGTGAAAGCATTGTGGACCGGGCCTTGGCGGAGCTTGGCTTGACTGACATTTACGTACCCGAACTCATCGGCCAAGGTGACGGGGGGCTGGTCGAGAAAATCCCCGATAACCAACACGAAATCGACAAACAGGCGGACGCTGCCCTGCGCGAGCTTTTCCCCCGGATCCCGAATACTGATCGACAACAAATCATCGATCATGCCTTCCAGAAAGTTTGTGGATCCACGGAAGAAGCGTGGAAGACCAGGAATGCTAACATATCATAACAGGGGAAACAGTTCAAAGGCGACCCGGTCGTAGGACTCCAGCAAGATCTTTCTCTCTCGCGGCGAGTGCAGTTGGCGGTCCTGGCGCACATTCGGCACAACCATACCAGATATGACGAGCTTCTTAGGGAGACAACCTGGCACAACGCCAGAAGAGCCACCGAGCAGCTCTGCTTGGACATCCTCGTCAAGTGGCGAGGCGATGACGAGAATGGCCGGAACCAACTTGACGAAATCCTTCGCGAAGTCGTGGTGCTCTCTGACGACTCCGATGATGAGGACTCAGGCGAGGAGCCCGACTCCGAATCATTAGAGATACTCACTGACAGGCCTCATAACACTGGCGGGAGGGCGTTGGCGTCAGTCCCACCCCAGAGTATCACCAACAGCCGCAAACGTTTGTCAACAGCGTTGTTGTCTCATCCAGGATCCCCGGTGCCCCATGTGACGCCCGGAACATCTAGGAGAGTCGCCAAGAGGGCATGCAAACGTGCTAAGCACCGTGAGCGTAACTTCAGCCGATACGAGGCTGCTAGAGATGCTGCTTGGGACAACGCTATGCAGCGGCAGAGAGCGCCCGGCGGTCCTCCGGACCATCCAGGCATGGCGGACAGTTCCGCCAGTCACGGCTCATACCCCCAGAGCCGACCTGTTGCACCTGGTGAGAACAGAGCTCCCGTGAATGATGGCGGCCATCCGCTTCCGCAACCGCGGCTTCTCTCTGGAAAGTCCAGCGGCGACTTCCATGAGGATAGGCACCATATAGATGGTCCTTATGCAGCACGGTCATGGCCCACGCATTCCCAGCACATGCCGTTGGGTCTTCCAACGCAGAAGGTAAATGAAACTAGCAACACTCTCAGTCGCGGTCCCATGAGCCATGGGAACCCGGAGAGTCACAATCTGCAAGACTTCTTGCATCCTTCCATTGAGCCGCGATCGCCTGATCCTCTGCGGCCTCCATCACGCTATACCCGTGGCATGGTGGAGTACACGGAGCGCAGAGGTGACAATCTGCAATACCACTTGAACTCCCCACCTCGTGGCCCGGTTGTGCGAGATGCGCACCCCTTGCATCGGCCTCAGATCCACCAGACATATCCCGTACATGCTAGGTCTCCGCATGTAGACCAGGACCGGGTTCGCGCCCCTGAGATGACATACCACAATGTGCCACAGGACGCCCCTCGACTTGCCGATTATCACACAGCACGGGACTATGGCTCTGCCATCCCGTATGGTCGTGTTGACAGGATCCTGCACCAGGATAGCCAGTATGAGCGACGTCATAGCAGTGTCCCGGGAGAAGAGGCCAATCCCATTATGATTGAGGATCAGAATGTTCACCAAGGCAGAGTCTATCTCCGCACCGGGGAAAGTGTTAGGGACAGATTCGGCCCTGATGTCGAGATACTCACCGTCCGCCGCCCTCGGCGCGACGATGGCCTGGACCCCCAACGGCCCATTCCAACGGACGAAGGCTTCATTCGCTTGCGAGAGAACCAACCTATGGAGCCACGGAATGGGCTGGCAGAGGATGGCTTCCTGCGACTCAGAGAGCGCACTGTTGTTAGGCCTGGACCTTCAGCGTACGCCAGCCATGCCTGGCCCTCTCTCGATGATTCTCGGACTAATGATCTGCCTCGCTTCCGGCCGAACGGTATTCCTGGACAAGCCATTTATGTGAGAGGTCCTGAACGACCGCCCCCCGCTGACCTTTCATATCATGGGCCCGGATATGAACGGGTCGACAAAGCCGGGGTCGAGAGAGTTGTACAGCGCGACCTTCCGCCGCCTGCATATGGCGGAGCGTAAGTTATAGACGTTGACGATAAGCTCTGTGTCTTAGACTGACATTCTGGACTGTGTAGGCCAGTCGAACGTCATGCACATCATCCACCACAAGGAGCATACGGCATTGCCGTTCATCGACACGCGAGGCAGATGCCCAGCGCAAGAGATCCGTTGGGGCTTGATTCATACCCACCTGCACAACGACATTGGCCACGCGCAAACGGCGACGTGATTGTGCTTGAGTGAACCACGATTGGACACGCGACACGACTGCAAGAGTGTACTTGAACCTGAAGGTTACGAAGAGAATAGGCGGACCATGCATGGACAACAGCATTTACAGGGCGTTTGAGGGAATAGCATCAGCGGGGAATATTCATTAGTCTGGGAGGTAAGCCTGGACCTTGGTTCTTCGTATGACAGCCAGGGTAGGCTTGCTTTTGTCCGAGAAAGATATAGGAGGACTGTGTAGCGTTGATACCCAAGGCCGATGAGCAAGATTGCTCCAGATTTTGTGTTTGGTAGAGGGATAGCATAGCCCATCTATGACTACTTGACGGAATACGGCATTATGAACGGAATGGAAAGTACGCATCAGCTTCATGTTGAGCAATTGCGACCGTTTTCTTCCCGGCTCAACTGAAGTGACACTCGTTGATCTCTGGCTTGAACTAAACGTAATCACTCTGGGGAACATCGGCCCGCATATATTGAACTCCTAAGGGGCGGTTCTAACCACTGAATAGAACACCCTGAAACGACCCGGCCGTGTGATCCAAAGAGAATCCACAGCCACCCGTTCTTCCCCCGCCCCCCGCCCCCCCCCCAAAAAAAGCAAAGAGAACCAACACGATCTCGGCACCCTTCCTGTCTATCGTCGTATCGACACCCGCGTGATGATGGGGAAAAAGATAACAAGTAGTCAAAGAAAATCTGGCGTGGCCCCAAACCCCAACTCCTTGAAAATGCAAATGGACCCTACGAATGCTTTGCGTTGGAAATCAACAAGCGCCACCGGCCGCCAAGGACCGGGTATAGTAAACAGAGAAATGGACATGGTGTGACAGGGAGAGAAACTAACGGACGTGAACAGGCCGGCTACGAGGCCAACATGGGCTGCCTCGTCGGCACCCGCTGTTGCGCCGCCAGCTCTTCTTCCTCTTCTGCCAGCCCCGGCACCGGTAATTCCGTGTCGGGCACCGTGGGGAGCTTGTGTTGCCTGGGCTGGTTTCGGGCGGCGTCTTCGGCGGCGACGCTGGCCTCGAGCGCGGCTAGCTCGTCCTCGACCTCTTCCTCGTCCTGGACCGAGATGCGACCACCGAGCATGTCGCTGACTTCCTGTGGGGTGGAGAAAAGCTTCCGTCAGCATCGTATGTCTCCCAGTTGGAACGGTAGCTGGGCTGCACCACCCAGTTCCCCATTGACAAAAGCGATAAGAGGGGCGGGACGGCATTGGGCAAACCTTTTGGTACGCGATTGCGTCGGCCGTCTCGCCCATGAGCTTCTCGACGTGCTCGATGCCGCCCATCTCCGAGTGGATCTCCTTGAGGACCTTGGTGCCCTGCTGCAGGCCAAAGACGACGTCCTTCTGGATCATGGCGAACTCGACCGACGAGGTGAGCTTCTCGAGCTGCTCGAGCTGGGCGTCCGTCTTTTGGAGGAGCGATTCTTGGTATTTCTTGCGGCGCAAGGCGAGCAGCGCGCGCGGCTTGTCGCCCTTGGCGAGCATCTGCTTGGCGACGGCCGTCTCCTTGTCCGTGAGAACGGTGATGCGGCGCTGGTACTGGTGGAGCTTATCGCGCTGGAGTTTGAGATCGAGGATGGCCCTGGGGGTTGAGAAGGTGGGTGTTAGCGGGTTGAGTGGGGGTGGGGGGGGGGGGGGTTCGAGCAGGTTTAGTGTCTCGCATTGTCGATGGCCGATGGCAATGCTGCGCTGACGGTTGTGAGAGCGGTAGGTTGTACAGAAGACTCACTTATCCTGGGCAGTGACTTTACTCGCGTTGCCGCCCATGTTAAATGATTCAGGGACGGAAGAGGGGGGAGGACGCGGGGGGATACAGGTTGGAACGGCGATGCCTCTCGTGGGAGGGTCAGAATGTTGATTCCGGTAGCGCAAGCAAGGGGTTATATTCTAGCGACGAACGGATTGTTGCGATTAGAACGAGCTGGTCTTCGGCGACGGGTGGTCGGGCGGGCGCTGGTCGAAGGTCGGTAACAGATGGACGTGGATGCTGATCTTCCGGCTCGGTTTCGAGGCGCAACAATGCGACAGAGAGGGCAGTTCGTCATCGTCACTTCCCCCTGGGTCAGGTGGGGCTGTGCGGCTCTAGATAAGATAAGAGGGAAGTAGTATGAGCGAGCTGTTGCCCGGCCAACAGGATCACGACTACATGCTGTCAATATCACAGTGTCACAAACCCGTTCTATAGAGACAGTACTAGAATACGTCCTAAAAGCTAGTAATATAAATATAGCTTAATCTTTTGTATTAAATTAAATGTCTTTTATATTCTCCCTCTTTGTCCCTAGAAGCATTAGGGTGCCCTTCCTACATGAAATGTTGAAAAGGAGAAAGTCATGATCATTAGATCTAGAGGGTCAAAAGAGTTCACTCCCCGGTGGGAGCTACATCTCTGGTGCACATGCCGGGAAGTCGAAGTCATCGCTAGCTTGTCGTCGAGTAAGCTGTCCGGTGCGGAATATTTTTGTTGACTCGGGTAGGATTCGAACCATCGACTTTGGCGACTCAACCACATGACACAGTTTGACCTGAACCCCTACGCCCAGGGGCCGCCTGCTGTGCTGGTGATGGCTACTCTATTCTTTTGGAAATAAGTAGGCCGAGAAGCTCGTTCTAGATTCGGAGGACCTTGAGGGTGAAGTATGGCATAGCGTGGTTGGCGAGGCTGGGTGGGAGACATGGGGTGAAAGGCAGTAGGATAAAGAAAGGCAGGAACGTATGGCGACCCTTCCCGGTTCGGCAAAAACTATGAATGATGGGTACAAGCTCATTTTAGGCCTCGCTCAGCTCGATTGGTCGTTTAGGGTTAATCGGCGTGGCAAGATTCAACACTTACACGGTGACGTCGACTGCTAGGAAATAAACTTCATTTCGCCACGACCAACTCCAAGAAAACACACAACCATCCGAACCAGGTTTAATAGGCCTCATATCACAGAGAGACACTGGTGATAAGAAATCAGGTGGCTAGTGTTTTCAGTTTGGGGGTGCTATAAGCCCCAGACGGCCATGACAGCCCTTCGACTCGACTCTAGATAGACTTTAAGAATAGTATTGAACGCAAGATCAGGGCCATATAGGAGTATCATTTGTGAACATGGTTCTGAATAATATGCCCTGGGTATGTCACAGCCGGTGCAAGTGGTTTGTTTGCGGCATTGGCATGCTTATATGCTCCTGGGGGCCGGATGTCTCGTTCTCATCCCTCATAAGTATTCAACTAGTTCAACGCTTTCCGGCGCGTCAATGCGGTAATCACACAAGGCAAGTGATTATGTATACAGTGAAGTGGATGATCGATCGCATCAGACGGGCAGTGGACTTGCCTGGCCAACCGGGTCAACAGCCAGTTCCGTGTTCTCGTCGCTGCCACATTACGCAGTAACGCAGGCGTGATCTCCCGCAAGTCTACAAGGCAACTATGAAGGAGAATTGGAATACCGGGCTTGTACATGTTGGTCTCTTCTTAGTCATCTCTGCGTGATACTCGCCCTGGCTGAGACGGAGGAGAACAACCTGTGGGCGCTATATCTTCCGTCATTCCCTAGAACTGCTCCAAAATCTCACAGACGGCAGGTCCGCCAATGACTAAACTCCATGGCAATGATAGAAGGGCACAAGGCTGCGCTAATCACCCGGTGCTATAGGTGAGGGTGGAACGTTGTATGTAATTGGGATTGAGGATGGTCAGAACAGACAACAAAAGTGCCCTTCGAAGCAAGGCAGGCATGAATACATCTCAACGAGGCCTGACATCAGCTTTCCAACGTTTAGCGGGTCAGCCGACGACTGCCAGCATTGATATTGAGTGTGCGGGCTCGGGTACATGACGCGGCAGTTTTTCCAAAACTATACAGACATCTGAAAGGCCCATGCTTGTTGAACGGCCAACTAGAAGCTCCTATTCACTGCTTGGGGGGGGGGGGGGGGGGGGGTCTTATCAAGCTTTTATGGTCACAAAGGCACGTCAACAAGCGAAGGCATCCATCTAGAGCTTGAATCATACACTTGAATTTGTACCAAGACTTCGGTATGAGAATCATAAGATGTGACCGCAGTCCACCGAGACATTGATGAGATGGTCACTCCGACCATCCCGCTCCGTCCCTTACAGGCGAGGATTCCAAAAGTCCACCACGAGATCATCCAACAGGTCAGGTCCCAATGCCGCCACCAACTCTGCGATTCCGGCCTTCAAACACCCGCTAGATCCGACATCCTGACGCTGCCAGGCCACCAGATCACCCGTCTTGAAGAGCATGCCGGAGCCGTCTATCCGTAGCTTGAGGTGGTCCATCTGGTCCAGGGAGCGTATCTCGTCCAGCGACATGATGCCAGGCATGCCAGTGTTGAAAAGGAAGGTATCGTTATCGTCGTCGCCGCTCTCGCCCACGGGGTCTTCTCCGGCAAGCTCGTCGCCTGCTGTTGTATTCTCCGTGGCTTCCTTGGGGCCGCCATTTCCCGGGGTATCGGGCTTCTCCTTGGACAAGCTCAGATACTGCTTCTTGTCAAGGAGGCCCGTAACTCGTTTGTCCATCAGATCCCAAGCCAGTGTCTCTGGGTCCAATATGTACTGTGGCGTGTAATCCATCTTGTATCGCATCTTGGGACACGTGTGGATGTAGAAGCCAGGGTACCAGTAGCGATAGCCTCCTTCCCGCGCCAGAGCAATCTCGCGAATGGCGCCCAGCTTTCCTGGGGCATACTTGTGGATGGACTCATGGTAGAGGAAGTACACGGCACTGACGCAGTGGGGGAGCAAATCCAAAACGCCTATGGCCACCAACTTGCCGTCTAAGCGGTAGCATTGGTGGAATGAGCCTAGGCGTTGCTCCTTGCCATCGGCCGTCGTGATTGTCCTGCGCTGAACGGGAGACTCGCACAGAAAACGCTGGAAGCCACGCCTCGTGATATCTGCAGCATGTTCCTTGTGGACGACGCGTTGGTAGTTCTCGTACACGAGGTACTTCTCCTCGGTGAAGTCATCATGTTCCAGCGTAACGGTGAAGACATGAGCAGGCTCGGGGGGCACCTGCAGCGAGTCGTACTCCGCCTCGTGGACCCTCTCGATGAGATCGAATTCGGAATCCCGCTTCTTTGCCTGTTCACGTGTTCGCGGATGGACACGAGCCGCTTCCTTTGCGTAGGCCTCTCCCGTCAGGAACTTGTTGAAGCGGTTGATCGTTTGACGCTGATCCCGGGTGGGTTTGAACTGGGTGGAGTCCAGCCGCAGAGTGTAGTGAACACAGCACGCGTGGAGCTGGTCCGGCCGGTAGAGGGTCGTCCCGGAGCGCCTCCAATAGTGGTCAAGCATGGTCTGATAGTACTCGGGAGTGAGGGATGTGGCTTTAGCATAGTAAGAGAAGCCTGTAAAACGATGGTCCATGTTAGTAAACTGTTCACGCGCCGTATTCTCACAGTGGCTAGCTGCGAGTCGCCCTTTGGCCAGCCCACGTGCAGCTAGTGTGATGAGGGCATGCGGCAGTACGCCGTGACGTGGGAGAACACTATATGCTGACCCAAGGTTCCGGAGAATTCACGAGGGATGGCCTTGGGGATGCGGGATGGCATTCACGTTTTGACTGACTCTTGCCTTGGCGGCCACAGTAACCACAGCGCGACGAGTTCGAGTAACCTAGGCACGAGTTAGTCGGCATGTCACGGTGCAGCAATTACTATTGAGCCGTCTTTATTACGGGTAGCTCAGCAGCATGAGCCTGAGCACTCGCTCGTCGTCGATGTAGAGGAACTTTAGATCCCCATCCGCCACCCCACGGCACTTTCGGGCATATACAGCCGAGTTGCGAGACCGGCTGCAAGGGCTCCTTCGCACTGACCGGTGGGGAGGGGTGAAAGAAACAATCATGTGCGCACGCGGCCAGGGTATCTGAAGTTGGAAGACCAACGACCCAGCGAGCGTGGGATTCGTCTGGGGCGCATCCATCGCGCACCTTCAGCTTGCGCCGACATCGAAGGGTCGAAGTCGGAGAGGCTTGCGTGACAAGAAAGAGGATGTGGTAATATGGATCGGCGCGGTCGCACGAGGAAAGGGCAACTAAGCCAAAAGTGCATGCGGCGGGAGGACGACGGGAGCTTCCCCATAAAATGCCACGAGCCAACGGCGGTTGGGCAACGCTGCACGGGGGTAGATGGTTGGAGGAGAGAATAGGTTGAACGGCTCACCGATTGGGGTTATATAGGACAATGCATCATCAGGGGTCTGCATGCCTGTGTCGTCCATGGCTGTCTGCGGCGACTTGCGCGCTCCAACGCACCAGGGAAGCAGCCCGCTCGACTAGCGCTGGATGAGCACGGAAAAAATTAGCTGGAATCCGTTGTCGAAGTTCCCTGGGTTGTTTGATGACGTGCAACGCCCAGCGACACCCACTGTGGAGTGGGTAGGGAGGGTGCTTTGTCTTGGGTGAGGCGAGGTGAGGTTCGGCAGTAGGGGGCCGCTCGTGGTAGGGGCCGTAGGGCGTTGCTGCTGGCCTAAGTATCTAGCCTCGCTGTTGCGAAACGTCGGCGCGATTGTACTTGTGGACGGATACTCTCACTCACACACGCTGCAACGTTGAGACGAGGATGTGGACTGGCGGGGGGCTCTGGAGCTCGTGATGCAATGGGGGGAAGGAAGGGGTGGGTGGTCGTCGGTCAGTCGCGAACAACGAATGCAGTAGCCGTGACTGCTAGTGGCTGGTTGGCCGTAACGCTTGTTGTCCTGAACCTGCCGCAGCAAGGCAAGGCGAGTAAGATGCGGATGCGAACACGGATGTGATGCGTCTAAGGCTCGCCCTTGGAATAGGTAGTGAGAAGTCTGCTAGTAAGTATCATGGACCGATCTGTATATGTAGTCTGGAGGTGGCCAATTAACATCCAATGGTAATGATTGGAAACTCCGGTATGACGACGCCGCCTTTGCCTGCCCGTGAAGGCGCCCTGCACGACAGCTTTGCTTCCGCCTTGCCGGCGTATCAGCGTCAATGTAAGTCGGGCGCCGCTCTACCTGTTCTGTTGTTTCTGCCTTTCGTCACACGGCGATGATGGATGGGTCGGATATGCAGGAGCGCAGAGCCCAGAGCATGAGAGATGCGAGCTGCCAGCGTTACCCTCCGGCAGATGATAGGGCTCGTAATCCCGTTGGCCCAAGATGGATGTGCTGCGTACACACCGTGCCAGGATACGGTGGTGGCGGCTCTGTCGGATCGGAGAATGACGCGAGAGATAGACCTAACTGGGAAGATGAGATGCGATAGCGTAGAAAGACGGTGCTACCTCAGCTCGGAAGCTGGGGCGCTGCTAGCGACGAGAGCTGTTGAGTTTACGCGTACTGCACCAGCAAAGAGACGACGCGGAGCGACGTGAAGATGCCCAAATTGTCGGGACTAGCTGCAATTTACGATGGATGCAGTGGGTGACATTGATGGTGCTGCAATTAGTGTACGTACCCTTCCTCCCCGTGGACGGTTCCTTGACAGGAAAGGTCTTTCTTTGTGTGGTAAGCTTTCTTGGCTGCCTTATTGCAAAGCCTGCAATCGCTCACTTCCGCACCTAGATATCTATCTGTAAAGGCAAGCCGATGAAAATGCAGGATGCTAGACTGGCTCACGCTGGCATTGTGTCTGGACGCGAACCTCCCCCCGCAAACAACGCCCACCCGGGCCAAGAGAATCACGAGTTGCCATCATCCGAGTGGTTGGTTGTCCTCCAGTAGCAGCGTCTTCCGATGCAGTGTGGTATGCATGCCGCCAAACATCTCGAGTCTAACGGACCAAGATGGATGGTTGGCTGCAGCCCCCGGAACGAGGAACCGGATTAGTGGGACCGCGACTGGAAGAGTCAGGACCATACGGGCTTTACACATTTCGACCAAGTCAGCTCCCAAGTTGGCCTTGCGGTCCTGTACGTCATGGCTGTTGGCCCTCTTTAAGGAATCGTTGTGCTTGGGGCTGTCGGAGACAATGTGATCGTCAAGGTCCTTGGTCCGCTGAGCAAGTCGAAGACTCCCTGCCAAAGACGTGGCTGGAGACGAACTAGATGCTGCGTTGCCACCGAGAAGTAAAAAAAACACTGTTGCTCAGCAAGTAATCGGGTTTCTCGTTCGTCAAGCAGTCCCTATATGCCACGCTGCACACACGTCAAAGGAGACGCTTGAGTCCGCAGTCCAGCCCTCCCTTGCCTTTAGACCAAAGAGGCCTCGCGTAGTAGCTCTGGCGACGGTTTCGAGCTCGTATTGAAGCACTTGTTTGCTTCAGCCGGAACGGAACGGCATCACTTGCATTGGGCACTCCTGCCAGCGAGATGCTTGTTCCTCGGGCCAAGACATAGAAGTGACTGATTGCTGTGTGAAGACTGGGGCCGGCTCTGCCTACTGAATCAAGCCAGCAGAGAAACGGAAACAGGCCGTTGGGGTCGCGCCAAAAGGGGAGTGGGCACAATAGATGGACAGGTAGGTAGCCTGGGCGAGGGGGAAGTCGGACATAGGGTCGGGATCTTGGTGATTGGGCCAAGTGAGAGTGAAAGAGAGAGTCGTGCCGAGTTCTGGTACTTGGATCGATCATCTAACCCTATTTTCCACAAGCCCAAAAAACCATGGAAGATGCCGAGTAAACTCAAAGAGTAGAGCAGTTATGTCATGGGTCACGAGGCTGTGAGGATGCATGCAGCTCGGCAAGAAAGAGCCTAGTTAGAGCTTCTCTGTTTATTTCAAAGGCGGTAGGCTCTTGCAGTCTGGCGACAGGATTGGGACTGCGAGCGACAATGCCAATGATTTGCGAGTTTCAGGGTCTCGAGGTTCAGGACTGACGAAGTTCGTGGGGGAAACGGTGCGCAGGCGACTGCATCAGCCTGAAGCAACAAAAGCAGTCAACGTCGAAACGGTGGACAGAAGATACCTACGCACCTAGCTAACTACTCCGTACCTGGGTAGGCTATTATGTACAAGTGGGCCGTGGGAACAGGTATACTACGTAGGATAGGACCGATTGTCGCTGGCGTTTGTCCAGTGATAGGTACTTCGTGTACACTACCTGACGTGCGAAGGCTTGGGGTCTCGTCTCCCATCCGTACTGGACGGGGGGGGGGGGGGGGGTGTTGAGTTGCATCGTGACCAGACAACAGGTGTAGCACCCCCACCCGCCGTCTAACGCAGTTTTGGGGACATACCCTGCCACAAGTGCAGTGGATGCCGAGCCTGCCGGACATGCGGCACATTTGGCACCCAATACGGAGTACTTGAGCGTTGAAGCGAGGCGGCGGCGAGGTCGACGAACAGTGGGTGACATGCCCCTAAGTACTTCGTATGGATGGTCGTAGGCGCTCCATGCCCGAAAACTGATGGGGGTTTCTTATTTCTCATCAGGAAGGGCAACAAGGGCCTATCGTTGACATGGCAAGAAAGTGCTGGAACATCGGGTACTGGGCTTGAACTTTTGTCCACTTCCTGGGCATGTGGACGGCGAAGCTGGACCCCTCCACCCCGTTAACCTGTGCCGCCTGGTGAGCCATGTATGCGTGTATGTATGTACTAAGTACTCCGTATTACTAGGTAGACCATTCAAGTTGTGAGGAGAGGTGCACAGACTTCTGCAATGGCCTGGCCTGCCCTTTCCATTTGCTTGTCCTTTTTTTTTTTTTTTTTCCGCGCTGGACAGGAGCCGGGCTGTCTGGGGCTTGGCGCATGCGTACAAGAACGGCATTGAACAGACGATAGAAAGGGGGGCACTATTACGCTTTTTTCTTGGCTTGCCTCTCGATCATGTATGCTGCCTCAGGAGGGAAGTACTGTACTTACAACCGAGTTCGGGGAGCTGCGTGGGAGCCTGTGGGCTTGCGTAACAACCCTCGTCGGCATCCGGGCGCTGTGATACGAAGTACGTACCTGATCTGTATTTTACGTGACAACCCCTGTTGATTGGAGGCGCCTCTACAAATTGAATCTTAAGGTTGGCCCGTCTCGTTCGGGCTCTGCAACGAACAGAGACCGAGGGGAGAGAGCAAAAGGGCACAACGTACGGGGAACTTGTAAGAACCCCAATAGAGGTTCGGGGAAAACAAGACGGCGGATTTCCTACCTTTTACACGGTAGATACCTTGATCTGCTGAACCTGCAGGAGGTAAAGTCACGGCAAATAGGTGGTGAAATTGCTCTACTCTAACGGTGAAATAGACTAATGAGAAGCCAAGGGTACACTAAGATTTTCCATATAAAGGGATTGCCTCATTTACGAATTTCTACGTGAAGTAGTAGAAACATAAGTAATAGGTATAACATAATACAGGTACATATCATTACAACCTCTGCAATATAACAGAGGTAAATGCTCTCCACTGATTTCTCATCCTGTTGTGACCCATCTTTTGAATCACTTCCTATTGCCCGCTGTTTATAGTCTGTAGTGTAATCGTTTACTCGCCCTTCAGCTTGTCCTGCTTGACGGAGAAAGCCATTTCCAAGAACTCCTGCTCCTCCTTGGTGTGCAGTCCCTTGTTACCCGCAGCGACGGACGCGCTAGGTCCACGTCCCGCATACATGACATGCTTGCGGTCGTGATGCTCGGTGTTGTTGAGCAGGGTCTCAAGGCGAGGTTGGGTGAAGCTCCATGCACCGGCGTTGAGAGGCTCCTCCTGGCACCAAACAATGGTCTTGGCGTTGGGGTACTGGTCAAGGTTCTCCTTCAGCTGTTGCCAGGGGAAGGGGTTAAGCTGCTCGAGGCGGGTGAAAGCAACGTTGTCAATCTTGTTGTCAGCGCGGTACTTGGACAGAGTAGCCCAGACCTGACCAGAGCAGAGGATGACGCGGTCAATCTCCTCCTTGGGCTTGATGGCGCCGGTCTCGTGCTCGGGGTCAGGGATGATCCAGCGGAAGTGAGAATCATCGGTGAACTCCTCAATGTTGGAGCGAGCCAGAGGGTGGCGGAGCAAAGCCTTGGAGAAGAAGATGATGAGTGCTAGAGAATGTTAGCGACGAGAAGCGGAAAAGCTGGGTTGTATGACGAGAACTTACGCTTGCGGAATTGACGGTGCATCTGTCTACGGAGCACGTGGAACAGATTGGAGGGACTCGTCATATAGACAACCTGCATGTTGCAGTCCTGGTGCTGGCGCTCAAGCTTCTCGGGAGACGGGAAGACACGGGGGTCCTCGTTGCTCAGTTGAAGCCATCGCTCTAGACGACCGGAGGAGTGCTCGGGACCTTGACCGTCGTAGCCGTGGGGGAGGGACACGACAAGACCGGTTCTCTGCATCCACTTGGCCTCGCCCGAGGCGATGAACTGGTCAATGATGCACTGTGCGTTGTTGGCAAAGTCACCGAACTGAGCCTCCCACATGACCAAGGCGTTGGGGGATGATAGAGAGTAGCCGTACTCGAAACCAAGGGCGCCAAACTCACTCAGGGAAGAGTTGGAGATGACGAACTTGCCCTGGTCCTTGCTGACGTGCTGGAGAGGAGTGTGGGTGTCCTCTGTCTCCTGGTCATGGAAGACAGCGTGACGCTGGGAGAAGGTTCCACGCTCAACATCCTGCCCGGAAACGCGGACATGGTGGCCTTCAGTGACAAGGGAGCCAAACGCCAGAGCCTCGGCGGTGGGGAAGTCGATGTTCTGGCCCTCGACGACAGACTTGGTACGGTTGGACAGAATACGCTTCAAGTTGCGGTGAGCGTGAAAGCCCTCAGGGGTGCTGCCAATGACCTCTCCAAGATGCTTCAGGGTCTGCCTGTCAACACTGGTCTCGTGGTGAGGGAGGACCTCAGTAGCAAGCTCCTTGGGAGACTTGAAGCCGTTCCAGGCGGAGGTGGTCCATTCCTTGGAGGTAGGCTGGTAGTCCTTGGACTTGGAAAAACTCTCCTCCAACATTCCCCAGACCCACTGCTTGTGCTCTTCAATATCCTCCTTGGTGAAGCTGCCGTCCTCCAGAAGCTTGTTGACGTATATAGAGATTTGGGGCTCGTGGTCCTGGATGCGCTTGTACATGAGGGGCTGGGTGAAAGAAGGCTGGTCCGTCTCGTTGTGACCGTGCTTACGGTAGCAGACCATGTCGATGATGACGTCCTGCTGGAACTCAGCTCGCCAGTCAGCGGCCATCTGGCACACGAAGTTGACGGCCTCAACATCGTCCGCGTTGACGTGGAAGACAGGGGCGTCGATGGCCTTGGCAATGTCGGTACAGTAAGCGGTGGAGCGAGCGAAACGAGGGTCGGTCGTGAAGCCGATCTGGTTGTTGACAACCAAGTGAATGGTACCACCGGTGGAGAAGGCAGGCAGAGAGTGGAATCCGAGGCATTCGTAGACGACACCCTGAGCGGCGAAAGCAGCGTCACCGTGGAGCAAAACGCCCATTGCAGTGCGGTGAGTCTTCTCATCGTTGTTATAATGCTGGATGGCGCGGGTCTTGCCAAGCACAACAGGGTCTTCGGCCTCCAAGTGAGAAGGGTTGGCTACGAGGGAGAGCTGAACGCGTTTGCCAGAGGGCGTAGGGCGCTCAAAGTTCATACCGAGATGATACTTGACGTCACCGGAGCCTTCATCCTCGGCGCCGGCAGTTCCGGCAAACTCGCTGAAGATGGACTCGTTGGGCTTCCTGACGACATTGCTGAGGACATTGAGGCGACCGCGATGAGGCATGCCAATGACGATATCCTTGACACCATAATCAACACTGCGGTCGATGAGAGCCTTCATACCAGGAACGAGGGTCTCGCAACCCTCGAGACCGAAACGCTTGTCGTTGGGGTATTTTGTGGCAAGGAAGGATTCGAAGCTGGAACTCCAGATGAGGCGGTCGAGGATCCGGCGCTTCTCGTCGATCGAGTACTTGAAGGGCTGGGGAACTTCAATGCGCTCACGCAGCCAGTCGCACTTCTCTCTGTCGGGAATGTGGATGAACTCGATGCCGTAGGAACCACAGTAAATCTTTTCGCAAGCGTCAATGATCTCGCGGAGAGTCATCTTCTCGCGGCCATCCTTCTTGAAGCGCGGGAGGATGCCAGGGCCAAGCTCGTACTCGGCGTCAAGATCCTTCTCGGAGAATTGGTAGTGTTCGAGGCTGAGCTCCTTGGGCTTGATGTTGCCGAAGCCAGCGGACTCATTTCGGATACCCAGGGGGTCAATGTTGGCCTTGTGGTGACCACGAGCTTGGTAGGCGCGCACCAGGAGCTGAACCTTTAAGTGGTTGGTGATCTCAGAGCCCTGACCGGGGCCAGCGGCAATGCCTGGAACGCCACCAGTGGCACCAGGGACCAGAGAAGGGGGAGGAGTGAAGGCCTGTGCGATAGGCATGTCGCCGTTCTCCATATTCTTAAAGTAGACCTGCCATGATACGTGTACGCTCTTGGGGTCCTGCTTCCACTGCATGTACATCTCATCGATGTAGTTGGCAGTGTTGCCCGACAGGAAGTTGTCGTTGGGGTTGGGAGCCGAGTCGGTTGCGCTCGCATAGTGACGTTGGCTGGTCAGAGCCAGAGGGCGACGCGCAGCAGCGAGTTTCCTCGACGAGGTTCGCGACGCGATGGTTGAGAAGCATGATTGCGAGTTTGTAGGTTTCGAGGCGTGAAGCACCCGGGTGCCAGCTCTACACGCAGAGCTTCGCAACATGGTGGCGGATAGTGGGGTGACGAGGAAGTTCGTAAAAAGGATGAACGTGGAAAAAGAAGAATATACAAGAGGACGGGACTCTGTCGGTCCTCGGAAGAAGCAGGTCGGGTTTGTACGGGCCTGCGGCAAATCTGTCAGACTGGCCTAGGGGCGGGTGGAGAAAAATGTAGCTGTCGTAATCAGGTCAGGCGCATTGATTGGCTCACGTGATCCAGGATGAGTGTGCAAACAGCACCTTGGGTACACGACTTCAATGTATTTACTTGTACGTTTGCATGTTGGGAAGGATTGATGAGAGGTAAGGTCATGGAGACGGGGGGCTAGAGCCCAGCTTCAGTCGCTATTTGTATACCTGGTTGCGGCCGGCAAGGTTGCTGGAGAATGAAGCTATCTCCGTACAGGGACTTGAGGCGCAAGGTTTCAATGAGATACTTTTTTTGGATGCTGAAGCAATAGGGGGTATACAGGCTTTAGCGAAAGTTACCAGCAGAGGACGGCTTAATTAGTCAGCTGTCAAAGCTAGAAGTGTACACTCCGCCGGGGTTCTAAACGTCAGTATGATGAAATGACCTAGAAAACCACTAAAAGGTTGCTTTCCTCTGGATCCTTTAAGAAGGATATCTCTGCACAGTTACTTGATCTCTTAGGCATAAGGGAGTGTACGAAGTACGGAACACCTAGTGTACGGGAGAGGCATTCCTTGCCCAGGCAGGTTGGGAGCAGTCCCTCCCTGCCCTGAATTCAATAGCCAGCCACCAGGGGAGCTTTGCCATGCATGTCACTTCTCACACCCATCCATCCCCGGTTCCTACCTACACCTATTCCACACCCTGTCGATTTCCCTCCTAGCGTTTGGGGGTTTGGGTTTGGGTTTGGGTTTGGCTTGTTCTGTCTTCCTACTGTAATTTAGGTAGGTACTTGTCCATTCATTTCGGTCGACCGTCTCTGGCTCAATCCCTCCCACACCACACCTACCTAACAGTCCCCAGCCTGGCATTGTACCCTGACTTTTTCTTCTTCTTTTTCTTTTGTTTCTGCCTCCGTATTTTGTTCTTACGGAGTCTGCTGCTAGCTGCTACCTCGGTGCCGTGGCCTCCCAGAGGCACAAGCTCTCTGTATTCAAAGGATCAGGTATATAAGTCAACTTTAATTTTCCATGGAGCCCGTCCCCCCCCCCCCCCCGTTTTGCTCTTATGGCGCGAAACGTGACGCCCTCTGGCTTGCACCAGAGCTCCTTTCTGCTTTATTACTGCCACGGCTCCAGCAACTTCTACCCATCCTGGCCCTTCCCCGTCTCGTTTCTTTCCCTTTCCACATCAAACCCTTTTTGTCCCGTACCCATTGCGGCCGGGTCGTAAGCCAGAAAGTTCGCCCTTTTTTTTTTTTTTTTTTTTTTTTTATTACCTTCAGTCACCAGGGTCTCTCGTCACAAGCTGGTAGTGCCTCAGTCACATCTGACGCCCGCCTCGCTGTCTCATCCTTCTTGTCCTTCCTCCCCTCTGGCCAACAGAAATCTGCATCGGCCATTGCCTCGAACCCCTTTCGGAGGAAAGACGCACGACGAGCCTTTCTGCTGCCTGCCTGCCTTCTTCTCCCTCACTCATTTCACCCATTCGACTCCCGCTCGTTTGCCTTCGCTCGCTGCAGCAATTGCGTGACTCGGTTCGGCCAAGCTCAGCCCTTTGGCCGGAAACGTGCGACTGGCCAGCCAGCCATACCCAGGCTGGTCCCACTCGTTTCTCCAGCGCCGTGGTGAATCTATCCAAGCGTTCCCCTCGCCTCTCTTCGCCGCCGCCGCTGCTGTCGGTTGTGTGTGTGTGCGCGCGTGTGTTTGTATCGTCGTAACTACGATCACACCGTGTGAGGCGTACACTGGCCAAACCAGAGAAATCTGGAAGCTCCAACTCTCAACCGGTCGCATCCGAGGCTTAATACGCGCCGCCAACCCAAGAATCACTCCCTGGAGCCGTAGACTTCAAGACCCGTCGCCATCAACCACTCCATCACTACAAAACGCGATCATGTCGTTGAAAAGTATTTGAGCCCGCATAAAACCCCGACACCCACCTCCTCACCCTGGACAGCTTTCGACTTGCAAAGTGAGGGAAAAAAAAGTTGCCGGACCTACCGCCCACCGCAACCGCATCTCAGGACAGTCCACACCGTCATCTACCCCTCCAACCCCATTCCACAACGAATCCCGCAACAGTCAGGTTGCCAGGCATGGCCTCCTCTCATAAGGAGAGGACAATGGAGTCGCGCACAGGAAGAAGCAAGCAGCGTAAGTGCGCAAATGGGACAGAGGCGACACCCTTTCCTACCTGAGCCTCTCCCCGACCCTGGTGTGCCTGCTCGCAGCGCGGGACCCACTAACACCTTGGTAATGCAGGTTACAACTCCAAAGGCGAGCGCTTGGTTGCTGGCGTTGTTCCTTTGACCGAGGACAAGCGCTACGTCCTTCTCATCCAATCCACCCGCCGGAAAGGCTGGGTGCTCCCCAAAGGTGGCTGGGAGACGGACGAAGAATGCACCGAGGCGGCGGCACGTGAGGCCTGGGAAGAGGCCGGCATCACCATCCACATCGACTATGACCTGGGAGACATCGCCGAGACACGTGCGCCGAAGCACTCGAGCAAAGACTCGGCCAAGGCCTTGTATCGATTCTACGAGGCCACCGTCACCACGCAAGAGGATGACTGGCCCGAGAGACACAAGAGAGAGCGGAAGTGGATGACATATGAACAAGCCGCGGATGCTCTGGCAGCGCGGCCGGAGCTTCTTGAGGCCTTGACCAGGTGCACCATGAAGAAGTCATGATACGCGTCGGGCGCACCGGCACCTCGGCCTTTCGTCCCCTGCCCTCTATTACGAGAGCGAAAGCGAGCGTTCTTCTCGCACGCAGTACCACGAGGTCCCCCCGGCTGCCACCCGAGAACGTGCCCATACGTTGCTGCTGCACTTACTTCACGGATCACCGGCCCCCCGGCGGATGCTGAGGAGGCTGATTTCCATTGCTCTACGAAAACTCTTTCTTATTAACCCTGCGTGGAAAGGAAACAAACATTTGCATAATGATACGGGCGTTGTTGGCTGGCTTGCTATAGATGACGAAAATTACAAAAAGGGGCGGCCCAGGGCTGGGCATGGCTTGGATGCATAGGAGGGTAAATTAAACATGCGAATTGGCGAGGCGGGAGGCATGAACGTGGCAGGTCGCCATGGCTGCTCTGACCAGAACGAATGCATCTCGGATCTCCTAGTCTTTTTTTCTTTTCTTTCTCGTGCTTTGGGGGGGAGACAAACGGTCCACGATCAAATAGATAGACACGGCACACAGTAGGCCGCAGAGAGAAGATCGTGGGAGAAACAACACGAAGCTACACTAGAAGTAAGCATGCTGTGCCCTTTGAGTTCGTGTGACCCGAGACCTTACCTCTTGTCACCCACGCGATGCAGAAGTTTGCGCCAAAGAGCTAAATACCGAGCCAGGCTGTGTGACTGGCTCCGACTGCGACTCCGACTACGACTGCCCCGCATGCATCTGAGATCATCAGAATTTTTGACAGCAGGGATTGACTCATGCCCCGCCTTTCACGTGTCTCCGGCTCTGGCTTGTCAGTTAGTGATCCGTGCTCAGGGACCCAGCCATGGGTGATCCAGTCCTTCTCTTCTTCTCTTTTTTTTTTTCTTTTTCTTTCGGATGACGCAAAAACAGCATTTCCGAGGCTGCACCTGGCGGGGGCTGCCAGGCTGGCCGTGCAAGGGTTGGACAGTACGATGATGGCTTGAGCGAACATACCTACCTGTGGCCCAGCGTACCTTGACCTACCAACGAAGCGAGCCAACCCAGGTAAAGTGACAGACGGCAACAACTCGACCCCGACGATGCTCAATCGCGGCACTTTATAAGCTACTCGCCGCGCTACATCACATCTTGCTTGCCTCACTCCCTTTTGCAAGAAACCGATGGACTGGGACAGGCCCGAATTCAATAACTCTCAAATACCAATGTCAACAAGATAACATGGAAAACCTCACCATCTCCGATGCCCCTCCCCAGGGGGGCCAACCCGTTCTCGGCGGACGCGCGCCGCCGCCTCAGCAGACCCCTCAGCTGCCGCCCCAGATGTTCACCACTGCGGCGCAGCTACTGGACATGACCGACAGTATGGGAAAACCACAGCATGCTTGGCCGCATTGTTGCGCGGGGCCACTCGCGACAGAACGCTAACCTCGCCGGTAGAGAAGCTCATGGTTGCGCTCCGTGACGGGCGCAAACTGATAGGTGTCCTCCGCAGCTGGGACCAGTTTGGTATGTACCTCATACCCTATGCCGCCAGCCAGCCATGTGCATGGAGCGGTCTTCTTCCGTAAGGGGTGGGGTGGCTAACCAGGCACTCCTAGCAAACCTCGTCCTCCAAGACACCGTCGAGCGCATCTACGCCCACCCGGACCCGGAAGCCAATCCCCCGCGTGAGGGCGGGCTCTTTGCCGACATCAAGCGTGGCATCTTCCTCGTCCGCGGCGAAAACGTTCTCCTTCTGGGCGAGATCGACCTCGACAAGGACGACGACCCGCCGCCAGGCTACGAGCCGGCCGATCTCAAGCTTGTGCAGGGCCTGGCGGCCGAGAGAAAGGGGAAAGACAAGGCGCGCGACAAGGGGCGGATCAAGAAGCTGAGCACGCTAGGCTTCGAGGGCGAGAACATGGGCGAGATCCTTCTCTGAATTCCGCTCTCTCTGCCCTTCGTGTTCTACAGCACGCACCCCAAACACATACGCACACGTCTCTGATGATGGCTTCTCACACGGATACCTGGCCACTGCGCAAACCACCGCCTGAGGAGCTTCTGCGTCCCCCCCCTTTTATATTATCATATGGCAAAACGAACGAACGTCCAATAAGCGTGGGCTTTTTGAACTGAGCGACAATCGGACTGGGTTTCTCAAGCGGAGAGATGGACGGACAATGGGCTAAAGTGATGAGAACGCTTCGACTCTCTCTTTCGTTGTTCGACGCCGCGGTGGAAAGGGCTGGTTGGATGGTTGAGCAGAATATTGTGAAATGCTCGTCACCCATGGGTCCGTTCTTGACGACGGACACCAGCAGAAGAGAAATTTAAATGTTTGACAACAGGTCACCGATTGAGTTTTGGGCGTCCAACGTTTGTGCGGTACTGGAATTTGCTGGTCATATGCGAGTTTGGTGCAACTGACAATCCTGCCGGGATTCGTGAGAGAGCCCCAAGTGCCATAACATCAGTGCTGGATAGGTACCCGTTGGGGTTTGACACGGTCTCCCGATATCAGCTGGATTGGTTCAGTTGTCAATTATCTGACTGCGGATTATGACCCGGTGATGAAGCCCTACACCAAAAGGTCCCATCTCTCGGGGGACGTGCTGTCCCTCGTCCCGGTCTCACCCTCCAGCCACCAGGGTCACCGCCATCAGCAAGCTGTCCGAGGATCCCCGGCATTGACCGGGTGGTCCTATGCCCTCGGGATGTTGGTCCACGTGCCCTGGGTGTCAGTTCGACCCTCTGCGGAAAGCAACAGAGACAAGGGAAAGGGGTTTCCATATCGAATTTAGAGACTAACCGTTATCCACGAGACCGGACTTTGTAGCCAACTTGGCAATTATCTGCCAGAACCGGGGGGGGGGCAAGGTTACATTCGTTTCGACTTGCCTTGAGGAGGATGGTCTGATGCTGAGTGCACTGCTACGGGATACTGCGACATCGGTGATCATGATAGGCCCTGGTCTGAATGGGCGTGTCTGATGCACATCTGGCAGATTGACGACGCCGGCCAAAGATGCACCAAACTCGTTATTCACCGTGCATGAAAGGTTAAGACGGACAGCTCGATCACGGATGACTGGTACTTTTCATTCACACACTGTACTTGAGACTACATTAACTTTCAGTGTGAACTTGGGGTCGTCTACACGAGACCACCAGCGGTTGGCCATACAAGAATGCCAACTTCCTAGGCTTTTGAAGTGGAGGAACGATGAGGGGAAGGGATGAACTGAATGCGGGGATCATTACAGGTTTATAGTTTGTCTCCACTTTGAAGCTGAGGATAGAACCCCCCGGCAGACAAAGTCCATCAATCAAGGATTGGCTTTTTATGGCGTAGAGGAGAAGTCAGCAAGGAAAAGGTTTCGGTGAGCGAGTAAATCGTATACAGGTGCCTGCCTAGGTACTGCTTTAGTTGCAAGGCTCTCTCAGGCCCTTGGGCGGATCCCAGCTCCGACCTTCGTGGTGCCAGCCGTTACTTTTCTCGTTGGGGATGATGGCGCTTCCGTCGCTCTGGGTCCTGGTCTCCGGGAACCGACTGTCCGTCATTGCGGGACACGGAGGAGTAACATGCATCTTGGGCTACTCCAGCCACACTTGCATGGGACCGTCTGTGGCTCATTGTCCCCACAAGCCCGGCCTCTGCAGCCCAGCAACCGTCCTGATTGGGCAAGCGCATAAACATCACTCATCCCAGCTGTGTAGGGGGGACCCTTTCACAAGCACCTTGCCTCATGTCACCCAAAACAACCAACAGCGCGTGCGCATCGTAGATCCTTCAACTTCTCAAGCCGGCATTATTCTTCCACGACGAATCTTCCCAGGTCGTGCGAACCGGTCATTGAAATTCGACAACATTCTCCGACGTCATCAGGTCATCTGGTACGTCCCTTAATAACAACGCCATCTCTCAGCGCCTCTAGGTTTCAATTATCCCATTACCCCGCTAACCACTGGAATGGGCAGCCATCGACGACGGTGTTCAACAACGAACCTCTTTCAGTGTGCGATTCGATAAAACCCACCGCCCAGCATGGATAGAGTTGCGGGTCTTACAGTGTCAGTACTACTCTTGGCGTTCCCCCATGAGATCTCTTTTGCAGTATCTCAGCGTGAGAACCGGCCTGCTGGCGGGAATACCACCGCTACAGCCTCCCGTCGCACCGCCAGCAGTGCCGGATCCTCCTCGCAGTCACGGAGGCGGTCTTATCGGTCGGAACTTGACCGTCATCAACCGCTCCGAGCCTCAGATTCCCCAACCGGTGTTGATAGCTGCTGACGACGACTGCGCTGAGGACAGTAACCAGAAGGCGGCTAGGAACCAGTTCCGGGCGCGCACCGTCAAGGGAGCGAACAACGGTGTCGCGCTGCGGCAATACGCCGAGGCGACACTCGGAGGAGGCAGCCTGCGCAAAGTCGTGAAGCTGCCTGAGGGGGAAGACGAGAACGAGTGGATGGCAGTCAATAGTAAGCCTTCTCACGGGGAAGGGCGGATCGAACAAAGGGAAACTGCGACTAACAGGTTTGGTCTGTAGTGGTCGACTTTTACAACCAGATCAACCTCCTCTACGGCGCTATTACCGAGTTCTGCTCGCCTCAGTCTTGCCCGGAGATGAAGGCGACTGACGAGTTCGAGTACCTGTGGCAGGACAATGAGAACTACAAGAGACCCACCAAGATGGCAGCTCCGGACTACATCGAGCACCTGATGGCCTGGGTGCAGAGACACATTGACGACGAGCAGATCCTGCCGAGCAGGATTGGTTCGTAGAGACTTCCCTGGGATATAGAGGGAACTGCTAACCACGGACACAGGCGTACCCTTCCCCAAGTCGTTTCCGTCGACTGTGCGACAAATCTTCAAGCGCATGTATCGAGTCTACGCCCACGTTTACTGCCACCACTATGCCGTCATCAGAGAACTCGGCCTGGAGCCCCACCTCAACACGAGCTTCAAGCAGTACGTGCTCTTCGTTGACGAGCACAAGCTCGCAAGTGGGAAGGACTTTTATGGCCCGCTGAACGATCTTGCCGAGAAGATGATTGAAAGCGATTGAGCCAGACCAAGACCGGCTCTCGAGATGTACTTGTATGCATTGTCTGGGCGTTTGGGAAACAGGGATGGCACGCCAATCGGCGAGGGAGTCAGAAAGGTCTGATGACTGGCGCGTTGACTTTGACACCGCTGAGCCTGGGGACACAGGCAGGGACGCGGTTGCTGTGATATTGCTGTAGATTACACATAGGGTTATGGGAAACACGGCTTTGGGTTGAAATGAAACATTGACAATGGTCGTTTTGCAGTGTAAACCAGGTGCACGCGTATACAATTCCATGCCAACGACGGCATGCAAGACGTCAAACGAGGTGGGGACTGCAGCTGTGGACCAGTACTGCTGCTATGCTGCGAGCAAGAACGACGAACGACCAGCTCCGATTTCCACCGATCCGAACCCTTGGCCCGCTTACCTAAGTTAGTGCCTTTACAGCCACTCAGAATACAGAACCTGATATCCAAGGCATCAATATACCAAATTGCCGAAGTTCAAACCTCAACCTCGAAAACTGAACGCAAGCTACCATCTCCGGCCCTCTTCGAATCCAGCCATTCCTCCCTCCGCTCGTCTCTCATCAATTGAACACCACCGCCACCCAAACCCTCTACGATATGTTCTCGAGACAGGCTGTTCGTTCCCTCCGCGCGGCGGCTCCCGCGTCGCGCCTCGTCGCCTCCGCCCGCGTCCCGGCCGTCCGTACCTACGCCGCCGCTGCTTCCTCGGCCGCTTCCGACAACGTCAAGCCCCCCGTCGCCGTTTTTGGCCTTGACGGCACCTATGCCACCGCTCTGGTACGCCCCTGTCCATTTGCGAGAGTTTTCGGGGGTTCAATTGGATCCAATTGAGGAGGAACCAGGAGGAACTGCGGGATATCAGTCAAGAGGGAGAAGGGCAATTGGGGAAAGGAAACAATACGAGAAAAGACAAAAAATATGAACCGAAAAGGCTAACTGCGTCAATTTACAACAGTACACCGCGGCGACCAAATCCTCCTCGCTCGACCCCACGGCCAAGGCTCTCTCGACCCTCGAGGCCATCTTCGCCAAGGACCCCAAGCTGGTCACCGTCCTGGCCGCGCCCACTCTGACCCCCGAGGACAAGGACGCCATCGTCGCCGAGCTCACCAAGCAGGCCGGCGCCACTTCCCAGGAGACTGTCAAGAACTTCCTTGCCGCTCTCGCCGAGAACAACCGCCTCGGTCTCCTCCCCGGTATCACGCAGAAGTTCGCCGAGATCATGAGCGCCGCCCGCGGCGAGGTCGAGCTCGTCGTCACCAGCGCCACGGTACGTTTTTGAGATCCGAAGATGGGGCCCGTTCCACTCGATGTGCCTTTATGACCGTTTTCTCTCCACTGATCGGATACGGCACGAGAGATTGCCTCGTCTACCAGTCAGCCTTTATTTCGTCTTAGAAAGGGCGCGATATGACGAGGCAGTAGTTTCGGAGAGGGACATGTGGCGGGAGTAACGAACTTCGGAATACAGTGACTGACAACCGCCCCAGCAACTCGACAACAAGACCCTTAACCGCCTCGAGAGTGCCATCTCCAAGTCCGCCTACGCCGGCGCTGGCAAGAAGCTCAAGGTCACCAACCAGGTACGAAGATCTGCCGCCTTCCATCAGTATCCTCTATTTCTTCTTCTTCTTCTTCTCCGAGGCCAGGCCCTTGGTCCCGGAGCGAAGATCTACCCCTCTTTTCTGAACACGCCTGAACTAACACTGCATCCCAGGTCAACCCCGACATCATTGGAGGTCTCATCGTCGAGATCGGCGACCGGACCATCGACCTCAGCGTCTCCGCCAAGATCGCCAAGCTCAACAAGCTCCTTACCGACACTTTGTAAAACAACCTATTCTGCCGACACAAACTAGCCATGAAAGAAACCGACTAGCTGAATTCTAATCACCCCACCAAACCTCCCCTTTTTCTATTTGTGTGTGTGTGTGTGTGTGTGTGTGTGTGTGTGTGTGTGTGTGTGTGTGTGTGTGTGTTTGTGTCTCTTGTAAACTTGACCAGAGGAAGGGAGGGGTTGCGGAGAGTGGGATGTGTGCTGCTACAGGGCCTCAACGTTGAGAGAAAGGGCCATCTATCGCGGTTCTCGTCACGAGAAACCCCTTCCCGGCGGAGGCCGCGAAGCTTGCATGATGAGGTTTCAGCCCCTCCCTGACCGAGAGAGGTGGGGAGCGAGATGAGCCTGTTCGTCTTGTCTTCGGAGATGCGAACGAGGACGAGCTGTGCATAGTCTACAATAGAAGCATTCACGGAACTCTGAACACAAACATCCCGCCTTTAGTCCAAGCCCATGCCTCTCCGCCCGTGTCTTTGCTGGTGCGTTCTGGGCAAGTACCGCGGGGGGCCGGGGGCGCAGTATGCCGAGCGGCCAGGCCTGAAGGTGGGGGCTTCTTCTCTCATATCTTATATTATTTGACTCAGTACGTCGCATGAGAGCAAGGCGCGGCTCTACCGCGCGAGGATATGACACCGCGCGAACCTCCTTAGCTACCCAGACAAGATCTCGTCACACCGTCCAGAGAACGCTCAGAAAGAAGAAAGAAAGAAAGAAAAAAACGAAAAAAGACGAAAAAGGCTTTCTGGATAGGGCGAGAGGGGGGGGGGGGGGGGTTGGATCTCATAGACGTAGGCTTACGCTTTAAACCGAATACCGACACCTGGAGAGGGAAAAAAAAAAAACCACTTGCTGCATTGCGACCTGTCACTCATCACCGAGAGAGAGAGAGAGAGAGTACTTAAGACGGCCAACCGAACCCCTGGACGGGCTCGTCAGTAACCCGACTTTTATTCGCTCGTTGGACGTGTAGCGGCTTATGCATGACTTCCGTCGCCGACGTCATGTCAACGAATAACCACCATATCTCGGAAACACCACCAGGCTCTTTACTCGAGGGTCCCTCACGTTCAAGCATATGCCAATGAATGTACTTGTCCGGGCATAACCGCCTTGCATTGTGGCGAGGGCATAAGCTTACAGGGAGACTATCCAGCTTCCGTGCCATCCCTTGGCAACTAACAGAAGCACGATGAACACGGCAGCATCATATCATGGAAGCCCCATCCATTCTAAGTTTACCTAAGTGTGGATAAATCTACCTCTGCAGTCTAATAGTCCAGTACATGGCTCTATGTGCACTGGTCGCAGTTTTCGTCGTCATTCGTACGCAAGGAAACCCATAAAGGCTCTACTGTTCACTGCCTGCCTGGTGACCGTCTGCCTTCTTTGGAATCTAGGCGCCAGCCTCATACTCGTTGTCTTTTCCACTCACATGCTCCTTGTCTTCCTTGAAACGCTCGAGCTGGTCCGAGATGTATCGGTGCATATGTTGGTCTGCCTCCGACTGCTCCCTCATCTTCTGGCGGAGCTTCTCAGGATCGTCCAGCGTGGTTGAGTTGCCCAGCGAGTCATCGCCGTTGGTCTCATCAAAATCGCTCCTCGCGCCAATGGACCTTGCTGTGGACGACCTCCGCATTCGAGGCTTGCCACCGGGGCCCGGCGTCATGGAGCCGCGACGGTCAGTGCCGCGAGCGAATATGTCATCAAAGTAGTGCGACATTCCAGCCGAGGGAGTTCGGGGAGTGTGAGGCAGACGGCAGTTGATACTGAAATGATGTTAGCATAATCCTAATGGCTGCGGCAGGTGATTTGTCTTACCCGGTGTCGTGGATCATCCGGGCCATCAGGCCAGTCCAACCACACTGGTGCGTGGCTCCAAGCCCGCGACCGCTGTCGCCATCGAAGAACTCATAGAACCAGAGGTAGTCCTTCCAGTAGGGGTCGAAGTCGAGCAGGTCGTTACCAGCGTTGATGCTGCGGCGGCCCTCGTCGTTGCGGGTCATCAGATGCTGCAGCCGGTGCTGTATCTCCTCGGAAACGTGACCCAGATGCATGTAATCACCGCTACCAGTGGGACACTCAACCTGGAACTCGTGTCCGTAAAACAGGAAAAACCTCTGGAGAGACTCGACCAGGAGGAAGTTGACGCACAACCAAATCGGGCCTCTCCAGTTGCTGTTGCCGCCAAAGAGGCCGCTGTCGGAGTCACCGGGGACGTAGCCGACGGAGAACGTCTGCCCGTTGACTTCCATCGAGAACGGATGCTCTTTGTGGTACTTTGACAATGATCGGATACCATGCTCACTGAAGAACTCCTTCTCGTCGAGCATACGGTAGAGGATCTTCTCGAGCCTGTCTTTGCTGACGATGGACAACAGGATTCTGTTGCCCTTACCGCGCTTGGCGATGCTGGCCATGTTTCTCTCGGCCAGGTCACAGCGGTTCTCAATGAACCAGTCCACCCGCTTCTTGAACGAAGGCAGTTTGTTAATCAGCTCAGGCTCAAGGGTCAAGGTCGCGTAGAGTGGTATCAGGCCGACGAGGGACCGGACCGGAAGCTGCTGGATCCAGGGACCTCCCCACGAGATGGCGTCGTAGTAGAAGCCATCCTCGTCGTTCCACAGAGACTTCTCATCCTTCTGGCCGGTCCTGAAAGTCATGGCGTCGCTGATGAAGATGAAGTGCTCGAAGAACTTGGACGCGATATCCTCGTACGTCCGTCGGTGCTTCGCCAGCTCAAGCGCAATGTTGAGCATGCTGAGGCAGTAGAAGGCCATCCAGCCAGTGCTGTCAGCCTGCTCCAGAGAGCCGCCGGTAGGGAGAGGCTCGGAGCGGTTGAAGAGTCCAATATTGTCAAGACCGAGGAAGCCTCCCTCGAAGACGTTCTTGCCCTCGGCGTCTTTGCGGTTGACCCACCAGGTGAAGTTCAACAACAGCTTCTGGAACACCCTCTCGAGGAAATCCAGATCCTGGCGTCCGTAAAGCTTGCGCTCAATCTTGAACACACGAAACGTGGCCCAAGCATGGACAGGGGGGTTCACGTCGCCAAAGTTCCATTCATATCTGAACCAAGTTAGCGCCCATCTCGACCTCACCCAGTTTTGAATCAACCTACGCCGGTAATTGACCGTTGGGGTGGCAGTACCACTCTCTTGTGAAAAGGTCGAGCTGCTTCTTCGCGAAGTCCGGGTCCATCATGGCCAATGTGATGCAGTGAAACGCACTATCCCAGGCGGCGAAGAAGGGGTACTCCCAGGAGTCGGGCATCGACAGGATGTCGTCGCAGTGCATATGCTTCCACTGAGAATTACGAATATCCTTGCGACTCGGGGGTGGAGGGGGCTGCGTCGGGTCACCATTCGCCCACTGGTCCCAAATAAAGAGGTAGTGCTGCTTCGTCCACATCATGCCGGAGAAGGCCTGGCGCTGGATGTTGCGGAGGTCGTCGGCCATGGGGAGAGGGCTGAGACGGTAGTAGAAGTCGTCGGCCTCGGCGATTCTGAGATCAATCAGGTCATCGAAGTCGCCTTCGTCGAAGTAGGTCTGGTTCTTCTTGGAAAAGCGGAAACGGACAACAGCACACTCGCCAGGGGGAACACCGCCGTCCTCGTTGAAGCTGAACCAGGCGGCGCACTTGGTGCCCTTCTCCTCGGGGTTGATGGCCCCCTTTTCGCCCTCGCAGATGTACCGGTGGAAGGCATCCTTGACGTAGGGGGTCTTGTTCTTCTGTCCATACAACAGCTCGTAGTTGGTGTCGTTGTCAGTGAACATCATCTTGGGCAGAACGTCCTCCCCGCTAGTGCCGACGCCGGGCGAGGGCGACATCAAGAAGTAGCGTTCTCCCAGCGAGTGGTGCTTAGACTTGGCCAGCCCCTCGGAAAGGTGCTCGATGGACGGCTTCTTGTCTTCGGGCTCGCGGCCCCAGGCCCACGTGTTGCGAAACCACATGTGCGGCACGATATGGAGCGGTGCCGGGTCAGGGCCTCTGTTCCACGCGGTGACACGGAAGAGAATCTCTTCGGGGTCGTCCGTCTCCTTTGCTGTCTCAATGAAGATGTCCCAGTACCGGTCTTCTTCAAAGATGCCTGTGTCGACAATCTGGTACTCCTTGTCCTCCTTGCCTCTCCTCGCGTTCTCGTCCAGGAGGTCCTTATAGGGGAACTTCTTCTGCGGGTATTTGTACAGGAACTTCATGTAAGAGTGCTGAGGGCAATCGGTCAGTACGCGCAATGCGAGGACGGCCATTGAGAGCTTACCGTCTAGAGTGTCTGTTAGCAATCGGGTTGCGGATATGAGGGCGGCTTGGCGCTGCTTACAGGTGTGTTGTCGACGTGGAAATGGGCTTCCTTGATACTCTCGCCATGGTTGCCCTGCGGGTTCGAGAGACCAAACAGTCTCTCCTTGAGGAAATCACTCGTCACATTGTCAGCAGGTGAAGCTACAGCAAGACTTGCAAGGCGGCCCCGGCTCACTCTTGCTCGTTCCAGAAAGCAAAGCCCAGGTTCTGGAGGCCGTGGGTGTCGGAAACGCCCGCAATTCCATCCTCACCCCATCTGTAGGCTCGGGATCGCGCGTCGTCGTGGGTAAAGTCTGGGGCTTCCTGTCAGCATTGGGGCCCATCGTGGGGAATGGCGGGGCATCCTCACGACTCCACGCGTCCCCGTCGGGGCTGTAGTCCTCTCGCACTGCGACACAGCACTGATTAGATGACGTTTGTTACAATTGGGTCTGGTTGCAACCGCAACAGCAGCAGCAGAGCTGCAACTCACCGGTGGCCCATTGGCGCTCAGCGACGTAGGGACCCCATTTCTTCCAGTACTTCTCGCGCTTCCTGTCCTGTCTGAGGCGCTTCTCCTCTTCAGTAAGGTACTCGTGTCCGTCAAAGACAACCATGGTGGTGGGTGATGACGGTCGCGTCGAATTGGCACGCCACGGAGAGCACAGGCGAGGTGGCAGGCAGCAAGTCCGTCACGACAAGTGCAGGCAAGTGAGGAAGGGTTATGAGGGAATTGCAAAGGAGGGAGGAAACGAGAAGAAGGTTTGTGGGTTTTTTGTGGCGAGAGGTGAGGGTGAAAGGTTCTGCTCTGAGACGAAGTGCGGGATCGGGACAGAGGTGACCTTTAGTAAGTGCCAGACACCCCAGCAATGGCACTAAAAACAGCTCGGCCGGCAGTGCACGTCACGTATCACGATGGCTTCAGCGGCAGGCGGTCAGCTTCGCGGTTGGGTCAACGAGCTAGCAGAGCAGAAATGGGATGTAGACACTGCAGTAGTAGGATTTGAAGAGAGAAAGAGGGGAGTTGGAAGGTAGAGCGAGCAATGGGAGCGTGAAGAAGAGAAAGAGGAAGGAGAAAATAAAAGTTAAAACAAAAAGTGAAGCATACTACAGCTAATGTGCCTCACTCACTGTAGGTACCTGGGTATGATGAGCAAAGAACTCTCCGGGCTGGGACATACATTGTACCTAGGTAGGTGTGGACGGGCCCACGGCGGGAGCTGTGGCCGCCAGGAGATACCTAGATCGCGTCGATAGTATGTACATGGTTAGTACTGTACCTGGCCAACAGCAAGCATCAGCAGCAGCCAACCAATTCGGACGATAACAGAGCTAGACCTATCTCGAGTGGGGGAAGTTGTCAGATAGGCTCGAAGTTGTTGGCGAAGGTGCACTATGTGCCGCCGCAGGCAAGGTTGAGGGGGCGACCGCGGGGCATTCGAGCTATGCCATTTCGTTTGCCCATGTGGAATGCCTACCTACCTTCCCTACCAACCTTCCCTAGCAGCCTAGGTACCAGATAAGGTAGGTAGGTAGGTATGTACACTACCTCTAGCATTTAGCTCGACTCCAGTCCCCCCCTCTTCCTCCACCTCCACTCCTCGAACCAGCAGCAGCAGCAGCAACCGAGCAAGCAATCAGACTGCCATGGCAGCTCCTGACATTGCCCGAGCCCCATGTATTGCACGGACACTACTCCGCACTCCGCCGGACGAATGGTGGGTAGGTACGATATAGGTGGGTTTGTAAGTAGGTACGTTAGGTAGGTACTCCGCAGGATGCCATCACCTCACATCTCTATGTGATCCCGCCCACTGTCCCCGTCGGTTCCAACATTGCAGCTGCCTTTCTCCCCTTGCTGCCCCTCTCCTTGAAACGCTAAAATCAGAGCTTTCAGAAGCATGACGTCAACCGGCTCTAGCGTACCTCAATCCAACTTAGCGAGGCACTTCTTCGCCGGCCACCTAGCAATGCATTGAGCCGTCGCTGGCATCGGCCGTGGCCTGGACCGAATCGACCGACCAGGGGAAGTGAAGTGCCCATGGATCGCCGATGAAGTGCTTCGTTTCTTTTGCTCTTGGTTTGCTATTCCTGCTTTTTTTTTTTTTTTTTTTTTTTTTTTTTGCCCTTCCCCTGCCCCCCACTAGCTATTTTTTCTTTCTCAACATGGCTGCCGTTGTAAGGGGCAAGAAAAACGTGGTGCCGAACGGGATCATCAAGCCGACTCTCCTCAGTACGGCTAAAGAGCTTCTTCGGCCTAATCTTGAGACGGTTGTGCAAGGAATGGACGGGCATGAGCAGGAGAGAAAGCCCGGCAGTTGGCCCAAAAAAATAAAAATAAAAACGACTCCAGAATCTCGTGAGGAATGACGAGGCCGTCATGGCCTCGGTATCAATTGCTGAACAGGATATCTATATCGCCGAAATCGAGCCAAATCGCCTCCAATGTTGAACTAGTTCCACAATGCTGCATGAATCCATCTTTGTTTATACACTCCTGCATGCACCCACATGTGTCGCGCGAGCCGCGCCTTGTGTGGACGCCGACCAAGCTGTCCCGGAACGTTACGCCATTGGCGTGTCTAGGTATGCGGTCCGCTGCTATGCACCCGTTAGAGCCGCCCCTCCCCTCCCACCGACATGCTCCGCTGGCTTGCCAACTTCTACTTGGCGAACCAGGGGAACTTCTTCTTGCTGATGTCGGTCCCGCCCCCCGCAGTGCTCTCGAGCTGGACACTGCGTTGGTAGATCTCCTGTGACGTTCTCGTTAGCGTTATCCTAACATGACCCGCAGCGCCCATTTCGCTTACCTCTTCATCCGTCGGCATTCTGCAGTCCAAAATCAGCTCTCGCGCCGCCTCGTGCTTCGAGAGGTTCGGGTACGCTGTTCCTTGGCTCTTCATGAGAGGCAGCAGAACTTCGCCGAGCACTTCAAACTTCTTCCAGTTGATCCTGTCGCCGTCGGGCCCTACGAATGTCTTGCTCCCCTCCTCGGCCGATACCAGGTCTCTCCGGTGTAGTGGGATATACGGTATCCGGGGCAACGGCGAGTTCTCCCATGCCAGTCGGTATGCGAAGTGGCTCTTCTGTGTGCCCATGAGAATGCCCAGCTTGGCAAACGACTTTTGGGACTCGGGTGGCACCAATGTCCATGTCTGAGACAGCCGGTGCACCGCGGTGCCGTTGATGCCTGCGAGGATTGCCGCGAGCCCGTTGTAGTTGTTGAGCCGCCGCAGCTTTTGCGCAATGTTCATGAATTTTTCCAGCATCTGGGCCCGGTGCTTGGCCTTGTCCCGCAACAGGATGAGGTTGGCAACCCACTTGGCCACGTGATTGAAGTGGTTAATCATCCGATTGACGTTCTTGAGGCTCTTGCATTTGGACCGTTGATCCAACGACAGGCTCACGTGCCGCACAAAGTCTCTGATGCGGATAGACGAGAACATGACCCAGTCGATGCGCGTCATCTCGTCGGCGATGTCGTCGTCCGAAATGTCCATGAAGATGTGGTAACGGAACTTGTTCATGGGCAGCACATCGGTGGGCTCCATGTTCGCCGCTTCTCTTTCGTAGTCGTCGTATGAGTGGAACGAGACGTGTGTCCCGACGCTGCTGGTCCTGTCGACGGGAGGGAAGTCGGAGCTGCCCGACGGTCGTTCGTCGCCCGGCTTGTCGTCGTCAAGATTGAGGTTGATCATCCCGTTGGACACGTCGGGCGTGGATAGCGTTTTGTCTCTGGATAGGACCTTGCTGCCCTCTTCGTCCGCCAGCTCATCCGACCTGGCCCAGCCGGTATCGTCGTCCTCCACCACGCTGTGCTCGAGGTGTCGGCGGATTTGCTGGGCCGCGATCGAGAAGATGGGCTCGGTGGAAAGGTGCCTGATGAACTCTTCCAGGTCCCGCCGTGTCCCCGGCCGTGCAAAGTCCCCGGGATATAAGGAAACCCACTTGGCGACGACCTCTATGATCCTGAGCTGTGTCGCCGTCTTGGATAGATGATGCGCCGACTTGTCATCTCTGACGCGGTCAAGTCGCATGAGAATGGCCGAGAATAGCTCGCCGGGCGCGGCGAACTTGCGGTAGAGACAGAGGAAAACGTCCGAGAAATTATTGTCGGCCTTGGTCATGCGCGGAGCAATTAGCCGGTCGACGAGCTCGTCGAATGCCACGCCGGCAGACTTGACCGGCTTCTCGAGAAAGCTTTCATCGCTCCGTTGCAGGATGGGAATTTCGTCCGAGTAGCGAAACGAGTCGGCATCCGACTCCTCCATGTCCAAGAATGAGTCGGTTGGTCCGCGGTCGAGGCGAATGCCGGGTGTCCGTAGCTGGCTCGACACGGTTTGCTGAGACTCTTCTTCAATGGTTTCCGATGCTCCGAAGGAGCCCGAGCTTGATGGCGCACCACCAAAGTCGGCTGCAGGTAATGGGCCGCGCAGGTGGTCGGGGATGGGAGGGGGGACGCCTCGAAGAAGCGACAAATCAGAGCTCGCTCGGTTATGTTTACTGTGCTGACTTAGCGGCCGGCCGTTAGAGCCGTCGTGGGCCTCGAGGTTGGCTGCCGAGGCTGCACGGCGGCGGGACATGCCAGATTCCGATTGTGCTTCTGGCCGTGCAATCAGTCAGTATCACATCGGACGGTGCGGTGCGATGCGATGCATCGGGATTCGGGACTCAATTACCCTTGCGATTAGCGATGGCGGCTTTCAGCGTCGTGTTTAGGCAAGCCCTGGCCCGTTCTGGGCTGCTCGTCGAGAGGTTGAACACCCCGACGCACGACTTGAAGTATTCGTGGTTTGCAACGCGTTGCGAATCGACTTGCCGTTCACTCTCGGGATGGTCGCACTTGTTGGCGACGAGGACTGCAGGAAGGCCAGACTTGGTCAACGCAGCTAGCGCAAAGTTAGCGTGGTGTGATGCGATGCGACGCGTCGAAGCGGATCGTGCCAGGGCTCACCAATCGTCTGGGGCAGCTCCTTCATGCTCTCCTTATTCGTGACATCGAAGAGAATGAGGGCGCCATCGACGCGCGGGACGATGTGGCCGTTAATCTGCTTCGGCCACTGAATGGGCTGCAACGGGTTCAGCTCGAAATACTCGAGGTCCAGCTCGATCAGGGTGACGCCGTAGGTGACATTGTCAACGACCATGCGCACGCTCGAGGCGTTTGTGATTGGAGGTCGCGATAGGCCTAGGACGCGCTGGACGAAGGATGACTTGCCAACGCCCGACGCGCCAATGACTGCGATGTTGAGGCTCTCCATGATGGCGGAGGTTGGTGGTTGCTATGATCGTCAGCCCCTTTTTTCCACACCCCGTCTAATCAGCTACCCCGCAGTCTGCGTCTGGTGGGGCAACGTTACCCAGTACAAGGAATGTCCTATTATCAACGACTCTCTTCTTGGGGGTGGCCAGCGCTGGTCGGGCGTGTCGTCATCGCGGAGCGGGAAGTCGGCAGAGTTGAGTTCTTCTTCGTCGCGTGTGTGGCCCACAGTTTCGTCCTTTTCAGCTGCGTCGTCGGCTTCGTCCGGGTCGTCGAGGGTGGCCGTGGCCCAGCGCGAGTCAAACGCAAGCGCTGCCTCAATGTTGTGGTCGTCAAAGCGCAGGAAAAAGGGATCGTCGACAATGGAGACAATCGAGTCACGATAGGAGGCGGGCTGTCCGGAAGGGCGCAAGGGCTCGATGGACGACTCTCGGTGGACGGCGTAATGGGGGGTGTGTCTCTTGGGGGCAGCCGGGGCAGATCGGTGGGCAGCGTCGCGGTCGGCTCTTCGGGAGGGTGAGGAGGAGGAGGAGAAGGATGAGGCCGCAGCGTCGGCGGCGGTGGATCTCTCGGCGTAGTAGTGTTTCGGGGGGATGTGGGAGCCTTCTGAACTCTTGTGAGCCTTGAGAGCTCCCATGCGATCGGACGCCATGGCCACGACCGGGGGCGGTAGAGGCTATTCGGGGGAGGCAGACATACAACCGTGCAAAGAAGGGATTTTGAAAAGGGCCAAAGCCAGACAAAGACAAGGACAGAGAGGGCAGCAGGCCGGCGGACGTTGAGTGAAAACCAGACTTTTGGGACGGTGGATGCACTGACTAAAGGTCGGGATTTCAGAGCCTCAAGGGAGGCATGGGAAACCCACCGGGGCCGTTCTTAGTGTGATCGGCCTCGTGCGTACCTTGCTCGTAAACCAGGTGAGGAACCACCTTCACGGACGACTGGGCAAGGAACGGTGTAGGGTACACCACGGACGGGTCTGGGGCTCGTCAGGTCAGGGACGAAGAGTATCCGCCCGGTACCGTGTGTGTGTGTGTGTGTGTGTGTCTTGAATAGCGCAAGCAAGGTACGAAGGGGATGGGACAGGACTGGATAGAGCTTCGCGTGGTGGTACGGCAGACCAGGGGTCGAAAAGGGGGCCTTCTTCTTCTTCTTTTTCTTCTTCCTCTTCCGCCCCTCTCTCGCTAAAAGCTCCACTGGTGGGCAGATATCGGGCTTCTGGGAAGTGACGGGATGGGAGCGGCGGTCGAAGATGCTGGCACAGCAAATGAGATCAGTCGCGGATCTAGGTCCAGGACTCCTGTCCCCCCTTCCCTCTAAGCTTCAGGAAGGACAATCACGATGGCGGGCATTAGCAGCGGCGCCAGTTGCAAGTGCAGGGCCGGATCTGGAGCGATGCTCTGGCATGTTTTATGGTGGATGGTGTGTGGTTTGCCCTTCCTCTTTCTCACTGACTAGGGGATCGACGGGTACAATGAAGGGCGACACCAACAACAATAGATGACGCCTTGGTGTTATACGACAGCGGACCCTCTTTCTTTCTACTCCTATGCCTGCCGGGGGGGGATGGGAAGGGGTTGTGTTGACAGGCTACTTACGTACCTTGGTAGGTATGTTGGGCTGCTGATTAATGAACCCTAGACTACGCTGGTCCGGACCGGACTTATCCAAGAACTGAGTAAAATGAGGCAAGGGAAAGGGGGGAGTATTGGAATGAGAGTATAAGGAGGAGGCAGAGGAGAAGAGAGGGAAAGCGCGCGTACCTACTTAGTGCAAAGGCAATAATACCACGTACTCCGTACACTGACCGAAACACGAACGGAAGAGCGGGAAAGGGCCGCGATGATCAGGGTCAGTGGGCCAGAGACAAGCCGACGTTTGCGCTGCAATACCTCCCTCGCCTAAGGATGTAGAGTGGAGAGAGAGTGTGTGTGTGTGGATACAGGACTTTGCAAGCACAAACAAATGTATCTGCAATTCCTTCCGGTGGAAAACGCAGCAAATGGCAACGCTGAATAGGGCCTCCAGGTTCGCAGCGACAGGGCAGATAATGGAACGAAAACAGAGCGAAAAGCGGAGAAATGGACAAGGTCCGAGTCCACCGTTTACACGCAAACAAACATACATTGCCTGTACACACTTAGGTGAACATGGCCTACCTACCTTGTAAGGGAAGAAGTACCTAAGCACCTACCAAGGTATGAACTGGTACTTTGACAGACTGGATAGAAAAGCAGAGTAGGTGCCAGGCCGTGGAGGTCTCGGCACAGTATCCGTACCGCAGCAGTGGGCGAGCCGGATTCTAGCCGTCCAATCAGGGAGTATGCTGCATTTCCAGGCTTTTGACGGACTCGGAGAAGAGAGTATATTTAGAGGCAAAAAGGGATAGAAAATTATACATATCCCTCTGGATACATTATGTGGAGAACTGATATCATGTACCTTGTATATCTAGCTGGACATAAGAGCCCGGCACTGTCCAGAACCACCCCCCACCCGGGTAGGTAGGTAGTAGGATAGGTAGGTATTGTGAGCATGTATCCCATCACTGGTCTGCCTGCCTTGATAGTTATTCCTATGTGCAGCGTGCTTCCTTTGCTCTTCGGGTCCGGGGATAACTCTGGTCTCTCATCGTGACTAATATGAACTGGCGGTCTGGAAACCTTAGTTAGATGACATGATTTCGATCATGGACATGCCCGTCTACATCCGGTATTGATAACCCTACAGTCCCTAGGCACCTACTGTCCCAGTACAGACATACACCCTCTCGTCGTCCGCCACCTCAGTCGACTCACCGACTCCGTACCCAGCTCTCTTCCTCTTCACCTCCCTAGCTTGGTATCGCCCACTCAGGTTTTCGAATACATATACTCCTGCCAACCACAATACGACTGCCGTGACCATAAATGCCGGCGATCTCTCAAGATGACGCAGGCCAGCTAGTGCCGTGCTTCTCCAGCATCCCGATCATCGACATCCGTATCAACACCTGGCCAGCGAGCCGACCACGTCCCCTAACATGTCCATCACTAGGTTCAAGCCGCTGCTTATGCCACCGTCAACTCATCGTCCTCTCGACACACGCAGCCGCCGGATTCTTCCAGGCTCAATGCCCTATAACACAATGGCATTAGCTAGCCTCTGCTTGCCTCAAAAACGAGACGAGTCATAAATTCCGAACCTGGACCCCCAAACCATTGAGCTTCGAAACCGTTGGGGATGGACGATCCTCCAGGATGGCCAACTTGAGCCTACGTCCTGAGACTTTCGCTGATTCGGGACGTGGAATACCACCCGGCAGGCAGCTTCGGTCGAAGCCGGCTCGTCGATCCGTTTTTCCAGTCCTGCTGCTTGGCCTCAAACTGTTAAGCCCAAGTACGGATAAATTTCTGTCAGACGCGGGAACGGGTCGTAGTCATGCTACCAAGATTGTCTGTCCGACAGTCTGTATCTCAAGCCTTGCGCCAATGCCGCACAAACGTTCAAAATCCACCATCTGCCCACGGTGGGCATCCCGCTACGCAAATGTCCTAATGATCGACAGAATACACGCACGGATCGCAGTGGAAACAACGTAGTGGATTACCTTCTGGCCGCGGTCTTGGCACATACCCACTCGAGAACCCCTGCCTTTGGCTGCGGTCGTGTGCCTGCATTAATGCTGTATGAATGAGCCATAAGCCCCATCGAATCATCTCTCAGTAGCTGCCGCGCCTCTGGACTTGCTCATCAGCTGGCGTGGAGAGCAGGCTGGCGATGGCTTCAACAGCGCTGTCAGCTGCCCCCTTGTCTGCAGTGGCATGTCATATGGACGATAAGCGGCGTGACTGTGGCATTGGTCAAATGTGTAGATTGAAGCCACCAACCAACCTCTTTCCAATACTTGCAGCTGTGGCGTCACAAAGCGTCTTGCCGCGCCAGCAACGTAGCGAGTAAACTGGCTTGCGGGGTTCGTGCACGGTAGACACCTAGCTACTATTATATTATGCATGTACTTAGCAGCTTAGGTAGTTAGCATAGGTACCTGTCCGATAGTACTGCTGCCTACCAGCAGAGCAGGCTAGAGCTGTTGCTGCATCGCCAAGCCGTACGATATGGCAACCCAGTTAGTCCTTCGTAAAGCGCAGTTCGAGGGTGCATAGAGGCCGATACGAGGACGAGACATGCAGCACATGCAGCAAACTGCAGTCAGAGATGGGGATACACGCAGCAGTCGCAGCAGCCTCTCTTCCCCCACCATCAAGACTGAGGCCTACAAAAACAAACCTCACAAAGCTACCTAGGGTGCTGGGCCAGCATCTTCGGGAAACCAATGTGCGGTGCGGTGTGCAAGTTGCTGCTCGGAGATGACGAGGGTCAAACGAAGGAGAAAAGCAAGGCCAATGTTTCCGATTCCTTGAAGGTTTCGACATGAGATCCCGCCGTTGATTAAGAACTGCACCTAGGAAGGGATCGCGCAGGGGTCGAACGCGCAACAGCGTTGAAGTGCGCGGCGGTCTGCCTCGGACGGAAAACAGCTGAGAAAGAATACTCTAGCGGAGCACCGGACGCTCACGCCGGCGGTCCAATGAATCGGACATGGCTCCCGTTTCCATACCCATCGACATCGTTTGTGGCATCAGAAGCAACGTCGGTTCGTCAGTCGTTCCCCATCACCGACTGCAAAGGGCCGCCGGCGTGGTTTGGTTGTCCCCCCCCTCGGTGTTTTTATTTCCCCCCTTGGTCGAGGGGCTTTTTGGCGCTTTGAGACACAGAGCGGTCCCAAAGCTAACTCCACCCCTGTCCAATGGCCGGGCGGCCGTGCGTTTGGTGTGTTTGGCTCTCGTCTATCGAGAGATCCAGCCATTCTCTGGGGTTGATGGACGGTGGGTGGAGGAGGCGTCGATGAGCGTGGCATTTCCACCCACCCAAAAAACACTCATATACATAGGTACATTGAACACACACAACCTCATCCCACAAGATCAGACTATCTGCGCCGGCCTCTGCAGTCGCGCGCCACACAGGAGTCACCCACACGTGAGAGGCTTACTAGGGAAGCTTGGTCTGAACCCCCTTCGCACTTTGGCAGACTGCCACTGCTTTTAGCCCTCCTTGAGCGTTTGACGTTTGGGTAGTACGACAGGACGCCCGCCAAGGTTGGCATCGTCCACTTACACCGCACCACATCTCCACTCAAATGTTGAGCGACTATGTCCGGGGAAGGTATGCTTGCTTTTACTTTCGCGCCCCAAGAGAGAGAGAGAGCGCCGCCCGGGTTGGAGATTGTCAGTGCTCCTGAACAGGTGCGCTCCTGTGTTCGAAGGCAGCGTGCTGGAGGAGGGCAGTCGCGGCGGACGCGCAGCCGGCTCCGCGAGGTACCGGTGAAGCGTGTCAGTAGCCCGGAGAGTGTGTCCCAAAGCGGGATCCGATCACTGGCGGCAAAGTCCCAGCGCAACTCGGACGATCAACGCGACGTCTCTTACCGGGTCGAGCCATACCCAGCGGGCTCATCCCAAGGGTGGGCTTAAGCCCATGAGGACAGGGCATGTTTCCTTATCCCCTCCTTTGCAGGTCACGATCTTGATCGCTTCCGGAATGGTCGGGGCCGTTTTGGTGGCCATCCCCTACCCCAGCACCACCCACTGGCTCTCCTCGTCACCCGGTGCGGTGGTCGTCTACATGCATGCTACGCCGTGCCTAGTTAAATCACAATGACTAGCACGGAACCAGGCTCACAGCATAAGCCAGCCACAAGTCGCGAAGAGTGGTGGACGAGAAGCGCTACCCACCCAAATGGACTGGACGCGAAGAAAGGGGAAATATGCTCGCTGGCTGGCGGTAGGTATGCAAGTTTGATAGCTTTTCTATGCGTCGCGTGCCGGCCAGCAGCACATCGAGTGGCAGGAGGGCGCCCCCTCCCCCATATCGCGCCCTCTTATTATTCCCCATCGTCAAATTACCCAGCAAACGGGACACGAGGCTTGAGGCTAGAAAGTGGCCAAACCTCTCAACCCCACTTGCTTTAACTTCAATTACACAAGGTCGCCATGTGGAAAGCGAGTGCTTCCAAACATGTCACTCACGCCAGGACAGGGAGGGTAGATGGTGTACAGAGTCCCAAAAAAAAAAAAAAAAAAAAAAAAAAAAAGAGGCCGGTTTACGTACCTAGGAACCCCGATCCCTACACGGTTCAATCTGCCATTCCGAACCAAGCCAGTTCCCCAAGCCAACAACCTGTCAGGAGGAAAACACAACCTATAGAATGCTCGACATTCAACACATCTGACCCCCTCCCCCTTGTGGTTTTTAATTCTTCATCTTCCCACACACACACCCTCCTCATTCTTCTCTCTGCCTTGCTCCCTATTGTCTTGCTTACGCCGCCGCCGCCGCTGCCGTACCCTCTGCTGTCTCTCATCTCTTTCCTCCGTCCTCCACTAGGCCGCCCTCGCATTCCTCGTGCTCTCTGCGCGTGTTGTCTCTCTTGCTCCTGCGTCGTCCGAGTTCGGCCAAAGTCATCCTATCCCCTTTGCTACCGAAACGTGCGCGCACGAGATTCTGTGCCGGTCTCGCCCGTGAGGTACATATTGTCTGGGACCCTGCGGGCTAGCGACGCACCTCCCTTCGTCCTGACCCCTTCTCACACACTCACCTCGCACCTCGGGCAACCGCCACCATTACTACCGCCGCCAACAATCCCAAGGCAGGCTGCAACGCTGGGCCGGCGCCTTGAACATTCAACAGGCGACAGCACTCACTGGACCCTGGTCCGGAAAGCTCTCGGCCCACACACATCAACTGCTACGGCTCCCGACGCTGGACTGGCCTCAACTGACTCGACTCGCTTGAACTTGGAGGGAGCGTGTTCTAGGGTGTATAACACATACATAGCCCGGTTCCAAGACCGCCATCGTCCAAGGCCACACGCCGGAATCCGCTTTTCTCTTCTCATCGGCACACTGCACTACGGGCCGTCGCTCACGTCAGGGAAAAGAACCCACCGCCGCCGTGTTGTCAGTGGAGGATCGACCACCCCTGTTTCTTCAGCAAACAACCTTGACTGCCATCCAAAATTGTCTCGGCGATCATACTCGCTTCGCCAGCTCGACATCAGGCTACCCTTCATCCGCAGACGCTTCTCTTGCTCGCGAAGCATTTTCTTACTCATTTTCTCGGTCTCGACCAGACCACTCAGTAACGCTTAAACACCGCCTCACGATTTACCGTGGAGTGTCTTTGATCGACATGTTATACAACATGGGCTACCCTCGTGATCAGTCCGCGGTGCCGGCCGCGCAACCCGTCAAGCCCATGGTCGCCGCCGCTCGGCCGAGGCAACGATGCTCACAGCCGATGCCCTTCGACCCAGAAGAGTTGTCCCAAAAGCTCGCCAAAGTCCTCGCTGACCAGAGGCTCCACGCTGAAAGGAGGCGACGAACCAGGGCAGAGGCCACCGTCGCCGCCGCGACCGGGTCGACGCCTGCGATATCCCAAGCGCAGGGCGCGCATCCACCCCACGCAAGCCTAGCTAGAGAATACCTCGAAAAGGGATCTCTCAAGCCCGGTCACTCTATCACGAGACCTGGTGCTGAACCGCCCGTTGTGAAGCCCAGCAGTGAGAAAGCAGAACCCAGTTCCGCTCGGCCCAAGCCCAAGGCTTCTGACGACGATCGCCGCAGCTCTCAGTCCGTTGGAAAGGGCTCGTCTCGGCGCAAAGGCGCTGATGTCGAAAGGAACTACTTCATCCCTCAATTCGCCGCGGCTCAGTTCACTCGCACCACAACAGCCGAGAACATGTCGGACAGCAAGGGCCTTGTTCGCAAGCTGTCGCGGACGGCCCTTCGACTCGCCCAAGGCCATCGTGAGAGACATCAGGAGCGCGCCAATGGCCAACGGGAACGAATGCCGGAAATCGCCGAGATGGGCAATGCCCGCGCGTATGGTGACCGCAACCACAGGCATACAATCGAAGGGACCCTGGGCGCTGGCCGGACCGCCGAAATGCGCCAGGCGAGAGGAACGAGGCCGGTGAGCACGGGCGACCTGCTCATGGCCTGGGACTCTGAGGACCCTTCGCCATGTCCCGACGACACGTCCGATATTCCAGCGGAACAAAACCCCTACGAGCACCGGGTAGACTGGACGCAGAGCGATGAGATCCAGCCCCAACCGAAGCCCAAGCCATCGCTGCGCAAGGCGGACTCCATCTGGGCGCTCAAGAACAAGCTGGGGGCTTTCACCAAGCATGTCCGGGATGAGAATCACTCCAGGGACAACAGTCCGCCGTTCGAAGTGTCGAGGTCGCCCAAGGGCGGGTTCTTCTCACGCTTCAAGGTCAACCACTGAGTTTGAGGACGACTTAGGGACAGAAGGCCCTTACCTGGCTTTCGACACCAAACGCTCGATCCCAGCTATTCATACACGACCGTTTCAAGCACACCCTTCCGAACGTGCATGACCAATCCTACCCAACACTCGGCAGACGCGTGCGGCCCTGGTCCCTCCGTATCCGACCACCCGTGATTCAACCCCGGTCCTCCGCCATGAGGCGCCTGATAAGCTCGGCATCCTTCTCAGCAGCCTGTTTCCGAACCACCTCCTCCGCCTCGGCGGCTGCGTTCGCTTGCGACATGAGGTGGTTGATGAGCTCAATATACTCCCGCACGCCCTCGCCGTCCTCACCGGCCGCGTTCCTCGCCTTGCGCAGTGCCGCCTTGCCGTTGCGGATGCCGACGTCGTGCGTCCACTGCTCCTTCTTGGGGTTCGCAGCCGCCATGGCCCGTGCCTTCATCATGTCATTGAGGCTGCTCCCCGTGGACTGCATCTCGGGCGGCGGCTCGGTGGCGGCGAGGATATCGAGCAGCCGCGCCTGCAGGCCCGGGTACCGCCGAAAGAGGTACCGGAGCTGATCCGAGTCGTCGAGGACGCTGAAGGGGCTTCTGGGGTCGCGGGGCGGCTTCGGCGCGTCGGACTGAAGGGGTTCGTGAGCGGGGTCGCCAGCGCTTGGTATTTTCGCGGCCGCTGAAGGCTCGGGGTCGGGAGGGTGGTTCTCGCGGTGGATCTTACTGCACGGGACGGAGCAGCTGTGTGCCACGAACGAAATATTAGTAAAGATAATGCATATAATGAGCGAAACGTATAATGAAAGCTGCATAATGGAAGAAGATGTTTCGAGATGTACGTACAACGGCAATGCGCAGCGCGTGCACTTGTACTTGCCCTCCTTTTCGGTGCACACGCCACACATCTTGCTCTTGGGCGTCGTCGTCGTCGTCGTCGTCGTCGTCGTAGCTTCTTGGGCCTCGTCGTGATTTGTCTCTCTGGTGGGCTGTGATGCGGTAGCAGCAGCTGTGCTCTCCCCCCCTACTGTTGTCGCCGGTGTTGTTGCAGAGGCACCATTCCCTTCCGCCCCCGTGTCCATCATAGAGCCGCTCGTCTCCTCCTGCTCCTCCCCGGCCAGCGAGGCGTTCGCCATAGCTGCCGTCGTGGCGCGGGTATTGGCCTCGTCGTCCGAGAGGCTGGCGGCGCGGGACCGCTTGGTCGCCGGCCCGGACAGCTCCTCAAGGTCAGCTGGCGGGCGCTTTGGGGACCGAGGGGTCGACGACGTGGAAGTCGCGGCGACGGCGGCGACGGCGGCGACGGCGGGGGTCTCGTCGTTGGAGGTGGACATTTGCTCTGGAATCGAGGGCGGCGGCGTGTCTTTCGTCCGGGGGAGGGGGGGCTTGCTGTGATCTCGTGTCGTGGACGTTCCGTCTCGCTTTCCTTTTCTCTTAGCTGTACTCGGGTTTGCTCGTGGTCGGGTGTCCTCTCGTGTACGTTGTTCGTCGTGCGTCGCGCGTTGTGTGGTGGGATTCGTTTGCAATGTTTTCTCTCTCCCCAAATGTAAATAGAGTGCTGACCTAGGCAGGTAGGCAAGGATGTCGATTCAAAGGGCTCTTCTCGCCTTGGGATCGGGTGCTATGTAACTAGTTTTGGTTTTACACCCCGTTTTTTTTTCTCTCGTTCCCTAACCTCTCTCCCTCTCTCTCACTCTCTGACTTTTTTCTTTTCTTTTTCTTGTTTGCTCCTCAAAAAATCTCGCTTGGGCTTCCGTAGGTAGCTCAGCCATTGGCGCTTTTCCATCACGTTCGGTGACCTTTTTTTTTTCTTCCTCTCTCTTATTTTTTTCTGCCGTTCGGTCCTAGCGCCCGCGGTGCTCGAGAACTTTCCAGCGGGGCCGTCCCACCCCCATCCAAACACCCTAGGCAGCTTTGACCGCCTTGGGGGGGCAGAGGCTCCCCACTGCGAAGTCCCCCTGGTTCAGTCTACTGACAAGGCTGCTCCCCCTAACCACCCCGGGACCAACTCTTCGTTCCTCCGATTGGGAAGACCGAAAGCCGAGGGAGGGGGTGAGACCAATGATTGGTAATACAACGCTTGGGAATTGAGCGGCGACGGTGGGGAAAAAATGCAAGCTTGCTCGGATGGACGTCTTGAGCGCCGTGATTTGCTCGAAAAGCCGCGTTTAGTACCGAGGACAACCTGGACCCTGTAATAATTTTGTGCAATCGAGCAATCAACACATCAAGACTACCTACTCCGTCGATCTTGCCTCCTCAACCTCTCACCGTCGACGAACTTCCCTTTTTCAATACTGCTGTAAACCCCTGAGTCTTCAAGAACAACCAGACGGCGACGAGGACGACGAGGACGACACACATGCACACGATGTCATCCTACAGAGCAACGAGGACAGCCTTGCGTGCCGTCGCGCGCACATCCAGACCCGCTACCCGGCCCATGACGGCACCCCTCCAACGATCGCGAACCTTTACGAGCGTGAAGCCCGCCGCTGGTCTTCTCCAGCAAAGTCGTCTTCCCCGGCGCATAACCCGCGAGCACACCCAGCAGCAAGCCGGCGCACGGCGATCACCCTTTGCCGGCCGCGAGGGCGGCATCCGCACCATCTTCATCCAGACCGAGCAGACGCCCAACGCCGACGCCATCAAGTTCCTCCCGAACCACCGTATCTTGCCCGACAACATCCCGACACCCTTCATCGAGTACCTCAACCCGCGCTCGACCATTGCGCCTCCCTACCCCTCCCCGCTGGCCGCCCAGCTCATGAACATTGACGGCGTTACCTCCGTCTTCTACGGCGCCGATTTCATCACCGTCAGCAAAGCCGCCGACGCCAACTGGGCCCACATCCGGCCCGAGGTGTTCGCACTCATCACCGAGGCCATCACCTCGGGGCAGCCCATCGTCAATGTCGCGGAGAAGAAGGAGGGCGGCGTCGCCGGTGAGGAGCAGCAGCAGCACGGTGAGGAGGACAGTCTGGCCTACGACGAGAACGACAGCGAGGTCGTGGGCATGATCAAGGAGCTGCTTGAAACGAGGATACGCCCCGCCATCCAGGAGGACGGCGGCGACATCGAGTTCCGCGGCTTCACCGACGACGGCATCGTCTTGCTGAAGCTCCGCGGCGCGTGCCGGACGTGCGACTCCAGCACGGTGACGCTGAAGAATGGCATCGAAGGCATGTTGATGCACTACGTAAGTCGGCACCCCGACCCCCGTCTTTTCGAAAGCATCAAAAGACTCTCGCGACCATGGACTGACATTGTTCTGCAGATCGAGGAGGTCAAGGGCGTCCAGCAGATCCTCGACCAGGAGGAAGAAATCGCGCTCCAGGAGTTTGCCAAGTTTGAAGAGAAGCTCAAGGCCCAAAAGGGCAATGAGGCGACCGCCGCATGAGTTGAAACCATAACGTAGCCCAAAGAGGGGGGCTCTGGCTTGTGGCGTTGAGTAGACGAGTTCGGGGGAGGGGTGCATAAGTCATGTAAAAAAGAAATTGCTGTATAATCACGTCAACATCTTGCCGGGCATCACGCTAGTGATACGGACAATACCCACTACGCTTTCCTTCATCGCAGCCTCGTTCTGGCGCGCTTGCATTGCTGGCATCGCCTGGTGGGATCAATGACGATCGCCCGCGTTACAACCATCCACCAATGGGCCGGCCAAGCCCGCGAAGCTTCGTGTTCGCTCTGACACGAGGCCTTGCCAATGCCGACCGAGTCGCTTCATTTGATGTCACGTTCCAGACCGAGACCGGCCCCGGCAGCACGCGCGCTCCAGGAAGCCACCGGCGGGGCAGCAGCCATCTTTCAAGAAACAGATGATTACTTACTGCCCTTGACGCCGCGTCCAAAAGTGGCCGTCGTAAGTCGGACAGCCAGATGGCCGTCGTCACGTACCACAAGGGTTGACGAAGGTCTTCCCCCCTCCTCTCACGCTGATTGGACTCTGGCCAGCCAAGGGTTGCTGCAGCGGGCCAGGGCGGGGAAACCAGGGATGTGCTTCATGACGGCCGCCGTGCAGGAACCCCTCAATCCCCTCCCTCCCCCAGCTCCTAATTGGCATCCACCCGCTTCGCGTTGAGAATGTGAACCAAGCCTCCATGTCCGGTTTGTTTCCAGCCTCTCTTGCTTCGCCAGGACCAGAGAGTATCGACCCATCAAGAGGAGCTCGCGTTCTTCTGTTGCCTGACTTTCCCTGTATGTGCCGGTTCTCCCCATCGTCATGCCAGCATGCCGGGTGTATGCCGGTCCCGTCTCCGCACCGAGTACGACTTGATCTTCTTGACAAAGAAGCGACGGTAGCCCCCTCCCCCCTGTCGGCTTTCACCAGAGGAACACCAAGTTAGGGCAAGTCTCCTCAAGAGAGCACCACTTGAAGCCCGGGACAGAAGATCGGCAGCAGAGGCGCATCGTGCGATCTGAAGGGGCCGGCATCAGGGCTCTCGGGCATGTCGTATTCACCGGTGAGGGTCAATCGATGGCTAGTAAGAAAGCCACCAACCCCTGGTCGCGATGGTTCCCTTCAATAAAGTTGAGGCTGTTGTTGGTCTATCTTTGACGCCGCTCAAGCATCTTCTGTGGCTCCTGGAGCCGTTGCAGCAGCCGCCAAGGTTGAGTTTGATGACAAGATGAGAATCCGGGGTAAAGCCCCCCCCCCTGGCTGATGTTTGACTTTGGCATTCCATCCTCGTGGGGTCAGCGTCATAGATCTCAACTGTCGGCTCGGTGCGTCGCGTTTCGGCGCCTCGTTTGGTGGTTACACTTGGCTGCAGCAGAAACAGTCGGTTCGTCGTGGTATGGTTCGAGTAGTCTAGTCGTAGGTTTTGATCACGACCCGGTGATGCTCTACGCTTCTTGCGTGACTCTTTGGATTCGGTCATTAGGCAGTCCACGGCTGGCCACAATGAGAGACAGCGGCAGACGTTTGCTCTGCTTCGCACTAGGCTGGGCGGTCCAATCGAGATGCCCAATTCTGCCTACATCAGTGCGTCGACATGCAGGCCGAATTTGTTCCAGGGTGACATATGTCCATCTCTCGGCGCGGGCCCATCGGTTGCCGGCAGTGCGTTTACACACGGTCGTCGACACTACACGCTATTTGACGTCTTAGCTCCTTCTCTACCCCCCAACGTGCCATACTAAGGAGGTGTCTGGATGGTACCATGGTGAGGTCAGTGAGAAGCAGTCCAATCAAACAAATGTTTAAAGGCTAAAGAGATTAGCTTCGGGATGGGTGCGCGTGACAAGCCGCAGCAGTCCATCTGGTCTATGGATCCTTACCCCTCTCGGTCTCGGAGAGGAGTCCTGAACCCCGACCTTGGACACCAAGCCTCCAGCCCACATCTGCATATGCGCGCCCCTTCTGTGCTAATTTTCGATGCCGGAAATGGCAGCCTTTTCCCAGGACGTTACGCTGGAGGCGGTTGAAGGAAAGAGTCTGTCTGGTCTACGTAGTACACGGACTTAGTGGTGCGGGGTCGTTGAGCGGAAACTGGCCACGAGCTGCAAGTTTCCTCTCAGTCGCAGCCCCCCCCCCCCCCCCCCCCCCAACGGCAGAACCCCAATCACTCTGTCCGGTGAAGGACCGTGACATGTTCGGTCGCGGATCCCGCTGCCGTTGAGATCCGGAACATGATGGCGGCGCGTGCGCTGTGCCGCCTTCAAGAAATAAACGTATGGGACAACGACTGCGTCTCACGTACGCAGTATGTCCGCAGTGTCGGTCCTGCGGTAATGGGCGAGGCCCTACAGCGGACCCCCGGACGTATCATGGACGCAGCTGGGACGAAGGGGGGTGGTTGGAAAGTGCTGCGATGATACCTGCTGGATGTTGCGCTATGTCACGGCTGACCAAAGTTGGACCTGGCCAGGCGTTGATCGAGGGGCAAAGCCCAGCCAAGGTTAACCGATCGGCGATGGACGAATAGGCTCCGCCTGTCGCAGCCGCATTTGGGTCAGATGCCCTCCCCATGCTCAAAGGCTGAGGGAAAGCATACGTGAAGAGAGCTGCGTGATTGCCGGCATCGCCGGGGTCGCTACAAGAGGCATTTCCCTTCCACGGTACAGTCTTTGCGGCGTGTTCCTGGTTTGTTTCCCCGAATCAGATGGTCAAGCCTGCGTGGTAGTCGCCTAGGCTCCGGATATGAGACAGTTCACTGCTCAACCGCATGCCCCGTCATGTAACAGCATGTTGCGGCGGAAGAGAAGAGGCTCGAACCAACTATAATATAGTTGCCATGTATGTACGGTTGAAATGCGTCGATGAGGTGCGCCGTAAGTACTGTAGGTAGTGGCCATGATCCGAGATGTGTACATACCGCCATCGACCGGGATGCATGGCCGCGGGATGCAGACGTATTGCATCGCCCGCTTCTCGGCAGGCATTGCATGTCATGAGAGGGGCAGGTACTTGGAGAAGCTGTGAAGTCGAGGGCATCGAAGGAATCTTATTGTATATGCCCACCAAGCCCTGCAGAGACACAGGCGAACATGCATCGAAGGCAAGTAATGGTGCAGGCCACCTACGCTGAGGCTGGTCCTGATAGAGAACGGAGCAAAGGGCTCGTTGCTCATTTGCGTCGCCTGTTAGCCGCGTCGGAGTCGGGCCGCCGGCCGGCCAAAGTGAAGAAGAGAAGAGCTACAGTATTGATACAGAAGAGGTATGAAGACGCAGGTAGATAGCTCGCAGTGTTGCAGATGCGTCTGCACGGGCTCGGGTGGCTGTAACCGGGCGGTAATAGACCGAGCAGAATATTTTGTTGGTAATTGAGAAATCTCAGTGGCCCTAAGCAGACAGCTCCGGTGGGATAAATGGAGGCAGGCCATGGATGTGTGTGGGGGACGGAGACTCTCCCATGGGTGCTATAGCTACAATGGTAAGGTATCCGTAGGTTGTCTTTTTGTTTTCTTTTGTCCGAATATCGTGTACTAGTACATAGGTCGGTAAATATCTTAGGTAGGCACGCTTAGGTATCCAAGTATTGTCGAGTGGCTTGGTTCCCTTTGATGAGTCTTGGTGATGCGTCGTTCTGACTTTTTGGTTCCCCGCTTTGCCCGCTTGGTGTCGAGGCAGCTACAATGGCTCTCAGATTCTCAGTCCAGTTCCTGCCATACCGAGGAACAAAGAAGAGGGAAAGGTAGCTGTAAACAATACAAGATGATTGGTATTCAGCAGCCAGGGCGGCCCCACTACCCACAGCCCTGAGCCCTGACAGGCGTGGCGTAGCCTGGCTAGGCTGGTTCTGACTGGAAGTGGCACAGGGCATAGACGTACATTCAGTGGATCTGCGCCTGGAGAAAGTGTGGGGAAACGCAGAGATGCTGGTGGGTACGTATCTGCGGGTGATCGAGTGCGGTTAGGTTGGATCCACCGTTCGAGGCGGGATTCTTTTCAGCACTGTGCTGCTGGTAGTGGGGGGGAGCTGGGTACCTCCATCTATCTGTTGGGGTAGGTAGGGTTGAGAGGCCTGAATCCTCCTTCCTCTGTGGCGCCGGCGTCTTTTTGCATACATCGCAACAGTCACAAAAATAATTGGGGTTTTTTTTTTGTTCTTCTTTGTATACTCTTTTCAGTTCGACGTCGAAAAGCCTACATGTATGCATGCGTTCGTCACTATCAGAGGCCCCTTTCCGAGCGTGCCTTCCATTTCTATTTCGGAAAGTGGATCTGGAATAGCAACGGTCTTCACAACCACTACCATCATCACCACACACACACATACATACACATCCAGACACCCGCCTCAACTCAAATTTCTCTAGCGGCAAATTCTGGACGACTTCTTCTCGTCTTTCTTCCTCTCTCGGCTCTAGGCTATTCCGGTTCCCGTATTCCTTCGCCTTGACCTGGTCTGGGAAAGTTTCTGCCTTGCGCCCTCTCTCATCTCTTTCGCTTTCTGGTCCACACCCTCTCGCAAACATCTCGACCATTCAGCATCCTTCCACGAGAATCAAAGGGTGGAAGGGGGGGGGCATCCAGTCACGGAAACTAAGGCGTCTTCCCTTTGGCCAAGCTACCGCCCAAAGACCCAATTCACAGGTGATTGGATACGTTTTCTCTTCTTCTTCTTCTTCTTCTTCTTCCTCTTTTGCCTGCTTCAACCACTCGGTCGTTGCCCATCATTGCTCCTTGGGGCATGACAGCAATGACTGGACGAAGAAACCCTGATCAAGTCATTCCCCGGATTCACAGCAAGCGCTGCTCTCTGAAGAAAATGGGGCGAGAACGAAAACAACCGGTTTAATTCTATTTTTCGATTGGTTCTATTGCTTCTTTCCCTCTTCGCCTTATCAGCGTTATGCATCCAGGCGCCTTTCAAGTGGTTGGCTCTTGGAGGTTGTAGCGCCATGCATTTCCTGCAAGAAACGGCGGCATCGTCAATCTCGCAGCAGTCTTCCCTCGCATTGCTGGCCAGTTCTTGGGCATGGCATGGCATGGCATGGCACAGTTAGAGATGGGTCGTTATGATATCTCGGCGCATCTCTGCTGGTTTCTTTTCCTCTTGGCGGATCCGAAGACCTGCACGACGCTTTCGATACAGCCTACTATTTGCAACGGTATCCTTGATCCAAAGTATCATGATCACCACTGGCTAAGGAGATAAGAAGGCTTCGACTGGTCGGTGCCCTTTGCTTGAGGTGAAATTAGGCCAGAAGCCCTCGAGTCGCAAGTAGATGTTATGCCCTACGACGGAGGCAAACATGCTGGTTTCCCTCTCCCTCTCCCTCTTCTCTCTCCTCGTCAAACGGTCCCACCCGGCCCCCATTTCTTTTCTTCTCCTGTCCTCTTCTTTAATTGCCCGTTCAATACTCCCCTTGTGCCTTGATCGTCCCGGCGCGTTCCCACCCTCTTCCTGTAGTGGTGCGATAATCGACTGGGACCTGTCCACTTGCCACCTCCACCGACAGTATTCAACTTGATCCACCAGTCCGCACGCACACTCCCGTCCCTGACAATCCGCCGCCCCTGACCCTTACAAACGTAAGCTTGCCTGGTCTTGGGTGCTACTGTTGTTCTTTCAAGTCTGAGCTGCCCTGCCCCTGTGGATGGGGCACAGACACAGGTACCTCAAGGCCAACACCCAACACCACCAGGGCATAGTTCGCTCTGTAGCGTGCATACCCTGGGCATATCGAGTTGGGATTGGCATTGGCATCAGCATTGGCACTCATACAGTGTGCGCACATCTCTCTCCCCTGGGCTTTGAGGCGCACGCGCGCGCACACCCAAATCAGCCAAACCAGACTGGACTGGGCTTGGCTGGACTGGGACCTGGAACTGGAACTGGAGCTGGGAGAGAGCTGGAGCTGCAACTGGAGACGGACTGAACTGCTGCTGCACGCTGCATACTAGTACTGCACATTACCTTGCTCCCCGTTGCTACCACACGGTCCACACACTCTACCTACTTTGCCCTTTATTCATTCTCATGGCCTGATCTGGCCTTAGCAGAGCAGGGCTCTACTTACACCACCTCTCTCTGCCCTCTTTATCCCTACGACCTTGGGTTTCCTTGTGGTAACAGATACAGAGGGGAAACCACCCCAGATCTCCCCTCCTTGTCTCTTATTTCCTCTTGTCGTCTCTCCCTCTCTCATCTTGCCGCCTCATTCTGACCGAATAGGCCCCTTATCCAACTCCCCTCACCGTACAATCATGCACACGCACCGCGTGTGCGCACTCACACTCACACACACACCTTACATCCCCTCCCCCCTCGCTGCTGTTTGTGTCGTCAGATAGCTTGCCACCTCCCACCCTCTCTACACTTGCTACCTTACGGATACCCTGGGCCGGACCCTTCCGCTCCCATAGGTGCGCACCAGCCACTTGGACAAGCTCTGGTCTCGTGTCGCAACGTCTTTCTCCTCCCCCGCTTCCGTCAACGTACTACTACTTACTACAACTGTGACCTCTTTCCATTGCCTTCTCAAACCTCTCCAACACCTCCCCGTCCGTTCCCCTTCCTACCCTCTCCTTGCTTCTCCTCATCTGTGCTTCAAGCCCGTTGCACTCCCCGAGGATCGAGGGCGCCGCCCAAGGCAATTTCATCTCCCCCCCTCCCTCCCCCAAGCATTCGTACCAGCATCCACAACTCCCAAGTCCGCATTCCACTTTGCGATCGCTCTCTCATCCACTACGCGACGACCATGAGATGCGCCTAGCTCGTCTGTCGCATTGCCATCTCCATCCCCTCCGCTAACGACATCGGACCTCGATTCTAGACGGCACGCATGCAATACACCTCCGTACAAGCACACCACGATTTGGCCACGACGACTACCTCCACAGCTTGCTGCGCGACCCCTCGTCATACAAACCGTTGAATATTTTCCTTTGGGCAACTTCGGGTCTGGGTTAGACGGGCTGGTTTAGACGACTTTTCGCACTTTCTCTCAGCTCCCGTTGTACGCGCGCCATAATCATCTTTCTTACCAAACTCTCATACTCGTCACGCGCGCTTTCCGTCACTCTCACTCTCGCTCCATCTACGCCTTAATCGTGTCACTCACTGCTCGGACACCCTACCCTCTCTCCCTGCACCGCCTGTCTGTGCTTGCGCCCCCCCCCAAAGCACCACATCCCCATCTTGTCTCGAGCCAACTTGCCGCGCCACACACCACGCATCGGTCGTCGCCCAGGAGCCTCAACTCGATTCTCACGCGCGCGCCATCACGTCGATTCTGCCTCCAGTCCCGGCCAACCCGTTCTTCAATATCTAGAGATTGCACACTTCGACACACTCTGAGGATAGATCTACTCGGCTTTCCGCATTTAGGTACGTATTATTATTATTTTCATTTCTATGTTGCGCGAATCGTTTTCCTGGTCGCAAGGGCTGCTGCTGCTGCCGCTGCTATTGCCAGGCGGGAAATCCTCCAAAGGCAAACCCCACAACCGTTCGTCGGTCCATTGCTGGGCATCATCGTCTGCCTGCCTGCCTGTCTGCCTTGCGCGTGTCACACGGCATTGCACTGATTCGCCCTCAGTCCAACCCACACCCATCACCCGCCCCCCCTCTTGACCATTCGGTCAACGACATTTGGTAGTTAGGGTGCGGTTCGCTGCGTTAACTTATTCGTCTGCTTGCCCTACCTTGTTTGGCGCCGGCCTGTGAGGCCTGTGGCTCGGGCCTCGTGGTGGTCTTCCAATTCCCCTTCGCCAGTGGCTGCCAGCTTTGACCTGCAGTCTCAGCCGCAGCTCGCAGTGATACCCAAGCTGCTTGCGGCGAAACTCGTCTCTTTCAAACTTGCCTCACAGCGCTTGCCTTTAACGGTTGATGACATAGCTGCTAACACAACGACTAGTCTCGTTCGGCCTTTACCGCCTTAAACAAATCACCTGACCAAGCTCATTAACCCAGGACTCACTCTTCACCCGTTTGAACCCACCCGTCTTGCCATCCTCCAAAAGAGCTATCAGCAGCTCGCTTTGGGCAATTTCCAGGTTGGCCAAGTCGCGGTTCCAGCCGATTCAGAGCCAAGACTTCAGTTGGTCCCAACGGGAGGACAATGAGTTCAGGTACGGGAAGTGCCGGCGCCGCCAAACCCGGCCCGCCATCCAAGCAGGGTCAAGGCGCCTTCTCTGGAGTCAGCAACCACGCCATTCTGCTCGACAAGCTCAACCGTAGATCGACGCCCGATTCCGAAGCCCTTGCGAGCTCAGACGACGAGACCGATTCTCATCGCCAGGAAGCCCCTCAACAGGCGACCCAGCCTCAGAAGCCGGTAAGACGTGCTTCTTGGCTCAACGACACGACCCAGCCGCTGCCTCGGCCCCGCAAAGGCTCTTTCGCCAGCAGCTCAATGTCCCCTACAGCCTCCCACCCGAGCACCCCGTCTGCCGAGGGAACCGCCCCTTGGGGTACTCACTCTCAACCATCCGGCGTCATGGGCCGTGCTCCCGTTTCGGGAGGCTCTTTCACCTGGGGTACAGGTATCTGGAACAGCGAGAGAAAGGATCCTCCCTCGCGCCTGAGTGAAGTTCTTCCTTCGCCCACGTCCACGATGCCGCCCGGCTCAGCCGGCGGCTCCTTCTTCAATACCGATGTCAACTATGGCCAGACGTCCCCCGCGCCGCGAGACGTTGGTCCCAATGCCCAAATCCCCTTTGCCATCCCTCTCCATCCCACCCCCAAGACCTACCGCTCTCAGTCGTACTCCGTCGGCCAATTGGAGCCTGACGCGCCCCCGACTGCGATGAGCAGCTCTACGATTCTAGGTCGTGGTCGTGCCCATGGACACTCAGGCTTGCAGCATCGGCCCTCCCGTCCCAGTATGCTGAGCGAGATGTCGAACGACGGAGGACTGCTCGGAAAAGTCAAGGAGGTTGACGACGACGACGATGAGAGTGCTACAGAGTCTATGCAGGGATCTATGCATCAGTCCGCCGAGGCAAAGACGATTGAGTTGCTTGCTCGCGAAAATGCCATGCTTCGTCAGCAGCAGCAACAGCAGCAGCAGCAGCAGCAATATCAAAACCGGCTCCGCCCGAGAGCCTCGACTGGTGTGGCTTACGGACTTGGCAACGGGTACTCTCTTCGCGAGTCCGTACCCGAAGAGTCCGACTTTGCCATTGACGAGCTCGATGAGGCTAACGATGGAAACGAGATGGCTACGAAGAGAGCCCTGGGCCGGAGGATGAGTGAGTACGGCGCGTCTGGATTCCGGTCGCCCTACGAGAACCGGAAGCTGGAGAATGTCAAGAAGGCCTTCTGGCACAGCTCTCTGGGCTTTGGTGGCCCCGAAGGACAGCAGAGTCGAAGACACTCGTTTGCCGACATCCCGACCCGCCAGGGCTCCATCAGTTCCATTAACGAGTCTTTCAGCGCGCTCGACAACCCCGTCACTGAGCAGCAGCACGCCCAGGATTTCTCCATGGGCTACTCGGAGAACCAGAACTATCCTCTCGGCAACACAGGTAAGCGGACTTGGCAAACCGTTTGATTATACGAGACTAACCGGGCAAAACAGCTGCTTACTTTACTCCCGGCGGAGGTCTCGCAGCTCCTCCCCAAAGCATGCAGTTCAACAATCCGTTTCCTTCGGCCTACACGATGCACCCCCCTTATGGAAACCGTGCGACTTCGCCTCATCGTAACGTCTATGCCATGTCGCAGCCGCGCCACAACCAGCTCCTGCACATCGTCCTGTTCAAGTGCGCCAGAGCCGATGTTTTCTACATCCAGGAGGGCACTGGCCTGACCGTCAAACCGGGCGACTTGGTCATTGTGGAGGCTGACCGAGGAACCGACCTCGGAACGGTTGCGCGGGACAACGTCGACTGGCAGACCGCAAAGGAGCTCAAGGAGCACTACGCCGAAGAACAATACAAGTGGTTGATGATGTACTCGCAGAATGCTGCTGCTGCCCAGGACGGCACAGGCGCCGGTCTGATGGCGGCTGCGAATGGTCTGCAGGGCAGCGCCGTCGGCGGAATGGGCCCGCCCAACCAACACCACATGCAGGAGCCCAATGCCGGCGAGCTCAAGCCGAAGTTGATCAAGCGCCTGGCCCAGAGCCACGAGATCCACGCCTTGCGGGACAAGGAGGGCAATGAGGCCAAGGCCAAGCGTGTTTGTATGCAGAAGGTCAAGGAGCACGGGCTGAACATGGAGATCCTCGATGCCGAGTTTCAGATGTGAGTTCTTGAAAGACCATTCCAAGACCAACAAGGAGAGGCTGACCATCAACAGGGACTGGAAGAAGTTGACCTTCTACTACTTTGCGGACTCGTACATCAACTTCAATTCTCTCGTCACGGATCTGTTCAAGATTTACAAGACCAGAATCTGGATGTCGGCCATCAACCCCGCTTCGTTTGCTAGTCCGACCCTCGGCATCCAAGCCCCCAGCGGTGTTGGACCTGGAGCGGTCGGTGTTGGCCGTGGCTCAAACAACTCCGAGCGGCGATCTGCGCAGCAACAGCAACAACAACAACAGCAGCAGCAGCAGCAGCAGCAGCAACAGGATCAGCAGCCTGGAGGATTCGGTGGCCCTGGCCAGGCTGGTCGCGGATTCCAAAACTCCTTCACTCCGCCGTTTGGTGGAGAGAGACCTGGAGGGCCTGCCGGTGGCTACGGTCAACCGAACTATCCCTACTCGCATATGGGCGGCATGGGCAGCGCGCCTAGGCCTGGAAACGTTCCTTATGTTCCGGGAGTCGTCCAGTCGCTCGACGGCTACAGTTTCCCAGGAGCGACCGACTACCAGATGCGGTCGCGTTTTCCGCCAGGAACCGAAACCGGCCCACACGAACCGGGCGGAGGCCCCATGAACCCTCAGAGCGACTGGGCCGCCGCGTTCCAAGGTCTCTCCTTGAATAGTCGTTAAGGGAGTATCTCCGTTTTGACAGCGAATTTGACATCTGCATTCTGCATTCGCTGGCTGGTCGAGCTTTTCGATAAGCTTCCTATTACTATTTTTCTCTGCCCTTCGACACATTTTGAACGCACGTCGCCGCAACGGCTTATCGTACATGGATACGGTTAGCATGGTTGGGGTATTGTAAGCATAGCCAATGGCTGCTGAGCCCGGCAATCTTTATCTCTCACTGTTGGCGTTGGAAGGTTGACCTTTCTGCTTTTAAATTGCAAAAAAAAAACACGGTGGGACCTTCGTGCGTCTTTTCGGAAGACAAAAAGAGGACAGCAAGGGGGGAAACCCGGAAGAGACATGTTGACCTCCAATACACTTTCACTTTTTTCCTTTATGTTTCGAAACTCTGGAACCACGGCCTTTCCTCCCCGATTCATGATGATGAGAGATTCAAGAGAAGACTGAGGGACTTTCATTACTACTCAGGGCACTACCGACATAGACAGAGAGACTTCCTTTACTACTTTATTCTTAACCCCCTCCCCCACCCCCAATCACCCCACGAGCATGGTGTAACCTGAGATCAAAAAAGGACTTGACTTGCGGTTCTGGTTCTGGTTCTGGTTTATGGCTTGGTGTCGGATTCTTGTACGAAAGATTTTGCTATTATCAACTTTAGGCTTCGAGACCATCAAGATTTTACAGCTGTCCAAAGTCTACCATTCTGCCGCGCGTGATTCGTTGTGTACTCGTCCCCAATTATATGTTAGGAATAACGCGGGACGTGGATGCTCGTGAAGCTACTCCATCCCCAAGACGTCACTCGGCCGCCCACAACATGTCATTTGACCTTTCCTCAGCAACACCATGTGGGTAAGGCACAATGTATACCAATACGACCGCTCGTTGCTCTTCATGCCTCAACGTGAGGGAAATAGAGGGAGCGGTGGAAACACCCTGCCGCCCAAGGCAAGACGCCGGCGTCTTGTCACTTGTTTCACTCTCCATGCTGAGCGTCTCGACAACACCTATCTCGGACACTTTCCATGTATGGCGGACGGTCCTGGTAACCCCCGCACTTGGGCCTCCAGATCACCCCGTCGCTCAAGCTTTCACTCGAAAAGCCCTTGATATATACAAGATGCTGGCCGAAGACCACACCCTTGGGCTGCGGCCCAGAGCCCACCGTGGCCGTCGGCAGATAATGACCGGCGCATGTACAGGAAACCAAGGATGATGGCTTTCCATTCCGGCAACTACCCTGTAACAGGCCCCTGAGTGATGCATCATCATGTGAGTATCGATGATGAATAACTGCCAGTGTATAGCCATACCGGATGTCCACCATACGGGGGAATAGGAGGTTTAGTCACCAGTAATGTATGAGAAGAATTAAGACTCGGCATCGGTGTGCCTGAAACGCTTCGTTTTGAGGTACTTGGTGGTGTTGGACTCGAAGGGAGGCATGGAACACTCATGGTAGCAGACCTGGCAGAGACGACCATCTCCAGTGGGTTGCAATTGTCCAGAACATGAGATGGACGGAACAGCGCAAAATTCCACCGATATTGAGATGCTCGCACGCCAACATGACCGTTGAACGAGACATGTCAAGGATGGGAGGCGGGCAAACATGGGAGAGCTCGAGACTATGTGACAGAAAGTCGCCTCAGGAATGCTCCGGCTGGGGGCTGGTCTTCTCTCGAGTCCTGACATAGCAGAGGGCCAGTAATGAGGATACCAGCTTCAACGTTAAGGTGGAGGGGGAAGAAATCTCTCGTGGGAATCGTTGGCATCGGAGAATATTGCAAGGACATTTCACCTTGAGGATATGCAGCAACAATTGAATCACAAAACATGCAGTAAGATAAATCCCGCTTCACACTCTAGAGCACGTCTGTCAATGACATGATGTTGAGCCAAGAATCGTTGGAATGATTGGGTCGGGTAGCACGAAGCGGAGGGATTCTCACCGAAAAGCAGACTCACCGGGGCCACTCACCCTGGTCACTCACCGAGACCGGAAAACCACTGCCCCATATTTAGGTTCGGGGCAAACCCAATGGCGCTAACCCTTTCAGGGCTAGCACGTCGCTTATTGATAATCGCACAATCTCTCGAATTTTCCCACCAGTTTCGAACTTTCTGAATTGTCGTCGCCTATTTTTCATCAACACCACCACCAAAACCTCGGCAGCCGGATTTTACGTGAACAGCTGGTTTGTCTCCTCTCCCTCCCGACAACACCGTCGCTCTTTTCACGTTTTCTTCACTGTCTGCCAATTCAAGAGGCTAACCTGACGCCGTCGCCGCAGTCAAAATGGGTGCCCTCAAGTATGTCGAAGAGCTCCAGAAGAAGAAGCAGTCCGATGTGATGCGCTTCCTTCTGCGTGTTCGCTGCTGGGAAGTACGTTGAAACCACCCGATTCCGAACCATGTGGACGCACGACAAGTCTCTACTCGTCTCCTCTGCCCCTCCCCGCCGATACCCATTGTCGAATTTTGATCAATCCTCTCATCACTTGGAGGGGTCTGATCTCTTCGAGAATTGGGAAGGCATCAAAAGGGGGGTGGCATGGGGGGTATCGAGAGAACTTTGCGTTCCTGCTATACACTCGTTGAACATTTGCTGAGAGTGCATCAATATAGCTCCGACAGCTGAATGTCATTCACCGCGCCTCGCGTCCCTCGCGCCCCGACAAGGCCCGCCGCCTCGGCTACAAGGCCAAGCAGGGCTACGTTGTCTACCGTGTCCGCGTCCGCCGCGGAGGCCGCAAGAAGCCCGTCGCCAAGGGTGCCACCTTCGGTACGTCAAATCGACCCGTACGATGAGCAACCACTCCCGCCGCAGAGCGGTCAGAGGGGTGTCGTCGCCGTCTGGAGTGGAAGGGGATTGCTAACGGGATTGGAATCACAGGCAAGCCCACCAACCAGGGTGTCAACCAGCTCAAGTACCAGCGCTCCCTCGCCTCCACCGCCGAGGAGCGTGTCGGCCGCCGCTGCGCCAACTTGCGCGTCCTCAACTCCTACTGGGTTAACCAGGACTCGACCTACAAGTACTACGAGGTCATCCTTGTCGACCCCCAGCACAAGGCCATCCGCCAGGACCCCCGCATCAACTGGATCGTCGCCCCCGTCCACAAGCACCGCGAGTCCCGCGGCCTCACCGCCACCGGCAAGAAGTCCCGCGGCCTCAACAAGGGCCACCGCTACAACAAGACCCAGGCCGGCCGCAGAAAGACCTGGAAGCGCCACAACACCCTCTCCCTGTGGCGCTACCGGTAAACGGTTTCGTCCCGCAACGGAGGATTCCGCGGTTGACGTGGTGGTTCTCCCCGACGACAACATCATCGTCTCTTCAAAAACAACGGCGGCTGCCGGGTGTGGTGTTCACGGATTGCAAGGACACAAGGACGGCTACGGTGGATCGTCATCTTCATCTTCATCATGGGTGGTACTCGGTATGCTGTTTCTTCGACGACAGCTTGGGAACGCACTTGACATCATGCGCTGGAGTGTTCTTCTCCCCCCGGTTTGAGACATCCGGGTGGGAAAATTCAAATCGATACGAAAAAATGGAACAGACTTTTCGAGGTTCTTACATAACGGCGGGCGTACAATGATGAGTAACGTGATTTGTGAAGAAACTTTTTTTCTCTTTATTTTCTTTTCCCAACACTTCCGTCTCCTTTCCCGTTCGCCTTGTGATGCCTCATAAACCCGACGTAATGTTACGGATAATAGCCAACCACCATATACTCGGCTTCCTCGTCGTGTCCATGTGATGTTCTTGGCCCGATCTGTCCATGCTTGGGCGGCTTGCCCTGGCGTACACCAGTCTGCCAATCAGCTTACTTGGACGGGTCCTCATGTTGCTATATCCAGGAGCAAAAGTGTACCTTGCCCCCTTGAAAGTGGTTTGTTGAATAGTCCATAGGACCGACTCTCAGTGTTGAAATTTTTTGAATAGGACTCCCCAAACTTGTGGAGGCAGGCGGACATGGATCGCCGGTTGGGATGGTTAAAGGGGCGGGGCACACACTCTTCTCGTTGCCACCTTTGGAACGAACCCATTGACCAACACCACGAGGGTCATCGTCGCAGAGCACCTGGTGACCGCCGACATAGTACGGCCGAACCCTTTCTTTAGAACCAGCTGTCACAGACCGCAGTACAAGCGCATGAACTTCTTCCTCTTTTAACAGAGCTAGATAGCTTGACAATTACTGAATGTTTCTGTCGTCCCAGATCGTCCCTGCCGGTCCTGTTTATGTGTAAAGTCTTGTTACAGCTCATCGCTTTGTAGAAAGTTTTCTCAAATGCCAAATTCCCTGCCAAACACCGTGCCGTCGTTCTGGGTATTGTTTTCCTTACCCTCTTGGCCAAATTAAATAATCCTTATAACGCCACTACCCCTGATCATCGGAGGATACACATTCTGCTGTATTAGGCCTGCCATGCCAACTGTTCACCATTGATCATTAGTCTTTCTCTTTATGGAGAAAGGTCACGTCGCAGATTCCCTGCTGCATCCATACTCAGAAGCGCGTCATATCACTGACCTCGCTGTACTTGGTGAAGCGGGTGTTGCCAGTGTTCATGGGATGCAACGCAGTGGGCGGACGGTTGATCTCGGGCATGATGGGGCTGCGGCGGTCCTCATCCCAGCTCCTGTCGGAAGTGTGGCCCTGCTCGAGGTCGGGCACGAACGGGCCGCTGATGTTGGGGCGCGCAGCGGTAGTGGCCTTGCTCTTGTTCCACGGAGTAGAGAAGTTCTGCGTAAAGCGCTTGAACTTGTTCTGTTGCTTTTCATTGTGGATAGAGTTGCTCCGAACCGAGTAACCGTCGACGAGCGAGTTCTTGCCCGAGGCGAGTGTGCCATCACTGCGGATGTTACGGGAATTGATGCCGTTATGTCTGTCGCAGAAAATGATGGACGAGATAACGTTGAAGAAGCCGAACGTGATGGCGAGAACGCCCGAGGCAAGGATCAGGCGCCACAGGGGCAAGCCAATGGTTTCAACGGAAAAGGCAGGGTTGGTGCTGTTGGCGAGTACTTGACAGCCCATGACGATCATGGCGATGCCCAGCCAGCTGAGGCCATGCTCGCAGGAGAGGATCGGCCAGTTGCGCTCGAAATAGTGGCGGAAGACGTTCAGCTCCGAAATAATGAGAAAGATGGCGACAGAGAAGGTGAAGAAGTGCGAGGCGGAGACGAAGAAATCGAAGTGGCCCTTGAGAATGGACATGACGATCATGACCCAGGCCGAGGCGCTCACGGCTAGGAGACCGATGATGTTAAACGCCCGGAAGACGTTAAGAATCATGTGGCCGGAGCCGCGAAGGCTAGAGTTCTCAGAGAGGTTGAACATCTTGGGAGGCTTATTGTGGTCGCAGTTCGCGCACTCTCCGCAGCAGGGTTTCTTCGGTTTCGGTCTGGAGGAAGAAGCCGCAGAGCCCTGAGCAGCTGCAGGGGTCGACCGGACTGAATATGGGTAAAGTGAAGATTCTGAAAGCATTGTTAGCGAGGAGTCCGTCGTCCAGGAGAGGCGAGGTATCTAACATGCGAGTGAGTAGCTGATGGTGAGCTCGATGACGAAAAGGCTAATAGCAAGTTCTTAGTCTTACCAAGCAGACTGAGAAATCCGAAGAAGCGGTGGTCCCTGGATATAGAGGGTGTTTGGTCGTATTTGTGATTATGAGACAGGTAAGAAATGATGCTGGAAACCAGTCCAGCAGAGGCAGTGATATAGGGAAAGTGTAGAGAGCTCCACAATGGAAGAGAAGGATTGTAAGTGAACAAGATTAGTAGATGCCAAGAGACGAAGTCAGTTGTTCACGACTGTTCAATGGAAGGAAGGTAGGTGAGGAAGAGAAGCGCCTGCCACAGGACCGAGGGTAGGCTAAGAGAGGTTCGGCGTCAAAGGAAGGAAGAACGGGGCATCCTTCTTTAATATAAGCAGTACTCCGAGCGTTCCTGCCTTATCAAGCTTAAAGAAACATGGCTCAAAAAGAACAATGCAAAACAGGTACAGGCCCGGCAGGGCTGCTGTTCCCACTCATCATGTCACGCGAAAATTGTCTTGTTGCCATCGGGAAGGTGAGAGCAGGCCCAGGTCTGGTTTGGCCGATGAGCCTCCTGGCGGCCGTCCTCATTCGTCGTTTCGCATTAATGCAAAAAGTTTCGAGCAACCAGCAGCCAGTCGTTTTGGCAGTGCGGAGGGGCTATCAAGGCCGGGATGCGTCGGTGGGGGACAAGAGAACGGAAGGGGAGGGGGCGGAGACGATGGAGTGTTCAAAGCTTCTCCCACGGACGACTTGGTCGATCTTTCGATGTCCCTGGTATTACGAGGACTGGGCTACGGGGGTGTAGAATGCGGGATGGTGAGGGAGACGTGGGAGGCTCGAACGGCGGCGGCAGCGAAAGCACCTATCTTCCCTGTGGCTGAGGTTCCACACGATACTAAGCGGCGGCGTCCAGACGCCGTTTCAAGGCGGGCGCCCTAGTCGAGCACTTGCAGTCCTAGATAATTAGACCAGGGATATATCTGTCAGTCATCTGGTGCTTGGCTACGATACGATTCGCACGGGTCGGGCAGCGGTGGCCTGCAGCATGTGAGTGAGCGCGTTCTCATCGTGGAGCCGCTGATGCCCTGTAGCTCTCGACAGTCGATGCAGATCCCCCCCCGACGCTCATCAAGAGCGAAGACGAGACGAAGAAGGAAGGGGTCTGAAGGGCCAAGGCTACCAGTGGCATGAACATGCCGTGGGTCATTTTCGTCCAATGGTGCGCTGAAAGTCGGATCGCTGCAGCACGCAGCCAAGATGATCCTATGAAAGGGCGGCAAAAATGCAAAGCAGGAGGCGAATGTTCAAGCATCGAGGCCCAGGCGTTGGAAATATACTGCTGTAACAAGCCGGGGGGTGGCATGGGCCAATAATAGGGAGGGTTAAGGGCAGATAGATTGTGATCGCGTGAAAGTTGCAAACATGTTGGCAGTCGAAAGTGGAAGGGTCAACGCACATTCTCAGTTCACGGGCCCGACGCCGAATTGATTGGATGATGGGCGACGACGCATTGTTTCATGCGGGTTTAGTAACGACAGCCGCCAGCCAACACGTCAGGCACGGAGGGACTGCTGGCAGACCCCTGCTGATGCCAGGACTACTGATTTGCTACAGGGCGGATGGGCTGGACGATGCAACGATTAGTGTGAGCGGCAAGGCAAGGTACATGCAGATATGCACTTGTACTGTACTGTCTTGGTCTCCCGAATGCGGTGCCATCGCATGGGTCAACCCTGAACCTTTGTGGGATCCCTCGCGCCATACCGACAATAATTCAAGAGCACAAGAGATAGCATCTCATCCTTTCGCAAAGCCAACTGAGATATGTATCGAATGCGGCCCAAGGTGTCCATATGGTGGCGAGCATAGAGATGGTGACTTTGGCAAAGCCAACGTTCAACTTCGTTACTGTCTTGGGAGTCATGGCAAGCAGCATGGCGATGACAATGCGTCTTCGCTTTTGCCTGGCGGCAAGTCTAACTGAGTGGCACCTCCCCGTCAACTTCCAGTCAAGTTGGACCAAGTCCCTTGCGGTCAGATATGGTCCTGGAGGATGCCAAATATCTCGGCCGAGGCACCTAATCAGATGTGAAGCGCAACACCGAGCCGATCTGAACTGACCTCGGTTCCATTGACGAGAACCATTGATCCGTGGCCACAACTCTCCGTGCTTCCGTCTGGTGTCCATCCGAGGTGGACATCCAGTGTCACCCAGACGCCATGGTCAAACGGAACTCGGTCGTGAAACCCCAAAAAAGAATGAACATTCCAAGCGGTCGTGCCTCAAGGGTCCGCTTTCGCATCCAAGTGATTTGTAAACCGGAGAGATCCCGATACCTGCTGGAAGGTCGCCTAATAAGCGCCCACCACATGCCATTTGATCTTGACCTATAATGCCATTTTTAAGCCCATGCCTCGCCCTTCAAGGTCTTAACTTGGATACGAAGAGGCGTAACCGCCCAGCAAGTAATATCGGCTCTGAAATCACGCTCGTCTATTTCGGGCCGCGCCCAGCCGGGGTGCCTGTCTACTCGAAGAAAGGTAAGCTTAAGCGCCAGCACCGCCTCAATGGCCGGGGCCTAGCCTCGCGGCAAGATGTTGCTTTTTTGTAACATTGTCATTGAGCAGCAGAACAGCAAGCCGACTTGAATGCTTTAAAAACCTGCTAACGTCCCCGCGAAGCTCACCTCCAGCCTTGTCTCTGTAACAAACATTGTTCAGCACACCGCACATGTTTTTTTTTCCTGCATTTTCATTCATCGACAACTCTCCATAGAGACATTACAGAGCCAAGTCTTCTGGCGGGTTGATCGGAGTTACCAGTGCCTGACTGGCCTCGGGTGCATATGCATTATGCCAAACCGGTGGGTGGGTCAATTGGACTTCTTCACAGTTTGCGGAACAATGGAGTTTGGGTTGAAACTGTACCGACGAGGAAAAAAGAAAGCAGAAAACAAAAAACGTGAGCTGTCCATTGGGGTTCATTCAGAGATGTGTCTTTGGAAAGCTAGCTAGCATATTTGCAGTCTCGTGCTGGCTCCACGTCACTGTTGTGAGGCTCCAAAGCGAGTGCTTCTTCTCGAGAGATGAAAAAAAAAAAAAAAAAAAAAGTTGCTTGCAAGCGATACAAAGATAAGATATAGGGGCGTCAGTGTTGTCCAAGCTACCTAAGCTACCTAGCTACGTACCTAGGTGCTAGGTATCCGTAGGTTGGCACCTGAAAGGAATTGCTTCTCCCTTTCCCTGGGCCATGCATGGTCTGTGCGTGTAAAGCACGTGAGCAGCTGGGTGGGCCCGCCTCTGGCCCCAGGTCCTGCTTCTGCCGCCCGTCAGCCTCAGCTTGTCTTCGAACAATGGACAGACGACCCGACGTCAATCAATCTCTTCGACAAAACTGTTGCCGATCGGGCTTCTTTCCCTTACCCGCCACGGCACTATACGACGGTTTTTTCCCTATTCACAAAACACAAAACGCATACCATCGACTTGCTTGTCGCCAAATCCTCTCTTCGCCCTCACTGATTTCTTCCATCGCTGCGACAGCATCCTCGTGACTGCCCAACTGCCACTTCCATTTGCTCTTTGTCTTCGTCATCTTCGCGACGCGCCCATACGCTCGCCCGCATCAACGAGCTTCTCGTTGCAGTCCACAAGCGATCGCGATAGCTTTCCATCGGATGATGTCGTGACGGCGTCCTTGCTATCTGCTTGGATCTGGTTGGCTTGTGCTGCGGAGGACTTGAGCAGAGAGAGGGTCTGGACACGAGAATTGGAAACTGCAAAGCGGCCCTTCCCAGTTTAGGTTACCAGCGACGTCTCTTGTTCAAAGCAGCAGACGGGCGCGCTTCCATAATAAGGGTGGTTTCTTGTACTTTCAATCGTATACGGTGAAGGAGGCTTGACTTTGGTCGAGGACGATCTGAATCTTCCCCGCTGCCACTGCGTCTTCATTTCTCGGCACTTGTCGCTCGCCATCGCGTGCTCTTGACATACGACCCTTTCCCTCTTCTTCTTATTCTTCTTCGTCAGGACTTTCGTCGACCAAGAACAATTCGCAATCATGTCATACGAATCGTCCGCCGCCGAGGTTGCGGAGGACTACCGTCAAGCTCTCGAAGACTTGACTACCAACGTGCGCTTCGAAATCAGCAATCTGACGATGATTGCAAGAGAGCAGACTGAGCATGCCCAGGTCATCTCTGAAGTTTTGCAGGACCACATTTTGAAGGTAGGCCATGCTCCCCATTACTTCCTGGCGTCAGTACACGCACCGTCTACGTCCTTGTGCCAAGCAACGATGCCTGAAGCTGCGAACCTTCCGCTACCAAATGACTTGGCTAACGCTGACATGTCCTGCAGGCTCCAGCACATAAGAAGCTACCAGCCCTCTACGTTCTCGATTCGATCGTTAAGAATGTTGGGACTCCATACACGCTGTTCTTTGGAGCCAAACTATACACGACATTCATGGAGGCGTACGCCGCTGTGGACGGTCAGGTTCGCCGCAAGATGGACGAGATGCTTCGTACCTGGAAGGAGCCAGTCCCAGGATCTCTCGACAAGCGCCCAGTCTTTGCCCCCGAAATAACGCAGCCCATCGAGAACGCCTTGTTGAAGGCTCGTACATCGGCTCTTCAGGCCCAACAAGGGCGAGGGGCCGGTCGTGGTCGACCGCCTGCTGCGCCCTACCGCGAAACCCCGACACCCCCAGGCATGCGACCTGGAGCGGCCCAACAGATGCCGTTTGGCCAGCCGCCGCCTGTGCCGCAGGTGAACGGTAACCGGCCCCCAAGCGCGCCGCTTCCGCATCACCCGCAAATCGCTCCTTACGCGGTTAGTCCTTCTCATTCTCACGACAACTGAACACCAGATACTGACCCAACCCAAAGCCTCCCCCGCCGTCATACAGTGCTCAGCCCTCAGCGGCCCCAGGCCCTTACCAGCCCCCTACGCAGATGCCATACACCGCTGGACTCTCGGGTCCGTCTCATGCTGCTGGAATAAGCAAAGACTCTCTGGGCCAAGATATCCAGAAGTTGATTGATGCGTCGAAGTTGGAGTTTGCGCAGAACCCCCATGATCATAGTATTCAACAAAGACTCAAGGCGTTGCTGGATGTGCAGAGCTTGCTACAACACCAGAACTTGCCCCAGGACCAGTTGGTCCTGATTAAGAATCAAGTAGCCGATCTTGCTGTAAAAGTGAGGCCGTTCTCGGCCCAGAGCGCAACCCCTGCCGCTACACCCGTTCCCTCTCATCCACCGCTGCCTCCTGCGGCGCCTGTAGTTACATCTGGCCCACCGCAGCAGCCTGGTGCGGTGACGCTTGATGCCCTCTTGGGCCAAGGAGCGCTTGCTGCATTGTTGTCGAGACAGTCAGCCACACCGCAGGTTGCCACGCCCCCACCTCCATCCGCCAGCATGGCAATTCGGTCTCCTCCGCCGCAAAAGGTTGAGCCGTATCGACAGCCCAGTGCGACGCCGGCGGCAGATCCCATGGCTTTGCTGGCCGGCTTACGACAAGCCGGGTTGCTTCCTGGGCCAGCTCCGAGCGCAACTCCAACACCGGCGCCTCCTCCGGGTCCGGTACCGCCTCCTGGAATGCCCATGTTGCCTCCTGGCTTGCTGCCTCCTAACCTTGCGAGCTTGCTGGCATCAGGTCAACTGCCACCGCGTCCTCCCCTCGGAGGCATGCATGGCAACCAGCTTGACGCTACGGCTCTTAAACAGCAGTGAGTTATCTCTGGGACAAGTTTTCGTGAGGTCCACGAGCACTAATGATTTGCAGATTCCAGCCACATCTGATTCCATCCATGTTTGATCAACTGGGTCCCCAGTGTACTCAGTGCGGCAGACGATTCAAGACGGACGAGGAGGGCAGAAAGAAGAAGATGGCACACATGGACTGGCATTTCAAGGCTCACCAACGGCTTGCGGAAGCAGAGAAGAGGGGCCAGCACCGCAGCTGGTACGTCGACAGTAATGTAAGTTACCAAGGCCGGTGCCAAGCATGGCTGATGTCTAACACGAGGCAGGACTGGATCAAGTCACGAGAAGCTATCGACGTCGACCATGTCCAATCAGCGGACAACTCATCATCTAGTCCCGGTCGGGCGAAGAAGGAGGCCAAGCCTCGATACATCCCGGTGCCGGACGCCTCGAGCGGTATCAACAGTGTCTGTCCGATTTGCCAGGAAAAGTTCGAGAACAAGTGGTTGGACACCGCCCAGGAATGGGTTTGGTTGGACACCACGCTGGTAGGCAACCGAGCATACCATTATAGTTGCCACTCGGAAGCGACACAGGCTAGGGAGAGCAAGCCGCCATATTCGAAGGGAACGCCCGAGCGGGTGCTGGGTAAACGCAAAGCAGAGGTGAATTTGAATGAGCGTAGGCCATTACGAGCTCAGACTGACAATGCCAACAGGGTGACTTGAAACACTCGCGTGGAAGGATGAAGAAAGACAAAGACGCACTGAAATGGCCCAAGACGGAACTTGATTACTAGCAGTATATCCAGTAAGCAGACGACAGCCTTTTCGAAGGCATGATGGCTTCGCGCAGAAACATTGGATCGTACTGAAGAGCTCATGGTGAGCCATCACTGCCTCGTCACCCTGCGAGACACGCCTCTCGGAAGCATTACGCGGTGCCAAGCCGCGAATGCTGGGCTCGTGACGAATCGTGCGACCCCAAAGCGGCGAGGCGTGTTGGAAATCTCCCTCCCTGAATACAGGGTTGCCAAAACGTCCAGGCAACAGAAAGGAAAAAAGAAATACAACGGAGTCGGTCAAAGGCGGGGGGGGGGGAGTTGTGTTGATCGTGGGGGGGAAGGGATCAGCACGCACGGAACACCGGAGAGCGGACACCAATGAAGCATGGCGAGGCTCCGTTGGTCGGAGCTGCCGGGGCGAATGATCGGCAGACGAGCTTCGGTATGGCACTCGACATAGGTTCTTGGCAAGGCTAGGCCGCATCAGCGGAGATGGCGTGTTCGTCCAACCTGCGAGGGCGATGGAGGAGAAGGCAGGCCGGAGGCGGGCTGGGAGCACACCGCAACACCGTACAGGTGACAGCGAAGCAAGCACCAAGGACCGCCTGGCCGACTGCTCACATGGGTACGCATGCATTCTTATCAAGTGGCATCGCGTGGCTATCATAACAAAGCCTATTAATACATGGTAAAATAGACAAAGCCCCGAACCGAAGCTAGCGGTGGGCTCGTATGCAGCGCTGGCAGCGGAACTAGAGAAACGAGTCTTATTGCATCGCATCAGTGTTGAAAACGGAGTTGCGCCTCGTGATTTCTGAAATGCTTCTCCACAGGAGCTCCTTGTGATGCATGTGTTTCCTGGGCTGTGAATGCATACCCACAATCTAGACTCTGCGCTAGACACACAATCCTTGGCGGTCTTCCTTGCGAGAGAAACCGGTGGTCTGAATCCGCTGGTCCAGAACAAAGGTAGTAAGTGGAGATAAGTGAGTAAGGTGGCGGGCCAAAATGGCCAGTCCTGGGGGTCCATTTGATCTGGGCGGACCGACAAAACCACAATTGTTTCCAAGTCGTTCTCGTGGTTTATCTAAAACCACCTAGTGTAGGGTGGGATATACTATGTAGACAAAAGTCCGGGGCAGCGTTGGGCGACGATTGGGTCGCATGGAGCGGGAGAGAGATGGGGGATGTGGAGAAGATTTGGTGGTTCCCAATGACGAACGACCCCGACGTGGAACGAACGCAGGCTTCTGGCACCAGCAATACGGTACGGCGGAGAATGCTGGTGATGACGGACTTGCAATGCTGAGGAGGCAAGCCAGTGAGTGTACTCCGTACATGCTGTGTTTAATCTACTTAGGTACCGGTAATACCTGGTTGGGGAGAAACGGTGGATGCCCACACGCCCCCCTTCCCGGACCACCATATTTGGCTTCCCGAGGTCGGGCACCGAGTTGCGTGTCCCCCTCGGTGGCGTCTTACACTTGATGTCTTGCAGGGGCCTGCTGCGTTCTTGTTCCAAACCATCTACAGTTCAGCATGTTCTCTTTTATCCCGAGTTTACCGGTTAAACTGGTTGGGATGTTCATGTTGAACCCGTTGTCCGCTCAAGTGAGTTGCTTGCAAGTTGTGCCCGCTGGGCTGTATGAACGCAGAGGTCCGGGTCTGGAAGAGGACAGGATGGGTGAGAAAGAAGGTGAGAGAAACTGTCCTGGTCACCCGAGTGTGTACCGTGTCTAGAGAGCCCGCGGAGCAAGTCACCTGCAATATAGTATAATGTAATGCTCCGGTTCTTGCTCAGAAAGGCAGCTCGCTGGGTTCACGGCCACTAGAGGGGGATGTACAAATGGTCGGTTGTGAAATCAGAGGTGCCGTTTCCACCACCAGGGAGCAAGCATCAAGCTCGAACCACTGATTACAAAAATAATCTAAAGGTACCTCATTTGCGAAGGGTTTGTCCTCCACCCCCTCTGTCGTTTCTGTTTATCTCTTTTAATCTGCTGATAGCAGAAACATGGCAAGTTAAACTATGGGAGAAGCCGGCCATCTTTCCGTCCTTCGAGTGACAGCTAACGCTTCTTCTGGAACCTTGTTGGGGATAAGGACATTCTCACGGCGGGGTCGGATTTCCATCCCCTTCTTCCGGACGGCGACGGCGGGGATGTCGGGATTCAACATGCTACCGGTATGTGCACCTCAGTCGTGCTGTCGAAGCATTGATTGGGGCCTTTGGAACCTTGGGGGCCTAGACGTCCCGGGACCTACCCTGCTTTTCCAGCTGTTTCCAGGTTCCCCGGGCGGCACCCCTCCCGGTTCTGTCTCCAAGCGTGTTGCCCCCGCCGCCTGCCACCAGCTTGGAGTTCCCCAATGCCGGCCAGATCTACATCGTCTACCAGCAAAGGAGCAGGTGCATGTGCAGAGACAGAGAAACAATCGTCAGCTGGTCCCTATACCAAAGAAGCGAATCCCCCAAGGAGTAAGTATGTTGATGTAGGTAGGTTAGGCACCTAGTGTACGGTGTACATAAACTAGGCACCTGAGTACCTACACTAGTTATTGTCGTTGTTAATTGCCCCTCGAACTACCCTCCATCCCGTTCGTAGTCGTTGCCCCCCCTGTTGCGAGGGTGAGCCTGGTTGGACCACCGCACGGCGCTTGGAGCCACAGTTTTCGTACACCCCGAACAGCTCTTTGCCTCTTTCATTTTCTCACCAATTGTTTTTATCTTTTTTCGCCATCCACGCGCCGGGACGGAGTCTTGTCTTCCTCCTGCATCATGTGCAAGCAGTCTATACCGAGTGGAGTAGCTAGCTCTTGTACCTCTCTCTCATCCTTACCCCACTCGATGGAGGGGCAAAAGAGGTCCAGGTCCTGGGCGGATACCATACCATACACGGACTATACCACACCGGTGCGGTCGCTCACTCATTTCACTCAGCTCAGCGCAAAAGCACAAGCTTCCTGCACCGCATCCCTTTTGTCACAGGAATAAGGATGAACGGTGTGGTGTGTGCCGATAGGAGGTCAGTCAGGACTGGTTGAGTGGACGTCCGCCTGCCTACCCTCCTGGTCGAGTCGAGGCGCTCTTTCTTAAAGCAGAGAGCTCCCAGTTATTCCCCTTATTGATCAACAAAAACCTCGGTGTCTTCCCAGGAGCTCTACTTCCTCGTCCTTCTGCGTCCTTGTCCTGCTGTAGATTCTGCTGTCAATTGACGCGAGACGATACGCCGTCGTCTCCCCTTCGTTGCGTGTTTAAATAGAGCTCTGTTCGTACGTGACGTTCCTGGCGTTGCACACCGCGCATCATGGAGTAAGTTCTGCTGTCACACCAAGCCCGTTGCCACCGCGCCTTCGACCCTTCGGTTTGGAAAGGTTTCGTGAGGACGCATAGAAGCTGATAGTCTCCCCCAGGCCTCCTCAATCCACCGCACCACCTCAACTTCTCGTGAGTTCGGCCGATTGGACCTTGCCCGTTACTGTGTTCGGCAGAGACGCAGGCCATTGACTCGAAGCAATTGACCAGGACCACTACGTCGGAATTGACGTCGGCACTGGATCGGCCAGAGCATGCATTATCGACGAAACTGGCGACATCAAGGGCCTTGCCAGCGAGCCCATCAAGCTGTGGCAGCCCGAGACTGGGTACTATGTAAGACTCCCTGCCACTGCGAGGATCCAAGTCGAGCCCTGCTGACGCATCCTCCCACCAGGAACAATCGACTTCGGACATATGGGCTTGCATCTGCCACTGCGTGAAGCAAGTCCTCAACGAATCCAAGGTCGACAAAGATAAGATCAAGGGCATCGGCTTCGACGCCACATGCTCCCTCGCCGTCTTCAGCCACGACACGGATGAGCCCGTTGCCGTGACGGGGCCCGACTTTGATAACGCCGACGGCAACGACCGCAATGTCATCCTCTGGCTCGACCACCGGCCCGTTGAGGAGACGGAGAAGATCAATGCCACCAAGCACAACCTACTGAAGTACGTCGGCGGCACCATGAGCATTGAGATGGAGATCCCAAAGGTCCTCTGGCTCAAGAACAACATGCCCAAGGAGCTCTTTGACCGCTGCAAGTTCTACGATCTCGCCGACGCCCTCACCCATATGGCTACTGGCAACGAGACGCGGAGCTTTTGCAGCACCGTTTGTAAGCAGGGCTACGTCCCCGTCGGCGTCGACGGCAGTGTGAAAGGTTGGCAGGAGGATTTCCTCACCACCATTGGGCTTGAGGATCTCGTCAAGGACGATTTCAAACGTCTTGGTGGTGTCAACGGGGTGGTGAGCCTATTTCATTAAACAATTTTCCTGGGCGAACGAGAGAGAAAGGGAGGCCAATTGACTGACCGGGACCAGAACGGAAAATACCAGAGCGCCGGAGAACTTGTTGGCGTGCTCTGCAAGAAGGCCGCCGCTGAGCTCGGCCTTCCCGAGGGCATCTCCGTCGGCGGTGGTGTGATTGACGCCTACGCCGGCTGGATCGGCACCGTCGGAGCCAAGGTTGAGCTCCCCCCGGGCCATCTGGAGGCGGACCAGCCTAAGAACGATCTTTCTCAGGCGTTCCACAGACTCGCCGCGGTTGCCGGCACCTCGACCTGCCATTTGGCCATGTCCAAGGAGGCCGTCTTCGTGCCCGGTGTCTGGGGCCCATACCGTGACGTTCTGCTGCCCGACTTCTGGATGGCCGAGGGTGGCCAGTCTGCCACCGGGGAGCTTCTCCGACACATCATCGAAATTCACCCTGCCTTTATCGAGACGAACGCACTTGCGATGGCCGAGTCGAAGAACATCTACGAATTTCTCAACGCCCACCTGGAATACATGCGGGAGAAGAGCGGCGCACCCTCGATCTCATACCTGGGCCGCCACTTCTTCTTGTACGGCGACCTGTGGGGTAACCGATCACCTGTCGCCGACCCCAACATGAAGGGCGCCGTCGTTGGGCTGAGCAGCGACAAGACCACGGACAACCTGGCGCTGTGGTACTACGGCACGATGGAGTTCATCGCCATGCAGACGCGCCAGATCGTCGAGGCGATGAATACGGCCGGCCATGAGCTCAACACCATCTTCATGTCTGGCAGCCAGTGCCAGAACCCGCTGCTTATGAGCCTCATGGCCAGCATCTGCGATATGCCAGTGCTGGTGCCGCGGTACACCAACGCGGCGGTCGTCCACGGCGCGGCCATGCTAGGTGCCAAGGCGGCGACGGCCGCCGAGGACGGCTCCACGGAGGACCTGTGGTCCATCATGGACCGTATGAGCAAGCCTGGCAGGCTCGTCAAACCCGGCACGCTTAAGGGTGAGAAGTTCCTGTTCGACGCCAAGTACCGTGTATTCCTGGAGCAGTGCAAGACGCAGCAGGATTACAGGAAACAGGTCGACGCCGCTGTGGACCAGTGGCTCAAGGAGTGAAGCGTATCAGGCCGGGATCCATGACCGATAGATGGTTTAGACGGTTGACGACATTTACGGGGTGTTGGACGTATGGGTTTATGATTGCTTCGCCGGGCAGGTTTGTACGAGGAGTTGCAGGGTAATGTTAAGAGCCATTCTTTAACGAACATGAAAAAACTCTTTCTTTTTTCCTTTTCTTCCGTCAACAAATTTTCAATCCCGCTGTGGTTGATTCGATTGCCTCGGTTCAATGCGTGTCTGTGGCGAAAGAGCAGTGAAAACTGGGGTAGGTTTGCGGACCAGCCACTTGTTTTCCCTCCCCGTTCTCTCCTAATTAACGGGTCGCGGAAGGCAAGCTGCATTTGTAGCGAGCACACGTGCCTGTAATCACGGCAGCTGATAGGGCAATTGGGGGTGCGCTTCGCAGCGGGACAGTGGAACTTGCGGTGCTGCAACGGGAGACCGGTGGGGCCGGTAGAGCAGCTTGTCAGATGTGAAAAACCCGCCCGCAGTGAAACCGACTGTTGAACTCCTCGCTTATAACGGGCGTAATCTCGAGAACTAGGCAAGTCGGTATTGTCCTAACGAAATCACATCGAGTAATTATACATGTTGGATGCAAAACAAGCAAAACAAGAAAACGTCATTAGGTCAAGAAGAAAGCGCCGGAAGGACAACCCCACGTCCGAGCTTTTCTGTCCATCGCGAGGCAAGACTGGTGGTATCCGTACCTTTGCCGACATCATCCTGCTGCACCCAAAGCTTGTTTTTCTTCTTTTCTTTCCACAACACCCACCACGCCCACGCCCCCGCTCCGATTCGATCGAGTATTTCCATTGTTAGACCTGTCGCCGCACTGCCCGTCTTCGGTACACAATCCTCCAGGGAACAAATCAATCGAGCAGACCGCGCCCTCCTTACCATTGCCTCCCCGATCTTGACAACCACCTACCGCCGCCATGCGTTTCGGAAAGACGCTGCGGCAGGCCGTCTACGCACCGTGGAAGGACAAGTACATCGACTACGCGAAGCTCAAGTCCCTGCTGCGGGAGGACAAGTACGATGATGACGACGTCGCTTGGACCGAGGACGACGAGAGCCGCTTCTGCGACGAGATCTTCAACGGCCAGCTCGAGAAAGTCGCCAAGTTTCAGGAGGAGACCTTCGAGGCCTTGAAGCGCCGTATCGACGCGGCGTTTGAGAAGCTCAAGGAGCTGGCGCCGCCGCCCAGCGATGAGGATGGCGCGGAGAACGCCCAAATCAAGAAGCCTGACGCTGCAACCGCTGCAAAACTGAAGGACATCGAGACGGAGCTCGATAAGATCACGACCGAGATCTCGGAGCTGAAGAAGTACAGCAACATCAACTACACGGGGTTTCTCAAGATCGTCAAGAAGCACGACCGCAAGAGGGGTGATAGGTACAAGGTGCGGCCCATGATGCAGCTGAGCCTGTCGCAGCGGCCCTTCAATTCGGAGCAGGGTTACTCGCCCCTGCTCAACAAGCTGTCCATCATGTACTACGCCATTCGGCAGCAGCTGGACGACGGCGCCACCGACCAGCAGCCGCTGGATCTGGAGAGCCAGGGCGAGACGCGCCACGGCGAGCGGTACACAGCTCACAAGTTCTGGGTCCACCCCGACAACCTGCTGGAGGTGAAGACGTACATCATGAGACAGCTCCCGGCCCTTGTGTACAGCGAACAGTCGGCCAAGGAACTAGACGGTAGCAACGACCCGACCATCACCTCGCTTTACTTCGACAGCCCCAAGTTCGACCTCTACAGCAAGAAGGTGGAGCGCAAATCGGAGGCCTCGTCGCTGCGCGTCCGGTGGTACGGCCAGCTGAGTTCGAAACCCGAGCTGTACTTCGAACAGAAGATCGTTGGCGAGAACGGATCGAGCGAGGAGCGCAAGTTCGCCATCAAGGACAAGTACATCAAGCCCTTCATCGACGGCACTTATAAGATGGAGAAGACGGTGCAGAAGATGGAGCGCCAGGGTCAGCAGGCCGAAGATATCGAGAACTTCAAGAACACGGTCGAATCGCTGCAGGGCTTCGTCCAGGAGAACAAGCTGGAGCCCGTCCTACGCGCCAACTACGTCCGTACGGCGTTCCAGAAGCCCGCCGACGACCGCGTGCGCATCTCCATCGACACCGAGGTCGCCTTCATCCGCGAAGACACGTTGGACAAGGGCAGGCCATGCCGCGACCCAGCGGACTGGCATCGTTTCGACATCGACGGCCGGAATCTGACCTACCCGTTCAAGGACATTAACCAGAGCGAGGTCTCGAGGTTCCCGTACGCGATCCTCGAGATCAAGCTGAAGGAGGATCCCAGCCGCAAGCGCCCCGAGTGGATTTCGGACCTGATGGGATCTCACCTGGTGCACCCAGCGCCCCGCTTCTCCAAATTCGTACACGGCGTCGCCTCGCTATTCGAAGACTACGTCAACAACCTGCCCTTCTGGCTGACCGACCTGGAGGCGGACATCCGCAAGGACCCCCAAGAGGCGTTCGAGGCCGAGGAGCAGCGCAAGGCTCAGAGAGCCGAGGACGAGCAGGCCGTGGGCAGCTTTCTGGGCAACAAGATCAGCTCCTACAAGGTGTCCAAGAGCTCGCCGGCCGGCAAATCGTATCTCGCGGATAGGATGGCCGCCGAGCCCAGCTCCCGCCCGAAACCCTCCGACCGCCAGTCCCAGCAGAACGGCAACGGGTCCTCGGATCAGCAGCAGAGGAGCTACGGCACCCTTTCGTCCGTCCTCCCGGGCTTCTCGCTGTCCAAATACTCCAAGGCCAAGAGGGCGCAGAAAAGCCAGCAGCAGCTGCCCGAGGGCGTCGTCGAACCGACCGAATGGATCAAGAACTCGGGCGAGCTGAAGATCGAGCCCAAGGTGTGGCTGGCCAACGAGCGCACGTTCCTCAAGTGGCAGCATATCTGCATCCTGCTCGGCGCGCTCGCCGTGTCGCTGTACACGGCCGCCGGGGAGAACTTCCTGGCCGAGGTCATGGGCATCGTGTACATCGTCATCGCCGTGTTTGCTGGAGTTTGGGGCTACGGCATGATGCGCCTGCGGAGGAAGATGATTATCGCCCGCAGCGGCAAGGATTTCGACAACCTCATTGGTCCGCTGATCATCAGCATCGCGTTGATGGTTGCGCTGGTGTTGAACTTCGTGTTCGCCGTAAGTGTTGCGTCCTGGTTCATTCTGCTTGTGGGTTGCTCTGATTGAGTGTCGATCGCTAACCTGACGTCTAGTACCGCGCCGCCGTCGGAAAGATGGAGTCCAACGACGTGCTTGGCGGTGGTAATGTCACTGGCGAGCCGTTCCGTCAGGAACTGATCTAACAGCAAAGGTGCCGAAATATCGGTCGAGGTGAGCCAGAGCAAGCGCTGGCGAAGTGTTTCCTTTGTATAGGTGTATTATTGAGCATGGGCTTGGCTTGGTGTGCTGCGTTGGACCCGGTTCTTGCCCTCCTTTTGGTATTGAATGCGATGCCTGCTTGGAGTAGAGGCGTTGCCGTGTATAAGTGTAGTCATAGCGTGAGAAGGAGTAGTGGTATCAAAAGTTGCGTGAGAAGCAGAGGCGACATGTCGATTGCGTATGCCCTCCGACGTCCCGTGGCGGTCGACGAGCTTTCCCCTGCGGCCCGGGACCAGTTGAACGACGAGCAGAAGCTCGCAAAGTCTTGCCTTGCCCTCCTGCCTTTGTCTCATGTTGCCGGACAGTATGAATCGCCCTCCAGTACGACCATGGCCGCGTCCTCTTCGCCGCCGGGTGCTGCACCACAATAGAAGTCAAGCCCGAGTCACTAGGTATCCCTTCCTACAGCGTCTCCGCTCAAGGCGGCAATGGCAGTGGTGGTTGAAGGCGAGTTGCTGCTGCGCGGAAGGATAACGCTGTCTTGATGATCGGCGTATGGAGAATCGGCGTGGCGACGCACACGCAAGGGGCCGTCGTTGTCAAATAGACATTATGAGAAGGCTCCCAACCTTACCAGGGCACGACCCGGAGAGCGACAAGTAGGCGGGCATCGACGAGAAGACAGGCGTCAAGCGGCACACCAACCTCGTCAAGGGGTATACCGTCTTTTCGAGGAACGTTGACAAGGCCGAGTCCTCTTAAGCTTTAAGCTCTACTTGTGTGGCCTGGGCCCTCCCTGCCTGATCTTGCCTATGACGTGTCTGTGATATACCTGGAGGCCAATGGCAATGATTCTGCGATCTCAGGTCCAGAATGGCAGTGTCTTATGGGGCAGAACACAGACCTCTTTTTGTAGCCTCCAGGCGCCATTTAACCTCCCTCGAAGCCCTGAGCGCCCACGGGTGAACATTCCCGAGCTCTGCCGTCTCGACAGATAGATGTTGCATTGCCCACGGTGGGAGCCATGCTAGTCGGGGAAAAGGGTAGGAGGATACATGGGAACTCAGTCGACATATCGTGTGGAAAGGGATTGTCGAAGGTTCGTGGCTTGGCTTGTATGCCATCCAGTCTATGTCGAGGGTCTTGTCATTCTGCACTGCAGATATAGAAGAATGTGTTGGATGGATCTCTTATAGAGACTGTCTAGCCTCGATGAAGGACAGTCCCCAAGAGGGTCATTCCTCGTCCCGTCACCTTGACACTGTACATATGCGTGTTTCCGTCCATGTATACACATTGGTTATACCACTGTTCCAGGTCCAGCCCAGGGCTCTTCTCTTGTAAAGAACTCAACACTGAGCCCTCACAACCTCCAAGCAGTCATGAAGGCCGCAGTCGAGAAAGGCAAAGTTCGAGAGAATAAAAAAGCACGGCATTCTGCTGCTGCCTAGGCTCCCCAGCTTTTACGGACGCATTCAACCGTGTATACTCACGAACAACCAAGGCTAATACGGGGTGGGTGTCGTCCCAGAGTATCACCGTGCCTCTTAACGCCAACCTGTGTGGACAACCTAAATCCACTGCGTGGCCAAATGAAAACAAGCACGTCAAGGCCAGAATATGTTTTCCTTCAGGGAAGAGGAGTCGCCCGAGCACTCGATAGATAGATGGGGGCAACCTCAAATTACGCATGCTGCTACGTGGGGGTCTCTCTCATCTTCGATAATCGGCTCTGTCGATACACTACGCAAGAACCGAGCGACGACTTGCCAGTCGATGCAAGGTGTGCGGCCAATGCTGACTTTCCCACGTTCATCACCCGTGTCGCCTTGTGTTTATATCACGAACTGTCTCGGGGGGGGGGGGAGAAACGTCGTCGAGGTTGCCCAACCTCCAGAAACCAGCACAGAGGGTTTGTCACTGTTGATACGTACGGCGGACGAAGCGAGAGGCCGGACACGAACGGATACGCCATCAAAGAAACACGAGCCATCCGTACCGATCAGAAAGCGGAGGGAAGGTTCACACCAAAGTGTGCAGCGTCAAGGCCATCAAAAGAGCGCAAATAGCCCGGTGTGATTCTCGAAGCACCCGAAGCCTCCCACTGGGGGTTCAACGCTGGCCGCGTGGTCAAGTGCGCGAGGCCAGCCAGTACACCGTCTGGGCGGAGGGCAAATCGATCGATCCCATTCGGATCAGGTTATGGTCACCAGCCAATTTCGCTAGCTGTCTGGGACCGCCCGAGCGGGTGTAGTCAATATTGACTGCCAGCTATAGCATACGCCATACCCTAACGCATGAAGGCGGTGGCAGGTGGCCACCCTGGTCGACCCAGCGCGGACTACACTCCGGACGACACCACGAAACACGGAAGGGCAAAAGACATCGCAGGCGAGACTTGTCGAGTTCGGAGAACGGGCTTGGGACGCAGGTGAGGTTTGGAGATACGGGGACTTCTGAGCACACTGGTGCGCCAGCCCAAAGGTTATTATCTACAGAGTTAATTAAAGTCGAACGCTGGGGCGGGTTCTTGGACCCTGAGCCTTCCCCCATTGTCTAAAGTTTGAGCTAATCCGATTAATCAACAAATTGACTCGAGGGGCGAGTTGCTGGCTCTTTGGCCGTTCGTTCCGGGGTTGGGGAGAGGGAGTTCTTATGTGAGCCGTGATACCCAAAGAAGGCATTGATGCTTCGACGCGTGATTAAGGCTCGGTGTTGCCCGGGGGCGGGGGTTTTCTGTGTGCGTGACATCAAGACGTATGAAATGAATGGACGATATATGCGGCGGCGGCGATGGTAATGAAGAGACCTTGAGCTGCAGCGAGATTCATGTAGAGGGGTGTTTGGAGTTCTATACAAGGTTCTGAGAGATAAACTGGGTTTGAAAGCGCAATCTTGGGACTGGCATGAGCCCTGACCCTAGGCGTCACACCAGCCGGGTGACAGGTCGAAACACTAGAGCCAGAATTGCTCCCGGGAAGATGCTTAAGATTGATGGACATGTCAAGTCACCGATCCACCGAGGATCGCGGCGGGAAGCAGTGATACTGTCGAATCCTCAGAGCACGTCATATCGGAAAAATGCACAACTACCGGTGCGCCAAACCGTTCGGGGAGAACGATGGCGGGATGAGTTTTATTGGCCGTCGATGACGTAAAGGGACTTGGAGAGGTGGTTGCGGCAAAGACTGCAGGGCGACCATGCGCGCGGCGGACGGACCGAGTGACGGAAGTGTCGGGAGTTTGATTCAGCGAAAGCCACACGACCTTTGGGCCGACGACGGGCCATTCAGCCTGCTGAGCACCCGGGGCCGGAGAGGGGAAAACCCCGTACAACCAACGGGCCGACTTTTTTTTCCCTTTTTTTTCCCCCAAATAGGAGGGGAGTGGTGGGGGGGCTTTTCGCCCTCGATTGGCGGTTCCTGAAGGCGGCTGGGAGCTGTTTTGGAGCACCCAGGCAGGAACTGATTTCGAAAGCAAACGTCACGGATGAATTGGGCCGCTGGGTGATAACAATAACAAAGGACCTCGAGGGGGCCCCGATCTCGATCAGAGAGGCACTGAACGGGCGTCGACGCCCTTGCATGGCATCGGACGGTGGACCCGGCCGTTGACGGACATGGTCGAGGGCGGTAATGGATGGGTTCGTCGGTGCAATCCAGGCGGACGTTGGGAAAACGCCAGGGTTAGGGTCCTCTCGAGATTCGGGAACCGGAAAGCGGGTTCGTTACCTGGCCGCATGAGAGAGAGGGGGAAGGGGAGGGGGAGAGAGAGGGTTTACGAGCAGCCAGCGGCGAGGCAAGCGAGAGGACGAAGAAGCTCTGGGCCGACGCATGGCATGGCATGGCATGGCACGGCATGGCGCTGGGTTGGCAGATGGCGAGTCAGCTTGCGTGGATGGAGCGGGATGACACACGACGTGGCAGGTTTGGATTTCTTGCAGGTTCAGCGCGCGACACTGGGTTGTTCCCTTCCGCGACGTCCAGCGTGCAGGCCCATCCGCTGTTGGGCATTCGGGCACCACGGCGGCTCGGCCTATCAAGACGAGCCTCATCTGCAGTTGTGCACTTGACTTTTCTTCCCTTGCAGCCCACCTGATCTCTCCAAAGTGCAAGCTTACTCTCCTCACTCAACCTCGACAATGCGTCGTCCCTGGGGCCCAGCATGCCAGGGTGATGTGGTCGTGACAGCTGCCCAGGTACGCAGATGTACTACTATGTATGGATGGACCTTACTAGGTATGTACAAGACAAGGTGTACGCTGGCGTATAGTAGTAAGTAGTAGTATGCACAGCGTACGGGATACGGCAATCAGAGTTACACCCGACTGCTAACCACTTACAAGAGCAGCGCAGTAATCCCCACCGCAAGGGTGAGGTGGCAGAGGTACGGATACCCTTTCTTCGAAGGCAGAACGCATATGAAGACCAACAAGCTGGAGCAGGGCGCCGGCGACTAATGCACGAGATGAGGGCAAGCCAGACAGACGTTGGAATAAAATAAAATAAAATAAAACCAGAAAGGGAAAAAAAAAATTATTGGTACGGGAGCCGTCGTGCGTGCACATGCATGCGTGTATCCATTCCATCCATCCGTCCACCCATTCATCGTTCCTGCTTCGCTTCACCTCACTTCAGTCAATGTGCCTTCCTGTCTAGTGGCATCCTAATTACTACTGCTACTGCTACTACTACTACTACTATACTTTTAGTGTCCACCCGCCACTCTCTTACTCTTCACTCTCACTCTCACTCTCATTCTCACTCTCACCCGCCTGAACCCAAAAATTAACTCCAGGCCACACCCGGACCCACCTTGTCATCTCATGCCTTGCGCGCGACACGTGAACCACCACCACCACCTCGAACTCGACTAAGCGCCACCACTGGACAAGCGTTGCTCCCATCTTTTTGACTTTTGCCTTTTCTTTCTTATTCGTTGTTGAATTAGAGGCAGCCTGCTGCGCCTACGACCGTGAGTGAGCTTGTCGCCACCACCTTCAATTTGAGATGCATTCCTGATCTCCTTGGGATCATCTCACAGACGTCCACCACACAGACATCCGTTCAATCCCCCGACCTCCGACGCCAACCACAACGTCAACAGCATCATCAAGAACAACAACAACAACAACAACAGCGCTTTGATCCGGCGGCCTCTCTCCGCCATTCTAAGGCTTGGCAGTGGAGGGAATGCCTCAAACGCTACCGTAGTTGCGAAATAACCTACAACCACTGACAGCCTCACTACCGAACGACATTGGGCCGATGCTGAACGTATCGCTCCACCTGCGACAGGCGCATTCCCCGTGACGCGCGCTGGTGCGCAGCCACCCGACTGACGAGTTCACTCGCGCCCTTTCTCGCCCGGGCCCCGTTCAACCCAACAAACAGTTTGCTTGTTTGTTTTTATCCTGCCCGCCGCATCGCAACAACTCAGTCTGAGCGGGCAACACACCTTCGAGTACCGTCACTAGTAATTCATTCATGAGGTATGGCCGACGTCAAAGAAGGAGACAGGGAGGGTCGCAGCGAGAAGAAGAGCTTCTGGGGCAGCATCTTCCGGAACAGGAGCCTCGCGAAGAAAGGGAGACTGGTATGGCGAGCCTTGCAAGCACTGAGCTGTCGTGGAGACATGCGCGCCCCATGCCTTGACGGCTTTCGTACTGACTCTGGATTACAAGGAAAACCCGGAATCGCGCAGAGCGAGCGACGGAGATGTCGCCCCGCGCAGACGCCACTCCCTCGCCGACATGCGCAAGTCCATGAGGCCAGCCGAGTCCCCGAACGGTCACCCCGATCACCCGGATCACCGTCGCTCCCGCCGCCGGCCTAGAAGGCCGGACCCCGCCCGAGCCAAGGGGAAGGGCCGCGCACATTCCAACGGGGGCGTCTTCGAAACGGGACCGCTGACCGAATGGCCGCCGCCCGGAATGTCCAGCCAGGAAGAGCTCACTCTCGGCCACGCCATGGAGCTCGTCTCTCGCGGTGTCCCCGCTCACAAGGGACACAAGCGTCCGGTCCCGCACGCGTCGGATCACTACTATGCCCTGTACACCACCTCGGCGGGGAACCAAACCGAGGAGTCCGACGTGGCCAACCTGCACGACTCCATGACCCAGCTGATGACCCTCCGTATGCAAGGCGGCGGTGCGGCCATCTATCCCTGGGAGACCCTCGAGCAGCCGAGCTTCGCTTTCTTCTACGGACAGCAGCCGGGCACCATCACGTTGAATCAGTGGGCTTCTCTATCTAGCATTATGCCGCCCACCATCGCCCTAAGAGATTCCGGCGTGGCGGCCCGAGAGGTTGATCTGGCCCGCATTTTCGAGCGCCTGAAAGAGTTGGAGTCTGGCCTCGAGGACGACGACGCCGAGTGGATGTACAAAAGCTTATACCGCCGCTTTCTCCGCGATCCCGACAAGCTGATGAACCCGCACAAGGGACTCGAGAAGCAGATCACCGACCTGATCATGGTCTTGTCCCGCCCGGACTGGATTGACCTCACGAACCCCAAGAACCAAGTCGTCACTCGCTTTATTTTCGACCCGGGCCGTGCAAGCCAACATCAGTACATCAAGTTCTGCCACCAACTTTTACTCAGCATGGAGCTGGATTTGCGTATCAACTCCCGGCTGCATGGCGAATGGGCCAAGGAGAAGTTGCTGCCTCAGCTGCCGCCCACCATCCAATGGGATCTTGCGCTTGCGAGACGTTGGCGGGAACATGTGAGGATCGAGGGCTATGGCAAGACAGTGGAGCAGAGTAAGTGGACGGGGACCTACTCGAGAAGCAAGACTAACCTGTGCGGCAGTCAACCTACGCTTCCGACTCAAAAAGCGGCAGATCAAGATGCTGCGGCGCTTTGCCCAGATGATGAAATGGCCGAATCTGGGTCAAACTCTCGACAAGATGAAGCAGATGGACATGGAGGCGTCTCTCGACATCATCAGCTCCGATGCCTTGGCGTTCTTTAGCGGCCTCGTGCTACCCGGGGTATGTTATTATATCTGTTCCCGGCCAGTGCTACAACTCGACTAACGCTGAAAAGCCCACGTTCCCGTTCCTCATCATGAACACCCTCATCGACATTGATCCGGACAAGGCTACCGACTCGCTCGCCATGATGACGCACCTCCATCCCCATTGCGGGTTTCAGTACAGGAATAGTTACACCTACTGGACCGCTGCCTCCATCGTCGGAAAGGTACTTGCGCCTACATGTCGGTCCCTGGCAGGCTGGGTCGGACCAGCCCGTCCGACCACGGACCTCGGGCGGTCTCAAATCGCCCGCATTCGGTCCCGCCGCTCTCGCCAGCGCATGACACCCGAGGATGTCCAATCGATGAGCGAGCGATCCGATCCCCTTGGACCTCCGGCGGAAGTGTTTCCTGTCAAGGAGTACAAGCTTGTGGCGCCGGACGCAGACGACATAGTCGATACGGTGCGCATCGAGCTACTCAGCTTCAGGGCTGTCCCCGTCCATTTCCAGGAGCCACCACCGGTGCCGAAGTTATTCGACGCAACAGTCCAGTTCGCCGTCGATGGGGTCTCGTGGCCTATGCATCTCACCTATGACGTTTCCTTCATCTCGTCGTGGCCTTGTTCGGACGGCCCGCACCCGCTCTTCTTCGATTATATCTTCCAGACCGTCAAGGCAGACGAGATCATGAGTATCAAGGACTGGGGCGGACTATACGGGCAATCTCCAAGCGCGCGAACCTCCAGGACGAGCTCCAATGCAGGTCCGCACACTATAAGTAGCCAGGATCAGATTGACGAGGAGCAGGTGTTGGTGGTGGAGGCGTTCGGAGTCAGAGACAATGAGGTCCTGGCTCGCGCCTGGTGTTCGCACTGGGGTCTGAGCGCCGTGGTTGCAGATATTCGAAAGACCTGGTGAGTTGCTTGGAGGCAGGGTGTTTGTTTTCTGCCTGGATATCTTTTCTGAGTAGCAGGACTTACTTGGCTAACGTTGAACAGTATGGCATGCGCTATCCGCGAGGCGTACGCTGCGACACTGACAGTTGTGATCCTCGTGGACGACCAAGAATACAACGCGGACGACTGATGACATTGCACGATCAACGATTTTTCTTCTCTTTCCTTTCCTCTCGTAATGATGATGAATAGACAAAGTTTTATATAAAAAAAAAGGAATAGGCGGTGTCGGGAACGATACGATGGCTAGCTACCTCGGCTCATGCTTTTTTTCTTTATTGGGATTTTAAGATACCACAGCGAGTCTTGTTTTAGTCCGTGTACATTTCTTGGATTATTGGACTAGCAAACACACAAGCACCAAACAGGTGACGTTTTGCGAGGAGAAGGGGGAGATGTAGCGGGAGGGGGCGGCTCCAGGCTCCAGGGAGGGATGTTGCGATGGATTGTGAAATACCCAGGACAGAGTGCATTTCTTGAGCGTTTCATTGGGTACGTGCTGATACGGCTTCTCCGCTTGACTATAATTCTACCGGACATTCTTTTTTCGTACATTCTCATGGCTTTTGTGCCCTTCCTGCCTGATTAGGCCCCCTCCGGGTCCCCGAGGACGGATTTGAACGCCGCCAGGCTCCGTTCCCAAACCCCTGCGCCATCGCCCTCGGCCCAAGCAGCCACCTTCTCGACGCCCTCGAGGTCCTCCTTCATGCGGGCCTCGTTCGTGGTCCCGTCCAGCACGCTCACCCCCCTCAGCCCGAGCACGAGCGCGTACATGGCGACCTCGTTGCTCACGCCGGCGCCCTCGGCAACCCTGGTCACGGCCTCGCTCCTCACCAGCGGTGGGTTCGCCGTCAACGTCCAGAAGGACTGGAAGTTGATGCCCCTCTCGCGGCAGAAGACGCGGACGGGGGTGTTGTAGGCCTCCTTGGGGTTCAGGCGGTTCTGAACGACGACGGGCTTGACGGCGGCGTCGGCGCAGAGGGCGCGCAGCTCGTCGAGGCTGACGTTGGAGATGCCGAGGGTGCGGACGCGGGACGGGACGTAGGACTCCAGGGCGCGCCAGGCGAGGAGGGTGTCGGCGTAGGAGGGGTAGGGGGCGTGGAGGAGGACGCAATCGAGGTAGAAGGCGTCGTCGTCGTCGTCATCCTTAGCCGTGGCGGGCGCCTCCTCGCGGGCGAAGAGGTTGCCGGGCACGGAGAGGTTTTTGAAGGACGAGGCGACGGAGGCGTGGACCTGGTCCGGGATGGGCAGCGCCGAGGGCGAGGGGGAGAACTTGGTCTGGATGTAGAGCCTCGAGCGGGAGACGCCGTGTGTCGGGTTCTGAGCGAGCCAGGCACGGAGCCCGGTGCCGACTCCTTCTTCAAAGTAGTGGTGGGATGCGGCGGTGTCGAGGGCGCGGAAGCCGGCGGACAGGGCGGAGGCGACGAGGGGCGCGGTCTGGGACTTCTTCCAGGCGGTGCCGTAGATCAGGCGCGGTATCGGAGCGACGGTGTTAGTCATGGCTGGCTGGCTGGCAGGCTGGGGTGTTTTTATTCTGATTACAAGTGTCAAATGTTTTGGTCGACGGAGAGAGGAATGAATGAGGGTACGAGGTGTGGGTGGTTGGGGATAACGCGCAACGTCGATGAGGTTATCCGGGCAATGAGGCTCAAAAAGCGGCCGTGACGCCTGACCGAATGCGATCTCAAAGCGTCAATCGGCCCACAAAATCAATCATGGTTGTCTAGGTTGTCAATCGATCTCACAAACCTAGAAGTTTTCTCATTGCCAGGTAATTAGCTTATGGCCTGCAAAATAGGCTGTCACACCTCTCAAAGGCATCGATGCCCTGAAGCTTCTTCGATGACGTCTGTCTTATCGCCGATAAGAGAAAGCCCCGCCGCGGGGTAAACGGTCCGACCTCCCACCCACGACGACCCCCACCCCGCACTCCGATTGCTCAGCTCTCAGTGACCGTTGCAGCCAAGCATTCTTTGATTTACCCGATCGCGGGAAGCTTGCCGACGGGATCGTGTCTGTTCGCCGCCGCATGTTCCTCCTCGGCATTCGCAAGCCGTCCTGGTACCCCGCAGCAGCTCCCTCCAAAGATTGCTGGAGTGGAGGGGGCGAGAATCGATCGATGAGTCGTTGAAAAGGGAAACGACACCCTCGCCCATTCGCATATGTTTCTCCCATCCATCTGCTTTCTACTCTTCCCCCAGGGCACTCAAGTATTTGATCGCTCGCCTTCACATACTACCTAATCATTGGCCTTTCCCTGTCAGACGGTTTTCTCGCTTTAAAAGAACCGGACCACACGCACCTCACTACCCCTCTAAACTCGACTTTCAAGATGGCGCCGTACACAGTCAACTGGGGCATCATGGCCACCGGGTGGATCGCCGAGAGTGAGATTCTCCTTACTTCGCCGACGACAGCTCCGTCCAATGCCGCAGCTCCCTTACCTTTCAAGTCGCAGGCAGACTCTTGCTGATCCCTCACAGCCTTTTGCAAGGACCTCCTCACCAACCCGGCCTCCCGCGACGTGACTGACGTTGCCCACCGTATCGCTGCCGTCTCCTCCTCTCGCGACTCCCAAAAAGCGCGCGACTTTGTCAAAAAGATCGATGCCCCGGCCGACACGACCGTCTACGGCTCCTACGCCGAGCTCGTCCGCGACCCCAAGGTCGACATCGTCTACGTCGCCACGCCGCATTCGCACCACTTCCAGAACGCCATGCTCGCCCTCGACGCCGGCAAACACGTCCTCTGCGAGAAAGCCCTGACCGTCACCGCCGAGCAGACCCGCGTCCTCGTCGAGACGGCCCGCGCCAAGAAGCTCTTCTTCATGGAGGCTGTCTGGACCCGCTACTTCCCCCTCAGCATCAAGGTGCGCGAGCTCATCTCCACCGGCGCCATCGGCAAGGTCTACCGCACCACCGCCGACCTGTCCTTGAACAGCTGCACCGAGGGCTCCGACAAGCTGTCGTTCCCGGACTCACACCGAATGGTGAACCCCGAGCTCGCCGGTGGCGCGCTCCTCGATCTGGGCATCTACTCCCTGACGTGGCTGTTCCAGACGCTGTACCACCTGCAGGGTGAGAAGGAGTCGCCCGATGTCCTAGCCTCAGTGCAGAAGTATCCCGTGACCGGCGTCGACGAGTCCACCACCATGATCCTCAACTTCCCCAAGAACCGGCAGACGGGCATCGCCACGACCTCGCTGCGCGTCGACACGGCACCCGACGGCAAGGGGAGCACCGCCCCGGCGATCCGCATCCAGGGCTCCAAGGGCGAGATACAAGTCGCCCACCCGGCTTACCGCCCACTGTCGTATAAGGTGATCAAGAAGGGCATCGAGGAGGTCGAGGTTGTCGAGTGCCCAATCCCCAAGGACGAGGCCCGTCAGTGGGGTCACGGCATGTTCTGGGAGGCCGACGAGTGCGCGCGCTGCCTGCGCGACGGCAAGCTGGAAAGCGCCTCGTTGCCGCTATCGGAGAGTCTTGTAATCATGGAGACAATGGACAGCGCGATCAAGCAAGGAGGCATCAACTACCCCGAGCTCATCACCACGCACAAGTTCGACCCCAAGAGCCCGTTGAACCTGGGAAACGCTTGAGCTGGGATGCTCTGGTAGATAGTAAGCAAGCACTGGGGAAAAGAAAAGAAAAGAAAAGAAAAAGGCATCAGACCACATGGGCCGCGAGGAAAAGAGACACGTCAAATGCAGGCCCGGCGGTAAGGTAGATGAAGATAGGCGGTACGGCACCGGGATCTACTTCTCGGTACCAGATATCGCCGCCCCGAGACCGCCGCGGATCGGGACGGGACGGTGATGTGCCGCGAGCCCAATGAACTAAGCGATTTGCGGTCCGCGACCGTTTCACGCCCCGGCCCCCAATGTCTCTCTCTTCTCCTTTTGTGCAAGCCCAGGTGCTGGGTGGCTGACACCTGGAGAGAGAGGCCAGTCCCTAGTCTGCGGTTTGATCTACTCGCACCCCCACCTCCCCCCATCTCCCCCTCCCCCAAGTGCGCGCGTACCTTCCTTGTGCGTGCGTGCCCTGCCAAACTTACTCAGTCGATCTCAGGCGCCACACGGGAGCAGGCATGTCTGACAAACATGGAAGCATTGTAATGCCTCAATTCTCCAACTCCTGGGTCGTAGCCCTGCCCTTGACCGTGGATTGAATGCGTGCCGAGCTTTTCTTCTTCTTCTTCTTCTTCTTCTTTTTTAGGTTTGTACTTGCACAAAAATTTGCAGCATAATTCCACGGCACACACACAGACACACACACACACACACACACACACCACGACTAGCCCCCCGGGCGGTCTCTCCCGCCGATCGGAGATCAAAATCACACGGCATTCGTACCGAGCAGACGGGGGCCGATGGTGGCTTACCTGAACCTGACGTCGCTAAAGGGCATGTCATCCGAAAAGGGGCAAGGCGTCTGGAACAGATGCAGACGTGAATAATGGGCTGCAAGGCCCCCCCCCCCCCCCCGCGGCTCACGAAACGCAGCAGATATATGCGCGACTCCTCCTTTCCGGCGTCACCATGCTCAGCCCAACGATTCTTTACAGAATTGGAGTTTTTCTGCCCCCCCTCCACTTCTTTATTTCCTAGGCTAGCATGCCTAATGGGCCGAGAGGTTGGGCAGACAGGGGATGAACGGGGGTGCGAACGGGCCGAAAGAAGGACTCGGGACACCCCCCCCCCCCCCTTGGAGACAATCACGCAAGATATCATTCAAGGATGATCTCCATCCGTTCGTACCGAGCCCCCGGAATTCCAAATCTCTTTTGTACGCCAGGCTAGAACGCTGCCCTCGTCCTTGATGCTCTTTCTCTCTGCACACACTTCCCCCCTTTCTCTCTCCTCCACATCTATATCGCATCGCGCCCTCGGAGACAACATGAGACAGGAACAAACATTGGTAAACCCCGCGGATCGACCATGATCGAGGTTCGTCCACTCTGGTGCTACGCCGGTAACCAATGCGCGACGAACGACGGGCGGGTGCTATTAAGGGGGTTAAGCGTCGCGAACCGTGTGTTCGCTGCTTTGACTTGCAGGGGAAGAAGGAAGGGGGAAGGGGGGGGGTACGACGATTGACGGGAACTGACCGGGCATGATGTATCCTAACCGCCCGTCCCCTATTTGCCGATGGAAAAAAGACAAAGAAACAGGAATCTGGAAAAGCTCAGCAGGGCCAGTAGGGCCCGCATAGGAGCGAAAGACACAAGAGCAGCAGCGGCAGCAGCGGCAGCAGCGGCAGAAGCAGCAAATTCGGAGCCTCCCGAGCTGGACAAGCCCCCTTCCCAGTCCCGGAACGCGTCTCCGTTCGAGGCCACCAGCGGTACCATGCCCCCCACACCGTAACACTACTATTACTATGTATACAGCTTCTCGAGCAGAAAGAGGGCCCACTCCGCTCCACTCCTCTCTGATATCACCCAGCTCCAACTTGCCCGATTCGTTCGATTTATTCCCCCAAAGACCGAGCAAGGCCTCCAGGGTCCCAAGCGTCGTCGTCGTCGTCTTTTTTTTTCTGCCTCCTCCAACCACACTCACCGCCCGGCCGAACGACCTGAGTCACTGACGTCTGCAGCGCACGAGCCTCGACAACGGCTCTCGGGGTCTCCCGCTCGTTCATTTCATCTTTGCACCCCACAAACTACTCTCTTGCATCGCAACAGGAGAAAAAGGGGGGGCGTGTGTGTCACCAGTTGTAACCTACCTGCAGACCCGGGGCAAGAGTCAGACTCAAGACACACAGACATCCATCCAACCTCGCGCTCTATTCTCGTTCTAGCTTTCCAAACGTCTCAACGTTTACATATCAAGCTTAACGGGATCGCCGACCAGGGGCCTCGAGGTAACCCTCCCTTTTCCCCCTTTTCCCGGCCCCTGACCCGTCAGCGTCTTTTCGGCAGGCAAATAAAGGGGGGCGAGCTTTCGGCCAGTAGCTATAGCTGCAAGGGAGGGGGGAACAGCTCCGAAAAGGGAAACCTGCTGCTGCGGCACGAGCCCAACTTTGCCAGCCTAGCGCAGCCCATGGGTGTCTCGCCCGGCCCCCAACTCGGCGCCGGCCAGCCGGCCGTGCCCGCCGCTGTCGATCCCCGTTCGCCGGAGCCTCCTTATACCCTCGGCGACTCCTCCGTCTCGTCCAGCCGCGGACATGACGCTGTCATCTCCCCGCCGTGGACGGACGCAGCATCCCGCCGGCAACCAGCCGAGGGGGTTCAAGGAAAAGAAAAAGAAGCAGCTGCTGCAGCTGCTGCTGCACCAGTAGTAGCAGACGACGACGCGGACGCCTACGAGTCCCGTCATGTCCACACCGTCTACGAGGCCATCGCCCCGCACTTCTCCTCCACCCGCTACAAGCCGTGGCCCCTCGTCGCCTCCTTCTTGCTCTCTCTGCCTCCCGGGTCCGTCGGCCTCGACGCCGGCTGCGGCAACGGCAAGTACATTGGCGTCAACCCGGCCCTCTACATCATCGCCTCGGACCGGAGCGCGAACCTGGTCTCGCTGGCGCGGAGCTACCAGCCGCCGCACTTTGAAGCCGGCGGCACCAGCAATAACAATGACAACAATAACAACAAGAAGAAGAAGAAGAAGAAGAATACGGACAAGAACAACAAGAACGAGACCAAGGAGGGCGCCGCCGCGACGTCCGAGTCTGCGTCCGCGGCGGCCCGGGCGCCGAACAACCAGGTCCTGGTCGCCGACTCCCTGGCGCTGCCGTACCGGGGCGCGGCCTTCGACTTCGCCATCTCCATCGCCGTCATCCACCACATGTCGACGCGGGAGCGCCGCCGCGCCGCCGTCGCCGCGCTGCTCGACGCCGTCCGCCCCGGCACCGGCAGGGTCCTCGTCATGGTGTGGGCGCTGGAGCAGGGCGGCAGCCGGCGGGGGTGGGACGCCGGCGCCGCGCAGGATCAGCTCGTGTCGTGGGTCACCAAGGGCCGCAAGGAGCGCGACGACCAGCCGGCCCGGGACGAGACGTTCCAGCGGTACTACCACCTCTACCGCGAGGGCGAGCTCGAGGAGGACGTCGCCGAGGTGGGGGGCAGGGTGCTCGAGAGCGGCTACGAGCGGGACAACTGGTGGGCCATCTTCTGCCGCGACTCTTGACAGCCCCTGGCTTGGTAGGCCAGGGGAATGGATGGGCGGATAGGATGGATAGGCAAGCACAGGACAACATATGATGGGAAACCACGGGAGAGAAAAAAAAACAGGGGGGAGGGGGAGGGGGGGGGGGACAGGAACAAAAGGGGTTTTCAACGAGAAGGAGGGGAGGGGGGAGAGAGGGGGTAAAGGGAGGGCGTTCTAAAAGGGACCTGAAATTCTATCATGAGCGTTTCCCATCTCTTCGTCAAAGTGACATGTTCCGCCCGTCTTGCTCTTCGCTTTCTTTCCGCCCCTCGCCTTGACCGGCGGCCCCCCCGCTACCCGAGAAACAATACATACAGATGAAGCCAACACCACACGCGTAAAAAACACACATACACACCATCATGAGCCCTCTTGTCCTCCCCCGCACTCCCCACCTCTCGTGTGTCCTTTCCTCCTCCCGTCTCTTATCCCCCCCCCCCCCCCCCCCTCCCCTTTTCGCTTCTGCCCCTACCTGCCGGGGTACCGTGGAAGCCCGACGGCAATAAGAATCCTCATTTTTGCTCTCTCTCCGTCTCTCTATCTCCCCCTCTTTCTCTCTCTCTCTCTCTCTCTCTCTTTCCACACATGCACACAACAAGCCACCCACCGCTGCCGCCGGCCAACACATAATGTGGAATCCTCAAAGGGAGAGTGAGAGAGAAAGAAAAGAAGAAGAAGAAGAAGAAAAGAAGAAAGGGGGATACCAGGTAAAAGTAAAATGACACGAAGAAGAAGAGGACAGAAAAGGGGGCAGAGGAAAGAAGGCGTAGGGGGGGGGGGGGGGGGGGAGGATAGAAGGCCATTCCAGCGCGAAAGAACCTTCCCCCCCTTCTTCGCCCCCCGCCATATGTGGTAACGATGTCGTAGATATGAAAAAAGGCAAGGGAAATATTCGAGACAAAAAAATCTTGCTCCGGTCCTGATGCAACATGCTGGTGCTCCTGTTTTCGTGTTGTGCGCCGCCCCTCCCCACGCCCCCTGGTTCTTCTCCTTGGACAACACGTCTGACGATGAAAAGAAAAGAAACGAATCCTCGGGAGATTTCCCATGCTCATCATGAAAAACTCAGTAGGGGATAAACAAAAATGTGACACGTGCGTTCCCCTCGCACACACAAAGGATTTTTGTTCCCAACTCCGAGTTCGCCGCCCCGGCCCCGGCCCCGCCCCTCCCCCTTTCCCACGTTTGCCCATAATCTCTGCTCTAAAGTCATGCAATACGCCGCCGATCCATCTCCTCCTGCCGGGGGTCCATATGTCGTCGCCGGCTCGTCTCCCTTGAGCTCATCATCTCCGTGCCCGGGCTCGCTCGTCGCTTGGCCCCGGGGGGCTCGTGGGGCGCCGGGTAGTGGAGGGCGGGGAGCAGCGGTCCTGGGCTCGCTCTGGCGCTAGGTACGGGGCTCGCCGTGGGCATGCCTCCCAGCGCGTAGGCCGGGGTGCTGTACGGGCTCATGCCCGTCGTCAATTCGGCCACCCCCGGAAGCATCCCGGAGCTTCGGCTCGGCGGGAGCCCCTGGATCGGTGCTAGCCCGGGGCCGCTCTGTGCCATACTCGCCATTTCGTTCGGGTCTGGCCCCATCGGCGGCCTTCCGGTAACGCTTTCGCGTCGGGCGGCGAGGGCTCGTCCGCTGGGGATCGGCGATATGCCCGGCGGTGGCGGTGGCGGTGGCGGTCGGCCGTATCGCGGCGAAGGTCCGCCAATGTCCCGAGGCAGGCTGCCCTGTGACTGTGAGTGCATGTGGCCGCGGGAAGGCGAGTGCCGGTGACCGGCACCCGGTTGGTCGACGTTGACGGCTGTAAGAGAAAACGGCACAACACCGGCGCGTCGAGCCATGTCGGCTTCGCCAAGCTGCCAGTGCATGGCCTCGGCGGCTCGCCAGGGAACGGCCATCTCTTCCGCAACCTTTGCCCACATCTCCGGCTTGAACCTGACTCACGCGTTAGTTCTCTTCTTCGCGACGGCGGGGGGCATGGGGATTGCAGCTGTCTTGGGACGCTCGCTGCTGCTGCTGCTGCTGCTGCGTTCCGCATCGTACCTCTCGTAAAGCCGCGCGAGCTTGTTCTTCCGCTCCTCGTCCCACTCACTCCGCCTCTCGAGGTAGTTCTGGTAGTGAAGCCGGCAACTGATGGCGCTTCGTCCCGGAAGACGTTTCGAAATGTCTTCCCACTTCATGCCGCTCCCCCGAAGTTCGATGATTAAGGCATCTTCCTCCGGCGACCACTTGCTCTGCTTCTTGGCCGGGGACTCCGCTACGTGCGGCGGCATGGCACGTTTGCCGCTCGCAACTAGGCCCGGCGCTATGGGTGGCGGGCCATACGGAGGTAGCCCGCTGACAGGCGCCGTGGTCGCCGTGGTTGCGGTCGTGGACGGGTCTGAGGAGGATCGGGTATGCTGGGGCGGAGCGGTGGAGGACTCATCTGAGTCAGGAGCCTTCAAGAGAGACGCGATATCCACGGTGACGGTTTTGCCGCCTAGGTAAGTTGGATACGGTCTTGTGTCATGGGCGCGATAGACGCGCGCCAGCTTTTCGGTTTGCGTGGCACCACCCGGAACGGGCAGCTGTAAAGGAGGAAGGTGGCTGATGGTCGATTAGGCGTCCCAAAGTTCGCAACTGGGACCGTCGTTCCGATGCTCGTCCGGATTGCTGTCTGTCTTGGTAGGTAAAGGGCCTAGGAAGTCGGCTCGCGGGGACGGCGGCGGGTGCGGGCCAAGTCGGAGCACGGGGTCGACGAGGTCGGCGGAAGGTTTGGTGATAACGGGCCAGTTGCTAAACGCAAAGGGGAGGAGGGGGGCAACGGTTGCTTTTGTGTGAATCTGCTCCCCTGAACAATAGATGACGTTGATCTCAATGTTGGCAAGTTTGACAACGGGGGAAAAGAAAAACGAAACGAAAAACAAAAGGTCCGTTCCGTATAATGCTGGTGAGTAGGGTAAAGGGATGGGGGGTGTAAGATCTGAAAAGAGGAAGAAAAGGATCCGAATGTAAGATCAAGATGGCGGCGTAGGTGGTGTTTTGAAAGAAGTCATCAACATGATTGGGCCAGTCCAAGAGGCCAGTGAGCAAGCAACAACGATGGACGATCGGGCTTGCTTGCTTGCTTGCTTGCTCGCTCGGTGTCGAAGCAGGTAGGCGGCAGGTAGGGCGGACAGAGAGGATAGCGGCGGCGGAAGTATACGTCAGTCAGAGCAGGGTGCTGGAAGTCTTCATCAGAAAGCGAGGCTTTGCCAGAGTCATCGTTCTCCCACTGAGAGTCGGTAGAGGGCCAACGAAGCAAGGTACAGGCCGGTCCAGGTCGGGAACTTGCGGTGATGCAGTTTGTGAATGGAAGAGAAAAGAATTAAAATGGACCAAAGAAAGTCGCAGTTGGAGGGACGGTGATGGGTTGAAGAGGTGGAGGAGGAGGTGGGGGGACGGAAACTGGGGTCTGATTAACAAAGTGACAACCCAGGCCCAAAGTACTCTTTCTTAAACCGAGGAGAGGAAAGTCGTCGAATAAGAAACAAGAGGAGACTTGGGTCGAAGGCCAGGGAGGGGCGTGTCATGGGTGTGTGAGAAGAATCCCAGAATCAGCACTATAGCGACGAGCCCAGCAGCAGTGATGGAGAGCCGCCGCGGTTGTGGAGAAGGGAGAGACGAAGACGGCCAAGACGTATAGACGATTTGAGTAGGTACGGAGTACGGATGGGAAAAGTGTACATGTGTTCGAAGAGCGAGAGGGTGTGAATGGGGGGGGGAAGAGCGGGTGTGCGGGTGCGTGTGGCCTTTTTTTTTTTTTATTCTTTCCCCTCCTCCTTCGGTTTTTTTTTTTTTGTCCTCTCTTTCCCAGGCAGAATGGCAACGCCAGAGTGGGCGGTGGTGAACGTAGTAAGTAATAGGGCAGAGCGTATATGTCAAGCTTGCATATAGGGGAGGGGATGACCAGTGGCAGATGATGGGATCTTGTTGGTGCCGCCGCCTGTCCCTTGCCTTGCTTGGGACAGTCCGTCGTCGGCTGCCCTGCCCTCATTGAAGAATGCGATGCGGCGGAGGTGGTGGTCGAATAAGGCCCATGAAGGACTGCTTTACCCAGGCATAGTTTGGGAACCGACATGGGTTGGCCAGTTGAGCACATGTTTGAAAGACACACACCCCCCTTCCCGCGGCACAACACACAGACACCGGGTGGCTGCCATGCTTTCTTTTCCTATCGCACCCCCCCCCCCCTGTTCAGCAAGCTGCCCAGTGTAGCGTGTCGACACCCTAGTGTACCTAGTAGACCGCAGCTCCAGGCAAGGAGGGGTCCTGGGACATGCCTAGGGACGCCCGGGAGAGGAGAATGGGTAACAAAGATGTCAGCAGTCGTTGGAATTTGAGTGCGGCGTCGAGAGGCCGCTACCCGGGGCTGGGTGCTAAAAAGGCATGGCCACGCATTCATGCATCGCCGTCCCGGTTCAAGCAGACAGACCATCGACAACCCGTGGCATGCCTGGCCCGGCGCATTCAATGCCGTGTCAAAACCCGAGCCAATGTGGAAAATGAGCTGGACGACAGCTTTTTCCGATAGAGGGGATACAGGGAAGAGGAGGCAATACAAGGCGGGTTATAAGGATAGGTTCGTGTCCGTGTATGATAGCCACACATGGTCACAGCTCCCTCGCATGGCACAGGTTCAAATGGAGAACAGGTAGGAACCCGGTTCGGAAGGGCGGAAAATTTGAACGACGTCGTCAAGAGTGTGCATGGCCCGTAATCCTAGGGTCCCCGACGGAGAGAGTGAGCGCGTGCTTAGGGCAAGACAGGCAGGCGTGAGGAGGAGGAGTAGGAGGAGGAGGAGGAGGAGGGGGGGAAATGTGGTGGGCAACAGTTTGTCACGAAACCCGCATGGTGTACACACACACACACACACACAACACACACACACACACACACACACACACACAAACACACACTACACACTACGGGTGCCGTGGAGCCCAAGTCTGAAACCTGCGGTTGCTGATGCAGTGAAGAGTCGAGAGCGAACTTTAGACATGCGCATGTCGGCAAGTCGTGTGGTTTGTCGGATGCCGCTTACGTTCTAACGGGTGCTGCTTCTCGTGAATCCGGAGGCAGCGGGTAGCTTCGTACTCATGGTCCCGTGGTTGGCTGGCTGGCCTTCTGGATTCCAGCACGCGCCCGTAGAAGTCAAATGCGAAAGTATGACGGCGTGCATAGTCGAGCACCGAGAAAGCAAGAAGTTTAGAAACGCCCGATGAGTCGGAGACAGGAAGACCGATGGAAGAAGCCAAGTTGAAAAGGATGGGTCAGCCGAAAGAAGAAGGGGGGGGTTAGGAGGGACCACAAAGCGAGGATTCCGATGCTTGGCCGGACACGTCTGGAGGAATTGGTCTCACTCAACTTATGCCATGCTTTTTTTGCTCTCGATTTTCTTTTCTTTTTCTTTTCTTTTCTTCCCGCTCTTCTTCGCTCTCGAGGGGAGGGGGGGCTTTTTTCTGAGTGCGCAGGTCCACCCACCCCCAGGTACCTACCTGTGCGTCTCTCATGGCAGTTTGCTAACACAGATTGTGCTTATGCTGTTCGCCGATCCTAACGGGTTCAATGGGGCGCTGCTCGCTCAAGCAACCAGGCTGCATGCGTATGTCTCGTCATGTCTCGCGCGGCTCCCTTCCGCGGCTAGGACTACTGCCAATGACGAGTCGGCGGTGAGGTTCGGCTCGGGGAGCTGAGCTGAGCTGAGCTGAGCATAGCAGAGCAGAGCAGAACAGAGCAGTGTGGAAGGAGATCAAGAGAAGGTGAGCTGGGAGAGCAGCGGGAGAGTGCAAAGCAAAAGGAGAATCGCATTGAGACCCGACGTCTGTGCGGTCGACACAGTAGGCGTAGGATGAGGCTTGTCTCGACGAGGCCGGAAAGCCAACAACGACAGACGGGCCATGCGCCACTGCCGAACGAGTCGTCGAGGGCGGTTGACTAGCCGCAAAGACGGGGTACTGCTGGGTTGGGTTGGGAAACCTTTGATCAATGCACTTCATGCCAGAGCAGGTATTTTCCATGGACATACCGATGACCTCGGAACCAGGACCAGGAAGGAGCAGCAGCCCCTGACAAAGAAGAGTCTGTCTCGTCTCGTGTCGTGGTTAGTCAGTCTGTCTCCCTTGCCGGTCCTGCTCACCGGTCGTTGCCTCGCCTTGTCTTGCCTCGCCGATGCCGACGGTGTTCTCGGCTCGATCCTTTGGTCTGATGATGAACTGGCGGTCAGATATGCAGCACCGCACAACGCAGCGCAGGGCAGCGCAGCTTGCAGCGTCCGTCCAGCAAAGCCAGCCGCCCAGGACCAGGGCAGTAACTTCTTTTGGGGGGGGGGGGGGGGGGGGGGGGGTGGTTTGGCTGCATCAAGTTGCCATGAACCATGATTGCCATGCAAACTTGGGGTATGCTTGCTCGCTGCTTTGCTGGCTAGCGGCGTTCCGGCAGCCCTTTTCCCGCCTGGCAGTAGCATCACCGGATTCCGTTTTGCGGTGGTTGTTGTTCTCTTTGGAGGGGCTCCCCCTTCTGGCTGCACAGGACGCCATCCATCCATGCTGGCAACCACGACGCACCGGCGCGCACATAGGGTGGATGAGGCGACCACAAGACGTTGTCATTGTCGCCGTTCGTCTTGTGGCCAAGCCACAGGCGGCGGTTTGGGTTTGGGCTTAGGCTTGGGCTGCTGTTTGCTGTTTGTCCTGGCCATGATCTGTTGCCTCTCGGGGGGCGTGAACCGGGCCGGCCAGCTTCCACGGCATCGGTGCCTGACATGACGATGGGGCTGTATGTACATGAGGGAGGGGAGGGGGGCGACTAATGGCCGAGAGCATGGAATAGAAGTAATAATAAGAAGCCTATATGTAGCAGTCCATTTGAGGAGGATTAGGCGGCATGTACGGGAAGAGATGACATGGTGTGTAGCTGTACCTTGGTACACAGACAGATTCAATCGCAAAAAAAAAAGAAGAAGAAAGAAAAAAGAAACGCGGAGCAAATGGGAACGGCATCCGGCATCCAGGACTTGTGTTGAAGAGTGTTGAGAGACGATGCGAGAGCTGGTTGTCCATGGATGGGCCTATGAGGAGAGAAGGGGATGGATGACGGATGCCGCCTGCCAGCCACCCTCTGCTGAGTACCTATTATCCTATCTTTCCCCTAGCTAGGTAAACTGCCTGCCTACCTACCTACCTACCTACCTACCAACCTACCTAGCGGCCGGTAGGTACTTCGCATATTGCCTAGGTAAGGTAGGTAAAGGTAAGGGTGGGGGATCCATCCAACGTTTTCTTCTCCCACACGTCGCTCCGCCCAATCTCCGAACTATACTACGCTGCACAGGTGTAGGTAGGGTACCTTGGGTAGGGTAGGATACTTCGTAAGTTACCGGTAGCTGCTGCCTCTTTACTGCGCGCGTGAGCAATTCCACTATATACACTACCAAACCGACAAAGAGGAACCGGGAAGGAGAGAATGCGTCTGCGTGTGTTGCTGTTGCCCGGGTTGTAACCTTCCCTTCCTAATCAACCCCCCACCGTATAGGTACGTACCGCGCCAGAAGCCTAATGAATGTTTCTCCGTGTCTGCAGGCACCACCGCCCGCCCGCCTGCCCGCCAGCCTGCCTGCCTACCTACCTACCTCCCGCCACCACCAAGACCCCAGGTACCTCGGTACACTGTCTGGGTAGGTAGGTACCTAGACAGGTAGGTGTACCTTCAACTGCGTAGTGCGCGCCGAAAGCAGGCGCCCAGTTTCGCCTCTCGCATGTCCCTCATCCCTTGGGCCAGCGGTTCCTTGCTTCTCCCGCATGTTCCTTTGCGGCCGACGGCCTCGTAAGGCGATTGTGTGTGTGCTAAGCCGTTCGTTGTCTCCGCGACCGCCTCTTTCCGAGATCCCATTGACCAGGTAGGCCTAGAACGCCGAACGGTGAACGGTGGAAAGGGGGAAGCAGGCGGGGCAGCTCCCGAGACAGACGAGGGCCGTGAACCGAGCGAGTACCTACACCAAGTGGTCAGTCAGCAAGCAGTAAGGGTAGGTAATTATAGGGTCCCAAGTCCAGTCCCAAAGCGCACCTGCTATAGGCGATAATTTGCGCTCATGCCTTTGCGTACGTACCATCCATCCATCCATCCATCCCTCAAAGATACCCTACACGTACTCCCTACCTACCAAGGTAGGTATCCGGCAACCTGTCTACATACCTACGTAGCAACCCCAGGGCCATTGTTCCGTAGACTAGCAAGCTAAGGGAAGGAAAGGAAAGGGGGAGGGGGCCGTTGCAGCGCAATGTGTCATCGTACCTACCTAGCCGGCTTGCTGCGTAACAAAGACGGGGAGGTCACTGCCAAAGAGAGAAGAGAAAGAGAGAGGCAACCCCGGCGCTATCGTTAGCCAGCTCGCCTAGCAACTTAGGCCTATGCTAAAATAACTGCAGGTATCCAATCTGTCGGGGAGAGCGTGCGCGGCAGAAAAAAAAAAGAAGAAAAACAAAGGCGAAGACGTGTCGACCTGTCGACGTGTCCGTCACCTGGCAGTGTCTTGGGGCCCCAAAGTCAAAATGCGTTGTGAAAAAAACCTCGTGTTCTGCAGCAGCCTAGCGATACCATTATCCAACACCACTTACAAACTAATCACCCATCCATCCATCCTTCATTTCATGCCCGAGGCAAGGCCTATTACATATACCATGTGCCTACATGACCAAGACACCTCACCGCCGCTTAGATGTGGCATTGACTTTTCCCCCAGACGTCCAGAGCATCTCGCCCTCCCTCGGGGACTTTGTCCAGAGCCCCGGCCACGGTTGCTGCCTCCTTGCCTTAAACGGCAGGGTGGCCTTGAACCTCAAGCGACCCTGAATTCTCCCCAACCGGCATCGTTCGGTAGATGACATACATACGGCTGTCTGCCGGAGGAAGGGGGCCGGACAGGGAGGGGGGGGGGGGGGCCTCGACACGCTGTTGCTGCTGCTGCTCAACCAAGGAACCAGGACCGGGCGCTATACTACATAGGTAACCTACTACTAACCTATAGTGTATGGGCACGCTGCGGAGCAGCCCACAAAAGTCGGGTCCTGGAATCCATCTTCCACCGAAACATGGCCGAGAACATGGCCCAGACGCCACTGGCCCCCAACGCCCGTCGGACCTGCCTGCCATTGTCTTGTTTATTAATATGTCCTTGTCCGAACTCTCTCCCTCCTCCCCAAGGCAACATGACAGGAAAACGACGCTGCTGTGTGCTCATGTCATCATCCGTCTCTTGTAGCCGTTTGCATCCACATCAATCAACGACCCGAACCCGCCCCATGGTTGTAGATCGGATCTGGGTCAAATCTCACCCTCACAATCCCATTCTAGACTTTGTCCCCCTCCCTCCCTCCCTCGGTTTGCGACGCGCCTGGGATCCATCCAGGTCGTCATCGCCTGCCCGCCGCCGCGCCGGCGGCAATGTAACACAACCGCCCGTCTTCTTCCACGACAGCTCAGCAGGTCAAGTGAGCTGAAGCGCATGTATGCCGACTCCCACGCTCGCTGACAGTCCCTTGGGAATCGAGAGCCTATCAAATGCCTCTCGACGTGATTCGCAGCCGCCTGCCAAACCCACTCACCGACGACTTGACTGGGGTTGCACTCCCATCCTGAGGCTGACGTTCAAAACGAATGCATTCATTGGAGCTGGTCTTGTTGCAAATCTCCCTTCGCTACGCCTCTGTTAGGAAACTCCTCATCCATTTGCTGGCTAAGCCTTGGAGCGCGCGGCCCTGCGTCGCTTGCCTTGCACATGCGAGAGGCCGTCTCAGGGGAACCCGACCTTGCACCGCTCTCTCGTGTCGTTACCATCGCCAGGACGAGTCACGGTCCCGAACGACGTACCACGGCACTTGTCAGTACCTGCCATGGTCGTCCATCAGGCAATAGATTGGAAACAAGGAGCAAGGGTGATGACGGCCAAAGGTGCTTCCATCTTCCCTGTCGGTAGGTCTTCCGGCCGTCTTAGCTGAGCCTGTTATACCCCGAAAGCGCTGTGCTGGCTATGCACCCGTCCAAATCCCAACCCCTGTTCCGGAGCTGCCTCACCACTTGTTCCCGCGCCATGACTGACGCCGACGTCACGAAGCGATCTGCGATGAGGGACGGATGGGTCCTACCGGTACACTAGGTCTCTTTGCTCCAAAAAACCATGGGCGGGTAGCGCTGCGTACATATCCGTACCGACCAGCTAGGTAGGTATACGACATCGTCAATCGGCAGATTGGTCAGCGTTTGTCCGAGCTTGGCCAATTCTAGAGGGCAGAATAACTGCTCGTTTGATACGTGCACTCCTTCCTTGAACCTCTGGGGCCCGTCTGCTAGAGAATGGGCTGGGCTGGGCTGGATTAGAACAATATCTTCTCCGCTTTGCTTCCTCGTGCTTCTAGCGCTAGCGTTGCCTCCCGTCTCCAAAGAGTGAGAGCATTCGAATCCGTGTCACTCCAACAGAACAACCCAATTGTCGGTCACACAAAGAAAACCCAACGTGGCGGTGAACGGGAGCCAGCATTGCAGAACCGCCTCTTTCTTGGGCATAGCGGCAACCCACTGACGGATCGGGTAGCAAGCATAGATCTGGTGCCGTGGTTTGTTGCTGGCGGCTCCTCAGTCTGGCATACATCGCCCCCCCCCCCCTCTAGAAGCAGCATTGCAATGCCGTGTGTACCTTGACTGGTGTTCTCAGGAGCTGGTGACTAACTAGACGGTGGTTAGCAACCCGACAACGCTTTCGGGTATTCTGTAAGCTGCCCAGACATACAACATTGACCATATACTGGGTTCTTGTCGAGTTTAGACTCGGAACGTGATTTGTGACAGTGACGCAGAAACAATCACAATTCACTCCCACCTTCACAGAGAAGGCAAGGATTGTTCCGGATAACGAAGCATCTCGCGTCAGTGAGCCTGTCCGTCTCGAGTTGAATCTCGAGTGGAAGGGCGAACAGGCTGCTCGCTATGACCTGTTGGCGGGTGCGCGAGCGACAGTCCCCCATGCCTGCCGCAGCTGATGCATAACAGCCACATTGGAGCGTGAAATGGAGGTGTGGGTGGGTTATCATGGTTCTGCAACGAACATTACGATGGATGTTTCATCCTATTCGTTTGCGTTGTCCGCCATCTCAGGTGCCAGATCCTCGTGGTGTTGGTGGCCCTGCAGTGCACTTTGAAGACTCCCAATCATGGACGGGCGAATACCGGTATGCACCGTTGCCCTCGCTGCGGTCGTGTTGTTGTCGGCGCCTTGCATACACACGCACACAATGAATAATCGAGAGGGAGAGACCACCCATTGTGTGTCTCCATGCCCGTGGTATGTCTCTGTCCGGCGGCGACGACGACGACGACGACACCAGCACTTGGCTTTCCCCAGCAGCAGCATGCACCAAACTCGTTTGCCGCACGATACTGGCCAACGTGGTGTTCTTTCCGGTGGATGACGACTGGGCCGTGGGTCAGACCGGAGCGGAGGGGACGAGACGGAGGTTTGCATGCGCGAAATCTGGCGTTTGGCTGCATCGATGCCGCTGTTGGCATGCTGTGCTTCCCGACCAAACGGTTCCCGTAATTGAAGCGGGGACTCGCCAATCATGATCAATGGCATTGTTCCCACCAGTCCAAGGTTAAACTTGTCTGAAGCGGCCTCGGACGGCTGCACCTACTTTGTGCGACAATTCCACAAAGCAAGATCCTTATTTTCGCCCCAAAGTTTTGTGGCCAAGACTGGAGATACCTAGCTGGGCATGTTTCGATCTTGCCGTCTCGCGGTTCACACCCGTGAGATTTGGTTCAAACCTGCCGAACTGTCATGGCCGTTGGGTCGGCCTGCTTGCCTGCCTGCCTGGGAATGCGTGGCCAGGGCTGATGATGCATTTTGCGCCTCCTGGAATCCTGTTTCGGCCTCCGCCTCTCCATATGGCGGTGAGCGATTGGAAGAATAGATTGGGTGAAGATGAGAGAGAGGGTGCGTGGTGAGCAGAGCGAAGAGAGAGCCAAAGGACGAAGTGCATGGGCTGACAAGTCATCACATCACATCACGGTCAAGGAAGAGTGGTATTCACAAGGTAGGTACAGATGATCCTTCTCCTTCCCTTGGTTCGATTGAGGGCGGAAGGTACGAACTGCGGGAGTACGTGGGGGAAACCGGATGTACGGAGGTACGTACCGGCTGTGGCTGGAGATGCGAGCCTGAGCTGGCGGGTGGGGTTTGATGGATGGAGACTGGGCAGACATTTGCACCAATGCTATAGTGTACTACACGCACGCCCCCTCCGTTACCCACCTTCTGGGTGCACCCGTCTGTGAGGCTTGAAACCGCCTGCGTTTGTTCACCATTCTTGACGGAATTTCACCCACCCTCTCAGAGCACACGACAACGACGAGAGGGGTCTTTTTTCTTTTTTTTTTTTCCTTTTTTTTCCTTTTTTTTTTTTTTTTTTTTTGTACTTCCCCCTCCTCGTCGACACCGCAGCCTCAACGTTTGGAGCCTGATCCCTCAAACTCCCCTACTAGTAGGAGCACGCTTCTTGTCGTTTCCCAGTGTCGCTCAACGTCACCGGAGAGCTTCACCCACGCCCTCATCTGCTCTGTTGCACACACCCACTTCCCAAGGTACGTGACAACGGCAGGACAGCCCAACAACCCGAACCTCCTGGACTGTGCGCTTGTCTGACTTGCATCCAACGGGCCTTTCCAGCCCAGCCCTACTGTGCAGCATTCTCCTCAGCCAACTGAATATTGCCCGGTTGGCACCCAAGTCTCTTGGTTCCTGGACCCTGACGTCGTCATTTCGGCAACTTCTATCGACGAAAATCCAGTCCCCTCTTCCCCGGGACCGGAAACCCAACAACCACTGCGAAGCCCCACGTGTTCCTCTTGGACTAGCCCGACTCTCTTTCCACGCGGTTCCAGGACTCGGCCCAACTTGCCCATCATGGCCGACGTCCCTCTGCAAGTCATTTCCGAAAATTCTGCGTCAGAGCGTCGCATCACCCCATCATGGACCATTACCCAGCTGAGGACCAAGCTGGAACCCATTACCGGTATCCCGCCCTCGTCCCAAAGAATCAGCCTCAAGACGGCTTCGGGGAATATTCCCATTGAAGCATCGGACGAGGACAGCGCACGTTTAACAGCCTTTCCCTTGGCTCCCTATGCCGAGTTGCATGTAAGCAAATCATTGTCTATCCATGTTTTCCACAGAGCTCGTATACAGCGTCTGGATGGCGTTTCTTCCCTGGCCAAGACCGTGTTGCCAACCAGTGCAACGGGTACATCTCATGCCCCCCCCCCCTCCTCTCCTCTCCATCCATGCTTCGAAGCAAGAATGAGGCGGTTTCTTTGCCTTGTATGTCTCGTGACCAGACGGACATTACCCAAACCAGGCTGTCTTTCAGGCAGCACAGCACCCATTTTCTTGTTTACTCCTCAACGCCTCCTTGGCTGACACTTGTTCCGTCAAGGTGGCCGACACTCGTCCGACTAGCGCACGCCCAAACTTCACGGACACTTCGGGTGTCGAGAAGTATGTCATGCCAGAGAAGGAGTATGCCAAAAAGAGTGACTCGGTCCTCGCTTGGAAGAAGGCCCAGAAACTCGGTCGCTTCGACCCTGACGCACCAAGCCACGAGCAGGCCAAGATTGATGCTCTCCAGCAGGAGATTGAGCAAAAGGGCATTCAGGTCGGTAAGCGATGCCGTGTCGGCGGCGAGGATTCGCGCAGAGGGACAGTCAAATACGTCGGCCATGTCAAGGAAATCCCTGGCGGCCTAGGTCCTTGGATCGGAGTTCACCTCGACGAACCCGTTGGCAAGAACGACGGCAGTATCGCCGGAACGCGATACTGGGGTGAAGAGTCGACGTTGAAGCATGGAGTCTTTGTGAGGCCCGAGCGGGTCGAGGTCGGCGACTGGCCGGTCCTGGACGATCTGGAAGACATGGAAGAGATTTAACGAGGGCGAGGCAACCTCTCGGCGCCGTCGTTTCCATTCTTGGAGCTCGTGCTGATGGTCCAGTCAGATGAATTGCATGGCTAGTAGTCAACGAACCCCGATTTTCTTGCGCGATGCTCCCCCAGCCCAAGTCTGAACACGCTAATCGGACGAACTTCAGCGTGAAAATTCGACGAGCTGCCGATGGAGCATCCCAACTTTTTGTGACGAAGGATCACTGACCAGGACTTATCAGCAAAATCGGAAACGGGGCGTTGATGCAGTAACATGAACTTTCGATGCATTTTCCTTTTCTGAGTACAGTGCCGTGTGTGCGAAGCCGTCGGCTTGTCAGCGTCGTCAAGGGCCAGACCAAACGTGTGTCATCGATATCAGACGATGTCCAAGCCCATAATCTTCCTCGAGCTCTCGCTGCTTTCTCCTGTTTTCGATACGTCTTCAGATGAACTGATCTTCGTAGTCAGGTTCGCTTCCTGCCTTTAAACAGTCAGGTCCGAAGCGCCCTTTCCCAACCACGGGCTGGAGTGAGCTCGCCAGGGGAACCATTTGAACCAAGCAAGACAGCATGAGAACGTTCAGCTCTGCAACCGGTTGCCTTCCAAGGCTGGGCATTGCGTGCAATGCCCATTCAATAGTTCTGACGTCCAAAACCACCCATCTTTGGGTGAACTCCATTTGAATCCGAGTTTAACGAACATTGGGTCGGACGAGTGGTGCGTGGCAGGTTCTGCAGGCCCCATCCAAGGAGTACCTTATGCGAGCAGGCGGCTTCAGATAAGAACACCTTCTGGACCCATCGGCCGTTGGGAACGCTCACGGACACGGACACATCGGGATCAAGGGCATCCCCAGGATCTGCTCAGCAAGGCCGCCCCAGTACTCCGATAAAGTCTATAATGTGTCTGCTTCCACGAGCTATGACATTACCGTTTTGTGTCAATGATCTCATTATTCAAGGCCCGTTCCCAGCAAATGACCTGACAGTGGCGAGAAACCAGAGACTCGTTTTCGGCACCTCAACTCCCACGACCAGACGAAAGTGCCGTGCAGAATGACGACCGCGAAATCGGAGAGAGTTCGCGGGGTGTACACTAGAAGAAACAATGGCCAAAAGCTTGAGGGCAGATATGGCATGAACGAGGACGCACTCAAAGACCATTGTCGTTCAGGGAACGACGAGACTCGCCAACTCCCGACAGGAGTTTAGCGTGAACCAAACCGGCGCTGGCCCTGCGGGTGCAAGTCCTGGGGCTCGGCAGGTGGACGGTGTGTATGCCGTGGGTTGATCTGGGCAGAGCTTCGACGTGGTGGAAATGGGTGAGCAGACTGCCTCAACACGTAGATGTGTTTGGACCGGAACTACTACGGTCACCAGGCCAGGAATTTCACGGAAGGCATGAACGTGGCCCGCGGTCGACGGGCAACCCTTTCTTTTCATGTACTTGTTTCCCCGACCCCCAACGTTTCTCATCCTCGCATCACACGCGGTAGAAGGAGACGCACGGCTTCTCGATGCTTCGCGGCTGTCGGGGCCACTTGTTCCCAGACGACAACATCTACGTCAACCAAAGCCTGAAGGGCTTGACGGATCAAGAGTCGTCTCAGAAGCTCGGCATGTGTGGCCAGGGACAAGGCAGGCCGCGTGGACGAGAGAGCTATGGGGCGGGAGTGAGAGAGAGGCTGGGTGAGATCGGGAGATGGTGCATACTGTGCTTTCTGTCGCATTAGTGAAAGGTATACGAGTTGGTATCCCAGACTGAACGAAGGCCGATCATGATGCAAAAGCATACAGGAGAGTTCCGACGCAGCCGAGTAGGAGGGAGGGTGAGCGAACTACAAACATTGTTTGCATTGGCTTGGCGTTTGTCAGGCCTGGACGGAGGGAGAAGGGAAGAAGAAGGAGGAGGAGGAGGAGGAGGAGGAAGAGCAAGAGCAAGAGCAAGAGCAAGAGAAGGAGGAACGGGGTGGGCGGTGCAACTCGAGGCGGGCGCGGGATCAATGCATGCCATGCAACGTCGAGGGCTGTGAGGGAAGGTTGAGCCAGGAAGAAGCACTTGTTTCCCACACGGAGCTGTCCAGAGTTCGTCTTTGGGAATGATTTTGAAGTTTGACGCTGAGAGAGGGTGCGCGCCAGGTTTGCGGCCGGTTGAGCAACGTCGCGAGGTTCCGGCGAGGAATATCCTGGTACGGCAGGGCGCAGGCAGAGGGCCGGCTTTGGGATGAGGTGTTTTGACGGCAATCCTGACTCACTCGCGGCCACGGTCTCAGTTCCTTTTGGCTTACAAGAGCCTGCGGCCTTCCCCAATGTCGGGCAATGTTGTCCCCTTTTTAAACGGGTGAGCAAGTGTGTATGGGGGGGGGGGCAAACCCTTGCTCTGTGCGGAGGAGGATTGAAGCCTTGTTTGCCCGTTGTAAAAAAGCACCGGAAGATTCTCTGCTGGTCATACAAACGAACCCGAAGGGCGACTGACACATTGGTGGACCGCTCACCAGGCATTTGTAAGACCCGTTGGATTTTGTCCTGTTCCTTTTTTTTTTCTGTCTTTTCTTCTTCTTCTTTTGCTTTCTCTTCTTTTCCCCTTTTATTTCTTTTGCTGATTAGCGTTGACGAAACAGACGTCGCGCAGAAGCACGCGCATCTGGCTATTTGTCGTCTGCAACGAAGGCAGGCACTGGAGAACCATTGCCCCCCCTCCCCTCCCCTCCCCCCCCCGAGCAGCAACAGACTCCCGCATACCGACGAAAGGTTCCGCGATGTGGCAGTAGAGGATGAACAACCACGTGGGATGAGTGAAAGGGGGGGGGGACTGGGAGGCGAGTAGGACGTTCGCGGGTTACTTGTGGTGGAGTAAGCCAGCGAGAAGCCGTCTCGCGGGTGTGTGTGTGTGTGTGTCTGTCTGTCCAAGTCGGCCGGTGGGTCAGAATCGTCTGAAAAGGCGAGCGACGGGAGAGTCGAACCCGAGGCTCGTGATGAGCGATGCCTTGGTCGCTCTCGCCTGTTGGGTCTGGCGGATCTGGTCTCGGTTTTGGGCTTCACGGGGACAAGTTGTCAAATGCCAAGAAGTTCGCGGGACCAGTGCCCGAGGCGGCCCGCAAGATATGAGCAGCCGCCATGGTCCAGGGCAACGCTCCAGGGCGACCCGTCAGGGATACTCTCAACGGCAAGCGCCGCATGGGGCGACTTGGGAATAGCGGCATGGTGGGAGTACGTCTGGAGTTAATGGAGCGGAAGGAGTTGGGCGGGATGGCATGGTAGGGTCGCCCTGGGGCTGTAGTGGTTGGAAATAGAGCAAAAGTAATGCGAAATAGATGGTATTGCCAGGAAGGCGCGTTGACGGACCAAGGGGCCGCGATGGGCGAAAGGGGGGGGGGAGGGTTATGATGGGCGGCGATATAGCATTGAGCTTTATCGGTTTGAGTTGCGCTCAAACGGGGGTCGCCGTCTCAGCGTGGTCGGAAGTTTTCCTCGGCTGTGTTTGGGTGTTCCGGGCGGGTTTGCCGAAAGCGCCGCGCTGGGTGAGTGGCCGAATGCTGCCAAGGACGGGACGGTCGGGCTCGGGAGGCCAGGGTCCCGACGCCCCCCTTTCAAAATGGGACAAATGCTCACAGGGTTGATTCCGTAAGGCTAAAATGGGCTGGCTGCCTGAAGAAGCTGGTTATCCGTCGAGGCGTCGCAGGGCGAGGCTCGAAGCGCCGCCAAAACCGGGTCTTACGCTCGCATCAGCTGCGCTGGCGATTTACGCAGGCAGGACTGCCGCGCCTCAGATAGGATAGTGGCAATCTAAGGGGGGAGCGCGTTTCTTTTTTTTTTCTTCCCCGCTCCCCTTACCGTCTTTCTTTGCGTAATTTTCTGCTTATGTTTTTCTTCTTAGGTTTTTTTTTTTTTTTTTTTTTTTTTTTCCCCTTTCCCGCTTCTTCACACAGGGAGGAAACACTGCCACAGCGTGAAGCCGGATTTCTTCAAGCATGGGCCCCGGCCTGCCTGCCTGTTCCCGCCACGAATTCGTTTCCGAGGCGTCCGGCGGCATCCATGTGTACCGAAAGCTGAGGCTCCCCCGTCGTTCTGTCCCCTCCCCTCTGGATACGTCTCACGTTAGGAGAACCGAGGCCGGGCAGCCCCCCCCCCCGGGACATGGGTCTGGTTCTGGTTCTGGTTCTGCAGCCTTGTCGGCTGACCGACTATCGCAGTTCATGCCGTGTTTTAGTGATTGATCGAGGACGCCAGACCGCTCTGTTCACGGCCCCAGGCCCCAGGCCCCAGTGAAAACGCCGAGGCTTGGCTGTGTGTCGGTTTTGAGGGCAAAGCGGGCTGGACCGGTGGGGAAAACCGCGCCAGATGTTGCCGTTTCGTTCGGGAACTCCTGACCAGATCCCGCGCGGAAGACGAGACGTTTGTTGATTTGCAATGCCGTTTGCTCTTGTTGTGACAATCATCAGCAAAGCGGCTCGGGGGTTTAGACTCGGGCTTCGTCGACTTCGTCGCAGATTACGGTAGAACGAGCAGAGGCATGATGGAACCGGCGAGCCCCGCCGTCCTAAATGGGGATCCAGAGCCTAATGATCAGTCCAAATAATAAAGGTTAAAAGTTATGTAGGGGGTCGAAATACCAGGCAATCCAAGTCCGGATTCGAAGAGTGTCGGAGCGTACGACGTCTACCTCCCTAGGTATCTCGTCACCCAGTTCTAAGCGGACAGGTACATGGGCTCCCTCCCTTTACCTCCCTCGCTCTGAATACTTTCCGCGAGCAGAAAGTTGGCAGGGCCGAACCAAGGCGACGATACCGGTACAACACACACACACACACACACACACCGTTAGAACCTTTTGACTTGCTTGGTATCAATCGGATCAGCCGGTTCATCTCAGGTTGCCATTGCGCCAAAGTGTCTAATCAACACCTAGCGCTTATGCCCTGAGTCGAATAGGGCGGGAGAAATCGGCGTCTCGCATGCGCATACAGTCAGGCATTCATCTTTGGGCTGACGCGTGCGCCTTTTGGACCTTCGTGCTGCGCCTCCAATTGCGGCTCTGCCTCTGCCCTACAGGTGTACGTACACACTATACCACGTAGTGACTTTTCCCCGCGCGTCCCGCCGGAGAAATCGGCTGCTTGCCTCATCATTAACGGCATTGCAACCACATCCCGGCAGCAAAGCGCGCCGAAAGGGCCTTGTTTTTCTGCTACATACAGCTAGCCGACCAACCCGGGGGGGGGGGGGGGGGCAGGCCATGTGTCACTGCAGCTGAGACCGAGGGTTGGCCGGTACGGCAGTACCTTTCCCCTCCTGCCTACCACCACCAAGACCCCAGGTACCTCCCTCTCTAAGGAACGAACCGTCGGCTCACTTACCGTGCGCACCTTTGAGTGACCAGCCCGCCACTGCCGCTCCCAATCCCTTCTGGTCGCTTTTGTCTCGTCACTCTCCTCCTTCAACCACACACCATCAACAACCATCAACATTGCTGCCGACACCCACGATTGTCACCCCCATCTCCGCCTTTGCATCTATCTCATCGCGAAAACGCGAAAACGCGAAACCGGGATATCACGAGAAAAAAGCAAGAAAAGAAAAGAAAGAAAAAAACCCAAACCCGCACGATCGCACTTCGCACTTCCCAAGAGGCCTCGCTTTCTCACCACCGTATCCCGCTCGGTGTCCCGACGATCAAATCTTGGGAGGGAGGGCGTCCATCTGATATCTACGGCTCCGAGGAGATGTGACACGCAAATCCCCCTCTTGTTCCAACAACCCCTACCAGCGAGCGAGCCCGACCGCTCTGCCGACCTGCCCTGCCCTGCCCTGCCCAGCCCAGCACTGCACTGCACTGCACTCTACCGCATCGCACTGCATGCCACCTCGCGCTTTGTCGCCTCTACCGTCAACCCACATAGTTCCCGCATTCGCCCTTCCGTCTTCTCTCGCTACTATCTCCTCCTACTCCGCATCCCCTTCTCTCTCGTCATTCGAAATTGTTAGATTTTCCCTCCGTTCTGCAACCAGCGACGTCGATCGTCGTGCGAACGCGAGGAGAGGGATCTGACAGAGGACTCGACAAGATGGCGTCCATGCTACTCCGCGTCATGGCATGCGCCGCTGCCTTCGTCGTGGCCCAGGCTGTAACCATCGCCTCCGAGAACGCAGTTCCGGTGTGGAGCCAGAAGTCATCCATGGAAATGTCCCTCTGGACCAAGGGCGGAGCCCTGCCACTGACCTTCACCGTCATGCCGTCCACCGAGAGATTGGGTCTCAACCAAACCGACATTGTTCGCGGGGTATGGTTGCAGTCATTTTCATGACGGACTTGACTTGAAGTCTCCGTCTGGGCACATGTGCGCCTTTGCTAACACAATCGCAGGCAATTCGGATCGAAGGCACCATGGTTTCTGCTACCTCTTCCAACTTCAACACGATCGATGGGAACGCGGTCGCATATCTGTCATGCGACTCCCCCAGCGGCGGCGGCTTCATCGACCAGAACTCGATGCTAAGCACCTTGATGGATAACAAACCGAGAGCCGTGGTGCTGTACAGCACCGTCGGGAACTGGTGCATGTTGTCGGACGACACGGAGCTGCCTTACTACTCGATATTCACGATGGCGGACCGCGACGAATCCGCACAGGCCCTCCACATCCTGAATGGCACGAACGAGGCCGATCAGATTGGTGTTGTCATCACTGGCAATGCGACTGCAAACGACGGCGATGACACCAATGGGGGAGGCGGCAATAACTCGGCTGTCGCCATGAGCATCCTGTACAGCATTACGGGTCTCATCACGCTGCTCTTTCTGATCATCATCGCCACTGGTGCCGTGAGGGCACACCGATACCCGGAGAGATATGGCCCGAGGAACGGTGTCAACGGCCGCCCTCGCCAGAGCCGTGCCAAGGGTTTGGCCCGTGCCGTCCTGGACACGCTTCCCATCGTCAAGTTCGGCGAGAGGCAAGATGCGAAGCCCGATCCCAACATCGAGTTGGAGAGCGCAACAAACGTCTCCGTACATGACGGAAGCGTCGAGGGCCGGAGCGAAGATAGGCAGCCGGATACTGCCCGAGTCAACGCCAAACACTCGGATGCCACGATGACGACGGGCAACACGGAGGCAGATGGCGCGACGCCGAAGGTAACTGGCGCCGGAAGTGCCACTGCTGCTGCTACTGCTGCTACCGCCGCCGCCACTGTGGGCGCTACCAGCACGATCGGCTCCGCTAACCATGGATCTAACGAGCAGGAGGACGAGAACCTCGGCTGCTCCATCTGCACAGAGGACTTCACTGTTGGCGAAGACGTGCGTGTGTTGCCTTGCAACCACAAGTTCCACCCCAACTGTGTTGATCCTTGGCTGGTCAATGTATCGGGCACATGCCCCCTGTGGTGAGTTACCTGCATCCACTCATTCTGTCTTGGCACGTATGGTGCTTTGGAGGCATTTCCTGGGCCGAGTTGGAATATCAAATTAACACATCCCCCTAGTCGCCTCGACCTTCGTCCCCAGGGCGATGCCCAAAACAACAGCGATGAGCTCCCGCCGCCGCTCGAGTTGGATGGACACGAGAGTGATGGGGCATCTAGTACGCAGAGGCGGAGGACACGACTGTTCGATATCAACAGACTAAGGAACGCTTCAGCGGAGGAGCGCATACAGGCTCTTCGGCAATATCGCACGCAAAACCAGGTCCAAGGCGCATCAGCAGGTCCAGCCGGAGTCGAACGTGACGACAGGGACGACAGGAGTCGCAGAGCCAGGTTGGCTGACAAGCTGCGCGATAAGTTCCGGATTCGAACTGGGCCACAGTCTTGAGCCGCCGGCAGCATACAGCGTTACGTGATACAAAAGGAGACGACAGACGGTAGACGAAATTCTCCCATGCCGGGAGGGGTAATGAACGGAACGAAACAACGAGCAAATCAGCATATAACACATACATCAACGATCGAGGGCCTTGGGCAGCACAGTCGCCGAGGGGGGGGAAGCCGGGGCCCTTCTTTTTCACTTCTCAGCGGGTAGGTTTTGGCGTTTAAGGCACAGAACCACATTGGGCCGGACACATGGGACAGCATTGCATGGCGTTAAACGGGGGAGGGAAGCATGGCGGATTCTTGTAGCTGGCTAACACTTGTCCTAATGGCCGTGAGCGGCGGGGGGGGGGGGGGCTGGCCTGGCCTGTTCTTATACGTAGTGGAACACCGAGGCTTCGTTGGTTCACTGGTCACGGGCAAAGTTTGTCACAAAGGGGGCCTCGCCAACAAGTCCATGCTCGCAGGGAACAGAGAAAAGGCAGACTGATGAATTGATGCGACAAATCATGTAGCGGTATCGGTCAATGAGGAATCATGGTGTTGAGGAAAGGAGAGCACAACACATTAGCATACACAGCCAGCAGTTGAATGATAATCTGGATTACCTGACACGGCGATTGCCCGGCGATTTGCAGCGTTCCGTAACCCTTGAAGCGGGAAGGCTACCGCTTCGAGTATCGAGCGATCTTATCCGCAGGTAGAGCAGATGACGGTGCCGCGCATGAAGTGTAGTTTAGTTTAGGTCTCATACTTCCATAGGTAGGCCATCGCTGGCGGTGTACTGTGTTGTGTGGCTTGGATTGCGTGGCTTGGATTGCGTGGCTTGGATTGCGTGGCTTGGATTGTGTGGCTTGGATCGTATGGCTTTGCCGCAATGTCGTTAGGGTGATCTCGCACTGGGCCTCCCTCTCTTTGCAAAGACCGACTCAACATGGCCAGCCATGATAGTAGCTAAGCACCTTTCCTGCGCTGGAGCCTGCTCTCACTCGGGTGGACAGGCAGCCGGTTACCATGTCAAATACGTCAACCAGGTGCCTGCCAATTAACGACGCACAACTACGAACCCACCCCATCAGAATGCGATAGGCGGACTGCATGGTTGCATCAGAACTCAGCTTCTGTCTTGGGCAGGACGTGGGGCAGAATACCCCTGGAGCTCCGTTATCGTATCACGAGATATTGCCTCTGGATTTTTGCAGTAAAATATACGGATACAAAAGATATTCTTACCCTACACGACATTCCAGCCAGCCCAAACACGCTTTGTCTCAGTGTAACTAATAAGATATAGGCGCATCGTACAAATTTCGAGGGCATCAATTACCTTTCATCTCTGAGCAACTCTGCTAACAAGTACCATGCTAAACTCGTCTTCAAACCCAACCCCAAGCAGCCTGTCAAGATCATCTATATTTCTGAGAATCATCTTAGTGTTAAGATGATTTTCTGCACTTGTAGGGACTGCCCAGAGATCAACAAATCTCAAGATCTATAGTAGCAGATAGTACATGTTGAGACTTCGACTAGACTTGTGGTGTAAAAGGGATGTAAGTCTGCCCCATGGTATTCTATTCTTCCTAGAGAATTAATGCGTTACAGAGCCTTTCGATACGCAGCGTTGCCTCCGAGGAGAAGCAAACGACCTCGCCACTTACATTATAGGCCACTCCTCCATTGAAACCAGTTCGATTTGGATGTACTTTCCACTTCATGAAGGGGAGAAGATTGCAGAGGTGTGGAGACTCGGTGAAACCAAGTGGAATACCTAAGCCCGCCATGGTATAAGTCAGCCGAAAGCTTTCGGCTCTTTACTCTCTTTCATCATCATTCTAGGGCCTATAACCCCTAGGCTATAGATGTCGTATATCTTCGAGTAGCGTCCTGCTCCGCCCAAAGGCTGCTGCAAGTCGGCGACGGGGACGAAGTGAGCGTCAGGGTGACGATAATACACACACTCGTCTTTGTCGACAATGTCCTCGTTGCGCTCGTCTGGTGCATCGGGCCGGCTGTACCCAAACCCTACGAGGTAAGGTAGAGTGGTTCCCGCGTCGGCCATGTTGTCACCGAAGAAGAGGATATTTTCACTCCGGATTGCCTTGTGGAGCCGACCAGCGAGATGGAGACACATGACGGCGGAGGCGAGCGTTTGACCGATGAAAAATCGTCGCCCAAGGGCAATGCCCGTTCTGGCTCCCCGAATTTTCCGTTCTTTCATCTCTGACCTGTTGCTGTGGCTCTGGCTCAAGAGTTCCCTGAGGGTGAAGACCGTTGGCGTTTCAATCGTGTATACAATGTTGTAGTTCGTGACGAACCATTCGCCGCCGGCGCCGGCGGAAGAGTACGAGTTTGCGACGCCGCAGCAAGGAAGTGTCCTCAGCTGATCAGGCTTTTTCTCATGCTGAAGACGCATGACGATATTCTCTATGCGCTTATTGATGGTATTCACATTCGACTGATGGCGCTTTTATGAATTTTGCTGCTCTTCTTTTCGACCAGCAACGAGCCTGCCGTCGTAAGGTCCCGCAGGAAACGGCTTGATGTATTGTCACCGGGACCGTTTTGGACCAGCTTTCTCGGGTCGAGATGCGACACATTGGTCTGGGCCGCTGACGACATATAAGCCAAAGATTTGGAGAACGCCAGGCCTTGTTCCAGAGGATCATCGACAACACGGCCGATATGAGCAAGCGTGGTTGGATGCTGACTTCAAGCTTCTTAAGTGATCTGGTCAATCTGTCGGAGATATGGAACAATAATTTTGGCCTGGTGCATCCGGACATTGCGGTGCCTTGTATTCAGGCTTTGCTTGACGCTCCATTCTCCCGCCCAGAGGGTGAACCGGGCTTCTTGGAGATCCAAAAGAATTTTGAAATGCTGGATTGACTGGTCGGAGCTCGAATACGCCGTCCGAATGCCAGGCCGCTTAGAATGAATGCTCTTCGCAAGGGTGAAAGCACCTCCTAAGGCGCTGATGCTGGTGTTGAAGTGATATTCTGGTAGTTAGTTCGCTTTGACCCCTTGGACCCTCTATCAGAAGGGCTAGATAAGAGGTCTGCTTAGTATGGCCTCTATAGAAGGGATGATATCTTCTTTACTATTTTCCCTTTTAAATTTAACTCTTATTGTTACTTATCTCTTAAAACTAGACCTTTTTTAGGCTTGATTTTGATTTTTGATAAATAGGTAAAAAAGTAGCCTCTAAGGTGTAATAAGGTGCGATAAGGAAGTGGCCCGCTCGCTATGGGCACGGGTAGAATACCAGTGCAATTTGGTCGGCGGCCGGTGAGTTAAGCCTATTTTAGAAGGCACTGCCACCACCGCCACTGCCACTGCCTATGCCGCCACTGCCTACGTCCATAACCCGTGCAAAAAACGCCCTTTTTGCCGCAAATCCACTATCGCCAACAGACGCCTACGATGCCTAAGATTAAGCCCTTATATCCAACCTTTAAAGAGTAACAGCAACGTATACAGATATACTATTATAATAAGGGTACTATACTTAAATTAGACAGATTACGTAATATAATGAGTTTTTAAATTAATTATAGCTGTTGCCTCTATTTTGCCTTGACTATGAATTGCTTAAATCTAAAGAGTTTTTGACTTTATGTAACTTTCTAAATCTTGGCCTTCTTATTGGTTAATCGGGTCGGAATATTGTTCTTGCTGACGCTGACATAATGTATTCCAAAATAGGCTTAACTCACCGGCCGCCGACCAAATTGCACCGGTATTCTACCCGTGCCCGCTCGCTATGCATGTACGTTATCCAAATACTAACTCTTGAATTCAAAAGCCTATAGCCACCACAACGCTGTATAATAGCAAGAGTAGGATTAATTAATAGCCCTCAACTGGGGCTTTATGATAGCACCCGACACAGTTAAATAGATGACTAATTCGTTGATCCTTCTAAGCTAGAGAGCTACAGCTGGCAGCGCCTGTCTTATAGGCTGGCTGGGCTGGCTGGGCTAGCAACGAGGTAGGTGGGTCAACTACCGGTAGGTGGTTGACTGCCTTCTATATTAGGATTAGCGCGGTGGATAAAGGCCGGCTGAATATAGCTAGCCTTCTACTTCTAACAGCTAGCCTGCCTATTAGCGTTTTTCCAATCTCACGAGTGCCTACGGTACTTTACTTTACAAAGGCACAGGGCAGCGTCCGAACCGCATTACCTGTCAAAGTTAACTGAATGTCAGGTCGGGACAGATCCAGTGCCGCCCGCGGCGCCTCGGTCGAGGAGGAGTTGCGTCTCTTTACTCATCTACGCTCGTCCTTCCCCGTTTCCCTCGCTTGCTCATTCGTCCTCGCTCGGATGACGTCAAATCCATTCACGCGCGCACATACACAAGTCTTGGCTTCGCATGGCCCCGTCCCATCCACTGCTTTGAGCACGCTTAGATCGTAGACGATCTAAGCATCGGACTAACAACTCTAACCCTCATCTGCTGCCTCTTCCACATGGTTGGGGGGGGGGGGGGCATGTGGGTTCGGTTACGACCCTCGGCCTAGCTCTTTGTTTCTGGGGGAGGGGAAGACAACAGCGAGGCCCTGTTGCATACGTGCGCGAACATGTCGCGCTGCTGCCTCATGATGTGCAGTAGTCGGTCAGTGGACACCAGCTTTGAGGAACGGGCTGAGCTGCACGCAGGCGCATGGTGTCCCTCGCGATGTCCCGGCCGGCAACCGCATTTCAACCATCAGATCGAGCTGGACCGAGCCGTACCTTGCCTGCCGCGACCTTGGCTTGCTCTACTGCATGCGTGAGTAGACCCGATGCGAGAAACTACTGCTTTTACAAACTTTACCGCACTGCCATTGCCGGTACATCGACCATCGGTCCCACCCCCAAAGTCTGGAGATGCAGTGGGCTACCGGTATGAGACTTGTGAGGTCACTGAAGACACTTTTCTTCTCGCTTCACAGAGGCCCGAAATCTAATTCATTCAAAGCATTGCCGTCTTCAGGCGACAATCTCGATGACTGCACTCCGCTGACTGTACAATTTAAGATTCGGACACTACATCATTCTGGTCAAGCGGCTGGATTAAGCTCGTGGATACCAGACGACTGGGACGAGATGTGGGGCAATGACAACGGGTCCGATTCCATCTTTACGCTTATCAGAACACCAACAGGGGCCGGTGAACCAGTTTGAGGGCGGCAGCGCCTTTTCCATCCGTGGATGTCGTATCTCGACATGGAATTGGTCTCGGACGCCGGCAGGCCCTCGACAGTGCGTTTCTCTGCCCGGCCGTATCTCCCTCCTCGTCTTCGTTGGAGAAACGGCAACAACCATGTTGACAGAATGGATACCGTTGAGGCCGCGCCGCGCTTTCCCTCATTCCGGACCCGTGTGTGCACAATCGCTCAAGCCATGGATCCGAGGACGTGCTCAGTAGGCGATGCTGAACGTCGTCCGTCAGGGGTCACGCACGCAGGAAATGTTAAAACAAGGGCCCATGCCACAGATGCCGACGAATCTGGTGGAACCGACTCCTCGGCTTTTGCTGGGGTTTGCGTCGGGGCTGTGGTGGTTGCGAGCCAAACCTCGATTGAGTTGACTACCTACAAGACTGGCGACGGGATGGTGGGGGGGGGGGGGGGGCTAACCCACCGTCCCGATACCCTTATGGTAATCATGGGAAACTCGAGTCCAAAGATTCGTGCCTGTTACGGAAGCTGGTTAGCTCAAAGGCCGGATCGTCAGACAGCTTCGGCCATGGACCCTCCAACCACACATCGCAGAGCCGCATTTCACCTCTTGCCTTGTTTGGGCCTGCCCGACCTGGCGGAAGTGAAGCTTCATCCCCTTTCGGCCAACCTTCACTGCCGACGCAGCAGCATAGAGCGTGAAGCGTAGACTTTCCTATTCACACGGTACAGTGGCAGGCGAAGAAAGCAGAGCCTGGGGGGAAAGTCCAGCATAGCAAAAGGGGGGGAAGAAGTGCATCGTCGGCCTTAATCGCCGGCTCCGATCCCGTCCCGTCACCCTGACAAAAGCTTGATACCGGCACAGCCTCCCCCAAGCTGTTGTTTCCTGTTATCATCTGGGTCCGGGCGCGCTGCCTGTGCAGGATAGATCTGTCCCAGTACCGACTCGCCCAGGCGGGAACGTTCGCCTTGAGGTTTCCCCTCCTCCGATTCCTTTCCCGTTCAGGCACCTGGGGCCAGGTGTGTCGTGTATGTATGTGAGTGAGCGAGTGAGTTAGGGAGTTGGTGAGCGCATTCGGCATATGCGTTTCTCTACCCTCCCATTCCTTTAACCACACGCTTGCCTTCAACCAACCTCAACTCTCAGTTTTTGGTTTGGCACTTCGCATCAGGACCGGAGAAAGTGCCTTTCATCTCCCCCCAAGCGGGCGTCAGTAAAGGAGACGGGTGGATGAGTTTGTTTCCCACTTGTTGCCACAGTATGACTTATCCCTCCATCCATGCCATGCGCCAGCAGCACCTGGTTGCTATCTGTAGCTCACCAGCCGACCCTTCTCTGCTCCCGTCTTTCAGTACGCACGCTTCGGCCACTTGCCGGACAAAACCTAAAGACGGTTACATCCCTTCCCTCTCTACCTAGACTTTACGAGACGAAAGGCAGCTCGGACACCCGACCCGTTGATCTCTCTTTTCTTAGCTCCCCCGGGTCGTGGCTTGGTATATAGCTCTTTTGCCCTCTCCCCCCCCCTTTTGGCATCCCACCGGGTCCTTTTCCACGCCAACGGGATCGTGTCTGCAAATCCACATCAACCAAACGACATCTCAGTCTCGGAACATCATGGTGCCGACTCCAGAAACGGTCCCACGAGCAGACATGGCGCTGCGTATGTCCGAGCCCTTGGGTGGCGGCATCATGAGCGTCATCATCTGTCTCGTAGCCATCAGCATCATCTCCGGCTTCTTTGGTATGTGGCCACGGTCATGCGCTGGACCGGCGAAGGGCGAGTTCCGCGCGGGGGGGGGGAGAAGAACGACGTGCTGATGATGAACAAAAACAGCCCACAGGATTGCGGCCTTCAAGAACTGGAAGAGGATACCACTCGTAGTGTGGCGTAAGCGTGCGCCCCGTCGTCGTTGGTTGTCCGCGGTCCTGACACTTTAGACAGTCGTGTTCGCCATTTACACCGATTCGTATCTCTTCGTCTTCGTCACGGCCATTCTCCAGTTCGCCCTCGGCGTCAACACGAACATCAAGATCTGCGACGGCGCCATCCTCCTGTGCCTAGTCTGCTACGTCACGACAAAGGTATTGATTTACCTGTTTCTGGTCGAAAAAGCGGTGCGTATTGGGACCCGAACGGCAAAAAGAAAAGTTGCGCGGTCAAGCTGACAGCATCAAAGCACATCATCCGGGGAGAAACGAAGCCGCGGCTCAAGTCGAAGCTCTACATCTTCAACTCGTTTGTCATGCTAGGCATTTATGCCGTCATCGCCATAATGAACTTTGTATTGTAAGTCAAACGCAAGTGCTTCGCGGTATGGGCGGCAGTTGACCAGAACAAAAGCCGCATCACGCGTATCGACCACGGACAATGCTACATTGGGATGCAGAAGGTGTCTGTGATTCCCCTCATCTCATTTGACGCCATTGTCAACATTTACCTCACCATCCTCTTCCTCATCCCTCTCCAGAGTAAGCTCACCTATGCCGCAGGGATACCACACCCTTTGGCAAAGCTAACCTTTCGCAGGCCTGTACTCATTCAAGCACTGCTCCACGAACCCTCCAAACACTCGACTTAGGACCGTCGCATTCCGTACCTTCATCGGTGCCCTGTGCACCCTCACCAGCAGCGTCGTGTGAGTTGGACGGACCTTGCAAGTCCAAGCTCGATGTTTCTGACTTGCCCTTAGGAACTTAACTGTACTCATGGCCCTCGACGTCGAGCCTGGTTGGGTTTGTCTTATGTGCTGCAACAGCGATGGTAGGTCGGCCGTCACAACCCCGATCCCTGCTCGCAAACCTAACCGCCCTGCCCAGTTCTCTTTTCGGCAATTGTCGTCCAATGGGTAACCAGCAAAGACAACGTTGCCACCGCAGGCTTGTCGAGCAGTGGCTCCCACATTGAGACATTCGAAGAGCTCCGCCGTCCCGCGTCCTCACCGCGCAACCCGCCAAGCCAGAAGCACGTCCTATGTGGCATCGCCAAGATTTCTCTTGAGAGCTCGAGGTACTCCAATACTATCATCAGCAATAGGGATGCATGTGAAGCGGAATTGACAACCCAGGGGACATCCCCCACGAGCCCTGTATCCGGAAGCGGCGTCTTGGCCACGACAGCGACCCAGCGCGGACCACAACCCATGCCGGCCGTCTTCCAAGAGATGACGATTGAGAATTGTCACGAAGAGCCGAACAGGTCTAGCCGGGATGGGCGAGTGTGAGACAAAAATGTCGAACGATTTGCTAAGGATTCGCAAACGAGGGACCACGCGTCCGCGATCGTTGAGTAGGCGGCGGCGACGGGACGCCATTCCGACTGCATTTTCCCTTACGCTTCTCTCTCTCTTCTTCTTTATCTTATCATTTTACCCATCGGGCGGGGCCGTACTCGGAGAAGGCCTTCCTCTCTTTACGGCGCAAAAAGAAAAAGGGGGTCCTATTTGGTTTCGGACTGCCCTTACGAGGGTTCCAGGACGATGACGGCCGCGGCGTTTTTCTCTTTTATTGTTCTTGATATCATACCATTGGGGGCGTTCTTCGGGAGAAAAGGTTCGGCAACACATCTCCTTTGTTCTTGTTTCCATTCTTATTCTCTTCATCTGTATCTACACTTGGCATATGGTGGGAGGCAGACAAGCGAGTCTATGTATATCAGTGTGGCTTTGAGGGACAGAAATTCTATTTACGGGGTTCCAACAACAATCTATCGGATTCGGAACCCATGTCTACTCCCCCCCTGGAACGGGAACATGCTTGTCGATGATGATAAGTTTTCCGGGATGCTGGCTTTGGTTCTCAGCATACTACGTAGGAAGAGATGGCCATATCACGAGGGCAGTGACAGGGCAAATTCAGCGTCACTCGTGTCTACTGTCTTCCCGCCGTCGGCATGATGAGACCGTGCTGTTTAAGAGCAGGGGAAGAGAGGGACTTGGACAAACCTGGAAAACGTCGACAAACTAGCCGGGTCAAAGAAAGCCTCAATGGGAGCTGCAAACCCATGACTCTCTCTCTCTCTCTCTGGGGCCGATGCAAGTTCAAAATCAACTCTGTTTTTTCTGGGTGTCACGGTTCGTCTGTTGACAATTGCCCTGCACTTCATCTGCCGTTGGTTATAAGCAACTCCGGATCCGCCCGACCGTTGCGGCCTGTGCGGGGCGGCGCTAGAGACGCTTCGCTTCTCCTCTCTCTCTTCGGCAGCGGCGCAGGATGGTACGACTTTAACTTCTGCCAATCTTTCTTTTTTTTTTCTTCTCTCGTTTCTCCCCAACATCTCGTCCAACTTAACCTTGTCTCTTCCTCAGCTCGCCTGCCTGTTGTAGCATGGCATTGTGCGGTACACCTACCACATTGGAAAGTCGTCGAAAATACTATCCAGGAGACGCACGGAACTTCCCCGTCATCATCTGCATCTCTCCGTCGAGAGCTTGGCATTGCTTCTATCCGCATAGCATAACGAAGGACGTCTTGAGTCTGTGTGAAGTAGGGGGAACACCAGCAGAGTTTGGCGCGTTGACATCGCACTTGGCGCGCGGGGGGGGGGGGGGGAGTTGGAAAAGGACATGCAGCACACCTTGGCTGCAGTTGGGCTTGCTTCCAAGAAGCCGTCGCGCTCGTGTTTTTCCTTGGCTGGATCGTCGAGGTTTTCTTTTGTTGCCGCGCTTGTAAATGCTTCCGTCGCTGCCTCGATCACTTGGGTGTCATGGAGCTCGCCCCCCCATCTCGCTCTCGGTGTCGTTACCGGGCACGACTGATGTTTCTATTGGTTCTTCGTCTTGCAAAGGCATAACATATGCATCATCATCGTCATCATCCGGTCTCGGGCCTCTTGGCTTCATGTATAGGAGACGGATTTGTGCAAGATCGTCGTTGGGTTTAGTGGCCCTGCCATCCGTGGCATCTACCCCTGGATACTCATCAAGACATAGGACGCATTCCGGGCCAGTCCTGTGTCGTTCACTTGGTCTTGAAGCTACCGCGGGAATGTGATTGTGGAAGGACCAGCTTAGGCGTGGGGAACCTTCGTGTTCAAACCACGGTGAAGACGCGTAGATGGCAGAGTAATGGGTAAGGGTTGGAAGCCCGCCTTGCTGGCGATGGAGCAGCACAGGAGGCATCATGCGCCTTTCACACGGACTATCGGATATCACGAAATGCCGACCCATGAGAAGCAAGTCTGTCTGTCCAGCACAACGTGAAATGGTCTTGGATGAATGGGTGCTTGGGCGAGACAAACCCTCGTGGAAGGATGACTGCGACAGTCGGCAACTAGGACGGTGTGTGTGGGTGGATGGAGGGCAGGCGAAACAGAGATCACACCTCGCCGAGGGGTCCTCGGCGAACTGGCATCGCAGTTCGCGCACGCGATTTCACCAACCGCAGATCACTACACCACGTATACTTGATGTTGTTCCGACTAAGTGCGGCAAACTCGCGTCAAGTTTGGACCAGTTCGTCTTCTTAGGTGTTCTAGTACATGAATCTCAACATGTGTGGAAGAAGGAAAACGAGGAAGGTCCAGCAAGGAGGGTTGGAGGGGGGGGGGTAGAGTTGCAGCGAGCGGTGTAAGGAAGCAATCTCGAAATAGAGAGAGAAGCATACGCCAGGCCGGTTCTACTGTGACATATCTAAAGCACTGCCGACAGGAGTTGTCATCCAGCGGCATTGCTCGACGAATGGAATGGCGAGTCCATCTGACCACCTCCAACAAGCGCCACGTTCTATCTGTCCTCTCTCACACCTGCTTCACGTGCCTCTGGACGCATGCCAGGTAGCGAGGGGGGGGCCGTTCCTCAAGACCTTCGACCCTAACAAGGATACGCCCTCGCGACGGACGAGGTCGAAAACACCAGCCTCGGACCGTACCTAGCTCCGGAGCCACCCGTGAACCTGGTACCCTTCAACGACGACCGCAACCGTCATTGAAGCTTTCTCTCGGCCTGCGTTCCGCCCCCGCCCCCGGCAGAACGTTTGCCCCCTTTGGTCCATAGTACCGGGGTTTGCGTTTCGTTTCCAGAATCTTGCACAAATTCGCAGAAACTACTTGTCTACCTGCGTGTACAGCGTTGCGGTGCACCCTGTCGAGCTATCAATCACATTCCAAGTCACCATAACTAGGATATCCATCTTTATCAAACTTTGTCAGCCAGCCTTGTGTGGAGTATATACGTTTTCTGAACGGATTCTCTCTCTCCAGTTGATGAGAGTCCGATACGATCGTACCGGAGGCAAACAAATGTATGGTGGACTAAAGATGTATTATCCGTGATTATTCTTCCAAGCACGAAGATAGCGTTTGTACGAGAGACATAGATGGCCTGTACAGTCCCCTCTGTCGATAAGACCGGCGATGCACTATTCCCTTCCTTACTTGAGTAATTGCTCCGCATCCATTCTGTGCAATGTTGTCCGGTGGCTGCGGTGATGTGATGTTGTGTCATAGAGGCGTACCGGACCGGTCACAGATATTGCCGCACAACACCGCCTTCCGGATCGACCCCGCTCCGGAATACCCACTTCGTTCCGTAGGCCTAGGAACGAGACAATATTTACGAACGACCTTTAACACAACAGTATATAGAAATAACAAGCCACTTTCCAACTGCCTGAGTTGCCCCCCTAAGTAGGACTGATTCATGATATAACGTTATTCCAACATTTGCAGTCTTGAGACAGCAGCCAGAAGCCAATATAGATGGATTAGATAGTGCTGCTTCCCGTTATCTTTACACGACGACGCCTTTAATCTCCATGATCAGCCCTGCACCACAATCTACCGTCGCAAGCCAATGCCGCACTTCTTGATTTACCACCAGAGTTTGAGAGGAGATTGAGCCCTGATCGAATCGCTACGACTGCCGCCTTTCACGTATTCTTACGGGTTCGTGAATCTCAAAAGTGCCCCCCCCATCAAAGAGAAGTCGCATGAGACGCCCATCTGGCAATATCCGTCTTCCTACGCTGCCCATCGACACTTTTTTTTTTTTTTTTTTTGTGGCATAACAGTCAGGCCCCTCGCCTTTCTTGCCGCAAACTCCGTGCTTCACGGCGGGGCTCATCAGTATCATGTCTGACGGTGTTCGAGACGGGGTCTCTAGTCTCGTCTGCAAAGGTTCAGAAGTGAACACCTCGGGTTCTAAAACCTGGCTAACGTGCCGCTCCGCTTCCGAAGAGGCGAACTGGCATCCATCCCCGAGGGGATTAACTAGTAAGCGCTGAGCAATGGTAGCAACGGCACCACAAGGAGTGATGTAGAACTCGAAGAGCTTCAAGATCGGCGCTATTCCGTTCAAGGCACAACTTTGGCGAAAATTGTAACAGCTTCCAGGGCACGAGCATATAATGTGACGACGGGGATAATACAGCCTAATTTTGCATTGTATGTGTTCGTAGCTCGTGAGTCTATCCTTTTGAATCTCATTGGGATCGTCCCTAAGCCCATTACCCCTTTTCTAAGAGGGCAAGAAAAAAAATATAAAAATCCACAAACACCATTGTTTGTGTCGGGTATCCTGTGAGCCAAACCCGACTCGAAAAAAATCCATCCATCTGGGAGAGTCGTTCAGCGAGTGATCACCCCCGAATGCGAAAACGAATGTCCCGAAGAGAAAAAAAGGTATCTTATGTACACTAGAAGAAGAAGACAAAAGTGAGGAACGTGGTTTCCCACTCCCAGACAAGGCTGTCCACCACAAACCCGGGTGGCTTGAAGAAGAAGAAAACCCAAAACCCTGGCGCCAGCCCTTCGTAACTGGACGTGTCCCATAATCGAAAAATTCATTGGCCACAGATTCAAAAGACTTAGGCAGCGGCGTAGGTCTGACCAAGAGCGCTGAGGCCAGAGCCGGAGTTGAGGACGCCATCGCTGGCCATGAAGTAGGAGTAGCGTTGGAGGTACGAGAGGCTGTCCAGCTTGGGAAGGTTGGTCTGGACAAAGCTGGAGATCTGGTCGCTGCTGCCGAAGGGAGCGAACTCGGTGAGCCAGACAGGCTTGCCGTTGCAGATCTCGTGGACCGACTGGAGGTGGTCAAAGAGGGTGGAGGCGGCGTCGGACGGGGAGTACCAGTGGGTGACGCAGAAGTCGTAAGCGCAGCCGGCGGTGTCGCAAGCGGAAACCCAAGACTTGAGCCAGTCGAGACCCTCGCCGGGGATGTTGCTGTTGGTGATGGCAGGGGAACCGATCTTGACCTCGCCAGCGTAGCTGTTGAGGTACTTGACGTGAGCAGCGGCAGCGGAGCCGGGGTCCAGGTTGCACTGAGCGGTGTTGTCACACTCGTTGAAGCTCAAGATGTGAGTGGAGCCCTTGGCGATGGCGGCATCGGCGTTCTGGGTCCAGCGGGCGGTGTGGATGTCAATGGGACCCCAGAGCATGGGAACGTACTCGACGCCGGAAGCAGAGAGGCCGTTGTCCTGTGAGTCCCAGTTGTAGGCCCACGCGCACTCTTTGCAAGCGCCGGTCATGAAGGCGTTGACCTTGGTGGGATCGTTGTAAGCGAGACCGCGCTTGCCACCAGTGGGAGGGGAGCTGACGCTAGCAGCAGAAGCCTTGGCAGGGGGTGCGGACGAGGAGGCAGCGGGGATAACGATGGCAGCCTGCTCGACGACGGGAGCCTTGGAAGAGGAGGAGGGCTTGGGCACAGCAACGAGAGTGGTGCTAGGGGCAGCGACAACCGGGGGAGGTGTCGGGGTGGGGACCACGATGATGGAGGTGGAAGTGGTCGTCGGGGCGGTGGTCGGGGGGACGGCCGGGGCGACGACCGGGACGGTGGTCGAGGTGGTGTTCAGGGCCTTGGGAACCTCAAGCTGGGCAGCGGAAGGAGTGGGAGTGGAAGAAGCGGAGCTGGTCGGGACGGGTTCGCCATCGGTGACAGTGACGGTGACCCAGTGGGTGACCATTTCGACCTGGAGAGCGCGCTTGTCGGCGTGCAGGTGACGGTGAGCGTTGAAGCCCAGAGCCTGCTCGGCAAGAGCGAGCGAGGCTACAACCGAGAGTGCTTTCTTGGCGTACATGTTTGCGGTTGTCGACGGGTATCGAGGAAGGTGTACCTTTGGTTTGGGAAGGAAGCTGTTGATTCTTCTCTTTGTCCAGGTGCTTCGGGGAGACCGAGTTCCGGTTTTGGAATGAGGGTGGATATGTATCGTTCGTTGTGAATATACACAGAAAGAGGGAGTGGTTCAGTTGCTTGTTGGTTCTTCGGTCTATCAAAGACTCGAATAAAGAAAGTGGTGCGGTTGTTGTTGTTGTGAGTTTGAGAGAACAACGAACTGCTGGTACACAAGGTCGGAGCTGGCGACCGTTGGTCAAGGAGTGTGTGTTGACTGAAGAAGGCACAGACAAGCAAGCCGGTTGGTGTGAGGAAGGGGGAACGGTCAAACGGAAAGAGAGTGTGGGGATAGGGGGGGGAGCAGGCAGTTTAAGAAGAGAGAAAGAGAGCGACTAGGCGATGGGAAGGAAACAAATACGACAGGGACGTGGAAGGAAACAAAGCTGGAAGAGGTGGTGGGAAGGCACAACCTCAGATGCAAGTGCGGTTCGGTTGGCAGTTGCCAGTTTGGGCGCTGCGCTGCAACTGGGGCGGGCGGTGGGTCCCGATGGGTCGGGGCTGCGTTGCGATTCACCACGAGGAAGGAGGGAAGGGGGGTACGGAGGTACAACGCCATAGTGCGACCTTACTATACCACGGTACCTAGGTAAGTGTCCACCAACGAAGATGGCCCCTTCCTCCGTACCTGCCTATCCGCTCACACTAGGAGAAGCAGGGGGAGGTAGGCGGGCCGGACGTGCGAAGTGTGTATCGCGCTTTCCGAGAATGGTAGTAGTGCGGTTGCTGTTGCTGCTACTCTTCTCTCGCCAGTCATCCAAACAGCACAAGAAGTCGTTATCTGGCAGGTGGAGCGTGCCCTTCCTCCCAGACCTAGACCTGGACCTAGACTTAGGTATCCTCCCTTCCTTGGAGGGAAGTTGCTGATGTTGCTGCTGCTGCTGCTGTTGTTGTTGTTGTCATCCAACTCCTGAGTGGTGATTGACCGACACGGGCTGGTCGGTGTGGGAACCGTCGCCCGCTTGGCGGTTCGTCAGAGCTTTGCCCTCTTCATCCGATTTCATGTTCAGATTTCCTTCTTTTTTTCGGGGATGATCAGCGCCTCACAAACATGCTTTTTTTGCTCTGTCGATCCTGGTTATTTCTTTGTGTTTTTGTGGCCCCTCCCCCCCACATCCCTGTGGTCTGGACACTCTTGCAGGCGCCCCCAGTGCCAGTGGGCGGGGACAATAGACTACGGGAGATACGGGGGACGCACCGGGCACGAACGTGGATGGTGTGCTGGCGTTGCGTCCTGATGACCGGTGATTACCCTGGACTTCCTCGACTCTGCCAACTCGACGATGCTCCAGACTTGCTGTCCAGAGCGGACAGTATCCGTACAGACGGCTGCCAAACCGCCACAATATGTATCGCAGGAGGAGAGGGCTCCACAATGACATAGGAGGACCAGCCAGGACGACCAGGCAATTGGTGGGCTGCTCTTTGTCTCTTTTTTTTTTTCTTTCTTCCTGTTTTTCTTTTTCCTCCGGCAGATTCGAGTCTATCTCTTAATCAATCAAGTCTCGGCTTGACTGGCCCTCCGCCCTCTGCCGCGGATTATTGGCAAAAATCACATCGCTAGCCATCTCTGACTGGTGCCAAACGAGGGAGAAACGAACAGTCGCAAGCGGACAGTTTTGGGTTGCCACCCACCCACCCACCCACACCTCAGCGACAACTACAGGTACGAATAGCGACATAGACATGGATATGATGGACCTAGGTAGCGTGGTAGCTTACCTAGACCTCTCGGCCAAAAAGAGGGGGGAGAGTGCGACCGAGACCTGCTTCTGCTTGAAGGAAGGACAATAGCCAGAAGCGCCATTTTCTGCCCCTGGCTTATGCAGGTACACGTTCGAGGGGGGGGGGACGACATGCTGCAGGAACCGGCATCGCGGCGCAACCCTTTGGAAACGCCGGGCGCGAAGGGCACACGTTGCGGAATACTGTACAACGACGCCAAGTAGCTTTTGCGAGTCGCCACTGCGAACCGATACCTACGCTACACTGCCAAGCAAGTCCTGTCTGTTCCTTGCTCACCACCCACCAACCGCCGGCCCCCCTCGAGGCCCCCATCCGGACCAGTCAGCGATCGGCAGCACGTTGTAGCTGCACTCTGGCTGGCAACGCAACAGGCACAATTGTGCACAGGTGGCAGTGAATGGGGCCAATACGTAGGTGGGACGAAACTACTGCACGCAAGTCCCTTGCTCACCTCAGAAAAACGGTAACAACGGTGGGCGTGATGCAGGCGAGAGAGGGCCAGACGGAAGCCGCCCCTTGGCTGACTACTACATGGCGTTCTCATCTGCGTCTGCCGCCGGGTTCTTGCTCTTGGTCTTCTCCCTAGTGTTGGGTAGTGCAGATTTGTTGCTGAGTGCAACAAGCCTCGACGCCTCTCTCTACTTGACGCTTGGCCGCATGTGAAGGGGGAAGGAAATCTGGCAAAACCCCTTCACACACCTCCCTCCACCAGGTCAGTGCCTCCACCAACGTCTTGGTTGAGGTGCTATCGATGACAGTCCTCCTCCCTACAGAAAATCCCTCTGTTCGCCTCCTCTCCGAAAAGTTTCTGCTCGAAAACTCGTCACCGTGGTCTTGGACCCCGCTCCCTCTCTTACCCCCTAACGATGAGAGCCCTACGGCATCACCAGGGAGACGTGCAAGACTATCTCCAGTGCGCCAGAGGCAGAGCCACCACCGGATATTACCACCAAGGCGCGGCCCACCCTTTTGCGTCTTCCTCCGCCCTGGCGCGGCCCCCCTTAGGTGTGAAGCCTCACAACCCACGAGTCACTTTCCCTGAAGGCTGTTGCCAGCAACCGCGCGGCCCCTCACCCCCCCCCCCCAAAACTCGAACCCCCAACACTGATGAAGCCTCGGCTTGGGGCTTGGTTGGGTCGGATAGATAGATAGCCAGGCTCAGCTGGGCTGGGCTGGAGGCGTCAGCCAGGGTTGGCAGCCAGAACCCTATCATTTACGGACACACGTACTCTGGATTTCTGTATCCCGTCCCACGTCCAACGGCGCTAGCGTCAGACGGAGTTGGGACGGCGGCTCCGCGCTTGGGGCAACCCGCTCGACAGTCTGGACTGATGCCATTGTCATGGGAGAATGGGCCCGACGGGAGGCCACTTGCGCGCGATAAGGTCCCCGTTCCACCGCTTTGGGCTGGGACCGCGGTACTCACGTGATCGTCGTCGACGTATTTGGTGCTTCGACGCGCCTGTCCCCTTTTTTCGCTTAGCTGGGCTACGTGGAGCCTGATGGATGTACATACTACTAGTAGGGCGGACTGTCGGCATACGAGGTCCAGACTCATGCTCCCAGGCCCGGGAGTTGGCATCGTGTCCAAGAAGCACACGACTGTTCGACATCGAGGTAGCGGTTAACAGGCAGACAGATTGCGGGTCAAACCTTAGCATCTCAGACTATCTCAAAGTACTGACCCACCTCCTCTTAAGTCACTTATGTCCCCACACCACCAACTTCTCTGTCCCCACACCACCAACTTCAAATCCTTAACTTCTAAGTCAATAAAAAGAGAAAAATAGAGCTTCTATAATAGTGTATACTATAGCCTAATTATCTTTTACTAATCTTAGAGCTCCTAGGGGTAAATTTCTCTAAAAAGTTGATTTGTGCTACTATATTCTAGATGTACCTTAAGCTGATAGAGATATCTCTGTTTTTTTCTTTTTTCTCTAGGAAAAGGGTGAGCTGGTCTGTGCGTAGGTCTGTGCAGGATTAAGCGAGAGACTTCAAGAGGTACTTTGGTGACTCAAGTGCTGCCCCGCAATGTGTCTGCCTGTTAACCGCTACCGACATCGATGGACCCGGTAGGGCCAACCCCCGTGCGCCGGCTGTGAAACCGTAAGCGAAATGAGCTCCCGCAGCCGCGGGGCAGACGGAGAGCGAATCCCATCCGTCATCCCAGAAGATGACGCGCCCAATTCTGCCACTTGGCGCCCACTTCTCTGGCTCATTTCTGACAGCCGCCCGCCCAGCTGCTGCTCTACCCAAAAGGCAAACTAGTGTGCATTATCCGTACTCGGTAGAATACCTACCTGGTCTTCCGGATTGTCCAAAGCTTGTCTGGCCCGACGATGGCACTTCACACTCGACCAGCTCCTGGGGACACAATGTGCCAGGATGAGACGGCCAGTCGGGGTTAACTCTGCGCCACGCCGACGCTAGACCCTTGGAATGCACCCCCCCCGGGCTCCATTATCCGGCGCTGTCATGCCGGTCGCGGTCCTCGTTCAGGGCAACCAGCACCATTCTGGACGCTCATAGCCTGCCTGTATTACTCTGTCTGGCACAGTGGCCCCACTGAGGCTGAAGCCGGCTTCCCGGGCATACGACTCAGAGCCCTGAGCCGCGTAAGAGGGAGCACTACCGGAAGCGCGGAACACGAGGGCTTTGATCCTGAATAGATGCCACTTGCTTTTACCTTTTTTTTTCCGAGATTGATTTTATGCGCGACGATTGCACAGGAAAACACGCCTATCCCCCCAGAGTCCCACCACGTTCGCTTTACGGTTCTCAGTGTTCGGTCAATCCTCCAAAGGCTGCTGACGTTTGCATTAAATCTTGGCTGCCTGCCTGCCTGCCTGTCCACCACGTCGCAAAATATCGCTGTTCGGCCTTCGTCTTCAACAACAAGTCAAGTGACGCGTCCACAGAAAACCATTCGCAACTGTCTTGTCGAGGGGTTCTAGGCGTCGTTTCGCAGTCCGAGAAAGTGTATTGGAAGACAAAGGCTACGGCGCTTGGTGGTAGGCCGGTCGAGATCCACATCTCCGGGGAGACCGTACGCCCGGGAACCCTCCCGGGAGGAACCCATGCCCCGATATCGTCATTATCGCTTACGGGTGGCCCCCGATCATTCAGACTTCGTGTGTCGACATCGTACAGGTCTCGCACTCGGCGAGCCAAAGTATCTACTAGCAACATTCCTCGAGAGCCTTGCCTTGCGCAGCCTCCACGAAGCTACACTAATGACGGTCATGGCTGAAGATTACAAGCAACCAATGACCTCGCGGCATCGCCGAACATGAGGCTAGTACATACGCATACATAGCGGGCTATCAATCGCCCGACGCCCTGCCACAATCATAGTCGTTGACACGTGACCGGGCTGCCTTGCCATCGACGTCGTGCCTGCATCAAGCTGAGCTGAAGGCAACGCCGGGTCAAATCCAGCTCGACCGTTGAAGCTGTTTTGCCCAGATCCAAGTCGTTCTCCGTAGCTCCTAGCGGGTGCATATTCCATTTACCAGGTTGTCAAAGGAGCCGGATTTACTGCTCACCCGGACTGCTTCGGGAGACGAGACCCGCGGCATCATGAACAATACTGCTCAGCCATCCCTTACTCTGCTGGCCGCCGCGCCTGCTATGAACGAATTTGATTATGGAGCTCTCTTACTGGGTGACGAGCTGTTGTTCGGGGACGAGAACATCCACTCGAGCGAGACGCTTTCAGAATCGTCCCCGAACAGAGCGTCCAGGTCTGGGGCCGGGAACTCGGGCGGAGATGGGTCGATGCAGAGCTCTACTGCTCCGAGGCAGCGACTCGAGAGGAGGGGACACACAAAGAGCCGAAGGGGGTGTTTCAACTGCAAGAGAAGGTGAATCAAGGTAAGCTGTCGAGTTGATGAGACTTTGGCATGTGTTCCCTAACTCTGCTTGCAGTGCCAGGAGACACACCCGGCTTGCGGTCATTGCGCCAAATCGGGACTCAAATGCGAATACCCAAAGTCCCCGGCTATAGTGCATCAGGTATGTGACGACAGGTGAATCCCGTGCCGCCTCTCTGACTCGATTACGCCCAGCCGCACCATCAAGTTCCATTGTTCAGTCTGCAAGACATGAGGTTCTTCCAGCACTTCATGCTGCAGTGTTATCCACATCACCCATAGGGAACGAGAACATCTGGTCATCCGCGGCATCCTCATCATCGGCACGCAGATGTGGATCAAGGGCATCAAGCCCATCTTCGTGAACATCATGGGCGAGGATTCGAGCGCCGTGCTGGAGCCCAGAATGGCCGACCTGCCGCTGATTCAGAAGGAGCGGGCGGACGGCGCGGTCGAGGCGATTGGTGGGCTGAGAGGGCTTTGCCGGGACGTGGTGGAGATTGAGTACTTCGAACTCATCACGGCGATGGCGACGAAACTGCACACGTCGTCGTGGGAAGGCAAGTCGCTCCGCACCACGGGACGCGGCAATCTTGATGGATGCATGCCGAACGCGGAAATGCTGACAGGCGCTGCGTCACATAGCATACCGAACCTTGACAAAGCACTACGGCTAGTGGATCCAGCTCCCGCACGAGAAGTTCCAGCGCGTCATCGACACGGGGAACCAGACGATGGTCCTCCTGGCGAGCCACTGGATCGCGCTGAAGCAGATCATGGCCTTCATCACCAACGCCGAGCACGAGCGTCGCGAGAAGGCGCCGCCGCCAAAGGAGAGGAGCGCCACCGATCCGTCCGGCACCGTCCGCTGGCTGGGGCATCTCAACAAGCAGGTCGACCACGAGCACCTCGTATACAACCAGTGGCCGTTGTGGGTCGAGGCACGGCTGAAGCAAGATCTGGGGTTCTTCGGGAAGAGATGCTGAAAAGGGTTGCCAACCCGTGCGAGAGAAGAGCGGACGGATTTGAAGTCCTGAGATACAGTCATGTCCCATTCACTTACTTGTCCCTTGGTTTCCAGTCTGGGGCGCGTCTGGTTGAGCGGGTGTTTCGCAGCTGTCCGAGCCTGCCACAGTGCTCCGTCCCGTAGTCAGCCGATCAGTTCGAGAAGGATTTTATCAGTTTTCCAAGTCAAGGTACAAACACCGCTCCGCGCCGTATCTGAGAATCCTGGCACGACATGCCCAGCCCTACGCATCGTTGATCGATCGATCCGGTCCACGTGGTTCCACACCGTCGAGCAACCGACCATGCGTGTCATTTCCGACAGAAGCGAGACGCGATAAGCGTTCTTCATCCCATGGAGCGATCACTGGTCCAGAATATCGCTGATCCTCATCAGGCAGTGCGGGCGCTGTGATGTGACCCCACCTCGCTCTCTCTCTCTCTCTCTTCTCTCTCCCCGGAGCCCGGCCGCCGCGCCCCCCGTCATCAGCGCACCGCCCCCTCCCCGGAAGACGATGCATCTGATTGGCCAGAATTGTCAAAACGAGGAATACGGCGCGGGCGGTTGTGGGGCCGTCGGCCAATTGGGACGGACGGCTTCGGGACGGGGGTTGACCGGCCCGACCGTCCTCCCCCAACACAGAGTAGCGTTGTCTTGTCCGCGAACCCTCCATTTCCGTACCAAGCCACTGTCACACACACACACACACACACAAAAAAAAAGTAAGACATGCGAGCAATACGGTTGCGACGGGTAGGTTAGCGTGGGCGGAGTTATGTGGTCATTTTTGGGGGAGGGATAAGCTCAAAAAAACCATTGCTTGTGTTCCTGTCGGGAAAAGCCAAACTTCCTTTCTGCCTTGTGTCGAGCCCGTAAGACCCGAGCCAGCCACGGGTCTGATGTGAAGCGTGCTGCGCCTCTGAAGCTCACGGGATACTAGAATCTCGACTGAACGGGCTGCGTTTGAGAGGAGCGAAAGGGAACAGAGCAGTGGGTGGCGGGCGGCGGATGCGGCGAAGAGAGGCAGTAAGACGGATCGCATTCCTCGCACACGTAGATTTTGTGACCTTTTTTCTCCCTCTTCATATTGAGACCCTATAGCTCGGCTTTTGTTCCACGTTGAAGGCGGCACCTCTGAAAGCGAAGCATATAACAAGGCCACACATCGTCCCCTTCGACCCAGGTTGACCTACCACCGCACCACGAAACACACCAGAATTGCCTACTGCGAAAGCTACCCTTGGCGCCAGTCCTCTACGAAATTTACTGATTGATTGCTTGGAAGAACTTGGACGCCATCGAGACAAAGCCTCGATCAGCAACACCGACACATCAAGCAGCCGCTCCCTCCGAGTAACAGTCGGTTACCTGCACGGTTGGCCAGCAGCCCTGGCAACCAACCAACCCACCATGTCGGTCCTCGCAGACAAGTCCCACAACATCCATGGCGCCTCCGCCCTGCCCACGACGCCTCGCAGTCGCCCGTGTGCACGACGCTCTACCACTTCGGGCCGGGCAAGCCGCCCGTCCTCCGCCTGCCGCGGGCGCCCGTCTCCGCGCCGGGCGAGCCCGCGGACGGAGACCTGGACGTGTCGGTCGTGCCAAAGTCCCTCGTGTCGCGGACTCAGGTCCTCGAGACGCCGCGGGTCGCCCAGCTAGTGCGCGGGCCGGGGACGAGGACGGAAGGCACCGGGCGCAGCGCGGCGGGGAAAGGGGACAGGCTGGCGGCCGACCTGTCGAGGTGGACGGGCCCGAAGGGCGGTCGCGCGCGGGACGCGGTCGAGGCGCTCGTCGTCGCGAGCTGTGTGTGCATGCTGAAAAAGGAGGTGGACCGGCGGAGGATGCACCAGATGGTGATCATGGCCGGAGCCGCCTCGGGAGGTTCCTGAGACGGCTGGTGCCCCATAGAGGAGGTTGCTTCGGCTTTAGGGAGAGACGTTCGTCTTGTGGTGTATGATGAGAGACCGTCGTCCGCGGCGGAGGTGTTATAGCCGTCCTCAGTGCCAGCTCCAAGCACATACGGCCACACCCACTGGAAATCTCGGGATCCAGTCCGCTCTCTCATGGATAGATAAGCCAGTGAGGCCGTCGGCCTTACCTATAGGAGACTGTTTCTGCCGAGGAATCCTCATGGGAAACGGAATGGACTCGTAATTTATTTCAAGGTGCTATGGCGTCCGCTTGCCTGCTGGCCCCTTTACACAGATCTAGAGTCTCCTCGGGCACTCTCGTCGTCGTTACTGCGCTTCTTGTTTAAGCCACAATCCATCATATCGTCAAGCACTGCTAGTCCTTGTCCCTCAGCGCAAACTCTCGCCTCTTCGACTGGCGACTGTCTGACTCCGTCTCCCTTATAACACACCGCATCATACAGGTAGTGAGTGGTAACTACCTAACGTCATTGCAGAAGCAAAGGAGGCGTGGCAAGGGGCGCACGTTTGGATCTGAAGAGCAGCGTGGACGGCACTGTTACTCCCCTAACTCGCGACATCCAAAATACCCCTTCTCAGAACCATCTCCAACTTGAAAGAGCTATGGGAGCCTAGCCTCGCGTATCGCTAGTGCAAACGATCCAGCGGCCCCGGGACCTAGGAACACCGTAGCCGCGGTGAGGTAGATCAGCTCCTGAACCTCGGTCGGCGTGTTGGCCTTCCCCGGCTTCCCTCCGTCAGCCCCATCCCGACGTGACAGAAGCAAGTGCGCAAACACTATGCTCGTGAGGCTGACTACGATCCAGTCCCATTGCGAGAACAAGTGGAAATTCTCCAACAGCGCCGTATACTCGGCGGGCAGACCGTTCGTCTGCGACAGAGAGTGTACGGGGTCGGCGAAGCCGGTCTTGGGGATGAACAGTCTGGTCAGCGACGAATCCCCATCTCGAGAAAGCAGAGCGCCGGCCACAGTGTAGAAGTGGACGGCCGATGCGACGGTGCCGGCGAGTATGAGAGATGCGACGACCCATCTCTTCGACGACCGCGACGTGCCTCGGCTCGTCCGAGACAGAACCGACGACAGGCCGAGATGGAAGGCCGAGACGGCTGCCGGAGCCGCCTGGAAGAGGGCGATGCATCCGTGGTGCAGACCGGTTCCGCTGCGCCCCGTCCACGCCGGGGCGAAAACGAGCAGCGGCTGGAGGAGAATCGCCAGCGTCGTCGCGGGCAGTGCCGCAGCCTGGTGCCCCGGGATCGCGGCGTCGCGCAGACGGGCCTTGCTGCGGCAGACGAGGTACAGGTACAGCGGCAGGACGATGGCGGCGCCGTTGACGTTGCAGAGCACCATCGCCCAGGCCGGGTACTTCAGGAACCAGGAGCGGACGCCTCGGCGGCGGGACTCGACGAGGACCCAGAGGTTCGAGCACGCCACGGCGTAGTTTATGTCGAAGAAGAGCAGGCGCGGCCCGGACGTGAGGGAGTTCGTGAGGACGTCGTAGAACGCCGAGAGGAGGGTGAGCTGGGCGTCCACGGCGGCCAGGCCCGTGTACGACGAGCGCAGGGGGCGACCGTCCGGGAGCCGGAGAGTGCGGGTCGCCGTGTCCAGACGCGCGAACATGCCGTTGAAGAAGGCGTAACCCCAGAGGCCCCATACGCCGAGGGCGCTCAGGTACAAGAGCTGCGCTCTCGAAGTTGCGAACATGATGCAAGAGATGGCGTTGTGGGTTTGTTTCCTTGGCGTGTTTTGGTTACGTGCGGCCTGGCTGCGACTTGGGCGAAACGACTCTTTATTATCCCGTCGGGGCTCTCTCTGTGTAGACTTGATATCTGCTGTTCTTGTCCCGCCCGCCCGGCCGTCTGTCTCGCGGTAGGAATAGAAGCACTTTCTGCGATGGGCCGTTGCTGACTCAAGCCGTCCGGCCCGGTTGCGTCGGCCGAGCCGGTCGCCAAGGAACGGGGCCGAACGGCCGCTCCTCCTCGATTGGCTGTTTCTTGTCCCCACTCCTCCCCCCCACCCCCGAGATACGTCGTCACCTAAACGGTGCGCGGCGCCGGTGGACCCCGCTTCCGAAGGCCGAGTTCTCCGTTCTCCGTCTTCGGCCTTGCGACCCGCGAGTCCCGATGATGTTAAACATAGCAAACTCAACATTCAGCTCTGGTATATACTCCAGCCCGTTTCCTGATCCTGAGAGTGAGAAAGAACAAAACCGCCATCTCGACAATCTTTACTCGCCGCGGTCCGTCGTATAGGCCAGCAATAAGTCATCGATCAGTATGGAAGACGACAGCTCATCAGCCTTCAAAGTCATCATCGTGGGCGCTGGTGTCACGGGTCTGACACTGGCCCACTGTCTTGCCAAAGCGGGCATCGACTTTGTCCTGCTAGACAAGGGCGTTGTTGCCCCGGGCTTCGGAACCACCATCACGCTGCAGCCGCACGGGTGCCGGATCCTGCACCAGCTGGGCTGTCTGGATGCCGTGCTGGCCACGTGCGATGTCATGGGCGGTGCTCACTGCCGCGACCCGTCGGGGAAGAGCTTCGCCTCGAACGACTTTTTCGGAGTTGTAAGGAAGTTGTACGTAATCTGCCGAGTCTTTCCCCTCATCCCCCGAATGCTGGCGGAAGCCACTAGTGAAGAACACACACACACCCTCTAACTGCCATACACGTAGCGCCGGCTACGATACTAGGACGCTCGATCGGCAGCTGTTCCTACGCACTCTATACCAATGCCTGCCAGACCAGTCCAAGGTGTATGAGAAAGCACGCGTCGAGGAGATAGTCGAAGAGAACTCCAGGACTCGCGTCGTCCTGGCGGACGGGCGGGAGTTTATCGGTGATGTGGTGGTCGGTGCCGACGGCGTGCACTCCAAGGTTCGCGAGATCATGTGGGACAAGGCGAACGAGGCGAACCCGGGCATGATCACGGTCGAAGAGAAGCGAGGTAAGTGCTGCGCAAGAAACCGAGACGGGCGACCGATTACGTATGTAGCGTTTTTGGGCTGAGAAAAAGTTCCTTGGCGAAAGCCATGGTGACCCAGTACAACGCCATCGTCATGGCGTCCTCGCCGGTGCCCGGGCTCGGCTCCCACGATATGGAGGTGACCTCCAACGACAAGTTCTCCTTCCTGCTCCTCTGCCAGCCGAATTGGATCTCCATCATCGTGCACAACAAGCTTCCGGAGGACAAGCAGTGTACCTGGCCGACGCGCAGGCGGTATGACGAGCATGACATGGAGGCGCTCGTGAGCAAGATCTCCGAGTGTCCCGTCACGGAGACGGTCGTGTTCGGGGAGCTGTGGAAGAGGAGGCTGAAGGCGCAAATGATCTCGCTCGAGGAGGGCGTTTTGGATCACTGGTTCTTTGGGAGAATCATCTTGGCTGGGGACGCTGTTCACAAGGTACGGTGCCCCCTCCTTCTTTCGCCACATTGCCCTTTTGACCTCATCCTGAATTGAGAGTCGTCATGGTCGGGCACATCCACTCATATCGATGACAGGTCACCCCCAACTCGGCACTCGGCGGCAACACGGCAATGGAAGACGCCGTCACCCTCGCGAACACTCTCCACGCCCTCCTGGCCAGGCACGCGAACAAGAAGCCCAGCGACGTCGAGCTGCGCGACGCGGTGCGGGACAAGTACCAGGACCCCCGCGTCGACCGCGCGCGCGCCATAGTCAAGGTCGGCGGCGACCTGACGAGACAGCAGGCCTACGACGGGTGGAAGGCGTACCTCGTGCAGCGGTGGCTGACGCCCCTGGTGGGGCTGGACACGCTGGCGAAGAACATTGCCGGGCTGTGCGTCACGGCGCCGAAGCTCAGCTACGTCGACTTCGACGAGAGGCGAGGCGTCCTGGGCTGGCAGGACACGCTGGCCGCCGAGAAGGAGCGGGAGGCGCGGGAGAGGAGGGGGGGCGATGGCGGGAAGCGGAACGCGTACGCGCAAAGCGGCGGCGGCGGCGGCGGGTTCATGGCGTCGTGGGGCGATTGGAACGGAGGCTTCGAGGCCGTGTTCCCCAAGGTCCTCGGGGCCTTGACGGTCCTGTGGTCGGCGATTTGGCTGTTCCACCTTGTCTTCTCCAGGCAGCACATTTACGGGTTCGAGAGGGAGGCGTGGCAGTTGGCGGGAAGAGAGAATGAAACGTACCGGATGACAGAGTAGGACCATCGTTACGTGCGCTCCGAGAGAGTGGAAATGCAATTCTAGCATCGTCTTGGACTTTCCATCCGTCTAAATACGTCTCTGCGGGCGCATCATGTTAAACAGTTGAACTTGGACTCGAAGAGCTAATTGTATTGTTCTTCTTGGGGAGTGGATTTGGAAATCAATACGGCTGACTGGATTCGGTTTTATGATGGACTCTTTGGAATCCTTGTCTCTAGGGTTTGTACTACCGAAATCGATCGCGTAAAGAGTTCACTCGTATGGTTGGAATGCATTCATCACGCGGCACAGCAGTTCACATTCAGGTATCTGAAGATATGTAGCCCGTGGGACTGCCTCGTAAACAGCCATGATGTCCCCTCGATTCCTAATCCTTCGGTACAGAATTGTATTAGATGGCTCAGAGCCTGAAAACTAATGTCGGTAATTCATTTTCGCCCGGTGTATCTCGCTTCCTTCCAGAGATCTCGGTAATCCGCATCGTCTCTTACGCCGCTGCGACTGGCGCAATCTTGCCACCGCCCAACTTGGCTCTCTGCCATGTACATTAGGGTCACAATGCCATGGACGCGGAAAAAGAGGGTCAAGCGATGTTTGCTTACCAGGAGTGGCACAGAGCACACCACGCTCAGCGCGGCTGCCGCAAGGAAAAACGCCCAGATACTGGTCATGGCGCTCGCAATCTCGGGGATCACCAGGGCCTTCTCGGCGTCTGTCAACGCCTGGAATGCGCTGCTGCTGGTTCCTGCGATCAGGTTGCCGATCTCGCTGTGAGGGAAGGCCGGGAGGGCATCGCCGACCTTGTGGACGGCTATGTTGTGGAAGAGGCTTCCGCTGATGGCCAGGAAGAGAACCATGCCGAGGTCCTGGGCTGGGCGTGACGACTTGTGTCAACTCTCTCCGTATTACCAAGGGTTTTTTTTTCTTCCTTTTTTTAACTTACAGATGGTCATGGCGCCGACGGCATTTGCAATGTCGTGAACAGGGACTAGAGATTGCACGATGGCGAACCCGGCTACGATGTAACATCCGGTGCCGGCTCCTACGAGAATGTTGTAGCCGTAGATGTTGGCGTTGGGCGTAGTGTCATTTACGGTGTCTGTGGGAGGGTTGTTAGGGCCGACGTGTTCTTCGTGCTTCCGAGGGTCCCGAGGAGACTATGGTAGTAGAAGCATCGGATAGATGGGGAAAAAAACTAAAAAAAAACTTACACATGAGAGCAGTGCCAATGAGCGCAAGCGAACTGCCTCCGATGTACCACACGGGGATCATTCCGTATCGCGGCATCAAGAAGCCGTTGACCATGGAGGCGACGACCATGAACATGATCAGGGGAAGCAAACGGACCCCAGCGTCGAGCGCCCCGTCGCCCTAAGCGATATAAAAATCAGTCCCCGAAGAGCCAAGCAGCCTTGCAGACCTACCTTGATGAATTGAAAGTAGAGAGGAACGTAGTATGTCATGGCCTTGTAACGATCAGCTCCATGTCCGAAAGGGCGGGGAGAGGGATAGCCTACGAGGACGATTCCCGACGACAGGAATACCTGAAGCTGCATGTTGATCAGGATTGGCTGCTTGAAGAAGTGCAGGGGGTACAGGCGGTTCTCCTTGGAGACCAACGGATGCAGCTTGAGCAGGACGACGAAGGCGATCAAGAGGACGCCCGTGACTGTCCACAAGGCGATGACGGTGGCGGACCGGAAGGGGTATACGACTCCGCCAAATGTGAGAACAACGGTCAGGCAGGCTGATCCAGCGAGGAATATGACTGAGTTGACCCAGTCAATGAGGCGCAACTTCTCGGCCAGGGTCTTGGTGGGATGGGGGTCGACGCTTGGAAATAACAGGAAGTAGGCCGGGGCAAAGGCAGCGCCCACCGGGAGGTTGACGTAGAATCCCTGGCCGCCGATTAGCACTTATGACATGGCGGAAACTGAAAGGCAGAGAAGAAAGAAAAAGAAAAAAAAATTACCCATCTCCAGGTGGCACTGCTTGCGGCAAAGGCGCCGCCGATCTAAGGCACATAGAGTCAGTAGCTAATTAGGAGGGCAAAATCAGAGGTAGCGCTGCTTACCACAGGCCCGAGAACGCTACCGACTCCCCAGATAACGGTGCTTCCAGCAAGATAGGCAGGTTTCTCTTGGTCGTTCGACAAGACGGACACATAGGTCAGGGTGCCCGAGTACATGCCGGAGCCGCCGACACCGGCGATGACACGGCCAATAATAAGGGCCTCGATGTTGGGAGCAGCGCCACACAAGGCGCTGCCGACCTCGAACAGAAAGATGTTGAAGATGTAGACCCACTTGATGTTGAAGACGCCGTATACTTTGCCCCAAAGCAGGATGAACATGGTGCCGAGGGCGAAGCCGGTGCCGATCCACGACAGTAGCTCGAGACGGCCAAAGTCGTTGATGATGGCCGGCTGGATGTTGGCGACGATGGTGTTATCGAGCGAGAAGAGGAAGGTGGTGGATAGCATCGCGGAGTAGGCGACTGCCCACTGAAGGGGAGCAAACGGGTCATGTTAGCACAGGTAGATACCCAGGCCTAAGCACAACGAACGCTATGTCATGCCAGATCGAGGCCAGGGGGGGAGGGGGGCTTCGCTCACCTTCCAGCCATGAATGCTGCGAGGACTAGTCTTGTCAACCGAGGGAGGGTCGTAGCTGCTGCCGTTGCGCTCCCCGGGGGGACTCTGGGAGTCGGAACTCGCAGTGTCCGCATGCTTCTCGGGATGGGGCCCGTTCGGGCCCGGCGACATGTTTTCGAGGCTCATGTTCGGAAGAATCAGCAAGAGGTGTTGTGTACCTATGTCGGTGATGGGTTGTCGGCTGAGACGTGAGGAAGTATTTGGCAGAAGGAAGGTAGGTGCAGCATGTTGTGTGGTAAAAAAAAAAAAAAAAAAAAAAAAAAAGAAGAAGAAGAAGAAGGTGTGTTCAGACTATTGCAGCCCGGGAAGGTGAAGGAGACGGAGGGCGGACACGGGACGGAGACGGAGGTCGAGGGACCCACTCTGGAAAACAGTGGCGCACAGGCCACTTATGCCAAGGAACGGGGCTTCCGCGGCCGAGGGCAAGCTTTCATTCGTCTACAAAGATATCCACTTTTGACGCTAGTCCGCTCAGCACCGAGGAAGTCGTCCGATTGGTCACATGGAAGATGCTCACGGTACGTATCTGCAGTACGTACCTACAGCACCTGCCTGCATACCTACCTATCTACCTACCTACCTAGGCCGCTACCAAAGGTACCTACCTACCTACCTAATGACAGTGGATGATCTAGACAAAAGAATCCAGCTGTAAAACAGCTGATTCACACACGTATCAAAGTATGTTGTAATATCTTGTTGTTTAGAAGGTCTCCTGTACACATTGGGTTGGCAATATGTGGCAATCGTTGACAATGAATGCCAAAGAATGGTTCTTTTCAGTCATACAATAAAATAAAATAAACCATCTAGTGATTTTCTGCTACGGCATATTCCAATGTCAAGGCCGCTATTTTCATCTTGATGCCCTCGGCCTTGTCCCAAGCTTCAACCCAGCGATGCTCAGTTTGGCCCGACTGAATGCCCGTTTGCCCCCGTGGTGCCCTGACCTGATGCCTTGGCGTGACCATCCAGGGGCCGCGCTTCCAACTGATGACGTCGGATGCTACGATATTCATCAAGAATGGTACGGTAGTCGCTTGGCTTGTACCTGACAAACCACTCTTCAAAGACACTGCTCTTACGGAAGGGGTTGAGGCCCAGATCCTTCATGAGCGTGTCGATATACTGCTCCCGTCGCTGTTAGCGCGATACTATCTTGTTTACCGACAACGCCTCGTCGTTGTCCTTCTGCATGACCGTGAATGACGTTACCCACCGGAATGTAGTCGTATATGAAGTACGAGTGCTTCCTGCCCTGCTCGAGGTACCTCTTTCTGGTCCACGCGTTGAATGTCGCTGCTTCAAACTCCATCTCTTCTTTGCTTGGGAGGTCGCGCCATCCGAGCATCCACGAAACGCCCCAGAGGGCCTGAAGCTCCGCCGCGAGTGGCGTGAACGCCGAGTGGATGTGGCCGGGGAAGAGGATTGATCGGTCGCCTCGTGCCGCCAGCTCAGGAACGACAAGCCGCCGGAAGTGCCGATTGGGACCCTGCTCCGCTCTTGAGCTGGCATCAGCGTCACCGTACTGCTCGGGGGCAGTCCTGAGATACGGGAGGAGCTCATCGACCGTTCTGTTGGCCTTCTCGTCGAGCATCGTCCACCGGGAAAACTTCTTCGTGTCGTATTCCAGGCCGAGTTCCTCTCGGAGCTCAGGACCAAACGTACTATACCCCTTATCGAATCCGGTACAGTGGATCACAATGTCGGTCGCCACGGCGTACCCGTTCTTCAGGTTTACAACATCCTGGTGGGAGAGGCTCTCGATCTCGGTCGAATGGATCGTAACGTCCCCGCCGTGGAAAACCTTCCAAAAGTCAGGGGCAGTGGCGATGCCGATACCACCGCTTCCCCAGCATACTCTAGATGAGAGGGAAAAACCAAATCAGTCTGCGAGACCGCCGGCATCTGACACGAGAGAAAGCCATGTTGGTACTTACCCGTCGCTATAAGGTCTCGGACGCAGTTTCTCCGCATTCGGGGTTCTCCAGTACTCTGCGTGCGATACCGAGAGGTAGTTGGCCGTCCGCCAGTACAGATTTGTCACAATGCGCCCCACGGCGTTGCGTTGGAAAAAGTTGTAACAGAAACCAGATGTCGACATGATGCACGGGCTGAAGCTCGAGGCGAAGCGCGTCGAAATGTGGTCGGCAATGTTCCACAACCCCAAGAACGTCGGGGCATAGAGACTGAAGGGTCCGGACAGACCGTCCCGCATGACCCAGTCAACCTTCTTCCCCTCGCACAACAGATGGTAGACGGCGTCGTAGGACGACTTGGAGCGGCCGACGACAGTGGCGCTTCGCACATTGTTGGCTATGTAGTCTTGGTGCGTCCCGAGCTCCAGAGAGTGGATGACAGGCTTCTCAAAACCCCCCCTCGGCCACTTGGGAATGATGGGGCTAGAGTTGGCGCCTGTGGCGTAGATGAGCTTGTCGCATGACAAGGAGTTCCCTCCTTTGATGTCAAGTATCCATCCATCCGAGCCGGATTGCCCTCTCCTGACCTTTTCTACGCGTGTCTTGAGACGCAGGCGGGACACCAGGTCGTGGTCCTTGGCAAAGCTGTCGAGGTAGTTGTGGATTGTCTTTCCAGAAACAAACCCATCAGGCGATATGTCCTCTTTGGACATCGGATAAAAGGAATACTCGAACAGCGGGTGGCTGATCTGGGCAAAGAGACTGGGGTAGATGCGCTCCTTCGACCAGACACCACCGACTGTGCCGCTGTCATCCACGATCAGGAGATTGGTCTCGGGAGCCAACTCCAGATAAGTGCGAGCAGCCATCAGGCCGTACCAACCTGTGTATGCTGTTAGAAAGTGCACGGCAGGAATCATGACTTGCTTGTCTTTTTACCGGCACCGACAACGATGACATCAAAAGTCTCCAAGTCTTGATCTACTCTCGCCATGCTGAGGGATGCGACCGATTTGCGCCGAGGAAAACAAAATGTGACGAAGGAAAGGGATTTTGGTCTTCAGGGAAGCACAAGAAGAATCTACTGGGAAACGGTTGCTAGTTATCGCAAGATTCTCTAACACAGCCAGCCCCGACCAGCCGGTGCGCATCGGTACCCAAGTCCGGGTCCAACCCCAGCGCACAGTCGGCCCCGTCCCGACTTGGTCCGGCTTACTCCGGCTTACCCATCGGCCCCACTTTCCGAAGGGACGAATCGGCCGCTCCAAAGGCGCGGATTCTCCAACGGCAAAGATCCTCTAACGGTGCGGATTAGCGATCCGTTTCCGTGGGCTTCAGATCTCAAGAGCCACGCCCGTCAAGGATGCCGTCTGGGGTGCACCAGCAGCAGCGGCATGGAGATACCCCCAGGGAAGACACTGGGCAGAACATCGCTGCCGAGTCGGCGGTTCGGAGGCGCAACCTGCACCAATACCCGCCGCTGCGGAATCCCTAGGACGCTCCAGAGGCGCAGCACCACCGGCGCGACTTCGATATGGACGCAGTGCTACAGAATGAGGATAAGACCGGGTCGAACACAACCATGAACAATACATATAAACCCAGATGACTGCCTCTCGCTCATATTTGGACTGTACACCCAGACAAGTCAGGAATCTCAAGAAGCCATCTGTGCCCTATCTTACCATTTATTCACTACCTACCAGTAGTCACGATGCCTCACTTTCACGAGTCATCTTCGAGCTCCTCGGACGCTGGGCCCGAGTTTGACGCCCAGAGAGCTTATCAGCGTATCGTCAGTGATGAGGAGTACGCTGCTTCTGTGTCTTCTGAGATTCCCTTGAGTCAGCAACTGGAGCCTATCGCGGTCGTCGGGATGGGTAAGATCTGGCATCCCCCCCCCCCTCCCCCTCTCACCATGTCGGATTCTCGCTGACGTATTCGGTACAGGATGTCGTCTTCCTGGCGACGTTAGTTCCCCATCCGACTTTTGGAAGTTGATGATGGAGAAGAGGAGCGGCCAGACGCCCAAAGTCCCTTCATCCAGGTTCAATATTGACGCACATTTCCACTCAGACAATGACCGCCCGGGAAGCTTCAGTGTCCTCGGAGGCTACTTTCTCAACGAGACTCTTCAAGAGTTCGATCCGGCTTTCTTCGGCATCACCCCCGTCGAGGCCACATGGATGGGTGGGTCTTGAATGCCTCCGTGCTGGATGTTTATCTTGAAGCAGGCATTTTACTCACATCTTTTTGTCTTTTTTTTTACTCCAGATCCGCAACAACGAAAGCTTTTAGAGGTCGTATACGAAGCTTTCGAGTCAGCCGGTCTCACTTTGGACCAACTATCGGGCTCTGACACGGCTTGCTTCATGGCAACATTCACGGCGGATTTCCAGCAAATGTCGTTCAAAGAGCCCTCATTCCGCCACAGTCTCGCCGCCACTGGCGTTGACCCCGGCATTTTGAGCAACAGAGTCAGCCACGTCTTCAACCTCCGAGGTCCTAGCATCGTCGTCAACACTGCCTGTTCCTCGTCCGTCTACGCCCTCCATAACGCATGCAACGCCCTGCGAACCCACGAGTGTTCGGCAGCCGTGGTCGGTGGCAGCAACTTGATCCTGACTGTCGACCAGCACATGAACACTGCCAAGCTGGGCGTGCTTTCGCCGACGTCGACTTGCCATACGTTCAACAGCTATGCGAACGGGTACGGCCGTGCAGAAGGGGTTGGGGCCATTTACCTGAAGCGGTTGAGCGATGCAGTCAGAGACGGCGATCCCATCCGCGGTGTCATCAGGTCCAGCGCAACGAACAACAACGGAAAGGCACCAGCGGTGGGCATCACATACCCCGGGTTCGATGGGCAGAGGAACGTCATGAGGCATGCGTACCAGCGCGGGGGTTTGAATCCCATGCTCACGGGATACTTCGAGTGCCACGGGACGGGAACAGCCATTGGCGATCCGCTGGAAGTCCACGCCGTTTCTGACATTATGAATGCCACCCGGACCGAAGCAGATGGGCCCCTGCACATCGGTGCCGTCAAGACGAATATCGGACACAGCGAGGCGGCCAGCGGGTTGTCTGCCGTCATCAAGGCTATTCTGACAGTAGAACGGGGCATTATTCCCCCCACCCGAGGGGTCACTGATTTGAATCCAAAGATTGACTGGAAAGGTTGGCAGGTGCATGTGCCTACGGACCCGACACCGTTTCCAAAGCATCTGCCTGTCACGAGAGTCAGCGTCAACTCTTTTGGGTACGTACGGAGTCATTCCAGGCTCACGAGGCTGTGAGCTGGCCGAAAGTCCGTCCATTTACTAACTCGAGGTTAGATACGGCGGCACAAATGCGCACACCATCATCGAGAGCCCCAAGTCCCTGCTCGTCGCACCGCAGAACTACAAGTACTCGATGCCAGGGGCCACCACCAAGGGCAAATTGGCGCGCGGAGCAGTGAACCGCAACAGACCGTATCTGTTGGCGTTTTCTGCACACGAGATGGGGGCTTTGAAGAGAAACATTGCTGCCCACGGTAGTGTTGCTACGGATTACAGCCTGCTTGACCTGTCGTATACCCTCGCCAACCATCGCACTCGCTTCCAAAGCAAAGGCGTCGCGGTCACGACGCCAGCGACCCTGAAAGGGACTTTCACCAACAGCCTCGGCAACTTTCTTCTTTCCGATAAGAAAGAGACGGCTCGTACCCTTGGGTTTGTCTTCACAGGACAGGGCGCGCAGTGGGCGCGGATGAGTGCGCAGCTGATGACATACTACCCGACCTTTCTCTCGGCGATTCGGCGCATGGACATGGTGCTCGAGGATCTCGACGACGGCCCGTCCTGGACCCTGGAAGAGGTCCTCCTCGAGGACCCGGCCGTCTCCCGCGTCAGCCAGGCCGAATTTTCTCAGCCGTTATGCACCGCAATCCAAGTTGCGCTCGTCCAGCTCCTTCAACTCTGGGGAATCAAACCTTTAGTAACCCTCGGTCACTCGTCTGGCGAGATCGGCGCTGCATTTGCCGCTGGCTATTTGTCCGAGGCCGAGGCTATTCTAACGGCATACTACCGCGGGCAAGTTGTCAAAGAGATCGATTCAGCCGGCGCCATGATGGCTGTCGGTCTCGGCGCAGAGGCTGTGGCCCCTTATCTAGAAGCCTACTCGGCCAAGGTCGTCATCGCCTGTCACAACTCACCATCTGGTGTCACTTTGAGCGGCGATGCCGACGCCTTGAAGGAGATCGAAGGGGCCCTACAGGCCGAAGGTGTCTTTGCCCGCCTCGTCAAGACCAACGGCAAGGCATACCACTCACGTCACATGCTCCCAGCTGTGGAGAGATACGAAGCCCTTATCCGGAAAGCAAGCCAGAACAGTCTCGCAAAGGTTGTATCTGGGAAGGCCAAGATGGTGTCTTCAGTCACCAACTCTGTGTTGCCTGAGGATGCGGTGCTCGACGAGAAGTACTGGAGTGCCAATCTCGTCAGTCCGGTGCTTTTCAACCAAGCCGTGCAGACGGCCCTTACGGACAAGTGTCTGCCCAAGATCGACATCTTGATCGAGGTTGGACCTCACTCGGCTCTCTCGGGGCCGATCAGGCAAATCAAGGCCGAGCTCAAGGCCGAAAGTCTGCAATACTTGCCAAGTCTCGTCCGCGGTTCTCGATGCGCCGAGCAGATGCTCAAGCTGGCTGGCGAGTTGTTCTTGCGCAATTACCCCCTTGATCTCACGAGAGTCACGGCAATCGAGGAGCTGTACCCGTCCGGGAAGATCGTCCCGCGAAGAGGTGACCTCATTGTGGACTTGCCGCCGTATCAATGGGACAAGACCAAAAAGTTCTGGGCCGAGTCCCGCGAGAGCAAAGAGCATCGCTCCCCACGTTTCCCACGACACGACGTCTTGGGCCAGCTGACTGTCGGCGGCTCCTTGGCCGAGCCGACGTGGCGCAACGTCCTCCGTATCAGGGACCTCCCTTGGCTCCTGGATCACTCGCTAGGTGGAGAGGCGGTTTTCCCTGCGGCTGGATATCTCTCCATGGCCATGGAGGCCGTGACTCAGATCAATGAAGTGTCGGAAAGCCCAGCTGACATCGACTCCTACATCTTTAGAGACGTCTCCATTCAGCAAGCACTAGTTACCCCCGACGACGACAACGGCATTGAGGTCTTGTTGAATATGCGCCCGGCAAAGCTGGGCACTGACGAGGCCGGCAAGCAGTGGTGGGACTTCAACGTCTCATCCGTTTCGTCCGAAGGGCACCGCAAGAATCACATGGCAGGAAGAATCAGCATCAACGCGAACAAGCGCAGGCCCGTCGCCAAGCAGATACCCAATCTGCCGCAGCGTGCCTCCGGCAAGCTCTGGAATCAAGCGCTGAAGCGGGTCGGGTTCAACTACGGCCCGACCTTTCAAGACATGAATAACATCACCTTTGACGGGGTGACGTATTGCGCGCAAGCCGAGACCAAGGTCAAGACCGCCGTGATGAAGGACGAGTCCCGCCACGTCCTCCACCCAGCCATCTTGGACTCGTGCTTGCAGCTCATGATCGTCGCCATCTGGGCCGGACGCGCCGGCGCCATGAAGTTTGGAGCCGTGCCCGTCAGCGCCGAGGAAATCGTCATTTGGAAGCCCGCGACAGCCCAGCTGACTGGTGATGCCGGCGCCACCGCATTCTCCTGGATAGACCCACGCGGCCAGAGGCTGTTCAATGCCCACAACCAACTCGTCGCAGGCGACGGGCAGGTCTTGATGGAGATCAACAGCATGCGCTGCACTGCGTACGAAGCCGCGATCCCGCAGCGTCTGGAAGAGCCGATGTTGCCGAGGCCCTATTCCCAGATCATCTCCAAGCCGGATGTGGCGTGGATGCGTGGTGACCAGAAGCAGCTCGACGTCGTCGACTTCGTTGAGTCGGCCGAGTTCAAGACCCCCGGCCTTCGAGTTCTGATCACGGACGCGGCTGATGCCGGGTCTCTCATGGCCAGATTGCCTGAGCTGAATTTGACCGTTCTTACCAGCTCCAGCGAGCTCGAGACCGAATCCGAGTTGAGCAAGTTCAAGCATGTCTCCTTTGAGCCGCTTGACTGGACAGCCACCCCGGCGGCTCAGTCTTTCGAAAAGATGAAACACTCGTTTGACCTCGTCATTGCTCTCAACACGACCCCCCATGCACTGCGGCATATTCCCGAGCTCTTGGCCGGAGGAGGTCTGGCTATCTTGAGAGAAGACGAATCCCTCACTGATCAAAGTTTGAATGAAGCCGGGCTCTCCGGTCGCGATGCATCCCTGAAAGACGGTGCGTTTGTCACTTCGACTATCAAGCATGTCGACGGGTCTCCATCAACGCCAGTTCACCTGGTGTGCGGTTCAACTGCCTCAGAACACGTCGCCCGAATGCAGGCTCACCTCGAGGGCCTCGGCTTCAACGTCGAGTGTCTCAGGCTAGGGGAGCCATGCCCGCCCGGTGCCAACGTCATCATGTTGGCCGATCTTGAGCGTCCTCTCGTGGCAACCATGTCAGAGTCGGAGTTTATTCATTTGCAAAAGACTCTGATCGATGCCGCAAACATTCTGTGGGTGTCCTGCGGTGGCCTCTCGGTGGACAGCCTGAGCCCCGAGTCCGCAATGACACAGGGGCTCCTGCGTTCACTGCGATCTGAAAGAGCCTCCCTCAAGGCAACGCTCGTCGACTTCGCTCCCAGCGATCTTGACTCCGATGGCTTTATTTCCATAGTATCGTCTCTGTCCACCGCCCTATTCGGCAATGAGCGACAGCTCGACACCGAATACCTTGCGCGCGACGGCCAGCTACTCATCAGCCGCCTCGTCCCGTCGGATCGGGTTAACGAAACATACGGCAACGCCGGCGGGGAGACGCGGCCGCAGTCCTTTGATGCCGAGGCCAGACTTGTAGGCAAGATCGAGGCCGGTAGAGTGGTCTTCCAAACCGATGACTCGGATGTGGAGCACTTGGAGCCGGATGAGGTTGAGTTCCGTGCATTGGTGACGGGCCTGAACAGCGAGGACCAGGCCGTTATATCGGGCGCCTCCTTTGAGACCGACTTCAGCCACGAAGCTTCAGGCGTTGTCACCAGAGTCGGCGCCGCCGTCACGAAAGTCTCTCAGGGAGATTGCATTGTCGCCTTCAGCTCGGACGTGTTCTCCAACTACCAGCGCGTCCAAGAGTGCTTGGTGCAGAAACTCGACCGGACAGAGACCCCTTCCACTATGGCCAGCCTCCCTATGCATTACGGCGCTGCCCTCTACGGACTCCAGACCCTGGCAGGGCTTCAAGCCGAGGAGTCGGTTCTGATTCTTCCCGGAGCGGGGCTCATCGGGGCGGCTGTCATCCGGACCGCCCAGGCACTCGGCGGTATTCCGTACGTCGCTGTGCGTGACTCGGCCGAAGCGGAGGACGTGTCGACAACTTTTGCACTCCCGAAGGATCAGGTTATACTCGACCACATCCCCGCGGCGCTGCTTGGTCTAGATATCAACGTGGTGTTCTCAAGCGGCTCGGTCGACCCAGCCACAGCACGAGAGGCATGGAGGAACCTGCCGGCCTTCTCGCGGTTTGTTAGCTGCGGCGCCCCCGCCGGAACCACGTCCCTCGACCACGTCCCAGCGGCTCGCGGTGCGAGCTACCTGTCCTTCAACCCTGTGAGCCTCTTCAAGAAGCCCCACGTACTCGGCCAGCTGCTCGAGAGGACGGTTGCGCTCTTCCGTCAGGGCTCCATCCCTGCGCCGCCGCTGGCCATCCGCAACATCGCCGAACTCAACGAGTGTGCTGCCTCCTCCCCCGATTCCCTTTGCGGGCCGAAGACGGTCATCTCGCACGAGAAAGGCGACGGCACCGTGGATGTTGTCCGCGCCCGCCCGCACCTGCGTCTCGACCCGGGCGCCACGTACCTCCTCGTCGGATGTCTCGGTGGTCTTGGCCGAAGCCTCACATCGTGGATGATGAAGCGCGGGGCACGCGGCTTCGCGTTTCTGTCGAGGTCTGGAACGGACTCGAGGCAGGCCGCCATCTTGGTCAAGGACCTGGAGGCGCGAGGTGCGCATGTCCAGGTTTTCAGGGGAGATGCGGCCGTCAAGGAAGACGTGGAGAAAGCGGTCGGCTCGGTCCCGCTCGATCGGCCAATTCGCGGTGTCGTCAACGCCGCCATGGTCTTACGGGTAAGTCGGTTTCTGCCATCCTGTGCGACTAAAGACTTGGTTTTTTTCGAACCATGCTAACGTGGTATTTTTTGCAGGATGGCCTGTTCCAGAACATGCCCTATGATAGCTGGACGACGTCCATCCGGCCAAAAGTCCTCGGCAGCAAGAACCTACACGAAGCGACTGCTGACCTCCCCCTGGACTTCTTCCTCATGACGAGTTCGGTGTCCGGCGTCCTCGGGACGCCGGCCCAAGCCAACTACGCCGCAGCCAACTCTTACATGGACGCGCTGGCTCGTCTGCGCCGCTCCCAGGGCAAACCTGCGTGCGCCGTGATCCTTCCCATGGTCCTGGGAGTCGGCGTCGTGGCCCAGAACCTCGAGATAGAAGACTCTCTGAAGCGCATGGGCATGTACGGCATCGAGGAGGAGGCGCTTCTGGACTCGTTCGAGGTCGCCATCCTGGAGCAGCAGCAGCAGCAGTGTGGGGGAGAAGGCCAGAAGGCCGCCGGGCCCGACCACCTCGTCGTCGGCCTCGACCCCGCAGAGCTGTACAAGGCAAGCCGCGAGGCCGGGGGCGACGTGGAGGCCTTCTGGGCCGCGGACCCACGCTTTTCGGCGCTCGTGCACGCCATGCAGGTCTGCGGCGGCGGGAGCCAAGGAGGAGCCGACGAGGCGGGCTCGATCCTGACGCGGATCAAAGCCGCCGGGGAGGAGTCGGCAGCCAAAGCGGTCGGCCTCGTCCGCGACCACTTCGTGGCCAAGCTGGCCCGCATACTCTTGGTCGACGAGGCAGAGTTCGAGGAGGACAGCGGGCGGTCCATTGCGAGCTACGGAATCGACAGCATGATTGGCGCGGAGCTGCGCAACTGGATCTTCAAAGAGCTGGCGCTGGACATCGCCTTCCAGCAGCTCCTGAGCCCGTCGCTGACCATCACCAAGTTTGCTGAGCTGGTGTGCGTCACGCAGGGCATCGTTCAGGAGTAGGGAGTCGATAGATTATGGTTTCTTTGGTCGCAGCAGCAGCAGCAGCGGCAGTACGAGGACGGCTGATATTTCTTTCATTACTCTCTTCCGGACGCATCTCGTGACATTTTATTCCTTTTTCCACTAGCAATCTGGAAATTTATGCGGTGGAAACAGAGCCGAGAAGACCTCTGCATTCTGTCAACGGAGTTTCGTAGTCAGCGGTTGCGGCTTGAGTGCACAGTTTGGTTTAGATACTGTCTCTGTTCTTTGTTACTCTCACATAGGAATTTCCTAGCAACGCTATATTCACTCTATGAATGCCGAAAGGTATACCTCTCTCTCCTTGTCTTGATACTGCCACCTTGCCGATGGGAATTCCTTCGACGCAGGCGGCCGAAGCAAGCATTCCCATTCATCTGTTGAGCTTCACGCCGTATAGGCCTCCTACAGAGCCAGGGAGTTGAAACCGTTCTTTTCATCCCATTCCTGGAGCTTTGCCTCGACATGGGCCACACACTGATGCCAGTGCCCGCCCGACTCCTCAATGTGATCCAAGAAGGCGAGGAGTAACCTTGACGAAGCCACAACGCCGTTCAGCGCCTCGCGGTTCCCCCCTTGCACGAGTTCCCGGTACAGCGCCTTGAGGGCCATGGTAAGAGGCCACGCAATGAATACGGCCTGCAGCATGATGATGTTGTTGTGCGCCTTCCACGGCGACGGCAGGATGAGGCGCACCGCGCTCGATATCTGGAACGCCGCGGCCGTGGCGCGTCGTTGGCTCTCGGCGGTCATGAGCGGCGGCAGCCCCTGCTCTTCGCTCCGCGTGATGGCAGACTCGTGCGAAAAGATTTCCGTGGCGCGCAGGTTCAGATACATGCTGAAGGCCACCGGATCTCCGCGGATGGACGTGGCATTGAGGTGTCTCTTGAGGAGGCTGAACAGCTCGTCCGTGGTCTTGACCAAAGCGCAATACCCGTCCCAGAATCCGGTCGAGGCGCGCTCTTGTCCGTGATCGAAGCAGCGCAGAGCTAGCTCGACCATCAGGACGCAGCCCGCGTAAGACGAGATCTCGTGCCCGGACTCGTTGCGTATGTTTGATAAAAACGGCATTTCCCGCGGTACTAGATCGGACCTCAGCAGGCCCGGGGACGGCAGCTTGATTCGGAAGTTCTGGGGCATTTTGTCAGCTGACCTGCCTTCCAAGTGCGTGACGGACGGAAGGATCGAACGCACCTTGACGTCGCCGAGCTGGCACTGCCAGCCTGTCCGTGTTTTGACGTAACTCTGCAATATATATAGCCCCCAAAATGTGCGCCGTCGCTCTTCCAAAAGAACGGGATCGTCCGTAGGCGGCAAGCACAAGCGAGAGCCGCTTTGCCTCCCATCGTCTTGGGTTCCGTCGCCCTCGTCCCTCCGGTCCATCTGAGGCAGCTCCAAAAGCGTGCAAAGCATGGCGGCTCGTCCCAGCGTCAGCCAGCTCCTTTCCAACTTTCGGTCCATGGCCTCGAAACGGCCGATGAACAGCAAGGCCTGTAGGAAGTTGAGGTCGTTCAGGATGCCGTCTCGTTCGCATTTCTCAGCGTAGTTACGTGCCAGGCTGTAGCATGTAGACTGTTTGCTGGGGTCCTTTGAAGAATGAGCGCAGCCGGTCAGGGCCACGGCGTAAACCAGAGCGGACACTGCAGGGCTGCCGCCGCCGCCTGCGGACTCTGCCAAGAACCGATCTCTATTAAGGAAGGGGAAAGAGGAGTAGATGGACTCGAAATAGTGGTTGTGCAGCGCACTCAGCTCTGCGGGGGATATGTCTTCTTCTAGGTCGCTGTGAGACAATGACTGGGGTGAAAGGCAGGGGAGGAGGAGGTTGTCCAGAGGTTCGAGTGCCGAAAGCGGTTGAATTGTCCAATCGAAGGCCATATCAGAGCCTGTGCCGTCGTTGACCGAAGTAAAGAGATCGATATCGAGTACGGATGAACCGTTACTGGCGATATCAACGACCGCACTCGTCCTCCTGGACTTGCCCAAGTCCATTTGGTCGTTAGTAGCCGGGTGTCCCGACGCCGACAGCAATGAAGGATGCAGAACTGTCGTCGATGGCAGCTGATATTGCGAGCTTCGTCGCGACATGGAGCTCGAGCTTGTACCCGACGTGACGGGGTCCGGCATCGCTGACCAACGCGGCGGAACGGTCGGCTCCATGGTGTCGGATCGTGACTGCGGGCGCCCTGATGGAGTCGGTCTCGACGAACAGGTATTGAGGGCGAGTTGGGCCTCGGTCTTGGCCAGCCGCTCCTGGAGCTGCTGCAGCTGCTCATCGCGTGTGCGACGTTGATGGGCCGGATTGTAGGCACACGGTTGATTGAGGCGGTCGCACCGTCTTCACGACGGATGAGCAGCAGAGTCAGCGCCGCGTTCTCGTGATGGACGTGTCAATATATGTATGCACAAACCTGCATTTTGGCAGCGCTCTGTCGCATCGCACTTTGCGCTCTCTGGATGTTGTGTCGGGTGGTTAGCCCATGGCCATGTATGTCCATGCTCGTGTAGAATATGGCGAACGGCTTGCCTGCAAATTTCACAAGCATGAGGTGCCGTGAACGGTGTCCCTCTAGGAGATGATGGCGACGGTCTCATGGTGCTCGGAAAGCTTGACATCTGTGAGCGACCTACCACGGTCGGATAGTCAACGTGAGCTTTCCGTCATCGACTTTGGATCCGGGTTCTCGTCATTTTACATGAGATGACGGATGTTTGACTTGTCCCGCTCTGGCGATGGTAGAACAAGCATCGGGCAACCGGGGGTCAGGACCGGGGGTGCCTAGTTCGTAGGGGGGTATTCCAGCTTCAAGGTGGGGGGGTGTCCAGCCAGTGGGGCAGAAGTTCGGGGAGGGGGGGTAATGGGCTTATGCATGCCTTATACAATTCATAAATCTACAGAGTACAGTGTTACAATAGATAGTATAGAGAGTAATACCCCCTTGCCAACTAATCCCCCGCTTAGGAATAAGTCATGCGGTGAGTCATGTAAACAGCATAAGCGACTTATATCCCTAGCATATACAGTGTATGTCACAGGACAAGTGCGGTACATTGTAGATAGACAAGAGGGACGATGGGTGACCCCGGAGACACGTGAATAGACACGTGTCCCAGGGGTATATATCCCATCGTCCAATGCCTCCCACTAGGGGAGTCAACCTCAATACACTATCTACACATACACCTAGCTTTTGTCCTGTGTCAATCGTTCAGCTCCTTGTTTATTGCTTGCCTTATTTTACTGCTCTACTGTTACACTTTACCTTTGCACTGCGTCGCTTCACGTCACTATCGCAGCCTAGCTCCTCCTGTTAGATCCGCAACGGCTGGCAGGAAGGCTGTGTCAGTGTATATGCAAAGAAACGACTCATATCCCTAGCATGTATAGTGTATATGCAAAGTATATACACTGCATATAGAAAAAGTATATACACTGCATATAGAAAAAGTATATACACTGCATATAGAAAAAGTATATACACTGCATATAAAAGTCTAATCAAAAAGAAGCGGTCAAAAAGACGGTAAGATAAAACTCTAAAAGGGTTATTAATTAGGAAAGTAAAGAGAGGGCGTAAAAAATAGTAGCAAAAAATATATATAGAGCCTCTACTTAGCATATACTCAACTAGAGCTAACAACATCCTAAGTCTATATATACTCTACGTTAGGAACTTAAGAGACAATAAATAATGTACTAGACAACACAAGTACTATAAACACTTGCAAGACCTACTAGCAAAAAAAAGCTAGCAAATGTCCTATAACAGCTAGTAGATATTAGCTACACTAGTCCTACAATAGAAGGTAGTTATTTTTTTTACCCTCTGTTACCTACTAGCTAGCTGTTACAGGCCAGAGCCACAGTAAGTGTGGCAGGGCTTTGCCCACCAGTGCCACCACGACGCGCAAGGCCAGCAAAGTGGGCGCGCTCGGTTAACGCTCGGTTAGCGCCCCTATGTAACCTCACGCGCACAATACGCACACCACTGTAAATAACCTTTCTTTCTTAGTCTAGATTATTCGTATCGAGTTGCCAACTTGCCATACATCTGTCGGAAGGTGGTGCTAGCCTTTTACACTAGCCTACCATTAGTAAAAACACAACTAAGTCTACTATAGTTATAGCCTTGAATTTATAGCCTTTTAACTAATGTATTTATTATCTGAATTACTACTTTTACGTAGAGAAATCTATTTAACTAATAATAACACTATTTGTCTTACTTTAGCCTATTACTAATTGGTAATTACTACACTTTGACAAATTCAAGACCACAACTACAGTAAGTTCGCCATAGATACACCATTAATATACGCCTAATTAAACAAGGATAACCGCCGTATCTATACACTTTAACATTAGCCTACAGTGGGTAGCGGTTAACAGGCAGACACTTTGCGGGGCAGCACTTGAGTCATCAAAGTACCTTGTCAAGCGAATCGGCCGAACGGCCAAAAGGTAGGGGTCAATTGAAGTGGTGTGAAAAGTCTGAATTCTAGGTGCTTCTGTCTATTTCTGTAGAGTGCCTAATATGTGGCCCTGTGCCACACCTGTGGCTGTGGCCTATGCACTGTGTCTACGCCACCTCTGTGGCTCATGTGGTTTACTACCGTAACATACCTCTTAAAGTCTCTCGCTTATCCCGCACAGACCTATACACAGACTAGCTTACCCTTTCGCTAAGAAAAAAAAAACAAAAAACAGAGATATCTCTATTAGCTTAAAGTGCATCTAAAATATAGTAGCACAAATTAACTTTTTAGACAAATTTACCCTTAGAAACACTACCTCTAGTTAAGAAAAAAATTAGGCTATAGTATATACTATTAAAGAAGCTTTTTTTCTCCTTTTGTTGACTTAGAAGTTAAAGATTCAAAGTTAGTGATGTAGGGACAGAAGTGACTTAAGAGGAGGTGGGTCAGTACTTTAAGATAGTCTGAGATGCTAAGGTTTGACCCACAATGTGCCTACCTGTTAACTGCTACCCTACAGTGCCCTCTCCTGCCTTTAACTTTGTAATATTTTGCAATATTTTATAATATAAGACAACAGTAGTCTACCTATCTATGTGCATTAGTGTAAGTTAGTGTGCATTAGCGTAGAACTTAATCTAACCAATCTGCAAGGGTTATTTTGGGTTATTCTGAATCTGACTACTCCGCGAAGGGCACCTATACAACGAAAAAACGTCTGTGCTTTGGTGATTTTTCCACTTAACTCCAGACTGCCTACTACTTCTGTTACAGCTTTGCCTCCACTTCAGTAGCAGTCGCTCCAGAAAATTCTTCACTGTGTGTACAGCGCAACTGCCTTCTATTTTCGCACGTATCAACTTTGCATAACTCTGTGAATCCCTCGCCAATACCCCTGCCCTAACTTTTCGGCCCCACAACAGATGCCCCCCCCCCCCCCCCCCCCGAAGCTAGAATACCCCCCTACGAACTGTGCTCCCTCCGTCTATTAGCGGCTTTTTTAGGTCGCTAGGGCATATCACCCGCAACCCGCGCTCCCGCGACGATGCTCTGCAGTAGCGTCCTCTCAGCGTCGTTCGACCCACTATCATGATGCGAAATATGCCTAGGTTAGGCAGGCTACCTTGTCATGAAGGATGAAAGAGCGTGGGGGACGCCCGCCCAGGCGTAGTGAGTTCGGCTCGAGGAATAGAAACAAACGTCTTGCTTAGCTCAAGCAGAGATAACGGGAGCGACAGCCACTACCTCTGAGGCTTGTGTCCTGCCAATGAGGAACTTGGACCAAACTCATGTCTGACCGCCAAGCGGCATGCCGACTGTTAAGTAATGATAGGGACTTCTGTGTTCTGCAGGTGCGTTGCAATACATTTTGGCCCGCAGTTTGCAAACATGCTGTCTTCAACCCTCCACGCCTTCGCGGCACGATGCTGCGATGCACTGCCACCAGAGTTGAGTGTATCATACGGTTGGCAGTGCTCTGCATAATTTGGATCCTTCCCGACTTACGTGTCTCAGCCTACGAGGCGAAGATTGGCGACTACTACATAGCTCTGATTACGACGTCTACTGTAGGCAGGCGATTGACTGGGGCCAGTGGTTAGCTATCAATTGTGGGGGGGACATGGCCGCTTTTTCATAACTGTACCACACGTATTCCGGCGTTGTTCATTTCCCCTGAAGTGGCTAGACATGCTGGCGGCCATGGGTTTACCAAGCCCTGATAATGAAAGGGTAAAAACGAAAAAAGAAAAAAAAAGCAACGGAGCGGGTAAAGGTGGAGAAACCGTGGTAAGCAGGGGGCGGGAGGATCCCGAGGCCGGCAATAACCGGCGGGAAAAGCGGGTCTTCGGGCATGTGGCTGCCGTATCGGAACAGTCCTTAGCTAACGGCCCCGGTACAGACTGCATTGCCTATAGCCTCTACGGCATGGGCATGGTAACCCTTGGTCAAGCCAGGTACGCTCTTATTATTCGTGAGCTTGGCCGGAGTCTATCAACGCAGAACTGAGTTGTTTGTTAGTGGCAGGCAGGCTTGCTTGCCTAGTTACAGCTGCATCCATAATCAGGCGAGTGCAATAGCCAATTGCGAGTTGGGGACGAATCGAGATGCGACAGCGCGATTCCCTTAGCCAATGCGTACGTGAAAGAAAAAGGTCATATAGGCAATGCTGACAGCAGGGCTTGCACACATGCAATGCAAAGCACCACTGACAGCGTCTCTATCACACGAGATAACGGTGACATGGAACTGGGGTGGAAGGGCGAGGAAACTCACCGACTGGTTCTACTACTTACATGGCTGCTTACACATAGCCGGCCAAGATATGCAACGCAACCAATGCCTATTCAATAGGGAAGTTGGCCAGGCTTACCTGCAGACCCGTAGTATACAAGCTTCACATTCTATCACAAATAGGTACAGAGGAGCCCGTCAAAAGACCTTGCAGGGCATGCCAAGGCGCTAGAAGCACCATCTCCCAGGCAATAGTATCAGTACAGCACAATACATCTCGGATCACATAATCGTCAACCTACTCCTAAAAGGGCCCCTAAGAATCAATCTCATGCTGCTGTAGCACTCCTATGCTCCAGACATATCTAGTAAGAGCTCAACAGGAGTGTATTCTTAAGTACTGAGGCTAGTATACTCCACTTTTGGTCTTAGCATTCTCCGCAAGGTCTTTTGACGGGCTCCTCTGTACAACGTCGTTGATGGAAGGCCGCAACTAGCGCCTCATGATATATCACTTGTGATGCTGACGACCTCGAACCTGATCGCCGATGACGTCTTCTACGGGCTTTGGCCCAGGCCCAACTTCCGCAACAAGACGGCCGACGAGCCCATCTCTGAGTGGCCCGTTTACGGGTGCGGAGCTACGACGTGCTCATGTTCTTCATCCTGCTACCTCTGTTTGGAAAACGCGCGACTGCTTTTGCCAGCCTGGTTGTGTTATGCCGCACCGGAGTCCAAGCCGACATCACGCAATGCACCAGCAACACCCCAGTACAGTACGCCAAGTGACTCGGCCTCGCCAGCGCCATCAAGACAGACGTGGATAACGGCAGCAGCAAAAAAGTTCCAACGCCAAGGAGGCCAGATATTGCCATATCGGCAGGTAGACAGAGCGGCCAGCCATCGGTGATTGTTTGTGTCAGCAAATCAGCTCAACCTTCTTCTTGCCTGCCCATCTACCTCCTTTGCGGCCTACGGTCAACCACCCGCACTCGTTGGGTTTTTGCCTGCATTCATGTTCCGGCATCGTGGTTTGCCACCGAGACTCGGTCAACACAACCCACCCGTCCGTCTGGAGATGAGCGGCTACCCACTCTAGCGTCTCGGCGGTTTCGGGTTCCAGTACGAGATCCACAACACCGGCGATCCGATGGCGGCAACAGGGACCAGCTGGGCGGTGGATCGTATAACCCTTCATATCAACCCTGAAAGAGAGTAGCAGAGAGCCAGCTGTAGGAAAGCCGACTATCCGGCCTTGCTGGGAGGCAGTCACATACCCGACCAGCTGCTCTTCTTCTCGCTGGCCAAGGGCTGACGGGCGCCCAGAGTGTGGCTGAGGACACTGCCTGGCGGACTTGGCTGTCAGAATAACCAGTCTGTTCAGCAATAGTCTTTAGAGGCAGATACCCATTGCAATAGAGGGCGCGTATCTATATGTAGTCAGCCTGCTTAAGGTGCTCTGTAAAGTCTGGCAGATGCCAGAAGTACTAAGATGTTAGTCGGCAGGATGTGCGGCCTAATACTACCTATCCAATGTACACCAACACTACGTCTACTCCCTAGAGTGCCGGGCAGCAGAGTTCTTCATAAACAAGAAAACGGTGCACCGTCCGGCATGTTTTTCCTTCCGGAGGAGAGACCGTTCAGTGGCCACCGTTTTCGGTTGCCAAAAACAGCACTCAGTGGTCGTTTCTGACCCGAAAAGAAAGAGTGTGAGGGGAGAGTGTTGATTTAGGGGTCGGAAAAGACCACCGAAAAAACCGGGTCCCGTTTTGGACGGCCCGCTTGCCTACGGGGTGAGTGGCTACCGTTACGGAACAGTACCCAAGCCAACGGCTCCGTCGCAGACCGTATTGCCCCACAAGTAGTTCCCCCCACGGCATATAAGTCCCTTTGAATAGGCCATTAATCACATGCGCTTGTTCTTCGCCCAGGGCGTCAAAGTCGTTCTCCCACACAGCCCAGTTAGTTTTCGGGATTTATCGCTTTTGCTGTCGGCATTGAGAAAAGAAAAAGAGAGAAAGAAAGGACCGGATTAGTGGGTTGTGTCGGTGGCGCACCGGACAAAGAGAGCTAGCTTGTCGCAGAAGCGGGCGGGCTGGCGCGTTTCTTCTAGGGGCAACGATGGCGCATATCACGCAACAGCAACAACAAGCGCCATCACCGAAGTGACGTTCACCCAGGGATCCGGTCCTCGTAACCGCTAACCAACCCGCCGGCTCACGTTGCAGCAACCAAGGCCCGTCAAGCGTCAGGGCCGGGAGGGAAGAGAGGGAAGAGAAGGGGGCCTCCGATGGACGAACCCCCCCTCCGAGAGGGATCAGAAGCAGACCGACCGACGCTCCCCCGTCTCTTCCATCGGGGTCATCACCAAGCCTCAACGACCCGAGCCCGAAGCTCGCTCCCCTCCCCCTTCTTAAACACGAAAGTGGAAACTTGCATTGCCTTGCCTTGCGCGCACCCAATCACACACATGGAAGAAAAAGAGCCACAGTCGACAGGGCAAGGTTTTGATTCATTCGCATCGCGTGGCGTCACGTCGGAAGGGGGGGGGGTCTCCTCTCCCTCCGAAGGTGAACCCCTCTTCTACAAACTGACCACGCATCCCTATCCTCTATGGCCCCGTCGTTTCTTGACAACGCGTCTCCTCCCCCCAGAGAACCAGCCCCCCGGGTGCCGTAACGTGGGCCCTGGCGAGCAGAACAACTCCAACAAGCGAGCCAAGGCAGTCTCGGTCCAACCCATCCCATATCAACACATCTGGGCCATGTATATACTGCGTAGCCCCCCCCCCGCGATCCCCTCTTCAAGGGCGGCGACGATAACTGGCAGCGCAAATGACAAGAAAAACAAAAAAAGACAACCCTGGTGTCCCCTCATCCCCGCCCGTGTGTGTGTCTCTCTCTCTATGAAGGAGAAGCAGACGAACGGGGGAGAGAACGGCAAGTGTCCGCTACATACACACATGGAGAGAGAAGAGAAGGAGAAATGCAAAAAAAAAAAAGAACAACAGACTTTCCTCAACGACAGGAAAACGCGAAAATCATCAGGGAAAGCAAAGGCCCCGCCAACCGTCGAGCAAGACCCTCCCCCGCCGTTCCCTCATACCGGCCCACATCGTTTCCCCCTTTCTTCGGTTTTTTTTTTCTTTCTGTTTCCACACAATTGATCGGTTTTTTTCCCGAGTCCGTCCATCGTTCCCTCACTCGCGTCCTTTATTTCCTTTGTTTCCGGTGTGTGCGTGAAACACTAAACGTCGATTGGTGCCCGCGTTCTCGACGCCCCAATAGGGGGCGAGGTGAGTGCGGTTCGTTGCTGGGGCAACCGAGCTTTGGTGGTTCTTCCATGGTACCGGACCCGTCGTGAGGGGGAAAAACAACCAAATTCGTACTGCGCGGTCGATGCAAATTTCGTGAAAGGAAAAAGAAACAAAAAAAGGTCGTTAAAATCGTCAAAAGTCGTGAGCTTCATTCGTCCGGGAAGTCGGTGTGCTGGGTTTCTCAACACGCCTACCTTCCACTATGGTCTTACCAAGCTTGGCAAGACCCATGGGGATGTGTATGTATGCGGTCATCTAGTAGACGACTTCCACTATGTGAAGCGCATGCCCCTCCACCGGCTGGGCAGCTCGCGCTCTTGCACGGCGATGCGGTTCTCTCCCTCGCAGCCAAACCCGCGGCTCTTAAAGTGATCGGGTCCGCACTGCATAGCCGTGCCATGGTTCGAGTTGGGCCTCAGACCCAGCGGCTCGGCCGCCTTGCGAGCGGTGCGCGAGGTCCACGCGCGGGCGGCCTCGGCAAAGGAGCGCCGGGAACCGTCCGAGTCGATGCTGCTGCGGGTGCTAGCCGCATACAGCGGGTTCGGCACCTCGAGGTCGGTGTCCATGAGGACGGGGCCGAGGAAGGACGAGGGCGCGTGCTTGGCCAGCCTGTTGCTCGCTCCTGTCGAGTTGCTAAACGACCGACGCACAAAGACCTTGCCGCCGCCGACGGCGCGAGGAGGCGGGGGAGGGGGCCGGTAGTCGGGCGGCGGCGGGGGAGGCATGGAATCCGACGAGGCATATTGCGCGTGGGACCGTCGCTTCTGCAGGTCAGGGGTGGATAGACCCACGGACATGCGCGAGGTCGATTTGCGCAGCTTCTTGGCGGCAAGCGAGTACTCTGCCGGGGGGAATCCGCGCTTCCTGTTTCCGTCGCGGGACTCGGGCAGCGGCTCGACCGCTTCCGTCAGCAGAGGAGGCCATTGGCCCGAGACGCGCTCGGCAAACGACTTTTTGTCCACGGGCGGCTTGATCGAATACATGGTAGTTGACGGATTGAGCGAGGGCGGAGGCGGCTGGCGGGTGGAGCGGATGGCATGCGCATCGAAGAAGCCGTCCTTCATCAGCTGCTGGTAGCTGGCCATGATCTCCTCTCTGCTGGGCATGCCCGCGACACCGCCAGCCGGAGCCATGGCCGCCGGCAGCGCGCCGGCACCGACTTCGCTGTCGCTGCCGCCTTCTTGGGCGAGAAGCTTGCTGTCCAGGCTGAGAGGACGCTTAACCCCCTTGTCCCTGACGAAGCTCAGCTTCTCGCGCAGGCCGCCCCAGAAGCCCTTCTTGCTGCCCTGGCTGCCGGAAGAGCTGGAGGGTCTCTTGACGTCGCCGTAGGCGACGGTCGGTTGGTGCAGGAGCGGCTGGGAGTGCTGATGCAGTGGCTGGTGGTACTGCTGCCGTTGAAGCCTCTCGGGCGAAAAGACTCCAGCGTCGGGGGCCTCGACATAGAAGTCCATGTGGAAGCGGCGCGCAATCTCGGTGGAGTCTTCCGGGCCGAGGAAATCAATAGGCGGCGCGGCCGAAGTACGGTCGTTCATGGACCCCTCGACGAAGCGGGAGTTGGCGCGCTGTATCGAGTTGGCGCGCTTCGTCGCGGGCCGCTGGGCTTTGTAAGCCGCCGAGATGTTTGGCGGCGGGCCCGTGATCGGGTGGGAGGTCAGCGGACCCGGCGCTGACGAGCCACCCATAGCCATTGTCGCTGGCGTCGTGATGCTCTGCGTCGATGTGTTGGGAGGTTTATCTGCGTGGTGACGGCGAGGACGGTGTTGGCGGTTTGTCAACTGAAAGGTTCAGCGACCGTTTCGCCCTCGCTTTCGAATCGGGAGAGAGGTACAATGTGTCGTCCGAGCTTGATGAATAGGTAAGAGGGCGAGAAGGAGGTTGCGACGCCGATGTGCTGCCGCTGCTGATGCTGCTGTTACGGCCGAAAAGGTTTTTTGTTTACTTTCCAGCGTTACAACTGCCACATGCTCCGCAGCCCGTACGCACACAACAACAACGACGACAACAACAACAACAACAACAACCTCTCTGTCGTCGCGGTCTTCTTCCCTGCACGGCTGCTGCAGCAGATATGGAAAACGATGTAGGTATAATGAAATACGGCGATGAGGGGAGGGAAAGAAGACTCTCGAGCAAGTGGGGAGGGGGGGAAGGGGGGGTATAGATGGGGATGCGCGGAGGTATTGAGAGGGAGCAATCTGACGGAATGTGTAAAGTGAGGTAGGTGGTGGTGGCAGGCGTCGCGTGGTTGGGCGTGTTGATCTTGTATGACTAGAGGGATTGGAAGGGCAACGATGAAGACCGGGTGTGTTGACAGGGGGCGGGGGCGCATGCCGAGTCCCCGCTATTTTGCCAGCTATTGCTATCGATGTTTTTCTATTGCCCCGTCCCCTTGCTGCTGTCCAGCAGTTGTTATTGCTGTCCCACTACTCTTGTCACTTACTTGCTTGCTTGCTCGCCCACCCCCGGATCACAGGAACAAACCGGGGAAATGGCCCTTTGTTGCTCGTTGCGTTGCTCGGGCAAACAAAACAGGTCCGGCCGTCCACATTCGTTCGTCCCTTGGACGCGACCCTCCCACGCTCCACTTGGCGTGTTGCCCTCGCCGGGCGTTCTCACCTTAAAAACCGGTCTTGAGCTTTGGCCATGTGGCCCCTTGCACATTGCACATTTTGCTATTCCCCCCCCCCCCCCTGGGGCCCTCTCCACTCATTCACCTACTCTCTTACTAACTAACACACGCTCTCTTCACTCTCACTCACTCACTCACTCTCGGCGCTCTCGTTTCACTCATCGTCACTCACCACGCAGCTTGTTCACGCGACAATCCTCGCAGCAATTCACACAAACGTTCCGCTTTTGAGTATTGAAACCTTTCCCATTTTCTTATGCAAAATAGAAATGAAAATAAAAATGAAAAAAGTACCCAAAGTGTTATTTACCCCGGCCCTCAGGGCGCATAGGCAAAAAGAAACCCCCCCTCCTCCAAGAAAAACCCCCCCCCCCAGTGCCATCGTACGCGATATCCGTATACCCATGACCATACATAGCAGCACATGACATCCGGGCAACCCCAAGACACGTTATAGCCAACTCTGTTGTGCCCGTCTTCTCACATAACATAACCGCCATTGATCGGGTTTCAAACCCCGATTTGAATCATGCCGAGGGCCTGTCAGCCCAAGGCTTTTCTGCCGAGAATAGAAAAAAAGAAAAGAAAAAAAAAGGTAAGGAGATGTTCTGATCGCTTGTGGCTAGACAAACAGCCGTCATGATCATAGAGAGTGTTGTTCAGAGGTTGTTGCGCGTGGTAGCATGACATAGGAAAAGCGGCCAAAGCACGCCGCGAATGGCTCCCAATGGTTTATACAGTTTGATGAATTGTTGCCCCCCGCCCGCGCCCATCCGTTTAAACACCCGGATGCTTTGTACCAAGAACGCCTGATGCCGGATATATCCATCCCTACAAAGACAAGAAAAGCTGCCGAAACGCCGTTGAAGCACACGTACCACGCCGCCTGGCTCAAGGCACAAACGAGTTGCTTTGGCTGAGCTTATGCGACCCATCGGCACGCTTGTATTGCATCTCCGTCGGATGGTAAAGGTTGTAGGTGCTGTGGTGAGGCTCTTGCGGGCGTTGTCTGTCGTACAGGGAGCGCGTGTCCTCGGAGAACGTCTCCCCGTACCCACGCTTGGCGCCGGCACGAGCAATCTCGGGCACCGGGTTGTACATCGAGGGAGGTGCGGCCTCGATGTAATCCGTGCGGCTGGCCAAATGGGAAGGTGCCGTGAGCCTCTCGATAGAAGGAAGCATGGGCGGCAGCTTGGTACCCATCTGAGGGGGAGCGTCGGACACGGGAGCCAACTGTCTGGGAGGCAGAGAATCTCTCCTGTACTCGGACTCGCGTCTGGCCATGTCCATGTCCTTGGAGCCGGGCGCCGAGCCGTAGACGGAGGGAGATGGCGGCACGATCATGGCAGAAGGGCGTCTGTCGTACACATCACGGGGCGTTGGCGGCGGGTTGCTCGTGGCGTATTGAGAGCTGGGCCGGCTGTAGCCGTAGCTGGAGGCTGAGTGGTACGGCGACGGCTGGTTGGATTGGTAGGAAGTGTTCGTGGGCGAAATGGGCAGTGGCTGCGCTGAAGGTTGAGGGTACTGGTGAGGGGGGTATGGCGCGCTGGACGACGTGTCGGACCCGAACCGCAGGTGAACATTGGTCGACGGCGGTGCCGGGCCGTATGCCATGGGCGGCGGCGGTGGCGGCGGCGGCGCCTGGAACGACGACTCAACGGCGGAAGGCCTCCGCTCAGGGGCAGGCGGGTATGTGGCGCGGTGTTCGCTGCTGTTGCTCGTCGATCGAGCTCGGAATTGCTCGGCGTTGCTGCGGATCTCGGGCGTCTGCGTCCTCCTGCCATTCCTGTACTCGTTCTCCGGGTTGTTCTCGAAATCGTTTCCGGCCGGCTTGCCATCACGTCTCCTCATACGGACGTCGCGGCGGATTCTCACACGGCATCCCTGCTCCGAGATGGTCTTGCTTAGGCTCGTGCTCTCCGTGAGGCCAGGGAACTTCTTGGCGCTGAATACGTTGAAAGGAACCGACTTGACTGCCAATCTGTACATGAAAGCTGGGTTGAGGGCCTCGTCGGCGGCGTCACCATCCGGGTCGCGATCCTCCTCCTGCTTGATATCCTCGTAAAGGTGGAAGGCCAGGACGTAGCGTCCCTCGTGGCGAACTGACAAGTCGGGAAAGAGGAAGTAGCCGGCCTCGCTGGGTCGGTCGAGGTAGGCCATTCCGGAGACGGGCATGCCGGTCAAGACGGGAGCCGAGGTCGCGGCGGGAGTGTTGACGCGTCCATGGGCCATGGGGCGAGCAGGGCAGAGTTCGGCGTAGAGGAAGAAGTTTGCCCTGTAAATGAAGGTGACATCGCGGGCTTCCTCCCTGGTAGGGCCCTCGTAAACGTGCAGCTGCACGACGGGAGGTGGGTCGACAGGGCGACGGTCAGCGGCAGCTATACATCAAATGTCAGAAGGCGGTTCAGACAAGACGGCAGAGACGTCGAGATATATCTTACACTTTTGGCCGGAACCACAAGCACGCGCACGCTCGGGCTGTTGCAAGACCTTCAGCTCGTAGAACATTCTCTTGCCATTCCTCGTCGGCCTGTCGGTGAAGGTCTCCGACTCTCCGATCGTGTCCACCGGGGGACGGTGCTCGACTATGGGCGTCATTGTGAACAGTGGATGATAGGGTTGTCGAGTGGTGTTGTTTGCGGTAATCGATGCGGATCTACCTCGCAAGATCGGATTTTCGGTCGATCGACAGCCGTGCACCAATCTGGTCGAGCGTTAGAAACCGAGTGACCGGACCAGTGGCTCATGCGTGATGCAGGCCTTAACGATGCCTGCGCTCATTCGTTTTCTTTTTCTCTTTTTCCTCCTCCCTTCCCCTCTGGAATTCAAGGAGAATCCGGCAGGCAGGGAGGATGCTGGCCCAACAGAACGGAACGCAGGGCGCGAGGCTGTCTCCACCAGCAGTGACCTACTTACCAAGCACGCAAAAGCAGGATGAATAAACGGTAGCCGTCCCTAGAAATAGCAAGCCCTTTTCGCTTCGTACCGGGTCGAGAATCGGGGGCTGTAGAGAGTCGAGGGGGGGCGGCGATGTCGGCAATGGCGACTGCGACGGTTGAGGTTGTCGAGTATCGCAGACGACTTGGTGCGGTTGGTGAACAGAAGGAAGGGAAGAGAGCGGCGAGTGGGAATGGAGGTTTGATGAAGGAGAGCGATGGGAAAAGAGTGGGACAGGGTGGGTAGAAAAGAGTGGGAAGCGAAGGGACGCAATTGGCTTTGAGGGCGTCAGAGGTTCTGATGGCTGGGAACTTGGCTGGACTGGGGGGGGGGTGGGGGGGGGTGGAGGGAGGGTATGTAAGAATACACCATACCTGCCTGCCCAGTAGACCCCCCAGTACGACTAGGGCCAAAGGGGGGCGGGACAGGTGGACCAGACAGTGTGTCATACGGAGGTGGACTTACTTGGGGAGGAGGGGGGTGCCCAGTAGCACAAACAAGGGACTAAATAGCAGGCACTTGAGCTGGGAGTTTTAGCGCTGCCAAGGGGGGCGGACGACGGTGGAGAAGCGAGCAAAAGAACTGGAGGACACACCCGGGGGGTGCACATGTCCCGTAAGCTGGCACTGGGTGTGGGTAGGAGAGGGACCCAACGCCTCGGACTGGGGCCCCAGTTGACTCGGCGATAACTGGTACACTACCAACTAGGTATGTATGCTTGCTATGTTTGGGTAGGTAGGTAGTGTATAGTGTAGTGTACACAGTAGTAGGAGTAGGGACCAGGCGACAAAGGTAGCCGCTCCGAGGCCAAACCCAGAACAGCCCGTACTGTACCCACCATCTACCTAGGTAGGTAAGTAACGTAATGTAAGGTTGGGTAGGTAGGGTATCTGGGTTACGGATACCGGTACTACCTCGGTATGGTGCTCAGTCCTCCTCGTCCCCTTCCAGTCCTTCATCATTGAAGGCACCACTGGGAAACCAACAGAGAGGCGCTTCAGGGTACCGGCTGCCATGCGTATCCGTAATTAGCACGGCACACCCCCCTCCGGTCCTGTCCCGGGTTCACGAGAGCTTGATTCATTCTGTAGGGCCCTTGGCCAAAGTTTTATGCGAATGGTGCACCGCTTTGGAAAACCTTGGTCGGGCTTTGGGGGGGCCGGCGCCGATGGCGCTGACGGCGCTGTTGCGAAGCTAGATTGGGCTGACTTCCCACGATCGCGTATGACGGAGCAGAAGGGGCAGGCCTGGTCCTCCAACTCTGCCATTAGCACGAAACCTCGGGGGGGCGAGACAGCACGCAGTTTAAACAGGGGGAGGAGGAGGAGGAGAATGCCCGTATCAAGCCGGTGATGCTGCGGCACTGTCAGGTAGGCAAGTTAGGTAGGTGGCTGAGAAACGACGACCATCTGGATGGATACCTGTGACGGGCGTCTATTCCTAGGCGTGTCGCCTTGTACCCAGTGCGCGCGCAAGCGAGAAGATGAACCAAGACATTGGACAAGCACCTGCCTCTGTAGGGCAGCGGACGCTAGATTCAGATCTAGTCCTTAGACGTCGCGCACTTCGTCACCCGCACATGGGGGGCGAAGGCACCACTACACCAAGCAAGATGCTAGCGAAGCGCTGGCTTGGGTTCTTTTGCTGGCGTGTCGAACCCGAGGATGTTTGTGCTGGGGGACGATCTGCAGATTGCGTTAGTCAGCACGCATCCTGCTGGCTAGAAGCGAGAGAGTGTGTGAGTGACGGTGCGTCGGGTGCTCATCTATACTACCGGTATACTTTCTCTGCTTCGCAAGGCAATGGCTGGCCGGCAGGCAGCCTTCAAGCAGCGCGAGCGCGCGACCAACCATCGGCGCTAGACTGGGAGCGGCGGAGGGATACGGTATCACGGACATTTCATTGAAAAAGGTTGCTACGCTTATCTATGCAGGTAGACAGACATAGGGGAGAGGGGACGCTTTGGGCGATCGTCAGTGATCATCACTCATCATCCTTCCCAGCGTAGCGGTTCGAGGCAGCGTGCGCGCGCACCATTAGAGTTTCTAGGACTGTCCCCGTGGCAGGGCAGTGGTTTTTTGGTTTTTTTTTTCTCCCCGTAATCCCTTACCTTTTGTTGCTTGCCCCCCCCCCCCCCCCCTTTTTTTTTCTTTTTCCTTTTTTTCCCCGTGTCAAATGAAAAAAACGGTCAGTGCAGTGCCAGCCCAAGGACGCATAACGAGCCGGAGTCTCGGGTTCGATCTGAGAAGCCGTCACTGGGCACTGTGATTGCGACTGTGGGCGAAGCCTGCGTACGAAAGAGAGAGAGAGAGAGAGAGCCCGCCGCCATGGTTTTCATGGCTCTAAAGACATCCGTCTGGTCGGGTCCAGTCAATAGAACCGACTCTTGCGCCTTCAACTCAGTCATCGCATGACCAGTCTTCCCCGAACAGCCTCACCCGAACAATCTGACAGGTCGGGTCTGAAGAAAAAGAAGGGGAAAAAAAAAGAATAAGAAAGAAAAGAAGAAAATTGAGTGAGCCTTCTTCCTCTTTCCTTTCGCTTAGCTACCTCGAGCCCGGCCTAAACCCGCCAAACCCGCCCACCCAATTCAAGGATGCATCTGCAGCTACTGTAAGGCGCTGTTTCCATTGCGGCTTTCAGTCGCTAGGGTGGTGCAGGTGCAGGTGTGCCGTCGAACCCCCCTCCCCTCCCTTCCTCGCAGGACGGACGCACGTACGACCTCGATGCAGCCACGCACAGCCTACTTGGCCCATTGTGTCGTCGCTCTCGCGGCGCGATGTCCCCCCCCCTCCCCAGAGCAATGGTCTCCGGGTCTGTCATTTGTCACCTTTATCCCCCCTCCATGGGTAGGTATCCACCAAAGAGCCGAACAAGCCAATCCTAAACCATGGACCGTCCCAGTCGTTGCCGTCCACCCATGCTTGTCCCAACGCGGGCCTTCCCTGGTTCGTGCCCAGATGCTCACCCAAGCCGGAGATGCCAGGATCTGTAAAACACAACCAATGGGAGGCGCTCAGTATGCATCGAGGGGCCCTGTCACTTGGGTCGCGACTACAGTGCGCGAGAGGGAGGGGGGTACCCGTCTCTTTCGATGCTAACGAGGCCCCCCATGTGATTGCCTTGCCTTCCCTACCTTGCCTTGCTTGTTTGCTTGCTTGCCCGCTTGCTCGCCTCTCTTGCGCGATGAGATACGCCGTGGTGATATTGGTGGAGGATGAATGGCCTTTTCACGTCGCGCAGACCGACCACGGTGTGCACCACCCACCGGTGCTGCAAAAAATACGCCCGTCATGGTGAGACATTCCACGTACGCCGCGCCCGCGAGACTTTACGTTGCAGTGGCCTCGACAGACAGACAGACAGACAGACAGACAGGACAGCATCGCTTCCATTGATGCAGCTGCAGCAGCAGCAGCCGGGTCAGCAGCCGCCCTTGAAAACACACACACACACACACACACACACACACAGCCCGGCCACCAATGCTTCTGGTGCACCAAGGCGAGACGAGACGTGTGCGAGCGTTTTTGCCGCTTTTTTCCCCCCATGCAATGCAGACGGCAAGTAAAAGACAAAAGTGACTGACTGACTGACTGACTACCCCGGACTCGCCAGTCTTCTCTGCCATCGCACGATATCGTCCCGTCTGTCAAGTCGCCGGCCGAGCTCAACCCCGCCAGGAAGCTGTGTCGTGCCGTTGTGTTACGCGCTCGGCCAGCACATCGATGAGAGAGGCTTGGATATCCGACGCGATCCAGGTGCATCGCATGAGGTACCCTAGGCCTCATTTCACGGCATCTCAAGCCCTTGCCGCCCTCCGCTCACTCACGCTGCGTGCACATACTACGAGCGAGCCAGCAGCTAGCCTGTACGGATATAACAGACCTCAAATCAGACGATGGTCTCTGGCATATGCCCGAAGGCCCACCGTCGGAGCGCATACCCATATCTCCCTCCCCCCCGCCCTATCCCGGCTGAGTGGGACAGGTCGAACGATGGTGGTTGAAGCGGGCGTTTCGTAAAGTGTCGACCCCTAGGGGCATAGGTTGGTCGTCATTTGCTTCGTTCCCGGCCAGCACACTGACGGTTCTGAATTCGGATAATACATCGTGGTTCGTGGCTCCACAGAGGATTTCGTCCCATCGAACGCTGTCCCCCCGGAATGGCCCCAAAACCCAGCACCGGACGTCATGTCTTGCTGCGTGCTTCAGATTGAGCTTGGGTCGGCCAAAGTTTTTGGAAAACTCTCTCTGTCGGCCCCAGAAAACCGCCGTAGCACCCGAGCAACCATTCCTGGTCTTGGCGCATTGGCTGGGTTTATTTTTATTTTATTTTATTTTTTTCTTACTCTTGTTTTATTCTCAAAGAAGGTGATGGCAACGACCCGGCCTGGTGGATGGGCTGCAACGTCCGAGATGGGCGTGGAAGAGGATTTGCGGCGAAGGACACAACTAAAGGCCCCCACAATAAGCCGAAAGGCATCCGCAGAAACGCCGTTCCCCACTTGCGCGTTATTCCCGAGAGCGTGTTTCGTGGTGTTGCTACGCACGCAGGCTGTCCTGGCTGGGACTTCGTGGAAAGACGAGAAATAAGCATACGAGATGGGTGGAAAGAAGCCGTCGGCATCCAAAAGGTGTTGAAGCGCTAACCAAGGGCACTTCCGAGTGATCAGCATCTACCGAGTCCCCTAGGCCCCGCCGAGGAGATTTATTTTATTGGTATTGGCGGACGAGGCGTCCAATCCATAATGGTCGGGGTCATGGCCCACGGGGACTGTGAACGGTGGACTGTGGGGGATGGGTAATTTGGGCAAAGGGGCAGATCGAACCATACTTACTTGCTACACTATATACACCGTGTCAGATACGGTGGACTGCCTACTGTCTGTCAAGAGCAGAGCAGAACAGAACAGACGCCGGAAAAAACAAGGGGTGGTGGTGGGGTGGAGCTGATCTTGCCCACGTCGAATGAGATGGAGACCAAGGCCCGAGCATTAGTGTAGCAGTACCTACACATACGGCGTCATTGAATGCGGCGCGCAGGTTGCAGTGCACAACCGGTGCCAAGGCTTGCACTTGGCACCTAGGAGCCGAACGGCCGAGGCAATAACTGCTGCGCTAGCTGAATGCGCGAGCCGCCAGCGTCCGTGTTCGAGCTTGTCCACCTTGGGTAGTTGGTTGGAAGGCAAAGGCCATCATGGTCATGGTCATGGTCATGGTCGTGGTAATCTACACGTCTTTCTGCTGCTCGATAAAGTTATCACCACCGCAGACGGTTTTAGTTACACGCGTGTCTGCAGCAGAGCCTGAAGGGGGGGGGAAGCAACGAGCAAAAGGTGCAAACAGGCATTGTTTGGCAGGCGGGCACGAAGTGGGTTCGTCGGGACCGAAATGTGTTCAGATTTTTGAGTTGCCAAGCCAAGATGACGGATTCGTCCCGTCTTTGTCGAGTTTCGACCGGGGCGGCGCTTTGAAGAGGGAGGGCTGAGATGAGGGAATGAATGGCAATGCATTTGAGAGCGGCCGCTAGTCTGGTGGTCGGCGCTCCCAACGTCCATGGTGTCGGGTGTTTGGTAAGTAAGTAAGGGCATGAACTTACCGCGTTTTCGGTACGCAGGAAGTCATCGGGTTGCGTCGTTGCACTACGTACAGTAAGTACAGCACAGTACACCACACCACACCACACTACACTACACTACACTACAATACACTACACTACACTAGGTACACTACAGTACGACAACTCTCGGGCCGGTAAACTGAAGCGAAGCATTCTGTTGTCTTGTGAGAGAGAGACATCCATCCCCTACCCCAACATGCCTACCGACACATACAGGTAGGTGGTAGGTACAGGGTAGTGGAGGCAGAAAGAAGGAAGGGAATGAATGAGTTGTTGCTCCAGGGAGAGACCGACCGAAGGCCCGAAAAGGGCTACCGTATACACTCGCTAGGTTCACAAACCGCACGGATCACCCACTAAGCCTATCTTGCAAGGCGGTCAACCAGCTTAGCCACCCACCCACCCATCCAACCCTAACCCTTGCCACCTAACTTGCTGCTAACGTTGACTAACCCCTGCATTTGCCACTTCTAGATCCCTGTTTCTGCCAGTCCGCTAGCCCCTATCCAGCAGCCCGTGATCAGTGCGGTTTGTGAATCTAGCGAGTGGATACGGTAGATGGTGTTGGGTGGGGCTGAATTGCTTCGCCACTCCCAGTGCCATAGACATGGATCCTTGTTTCTTTCTTTTTTTTTTTTTTTTTCCTTTTTTCCTTTTCCCCAAGTGGGAAGGGCAAAGGGGTGGAGGAGGGGGGCCCGCGCTTTGTTCATCCACCGTGTCCAGTCCCGTAGATTCGGGAGTCGAGTGAGATGAGGCGAGTGGCCAAAGAGAGAGCAAGAGCGCGAGAGGGGAGGGCAGAGGCGCCTCGGGCATGTCCTTCCTGCCTGGGTCGACCGGGCTTGATTGATTATGCAATCCATAACATCGGGTAACTGCCATCCCAAGGCGTCGTCTCCCATTGGCGAGGCGGATGCGCGACACGATGCGTGCTGTTGATGTTTGAGCCACAACCCGAGTCAGAGATGGACGGAGCAGAGCGCCCTGCATCGTCCAGATTAACCAGACGTGTGCTCCATTGCCTACGGCACTCGGGCAGTGTCGTATCGCAGCGCAAGTCCGGGTAGAGTAGTGTACGGATAACATACGACCATACCCATTGGAAAACTCGGGGATCCCGTCCCCTCTCCCATAGATAAGCCAGTGAGGGCCGTATTGCATACGGGGTCTGTGACGACCAGCGAATACCACTATTGTGTACCCTTGTATCCGTACCTCCGTAGAGTACGGATAAAGTAGTGAGTGTTTCGTACCAAGCTGCCGTCTCTCCCCGCCGCCAGCCCAAGGCATCCATCCACAAGGTTTGCTGGCCATGGACCTGGGAGCCTGCAAATATCCCTGGAAGGGCGGGCTTGTCGCGAGGTTCCGGGGTTTTTTTATTTTTATTTTTATTTATTTATTTTGCTTGCTGTTACTACTACTCACGCAAACAAAACCATCGTTCTCACTCACCGAGTGTGCCTGTTGGGAATAAAGCTCCTTGCTCGAATTCTGTCGAGTCCAGGGCTCTCTCCCTCTCTCTCTCCGTTTCTCTCTGTATACCTACCCAGGTAAATATCCAGAACACGACTAAGACGGATGCATGTACAGTACAAACGTCGCTCACCCGGCGGTCTGAGCGTCGTCCTCCTCCTCCAAACTACAGGGTAGAATTCTAGCCGGCCGCGGACGATTGCGCCAGTCCACTACGAGCACGACCTCCCGTCCTGAGTCCACCCATCACCCATACATACATACATATGTACATACATACATACGATCACTCCGTACACAACCATGCCCATGGAGGGAGCGATTGATTGTACAGTAGTGTAACGATTGCGCGCCACAGGAACCCGCTCCCATCGTCTCGCCCGGCGCCAGACTCAAACAGGGACGAAAGCGACGGGTTGGTCGCGCCCTCTGGCTGGCTCATTCACCGCACCTCAAGTGCCCTTGACCCTGCCGCGCCTTATTCGCGACCCATGACCTTGTGTCCGATGTTGCGCCTGCCTCCACTCCACCCGGCCCCATCTGTCACCGTCCCCCTGATCCTAGTCTGGGCCCCACTCCTTGCCAATCAGAAAACGCCCTTTCCATTTGCCCAATCCTCCAGCTCTTTCCTTGATGAGGTTTGCCCGCGTCCCAGCCGAGAGGACAGTGCCGGCACTGTACCTGCGTCCCTTCGCTTACGCTCCTTGCCTCCTTCCCATTTATATATACTACCCTGCTACGGATACCTAGCCATCTACAGGCAGGTATCTACTATGGGTAGGTACCTCAGATGCGACCTTCCCCTCAAGCGAGAGCAATCTGGACCCACTCCCATGATCCGATGCTCAATCCCGCGCTGCAATTCACTGCACAAAACCGTCCCGGACCACATCCGGCGGCCGCCCAGTTGTGCCGGGCAGATCGTTGCTTTGCCTTACGCGCGACTTATTCCCGTGGCCCGTGCTGCAGAGTCGTTGATGGTTATCCTCCTCCTCGTCATCGTCGTCGTCGTCTCATAATCCAACCGCCTGCCGGCGACCACGCCTTCATACATACATACATACACCTGATACGTGATACGTGATCGGGTCGCCATGGCCATAGACACGCCGACTTCGGCTCAACACAAGTGCTTTCGTCCCCTTCCCAAGACCGCCTCCAAATCACTCGCCCTCAGTCCTTGCATGTTGTTCAGAGGGCCAGCTGATGAATGACATCTTCACACCTACCGCCCGGTTGGCCTGCCCGTCCGCGGCACACACACACACACACACACACACCTACCATCTATGTCAAGGCATGAAACCAGGGCGCCAAGCAAAGTCCGACGTGAGTGTTCGACGCCCCAGGCGACGCTGCACACCACTAACGGCATCGGAGGGAGTGGACGACGACATGCTAGGTTTTTCGCAGAACGCATGCATTTGCGCCATCCTGGCAAGCTGAGGAAAGCAAACACCCTTATCCGCTGTATCGAGCCGCGAGGATTGGGAAGCCAAGGTACCTAGCCAGGCACCACGAGGCACAGTCAGTCGACGCCCGCCATTGCTCCCTACATGCGCCTCCTGACTGACTATCATGTACTGATCTGGCCCATCACAGTCCCTGTTCTGCCAGTAGACCGCAAGGCTGCTCCATCCCGCCACGAGGCGCTCCCCGAAGAACACTCCTTTAACTGGGCGTCGAACTAACGACAATGCAACGTGTGTGTGGTAACCGAGTCGTGGTTAAACCCATCCGCTCCCCACCTCCCACCCCCAACAGTGTGAGACATAGCACCCAAGGGAAAACGGGTCACTCGATTGCACGCGACCATCAACCGGTTGTGTCGAGCGCGCACTCACTTTAACCAAGCACCGGAAAGGCAACGGCCGGCCACACCATCAGACTACCTTGGTCCAGAAGCTGTGCCGGTTGTATATCTCTCGACAACACCATCTCGATCCTCCATCATCCATCGTCTCTCCTGCCGCCTCGGGGCTCGCACGCTCCCCAGGTGAAATGGTGATTTCGCGTA